TCCAAATTCCCTTTTTAAGAGGAAAAAACAATCTTCACAATCCCAAAATATATATATATATATAGGCTCGAAAAAATTCTAAATCAGCTAAACTTTTAACCATTATATCTATTTCATCATTCTAATTTCTACATGATAACAACCAGACAACAAGACAAGATAATAAAGCTTCAACGATTTCACACACACAGACATGTTCATATGAGAAACTGTATAATATATATATATATATATATCTGATGCTACTTAACTGTGTGGATATATATATTGAAGGGTCAACGAGATTTATGGGTGGATCTTTTATTTATTTTTCTGCATAATAAGTGACCGGTAGAATAGGTCTTCTTGTTGAGTCTGTTGAGACTTTTTCGAAACTGCTATTTCTTTTGTAGTGGCTATTTAACGCCCAACTCGATTACTGAATAAACCGTCGAAGCTTTCTCGTGCATATTGATTCTTTTCTTCCTTCTTTGCTCTAATATCTGGTATCAGAGCCAGGTTAGCAAGTTTGATTAGAATTTGAGGAATACACGAGTGAAAAGAGAGAGATGTCGAATGAAGGGCAGAACCTACTGACGATCCCAAAATTCGACGGTGACTACGACCATTGGAAGATGCTGATGGAGAACCTACTCCGATCAAAAGAATGGTGGCATCTTATCGATCCTGGCTATACGGAACCTGCAGAAGGAGCCAAGGAGACCGATGAACAAAAAAGTGCAAGAGCAGAATTGAAATTGAAAGATCTGAAGGTTAAGAATTATTTATTCATAGCCATTGACAAGAGCATTCTAAAGACAATTCTTCAGAAGGAGACGGCTCGGGAACTTTGGGAATCAATGAGAAAAAAGTACCAGGGAAGTCAAAGGGTACAAAGATCTCAATTACAGGCATTGCGAAGAGAGTTCGAAATTCTCGAGATGAAGGAGAGCGAGACAATCACAGAGTACTTTGCCCGGGTGATGTTGGTTGCCCACAATATGCGCAACAACGGCGAACGCTTGGAAGATACTCAGATTGTCGAGAAAATATTGCGAACCCTCACCGAGAGATTCACCTATATTGTGGTGTCCATTGAAGAGTCAAAAGATATTGATCATCTAAGTGTTGATGAACTACAAAGCTCTTTAGTTGTACATGAACAGAAATTTCGCAGAATCATAAAGGAGGAAGAACAGGTACTAAAGGTGACAAATGAAAATTTCAGAGGAAGAGGTCGAGGTAGAGGTCGATGTATAACAGGAAACAACCGAGGAAAAGGACAATGGAGGCACCCGGTAAACAAAGCGACCATTGAGTGCTATAATTGCCACAAATTAGGACACTTCCAATATGAGTGTCCTACTTTGGGAAATAAGGCAAACTTTATTGAAACTGATGCTGAGGAAGAATTGCTCCTTATGGCATGTGTTGAAGGGAACAAGGCCACGAGAGATGAGGTATGGTTTCTGGATTCTGGATGCAGCAACCACATGAGTGGTAATCGGGAGTGTTTTTCAGAATTGGACGAGGATTTCAAACACACTGTGAAATTAGGGAACGATAGCCGCATTGCAGTTACAGGAAAAGGGAGTGTGCGCATGAAAGTAAACGGGTATGTTCAGGTCATTTCAAATGTATATTATATACCTGAACTTAGAACCAACTTGTTGAGTATAGGACAGCTTCAAGAGAAAGGCTTGTCAGTGCTAATTCAGAATGGAACATGCAAGGTCTACCATCCAAAGAGAGGAGTGATTATGAACTCAGACATGAGTGGTAACAGGATGTTCTATTTCATTGCTGAAATGGAAACACAGTTCCCCATGTTAATGAAGGCTGAGTCTTTAGAAGTGTCACACCTATGGCATTGCCGTTTTGGACACTTAAGCTACAAAGGGTTGACTGCTTTATCAACTAAAGAAATGGTGGAAGGGTTGCCCCAGATAAAAATTCCACAAAAGCTATGCTCAAGTTGTTTGGTAGGAAAGCAACATCGGGAGAGCTTCCCAAAAAGGAGCGCGTGGAAATCAACACAGAAGTTGCAACTGATCCATTCAGATATATGTGGTCCCATTAATCCAACATCAAATGGCAACAAGAGGTATATTTTGAGTTTTATTGATGATTTCTCACGCAAAACTTGGACGTATTTCTTGAATCAGAAATCGGAAGCTCTTGATGTCTTTATGAGTTTCAAAGTACGTGTTGAAAAAGAAGCCGGAACAAGCATACTCTGTCTTAGAACAGATAGAGGAGGTGAATTCAACTCAAATGAGTTTGCCAAATTTTGTAAAGACCAAGGAATCAACAGCCAACTAACTGCAGCTTACACACCTCAACAAAACGGTGTCGCCGAGCGGAAGAATCGGACTGTAATGAATATGGTTCGAACTATGTTGGATGAAAAACAAATGCCAAAAGAGTTTTGGGCAGAAGCCGTGAATTGGTGCACTCACATTCTCAATAGATGCCCAACGTCAGCTGTAGAAAATATGACGCCTCAAGAAGCTTGGAGTGGCAATAAACCAAAAGTTGATTATTTTCGGGTATTTGGTTGCCTAGCACATGTACACGTTCCAAATCAAAAACGAAGAAAATTGGATAACAGAAGCAGACCTCACATATTCATTGGTGTTAGCAAGGAGTCTAAAGCATACAGGCTCTTTGATCCGACAACAAACAAAATATGTATCAGCAGAGATGTTGTTTTTGAAGAAAACAATGGCTGGAACTGGAAAAAAGGTACTGCTGAGGTGATCCCAAATGCAATTACATGTGGAGATAATGGTGACGCAGATGATGAGAAAAGGCCAGTTGACGTCTCATCGGAAGGAGAAAGTGATTCTGGCACAACACCAGCAGAAAAATCAGCAAGCTCATTAGAAGAAACAGGTTCAGGAGAAGAGGAGGAATGCACTACTCCGAGTGCCCCGGAAAGAAGGCCACGCACAACTCCCACATGGATGGTGGATTATGTTTCTGGGGGAGAACTATCTGAGGACGAAACAGTCATGATGATGATAGAAGATGACCCTGTAACCTTTCAAGAAGCTGTGAAAAATAAGAAGTGGAAAGAAGCAATGGCAAAGGAAATGAAATCTATTGAAAAGAATGGCACTTGGACGTTGTGCACACTACCAAAGGAGACCAAAGCTATAGGAGTGAAGTGGGTGTTCAAAACAAAGTTAAATGAAAAAGGAGAAATAGAGAAACACAAAGCAAGATTAGTGGCTAAGGGGTATGCGCAACAATATGGAATTGATTACACAGAAGTTTTTGCCCCAGTAGCTCGTTTGGATACCGTCAGGCTTATTCTAGCTATAGCGGCAAAGAACAAGTGGGAAGTACTTCAATTTGATGTCAAAAGTGCATTCCTTCAGGGAGATATCAAGGAAGAAGTGTATGTGCAGCAGCCAATGGGATTCGAGAAGCAAGGAGAAGAAGAGAAAGTCTATCGACTACACAAGGCGTTGTATGGTCTTAAGCAGGCGCCGAGGGCTTGGTACAGTCGAATTGAAGCCTACTTTGCTCGTGAAGGATTCAAGAAATGCACAAATGAACACACTTTGTTTATTAAAGTGAAGGAGGGAGGTGAACGTTTAATAGTAAGTCTTTATGTTGATGACTTAATCTACACAGGGAATGATCCAGCTACGCTCGAAGATTTTAAACGTTCAATGATGGGTGAGTTTGACATGTCTGATTTGGGAAGAATGAAGTACTTTCTTGGAATCGAAGTTATACAAAATGATCAGGGAATCTTCATTTGTCAGCGCAAATATGCAGAGGAGGTGCTGATTCGTTTTGGAATGGAAAACAGTAATGTGGTAGCAAACCCCATAGTGCCGGGAACAAGACTTTTGAAGGATGAGGAAGGTCCAAAAGTTGACCCAACAATGTTCAAACAAGTTGTCGGGTGTCTCATGTACCTAACCGCTACTCGGCCAGACATAACATATGGGGTTAGTCTCATCAGTAGATTCATGTCCTCTCCAACAGAAACTCATTGGAGTGCAGCAAAAAGGATATTGAGATACATCAGAGGAACTACTCAGCTTGGAATTTTCTACTGCAATGAAAGAAAAGGTAAATTGGACGCATATTCGGATAGTGATTTTGCTGGAGATCTTAATGATAGGAAAAGTACATCCGGTTATGTTTTCTTGCTTGGAAAAGGAGCTGTATCATGGTCTTCAAGGAAACAACCTGTAGTATCATTGTCCTCCACAGAAGCCGAATACATATCAGCTGCATACTGTGCAAGTCAATGCATATGGCTTCAAAACTTGCTTGAAGAACTTGGTGAAAATGGAAGAAGAGGTACTGTGATCAATTGTGATAATACTTCGACTATTCAATTATCTAAGCACTCTGCTTTTCATGGAAGAAGCAAACATATAGATGTGAAGTTCCATTTTCTAAGAGAGCTAGTGGATAAGGGATCAGTGCTACTCAAGTATTGCAAAACACAAGAACAGGTTGCAGACATTCTGACGAAGCCGATAAAGGTAGAGCAATTCGTGAAGTTGAAGAAAATGCTTGGAATGATTGAAGCAACAAAGATAAACTACTTGCTGCCGCATTCAGTTTAAAGGAGGGATTGAAGGGTCAACGAGATTTATGGGTGGATCTTTTATTTATTTTTCTGCATAATAAGTGACCGGTAGAATAGGTCTTCTTGTTGAGTCTGTTGAGACTTTTTCGAAACTGCTATTTCTTTTGTAGTGGCTATTTAACGCCCAACTCGATTACTGAATAAACCGTCGAAGCTTTCTCGTGCATATTGATTCTTTTCTTCCTTCTTTGCTCTAATATATATTAAGTCCTAAAACAAGTACCTGAATTCCTCTCATAATGAAGAAGAAAAAGAAGAAGAAATCATCGTTGTTTTAGCCTCATGCATATATATATATATATATATATATAGAAGAACAATTTTCGCAATCATATGTGGGTTTAATTACCTTTCCTCATCATGGCTACAAACTCATTCATAGTTGACTCATATAATTTCATAACATGCAAATTACTTAATCCGTTAAAGTAAACAAATCCTATGATGTGCAATGATTGTGTAGGCAAACTAACATTAAGTGCAGAATATGGGTCGAATTTGCTTCGATGCTTAATTAACTTATTCTTTGTATTAAATTAGTACTTCTGATAATAATTCTAAGCATGAAAGTAGAAGCATTTACAAAGGAGTGAGATGTTCGCTTACATTATCAGCATCGAATTTGGAAAGGGTCTCCTTAATTAATGTCCTTGAGTTCTTCGATGATCATATACCTAAGAAAAGAAGATACTTCATTAGATATAATGGGCATATATGGTTAAAAATGAACAATGTGATTAGTGGATGGATTGTCCTTGATGATATATTGAAAGGCTGTGTGTAGATACATGCTCCTTTCTGTCCATTCTGTTTAGATGTATATCAATATGGATCTGAATGACAGAATGAATGTATAATACATACCGGGAGTGCCATTTTCTTGAAGCTGCCGTTGCTCGTAGCTCAAACTACTACTACTACTACTAATTGTTCAAACTCGAACACATTATTGCGTCCCCTTTCCTTTCTAAAATCTGTTTCCAACAAGGTTTCGATATACGATGAAGATTCCAATCCAATCGTCAATAAAAAGTCAGAGGTTAATCCTTCATATTGCAAAATGAAAGAAAATTTATACTAAAATACCATTAAGGAATTTTGAATTAATTGAAGGCATTCAACAAATTGTATATTTTGAAATTTAAAATCCAAAACCAATAATTGCTCTTAAATTACAAAGGTGTACTGTAATGAATTCCTAGATGCTTCATTTGTATATTCTTATGATACTAAAATTTAAATTGTGTAATTTTTGGACATAGACTTAATTGCCTAGTAGCAAGAAAGTACTTTAATTGAGAATAACTGGGCCTAATCATGGAACTCACAACCCCCATTGCTCACTTTAAATAAGTGTAGCTTCAATCCAATGATAATGAAATATATATAAATATATATATATATAATGGAAAATCCAAAATGAAAAAAATTCAGTTCAGTATTTCCCAATTTGCCCACTGGGCAATAATCAATCCACTATGTTCATATTTACGATACTACACTCTAGCCAACACAATCCACAATAGACAATAAAGCATTTGAATTTGTAATAGTTAGAAATCGCATGCGTTTTATATTCATATTATATGCGATAATTGGGTAATTTTGATTAGATTCTACCTAATTTATATGCGAATTGTTTATTTGCTGTGTGCAGAGGCCAAATATTAAATTTGGCATAATTGGCAGAAAAATGAAATAAAATTAATTAAAGGCCCAAAAGCCCATTAGGGCAAATATTAAATAAAAGGAGGATCACACGTTTAAAAAGAGAGAACGGCTAGGGCAGATACGCACAGGAGCAGATCCATAAATAGCGCAGGAGCAAATCGACAGAGAAGATTTCTCCATCCCGCTATAACTTCATCTTTTTCTCTCTTGTTCTTTGTTATTTAATTATGGAGTAGATACTTTTCTGGTTTGAGGGGTGATAATGTTTTGGTTCTTTTATTTTGGAAATTTTTGATTTTCTTTATAAAAGTTATTTTTTATTATCAATATTTGTCTAATTCTGAGAGTAGCGTTTGTGATTGTTAGATTGATTGAATATTTTGGCACCGATATTTAAATTAGTCTGATAATCTAAAGTCAATTCAAGTAGGATATTCGTAATTGTATTCGCACTTGAATAGGTGACAACCGGGTTGAATAGTTCCTTCCCGGGGGTTAGACAATCAAATCTAATTGCTTCTCTTAGGTAGTAATTGTTTTGAATTGGGTTTTTCTAGATTACAATGCGGTTAGACAATATTGTTATGGGCGCACCTAGGTTTATTTGCTTAATTAGGGGTAGAATTAATTTAATTGAATTAATGATAGAACACAAGTGTCATAACTGCATAATCCCTTGAGTCAGACATCCCTTTATAGTTCCCCTGTAATTTAATTGCTTTGTTATTTTATTTTAATTAGATAATAAAAGAAAAATTCTCCTTTATTTACGGCATTAGAACACGAAAGAGTGAATCACACAATCCCTGTGGAGACGATCCCTTCCCCTATATTACATTAAATTGTGATCACGGAGTAGGTGAAATATTTGATTGACAGTGCGACAGGTCAATAGGTCAATATGACAGAAGGATCCTACACAAGCAATTTAAATGAAAATTATTGCTCTTTGGAATTTTCGGTTAACTTTGATAGTTGACTTGCAATGTTAACTAGAGTCTAGAACAATAAATATATCCATTATATGAAACCAAAAAACAATAGTAATAAAGAGAGGTGGGGATAATGAAATTAAATATTATGCCGGCCAAGTCAACACAATTTGACAAAGGAACCCTCAAGGAAACCTCGAATTCATCGACTCCATTCCACTATTCCAGTAATTTATATTTCACACACACCCAGATATATAATCATCAAAGCCATGCATTTCCTTTCAAGAAATTCATTAAAGAAAATCAGATTCATCAACATTTGACACGTTTTAGTTTTATATCATGATTGAGCAAATTTGACAAGGTCAGTGACATGGACCTTTTGTTCTATTGTTTTCACTTCTTAATATTTACTCCACACATTTTCATCTTTCACCCTATTCCTTATGTAACAATAAGTACAAATGCATTGCACCTTAAACAACTACATTAAAAATCCTTCAAAAAAGAGCAGTAAAGTAGAATTACTCGAATGTATAAGCAATCAATCAATTATTAGCATTCTAACCACACCCTAATTGCTAATTACCAACCATGTTATCAAGCTTAGGACATCTTAATTTTTCTTTCAACTCGTATTTAACTCACCAGAATATCCTAAATAATATCCATATGCATTATTTAGTCAGAAAAATGCCTAAGTTGTATTCAAAGCTGCATTGAACAAGTCAAGTATGGTAATTGTTGAGTGAGAGTGTCTTGTCCTGTCTTCACACAAATAAGTTATAGACCAAATCAACGTACTGAAACTTCATGAAAGTTTCCCATATGCACATTAATCTCTCACAGTCACAGATACACACAAGCACCACACAATAAAAGCATTAAGTGTAATTCTTGGAGCAAAGTGATCAAGATTAGGAAAAAAGAAAAAAGGGGGAGAGCAGTTTACCTTTTTGCTTTCCTTCCTAGAAGTTTGCTGCTTGAAATTTGTAGTCTGCAGCCTCCCTCCATCAAATAATCTGAACAAAACATATATGTGTATGTATATATACATGTGTATGAATACATACAACTCATGTCACGTCAGATTTTGCTGATGTTGAATAATCAATCCAAACCACAGGTGGTCTAATTGGCATCATCAGCTATGTCTGATACTACTTCTTATTACAGCTCTCCACCTTCAGGCAATCCTGGAGCAACCGCTGCAGGTAAATTAAACAAAGAAAACAGCATATCATTAACTTTTTATATGATTCAATCCAAATCAAGATTTTGCATACATGTATCTGCATATAATCACATTTTCAATTTTCTTACAACGTGCAGGTATAATTATAGGCTTGGTGATATTATTCGGCATCGGAGTGGTTTCTTGCTACTGCGCCAGGAAAGCAAGGGAGGCAATAGTGTCGGAACTGAAGGCAGCTGTTGCCCCGCCGCCGCCTCCATTGAACATGATAACAGTTTGGGAGGTGGACGCCCCAACGATGGAGAAATTCTTTAAGGAATTGGCTGAGGAGAAGCCTGTCCGGTTCACCGCACAGCAACTCTGCACTTTCACAGAGAACTATTCGATGACGTTGGGATCCGGAGGTTTTGGGAGAGTCTACAAAGGGAAGTTCCCGAACGGTGTGAACATTGCAGTCAAGGTACTAAACAGAGGAGCAAACAATAATGTGGAGGAGCAGTTCATGGCTGAGGTTGGAACCATTGGCAGGACTCATCATATCAATCTGGTGCGACTGTATGGTTTCTGCTATGACCAGTTCATGAGTGCCCTTGTCTACGAGTACATGGAAAATGGATCGCTGGACAGACACTTGTTCAGCGAAAGTCGCGAACTAGAATGGGAGAAGCTACACGAGATTGCAATAGGAACAGCAAAAGGGATAGCATACTTACACGAGGAGTGTCAGCAGAGAATCATTCATTATGACATCAAGCCTGGGAATGTACTTCTTGACGCCAACTTTGCGCCCAAAGTGGCGGATTTTGGCCTGGCTAAGCTCAGTGACAGAGATGATACGCATGTTACCATCACAGGGTTTAGGGGCACTCTCGGGTACTCAGCCCCTGAATTTATGCTGAAGAACTTCCCCATAACCTATAAATGTGATGTTTACAGCTTTGGGATTCTGCTGTTTGAGATAGTTGGGAGGAGAAAAAATGCTAGAGGTGGAGGGGAAGATGATAGTCTTGACTGGTTTCCTAAGCATGTGTGGGAAGAGTTTGAAAAAGGGGAGCTAATATCGTTGATAGAAGCTTGTGGGATTGAAGAGAAGGATAGGATTAAGGCTGAGAGAATGGCTAAGGTGGCGCTATGGTGCGTCCAAGATTCCCCAGGAACACGGCCACCAATGAGTGCCGTGGTTAAAATGCTGGAGGGAGGAGTGGACATTATGGAGCCACCTAAGCCATTTCACTACTTGTTTTCGGTTGGGACAAATGCGCTGAAGCCGCCAAGTGATTCTGGCAGTGGTTCAGGATTTTCAACAAGTGATGGATCAAATTCATACTGGTATAAAGATACCACTACCATTATGGCCAAGTATGAAATACAAGTCGCCTCGTCATAAAACACAGGCAACAGATGGTTAGTTGCCTTTATGTTTGTGTAGCATCTATGCAACTTGTCTAGATTGTTTGTGTAAAATGTTAGTTGAGTTAGAAACAATCCAAGAGGAAATAAGAACAAACTTGAACATGTCACTCATAGTATGTAATTGGTTGCAAACTTACTACTCTAATTAGTTGTAGTAAGATGCACCTTTTTCCAAGATGATATTCCTTCATCTGGTAAAGGACTTTGTTGAAAGTACACAGTTGTTTTAACATGTTTAATAATGTACGAAAAGAACTTGAACAATTGTCAGAATGGCTCAATTTTCTTGCTAATCAATTCCTCAACTAAAGCTCTGATGTGCCATATATACAATTTCAACAGATCTTTTCGCTCAGTTCACAAAAAATCCTCACCCCTGATAAACTGTGATTTCACCTACCACTACAAGAAGTTTAGAGACATTCCAGTAAGTAGAAACAGCATGGCTGTGTAGTTCCATATAGCATTCATCATCTAACAAGTCAGCAACAAACTCAAATATAAAAGTAGCAGTACCCAAATGATCCATTTGTGTTGTTAACCGATTCTGCAACAGATCATCTGGCTGTGGTCATATATATCTAATTTCAGGGGTGATATTGTGCTATGTATGTTTCAGAGGTTAGCAATTCACGTCTGTAGAGGTTACCTGAAAGCTTGTTGGTATAACTCCATGACTATGAATTTACAGCTACCTTACATGATAAGGAAGGGGAACCCAGTAAAGCTGTTAATATAAATTTGAGTGTGCATAATCACTTCACGGCATCACCGTGCTAAGAGAGCCACCCGTGCTTCTAATAATTACAACAGCTTATTAAGCTTTACGTAGATTAACAAGTCCAAATACTAACAATTTTCATTTCGGTCAGTTGATAAGCTTTTATGTACATGATATAAGATCAGGGCCGCCATGGCAAAGGGCGAAAGGGGCACCCTCTCATGGCTGACTACAACACCTAAATTTTCACCCAGGGCTTTGGAAAATCAAGAACTCCCCGCCTAAGAGGCCTCAAATTCATGCCAGTTCTAAGTTAATCCTCCTAACTCTTGACTTACCATTTTCAATGGTCATTCAAAGAGTCTTTAGGGAGATCATAACGAATTCCAATTATAAAGATAGAGAACAAGTCATTTCAAGATAGTACGATTAAGGAAGAAATAGTTTAGGTTCAGGTGGAACTCACTCATCAGACTCTACCATTGCTTCATCTGGAAATGCGCTTCACACCTAATCGAGAAGAGGCTCTCATAATGTCTACCTATGCTTATTCAAATCACACAACCTTGTGCTTCATCGAGGTATTGGTCTTCTCGGCCATCGGAAACACGTATCCGGAAGAAAACGCACATCAATTCATGCTGAATTCTTTCGCACAAGTCCTATAACTGCAAGACGCGGTTCAATCAATTATTGCTTGCCCTAGATCGTACTTGCTCTTGACGTAACTCTAATGGAAAGAGAGCTAACACAAATCAAATGCAGCAAAGTTTAACACCAACACTGAATTCAACTTCCCCACCATACCTCATGGAAATCACAATTCGCTTCGCGCGTATTCAATGTGCGCCAGCCGAACGTACGAACAAAGCCGAAAATCAACGTTATTGAGAGATTGCACGGGCTGATTAAACTCCAATTTCACTGATCAAAGCAAGAACAAACAATTGAATTTTCAGAAATAACAAAAAGGGTCCCGACCTCCGTGAAAAACGCCGATGCTCGGCCTCCGTAACTCTAATGTTTTCTCCAACTGAATGGGAATCAGTGAATCACCCACCCACCGACCTTGGCTTGTCTTATTTGTTCGTTATCTTGGCGACTGCTAGCATAGCATGTTCAGGAAGCTGGAGATTCAATGTGCAAACCACCTCAGCCTACTACTTCATTCTCAGCCTCAGGTAAGTAAATTTTACATTCTTCACCCAATATGGATAGAATCGTTACAAAATTCGAAGCTGTAGGTAGAATTCAACGAACACCCTCCCCAATCTTTCCTCAGCTCTCACTTGGAACTCCCTAAAACATTCCTTAGTGTCGAAACCAAACCATTACTGTTTCTGGCTCAATATTGATCCTTCCTTACACCACTCAAAACTAAACTTCCTCAAGTATTTTTTTCTCCGGCCGCCGGAGATTACGTTGTGCGTCTCTCACCGGTTGGAGCTGAAGTACATGGCACCAACATGCAAAGAAAATCTCAAAAATATTAAATCACACATAATTATTTTATTTATTTATTTATATCGCACCAAAAGATTATTTTAATTCAAACTTTTGTGAACGAATATGTATTTTTTAAATAATTACAATTGCAAAGTAAAACTACTAAAATCAAATTAAAAAAAATAAAACCCTAATTTCTTAAAAAGAAAAAAGAAAAAATTCAGCAAGTTTCTTGTGAATGCTTTAAATTGAGTATTTTATAAGTAATGCAAGATATACCCAAAGCATATATAGTGATATTTTAAATTTCAATTTTAGAGTGTGTTTCTTTTAATTTGATTTATAAATTTTTTGTTTACCTTTGATATTGAAATAATATATAATGTGATATTTTATAAAAAAAATTATATTGTATATGTGTTGAGTACAAATAATAATAATAATAATAATAATAATAATAATAATAATAATAATAATAATAATGTATAGGGTCTTAAATGAAGTCGGACGAAAAAAGATGAGACTGTCGATACGGGGTTCGAAAAAAAAAAGGAAGACGGTCGAAGAAAGACGAGGGACGACACGGAGGTCGGACAAAAGGAAGACGGGCGAAGAAAGATGGGGGACGACACGGAGGTCGGTCAAAAGGAGGTTGAGCGAAGAAAGACGAGGAAAGGTCTGTTAATTGGTCGGGTCGAAGAAAGGTCTGTTAATTGGTCGCTTAATTAAGCGACTTGTTAATAGCCTGATCGATTGGCTGGTCACTTGGTCAGACAGTAGTTTAGCCGCTTGAAAGGGCTGTCAGTTGGTCATTTGATTGGGCGACCAATGAATCGTCTAGAATGGTTGATCAGCCGATTGAAGGACGGTCGCTTGATTGGGCTACCAATGAGTCTTTTGGTCTAGCGACCGGTTAGTATCTGGATTGGTCGTTGAACCGATTAAGTCCTGTAATTGTAATTGGCAAGAGGAGTTGGTGAGACAGTTAAAGACACGTATCAATAAAAGAGGATTTAGTGGGTGGTTGAAGGCGGTTGTTGTAACCGAACAGACGACGTTCCAAAACGTTTTTCAGGGAATATTTAAAGAGGGGGTTCGCAACTGGCAAAAACATCTCTAATCTTCAATCGACATCAAATTCAGTGAATTGATTTTGGAGATCACGATTTACTTTTTCAATCTGTAGTATTTATTTTCTTAGTTTATTTATGTATTGTACCGTGTCTAGAGATTCTTAATATCAGATATTTATTTTATCAAATTCGAAGATAATTTCTATTTACGAATTTTACTTTTTATTATTGAAAAAATTAATTAAAAATATGTTTTTTAAAAATACAGAATCTAATTAATAAGATTTAAAATTTTGATACAAATGAAATGATAAACAAACCCTATATATATATTGAAAAAAATATTATTTTATTCGTCATCCAAATATATTACAATATTCATTTTTTTCAAGTAACTGGTTATCTATCTAAAATTACAAATACATTTACAATTTATAATATATTACACAAATGTCATTACATTTATATCACACCATATTAATAAGGTTATTTTAGTCGTTTCTACTTTATTCCTATTACATCCCAATATAATACTAATATTTTTAAAATTATGTGCAAAGTGGAAATCGATATCTACTTATGGGACGGAGAAAATATTATTTTCCTTTTTTGAATGTCATCTAAATTTATTGTATTTCTGTTTTTAGTAAAAAAAAATATTATTTTTTTATTCAGCAAAAAAACGTAAGATTAAAAAAAATAAAATGAATTATGAGTTTGTTTAGTTGTATAGGAAACAATATATTTTGATAATATATATTTATCGATGGTTGAATAACAATAGAAAGATTAAAATAGAACTCCAAATAATTTGAGATACCCTATGAATCAACATTCAAAAAGGAATTTGTAAATACAATGTACTCTTATTGTCTTAATATTTTGTAATTTTTTTTTTTATCTGTACAAAATCTTTTATATTATTTCTAAATATAAAATAACTTATTACATTTTATTTTACCATATTATTCAAATAAAAAATATATTTTTCTCTTATTACAAGTTTTAAATTATTCAAGGAGGCAATTACACTCTATTTTAAAATTATTCTATTTTTCCAATTATTCATCTCAATTTTCGTATAAAAAATCAAATAATACACTCCATATAAAAAGGAGGTAATATATTTTAAAAAATTTAATAAATTAAAAATCATAAATAAACAACTAACGCTTAATAATTGCACCTGTCATATATAACAAGGTAATTACATTTAATATCCATTTAATATTTTTATACCAATAATTATGTTCTCAAATCACATACCAGCCTTCACAAATATATAAAAAATTATCCAAAAAAATTATTGGTACAGTATTATTTTAAAAGGGTAGGTTAAGTGAACCAAGCAAATTGTTTATTGTTAATTTCAGGAGCTCCAGGGAGTCGAACATTCTCCATCAACCCAAAATGCGATGAACGGTCCAGATTCATTTGGCGCTGAAAACACAGGACTCCCCAACACACTGCTTAGAAAAACATCGCCAGCCTCTGCAGCAGTTACTGCTTATTAACAACCGCCATTACAGCACCAGCTCACCCCTTCGAGGCCACGCCGCTGTCGCCAATCGCAATCGCAGAGTGAAAAGTTTGGAGAAAGAGACAGCTCTGGAAGGTAGCTACGGTGCGGGTGCGGTGGATTAATTTATTCATTTCGTCCTTGTCGTTTCTTTTAAATTTTGAAATGTTTGAAACAGGAGAAAAAAGGGGGGAAAATCCAGTGGTGGACTGTTCATCTGTCGCCGCCGCGTAGATCGTGTCCGACCGTTTGGTTCGAGGTTGATTTGGCCGGTAGAGATGTTTGCCTTCAACTGATAAGGGAAAAGGGGGAGCGCTATGTCGGTTTCTCCCGCGGCATTCGAGCGCCCTCGTATTGGGAACTCGAACACGGTAATGGTTTCCGCTCTGTGTTTTTTTAGTCAGATTTAATCAATTGATTGTCGTGGTGGAGTTGAATTTGATCAGTTACAGTCTGTTCGAGTTTTCCGATTGCGTTATTTTCTGTACGGGAGAAGCCTTCTTCGAGCATGATGGCTTATCAAGGGAGTTTTGATTGTAGCTTAACTTTTGAATGTTTTTGCAGGTGTTCAAAAGCGGGCCCCTGCTGATATCTTCTAGAGGTATGTTCTTCTGGACTCTTGATGAACTAATCAGTATTATGTGACCATTAAAGTCGGTAGCATTACAGTTTGTTCACAATGACTTATTTGAGGTTGCAATGTACCTTACACGTAGGAGGAATTAAATTTAGATAAAATGCTATGATAAGCTTGTAGTCGATGTAGACATGCGGCTGTCAATATGATATGAGATCGGGAGCCAGGTGGGGTTCTAGTGTGGGTGACGGACAAGTGGTCTTTTGATATGATGTCAGGGAGATTGTTGCAAATAGGTTGTGTGTGTGACGGAGGAATGAACTATAAATAAATTTATAATTATTGCATCTACCTAATAACATAAAGCTTTAGGTTAGATCAGTTGGCAATCCGGAAATTGCAGTGAAAGCTTATTTGTCGAAATTGTATTCTGAAGTGGGGCTTAACATAGGTGTGGTTAAGCTGAAATGTAATTGTTGCATGTGGCATTTTGATTTGTTTGCAATAAATAATGGCGACAAAACAGTTAGGTTTGATTAGCTGATCCAAATACAGAGGATTATAATTTGTGCGTCGACTTGATAATGTGGGGCAGAGGATAGATGAACTATTGTTAACTTTTGTCCTTTTCTTTATGAACACATATGAAACTATACATTTAATATGTTTTACAAGCAGCAAAGTTTGGCTAGGTTTTATGTCTCTTTGTTGGCACAAACAGAGAATTATGCCTTTATTGTTTCAATCACATAAAACCAACTTATAAAGCTTCTAACAGGCTTAGGGTGGAAATCTTGGAAGAGGCGATGGTTTGTCCTTACACGCACTTCTCTGGTTTTCTACAAGAATGATCCAGTAAGTACTGCATGCATCCTCATTTATCCTTTTTCCTTTTTCAATGACTGCCTTGTACATTTGATTACGCAATATTCATCATTTTACCAAGAATACAGTGTTTGGTGAGCAGTTTCATTCAATGCTAATGCATTGAAGTTTCAGTTAAATGTTACCTTTTTTTTATTATTTTAATGCAAAGGGAGTTTATTGTGCAGAGTGCACCTCCACGTAATGGTGGAGTAATCATGACATTGGGCGGTATTGATATAAATAATTCTGGGAGGTATAAATTAAAAGGCATCTCGTTCTATTCAGCAAGTTCCGTTTTTTTTACCAATGTGCTGACATTTTCTTCCTATATGCAGTGTTGTTGTTAGAGAAGACAAGAAACTGATAACTGTTTTATTTCCTGATGGACGCGATGGGCGAGCATTCACTCTTAAGGTGCATAAAGTTAGACATGGACTTCCTCTCATTTATCTAGACTCCTTGTCTTTATCCTCTGTTGTGTTTGCGAATAATTGGATATTCTCCCATTTCTTATGCAAACCCCAGGCAGGATCAGTTGAGGACCTCTATGAGTGGAAAGATGCCCTTGAGCGTGCTCTGGCACAAGCACCGAATGCTGCTCTTGTGGTGGGAGACAGCGGAATATTTAGAAGTGACACTAATGATGCTAATGAGGGGTCCTTCTGTCGATGTTTGTGCCTACAATTATTTCTTTTGTTCATGCTCCACAAACCTTAGTCAAATTTTGTCAACTGTAAGTCCTGATGGGTCCTTCTTATGCAGGGAGAACCAAACGTCTGGTGAATTCTGCCATTGGATGTCCAATGTTGCTCGCATTAGAGGATATAGATGGAAGCCCATCTTTTCTAGAGAAAGCGCTGAGGTTTCTTGAAAAATATGGTAAGTTCTTGGGTTTCCATTTGGGATTTCTTGCAATGAAGCCCTTCAAAATAGTTTCTCATGAGATTATGGTGTCTCTATAATCTGGTTTCACCTCAACTATTTGACTTAGCTACAATGAAGCATGGGGCTTCTTTGCTTTTGGCCAATTATTTGTTGGTTAAAAATTAAGAAAATAAGATAATTGAAAATTGTTCTCAAAATTTGATTATCTTTGTAATATTTAAAATTTACCAATTTTATCGATATGGTCATTTAAGAATACACTAATGCATGTATACCATAATTTTTTGTTATTCAATGTACTTTTTTCATTTCAAAGAGCACCCACATCTACCCTCGCTGACAAACAATGAGGTGACATGTCTACTTACTACTACAGCAATAAGTTTGTTCCATGCTGTGATCACATCAAAGCCTCATAGTATCGACAAACATGCATTTTCATTGGTTCCCATTGGTGTATAGTCTGATTCCTGCTATCATGGTTCAGGAATCAAAATAGAAGGCATTCTACGCCTGTCTGCAGATGTTGAGGAAGTATATAAAAGAATTGAAGCTTTTGAACAAGGTATTTTGCTTTTACATATTTATTGCCTTTTCTTTTCTTTTAAAAAAAATAAATATAGTAATGGTTCTTTGGTGGACATGTAATAGGGGTTTAACCACATATGATAGATGAATTTGAGGTTCCGACATTATATATTAGTTCAACTTGGTAGTAATTTGATAATTGCCGATTTGCCATTTATCAAGCTTAATTCCTCGTCACAAGTGAATGTGCTCGAATCTTTCCATGTTGTAATTTCATTTGCCTTTTATTCTAAACAATCAAATCCTGTTCTTGGTAAACATGCTTTGTTTGTAGACATTTTAAGTGGCTAATTTCTGGTCTCTTTCTCTCTTGCTCTTCTATAAATGATGGAGAAATCATACATGCATGTAATGTAAATATATTTCGTGAGAGACCAAAGAATCCACAACGTGCTGTCTCCTTCCCATGTTATAGCATTTGCATTCCTAATTGAATGCTAATACTTTTTATTTATTTATTTTCATCACTGTAGGCAAGACTGAATTTGGTCCCCATGAAGATGCTCATGTAATTGGTGATTGTGTGAAGGTTTGAATGATTTTTTTACTTTCTTTTTTCTTATATTATTCTTCTTCCTTTAATATTATTAAAATACTTCCCATTTCCTTAAGCATTCTCTCCGGGAGCTACCTTCATCACCCGTTCCTGCATCGAGTTGCTATGCTTTGTTGGAAGCCCATAGTGAGTTTCACTTACATTGTTATTTATAGAAGCATACTAACTTTCCAGGCACTTTGTTTACTATCCTACCATTGGAAAGGTTCTTACATCATTAAAGTCTTTATGTTTTGTCTTAAGCAGGAATGGATCGGAAAGAAGCTCGGGTAAATGCAATGCGTTCAGCAATACAGGAAGCCCTACCACAACCTAATAGACGCCTATTGCACAGGTACAAGAACTTATTTAATTTTGCCAATCTTCTTATACTCACATGCTCCATTTCTATGGTTTACAGAATTCTTAAGATGATGCTCGTGATTTCATCCCATGCTACCATGAATCGGATGACTCCATCTGCTGTTGCTGCATGTATGGCACCATTGTTATTTCGACCCTTGTTTACAGGTGAATGTGAATTAGGGGAATCCCACAACATGGATGGAGATAATTCTGCCCAGCTTGTGGCGGCTGCCAATGCTGCTAATCATGCCCAAGCAATTATAACAATGCTTTTGGAGGAGTATGAGAATATTTTTGATGTAAATAATTCTTTCTTTTTTTTTTTTCAGTTTCGAAATATCAGAATTCTTGGTTTCTGAAGCTTTCCCACCCTTTAATTTAGGCATTGGGAATTTTTGGGTTTATACATAAGTTAATTTGTTGGTTTTTGTTCCCTTTCAGGATGATAATCTGTTCAGCCCGGTGTCCTCTGCATATTCTCAGACTGGGAACAGTGTAAGAGAATATACAAGTGATGATGGAAATTCCAACACAAAACTTAATGGCTATCATAATGATCGCAACGTCAGAGACACAGATTATGATCGTCGTTACAGTGGAAATTTTAGCGGAATCAGCGGTTCTCCCATCAGCGATCTTAGCAAATATAATAAGGTTCTGAACAGGTGTTTTCCTCTGTATATCATTTTTCAGTTCCTTGACAACATTCTTAACATTCCAGTTCTTGCCAATGCCAGGCCACGAGGAACTTTGATCCACTCCATGAGTCTTCTGTGCTTAGTCGTTCGTTTGCACTAAAATTAGATCCAGAATCTAACACAAGCACGTCAAGAAATTCTCCTGTTTCAATATATGAGGGACGTGGCCAACAAAAAAAGACGCGGGAAATTCCAATGGATGACCTCGCAGAAGTACATGTGGATGAGCCTCAGGGATTGCTTGGAGACATGTTATCATCTATGGATCCACGCCTGTATCAATCCTTTTCTAGACCAGAAATATATGCTGAAAAGCTAACAACGCCCGTCCAATCCGAGACTAACAGTAGATCCAAGAAGTCGATATTTTGGAGAAAAAAAAAAGTGAGTTACCTGTCCTCGTTTGCTTTAATGTGAATGTTAACTATGATATATCAGGAAATCTTTGATAACCATTGCAGTAAGGTTTAATGGAGCTCACCGATCTTTATAGTTTAGTGTAAATAGCAATGCTAACCTGTCCTGAATTTGATCAATGTGATTCTCTTTTGTCTCAGCTTATTCTTCAAGAACCATGTTAGATGAGAAAATGTTATTGTTTGCCTCATTTTCCTTTTTGTTGATATTTCTCATGGTGGTTGGATATTACATGATCACTGTTACCGATTTCATCTATTGACTTCATTTATTCATTCTTAACATAAGTTTTTCCATATTGAATGCATAGATCCATCAGCACTGATGTTTTTGTTTGGTCTCATATATCAGGTCTTAAAAATAAAGCTGATATGTAGAGTATCTTTTGCAATTTTCAGGGAACAAGAACTCCAACAGAATCAATCGACTTTTCTGAAGAGGAGGCGTAAGATTAATCTTTTCTTATATTTACTCGTCACTGTATAGCATACTGAACTTTCTTATATGAGTGGACCTTGACATCCTCGTGTGAAATCTACCGTGTTTCTTTTTATAGGCTTTCCATACAGAGACTAGAGGCGGCAAAGAATCAATTGCAGCAGAGGATTGCGAAAGAGGTAACTATTAACTTTTGGAGAGATCTCAGAGGATGTTAAATTTGTGTTGGATGATAATATTAAACTTTGAATGGTGTTAGGCGAGAGGTAATGCAATTTTACAAGCTAGTTTGGAGAAGCGGAAGCAAGCATTACATGAGCAGCGACTGCTACTCGAACAAGATGTAAGTGTTTGGTCTGAAACCTTAAGTGTAACATCAAACTTCCAGCCATAATTGATGTTCGATTTTTTTGTTACACAGGTGTCAAGATTGCACGCGCAATTGAAAGCGGAGAAAGATCTACGAGCTGCTCTTGAAGTCGGCCTGAGCCTGTCTCCTCAGCACATTTCCAGTTTCTGTGCCGTGGATTCCAAGGTCAGTGTTGAATTATTTGTTTAGTCACCATAATCAATTTAATCTGTCTTAGATGCTGAAACCTTAACTTCACTAAAAAGACAATTTCCGAGTTGGAGGACATAGCTGCGACTGAGGCGGATGTGGTCAGATTGAAGCAAAAAGTTGCCGAACTCCATCATCAGCTAAACCACCACCAGCAGCAGCAGTATCAGTATGACGCTCCTGTCACAAGTGATCGATATCCACAGCAGTAAGTCGAATGCTTCTAAAATCTGATGTTCTTTTCAACTGATGATTTTGTTCTCATTCAACTTAATCAAAGCTTTCATTGTCCCTTGAACCATTCAACTGAATCGGCTTAAACCTACATGCAGGAAATATTTAACTAATGATCTTGACACTCCGCGTGCTGTTTGTAACCATGAAAATAAAAGAACAGAGGTAAGATTCGATTAATCTGTTTCCTGCTACGGAACGATAGTTTTGCACTGCATCAATTCGACGTAACTCCACTCCTCCTCCAGCTCTCATGCTTGCAGGGATCATCGGGCCTAAACCTGAGGAACAGCAAAGGACAACCATCCTCTTCTAACAACAGCAGTAGCCTCTCTTTCCGGAAGCACATAATTGAATCGACAAACTACAGCGAATCTAGAAGCGGCGCAGCATCCCCAAGGCCACCTGAGGGTGACTTTTACAGCGCATACATGCTGGCGTCTCGATCAAGAGCATCCGAGGTAAGGATAAAACTGATATGAATGTGGAGATATGTGCATGTATTGCTATACGAAATATGAAATTAAGTCCGGGGATAGCACAGCATACACATGAAGTAGATAGATAGATATGTAGAGTGGTTGTTTGTCGCCGCGAGAGCGCATATAAGCCGTGTTGCATTCTTTGCTGCATTCAAGCACAGGCGCTGCTTGACCATCATCATCATCGGCCGGTTCCATCGTCAACTTTGGCCGAGCTGACGAATCGGCTCAACTTCTTCAAGGAGAGGAGAGCTCAGTTGATAGAACAGCTGCAGAAGATTGACGTAAGCAGCAGCAGGCAATGCCATGGAAATGGATCAGATTCTTTGTACAAAGCCTCAACTTCTGCTCTTTCTTGACACCACCAACCATTGCCAAAGCTGCATCATATATCATATATCACTCTCTTCTGTGTTAGTTTATCTTTTATATATATATATATATATAAGTGTTAGTTTATCTTTTATATATATATATATATATATTGATGATCTGATCTGATGTTAGTTTTGTACAGATTGTTTATATATCTCCATGGTTGTTTTTCTGTTTCAGAAATTTTGGTGATTATGTGGGGAGTACATTTTAAGAGTGTAATATCACAAGTTTTGTTTTGAACATGACTTTTTTAACATATCTTTTTGTCCTAATATGATTTTTATTTATATATGATAATGTAAGTAGACAAGGAACTTTTTTTTTCTTTCTTTTTCTAAAATAACATGTAAATAAAATTACATACATATTTTCATTAATAGGAATTCTCAATTGTTATTTTTGCATGTAGTATAATAGATGTGTTTGGTAGTGTTTTGCAGTGATCATGAATGATTATGGTGGATTTTGCGGTGTTCATTTTTTTTGCAATGCATATGATTTTCACTATATATCAAAAAAAAAAAAAAAAATCCTAAAAATATTAAATTTAATATTATCTATTATTTATATTATAAAAAAATAAATTTGTATGACTTATTTAGAATACATTAAATAACCATTCAAAATCTAAAATTTGAATATTTAATATATTCAAATGAAGGATTTAACATATCCAAATCATCACCATGTTCGTGTTTTCTTATTGGTTAATTTGCTTCATATAACATTAATATAGTTACCTTGAATGATGAAATTATAATTCAAAATTTATTTTAATAAATTAATTAATATAATATTTATTTTATATGATTGTATGGACAGCATTGTATAATTATTTTTTCTTACCTAAAATACCATTTATAATTTTAGATAAATTATATAATTTGATACATTTTTTACCTATAACTATATACTTCTTCCGTCTAATATCTATTTATCTATTTACTTTTTCAGTTTTAGAAATATTAGTATTATATTTTAAACTTAGCATAAGTAAAGGTAAAAAAAAGACCAGGTGATGACATCTATGTAATATAGGATGGAGAAAGTATTAAATTTTAATTGTATATATTATTTATGATATAATATATATAATTTTGTTTAACTATTATTAAATATATTTAAGTTTATCTCAACATTATAATTTCAATCTTCGAATTCACCTCAAATAAAAAATGTATAAAATTCTTTTAAAATATGTTACTCCCTCTCTCCAATTGAAAAGATTCAAGTAAATTTTTAATATTAATATTATATTGGATTGTAGTAAAAAAAAATAAATGGTATTTGTGTAATTAATTGTAAATTGAAATGATATTTATTATATTAAATAGGTACTACGATTACTAAATTAAGAAATGATAACTTTGGTTTGGAACAGACGAAAATGAAAAATAACAACTGAGACCGATGGAGTACATCTAATATTAAATATTTATACAACTATTTCCACTTTAAAAATAACGAAATAATAAATACACCCTTAATTATTTGTATTTCACAAGATATGGATATATATATATATATTTTAATTTCAAACTGAAATCAACAAAGTTTTAATAAAAATACATTAATTTTTTTTATAAAATATCATATTAAAATATTAAATAATGAATGATATGTGGTGTACGGGTGGACTTGTGAGTCCCGATGTCTCACCTACCACAGATTTAACGAGGAATTTACCCAAAGCACACTCAAGATTTGCCTTGTTGTGCTGTTATACATTTGATTCTATTCGTGTTTAGAGAAAAACTTTTAAAAATATAATGTTATACTACATAAAATAGTGTATTTTATACAGAAATGATAATTGTATGTATGATTGTAACAATCTAAAGTAAAACGAAAAAAAAAAAAAAAAAACGAACCCAGGATATAGATGTTTCACCACACACAGTATGTTTGGAGCTAAGAGTGTGTTTACATATTTATTTCAAATTAAAAAAACAATACTATTCAACATGTTAAACATATTAACTTTTACACACACACACACACATATATATATATATAACAATATTAAAATACTATTTAAATCAAAATTAAAATTAATAATTCTTTTTTAAATTAAAACAAAACAAACTCGCCTATTTACTTTTAATCTTTCTAAAAAATATTAAACAAAAAAAAAATTCTTTTAAAATTTTATATATAGTACTAAAATTAACCATCAATTCCAAAACACTATATCAAGTTATATTTTAATTTAAATCATCACTATTTCTCACAAAATCCCAAACTGAGTTCGATAAAATGATAACAATAAAGATATATATATATATAAATAATAATAATAATAATAATAATAATAATAATAATAATAATAATTCAGAGAAACTTTCACGTACAGTTAGCACATAAATCTAAATTAACATAAAAAATATAAATCAATACAATATTACCATTAATAATAATTTTAGGTAAGAAATATATTCATATATACATGATACGTTAATTAAAAGTATAAATTATTTTTGCATATATTTCTTTTATAGTGACTTAAAATTAATCATATATACCACCACTCTAACCCTTCTCAATTCTTATTATTATTATTATTTTTTCTGAAAATAAATAAATAAAAGAAAAGGAAGTGCATGCTAGCTAGGTAGCTTGCTTGCTCATGCGGTATTGTAGTATTCATTAATTCATATATTTTTACGGTCTCCAATTTCCATCAAAAAATATAATATAATATAATATAAGATATATTTATTATGATACGAAATGAGGAAGAAACAGGATGCAAAGTTTCCGGAGCAACTTTGGACCTGGCCCCCATATTCCCATTCCCTTTAAATTTTCTTCTTTGTTTTTTTCATCCTAATTTCTCAACCTCAATCATACCACCCACATGAATATGAATATGAATATGAATGATTTCACAATCAAATTTAATTTAATTTAATTTAAATCAAATCAAATCAAATCAACTCTCTTTAATTCCACTACTACATTAACATTAATTCATCATCAATCAACACTCAACTCAACTCTCACTTCAGATCACTCACAAACCCTAGTTAGTTACCAAAGCTACAACCCAACCCAACCCAACCCAACCTTGCTTGGCAATGTCGACAACCACAACCCATCAATGAAGATTGAAGAACCTCTAATTAATAACAACCTACATTATCATTATCATTATATATATGCATGCATTGATATCTATCTATCTATCTATCTGTCTGTCTGTCTGTGAAGCCACTTAGCAGAAGATAATGAAGCCGCCTGGTTTTATTAAACCACAACTACTGCTTTCAATAAATCAAGAACTTGATGAAACCACATCACATATTCAAATATATATATATATATATAACAAATGATGAGACAAACTCACTCACTCACTCACTTCTGAAAAGAAAAGAGAAGAGAAGAAATCAAGAAAACAAACAACTACACTTCTTCATCTTTCCCAATATCTAGTGTTCATATCTTCAAAAACCTTACAGGGTAAAGAAAGGGTTTTTCTTCTAAACATTAATCCACCAAACCTTCTCAATCTCCCTGTTATTACACTCCACCTAAAATCCTAGGTGTCGTATATACACACACACATGGGCATGGACATGGGCAGGCACACTCAATGCACCAAATTATATATATATATATATATATGTATAATATTGTCAATTGATGACAACAGACAAGAGTAAACGTATCCTATCCTATGGTGTGCCGAAAGACAAGGGACACACCACACACATGCAACAATAATAAGATACTCTTATCATATAATAACTCCTCTTATTTCTTTTATTATTAAAAGAAAGAATATATATACACACATATACACACACACTCACGTAGTAGAGCCCGCAACTGGCCTCCACTCACTGTTTCCTAATGACATGACATAGTGCATTACTGCCAAACTCAGATGGGAATAACAAATTATTACAGACACACATATATAATAACTAAAAGGGACACAGAAGCACATGAGACCACACTATAAATTAAAGAAAGCTAAATTATATATTTATACATAAAAATCAAGCTCACCTTTACGCTTTTGGATACACAAACCAGGCTTCTGCTGTCCTCATATATTCTGATCCATGCTGCACTGCATACATGCACCAACATAGATCTTCCTCACCATTAATAAACACAGCTGCTGCCCCTACATTGTAACAAAACAGACTGTCCACTCCAATACATGCATGCCACCATTAATTTAATCCAGCCAATAATTCACAATTCAAGTTGTTATCGACCCAAGAAAAGAAGCAAACCTAAAGCTTCTTATTTGGGTCATACTTGATCATGAGCTAGCTAGGGATGGCGCAAAACTTATTGGTTAATGAACATGAACTTTAAAAAGCCCTTTCCGATCGATTCATCAACAAGAATTTCAACAATGGCATCTTTATATCTTCTTACATCTAAAAACAAAGTTGGAACAAGTAGAATAGCTAATCGATATCCATTTTACGTCTAAAGTTCAGCTCTCATTATAGAAAATAATGTTATGGTAACCTAACTATTTAGTGTCATCAATAGGAAGCGCATTAAGCCAAGGTGGCTAGTAGAAATTAATGCATCAATAATGTATCAACAAATTATATTAAGCATGAAATAAAGAAAAACACCATAGAACCAACCAACAACCATTAACAAAATATTTAACTCAAGAGCATATAGAGAAGCTTCACTGCAAAATACAACAGCCATAAATTGAAGACAATATAAGTAAGCCATTTATGTCACTGCAATGCAATCATCAATCAGGCACTAAAGAGGAGCCGAAAGTGAAATCCAATTTACTGCTCGCATTTCTTCACTAATATATATATATGACAGCGACATTACAACAACTGAATTCCAATCCAATAATTGCTCAACTCCCTGATCAGATTACCTTTTCCATAAGACTGTTACGAACATTATTAGCAAACCATACACATATAGATACATAGATAGTCACATAAGATAACGAACTCACATGTAGTAAACTTGATGAAAAGATTAAAAAAAAACTCACATCAAATTAAGCATACAGCTAATCTTATGTTATGCAAACAAACAATGAAGGCAAGATGCATACAGAAGAAGATAGGCCTTAACCAAGTGATGAACATTTTAGGGCATAATATTAGATGCAAATGTGTTGATACAACATGGATATAGACAATGCTTAGAGGGATTACTGTAAGAAAAAGGAAGTTTTATCCTTTTGTTTTTTTACCCTTCGAGGAATGGCAAAAGGGGTTCTGAGGAAGAAGATGCAGAAGCCATTTCAAGAAAAGGGTCAAACTCAGATATACATACAACAACAAAAAAGAAGGGCTGGCTGGAGAAGAGAATTGTCAAGATCCTATTGCCAACAGTGGGAAGGTACAATTAATTAAATAAAAATGTCTTCATCAGAGGGAATTCAGACACACCTCTGATTGAAAATCGAATTTAATTTATTGGGTTACCATAGCCTGATCCTCCAAGCAGCCCTCCGCCCGAGGCGGCGTAGATATCGGAAGGATCCAGAACTGGAGATGATGACGACGCCCCATTCTTACCAGTACCATTGCCTCCGCCTCCGCCGCCACCACCGCCGCCGCCGCCGCCTAAATGCAGCTCCGACATGTTCGGAAGTTCGTCCCTTCCTTCAACCCCTTGATCGTATAGAAAACCTTTGAACACATGGCCGCCGATTCTCACCACCGCCTGATACGCATACTCGTCTTCACCGTCATCAAGGGCGGTGACTCTCACGCACTTGAATACCGCCGGAGCTCGAACCTGGCCTGGCAATGAATCCTTAAAACTTGCTTCTACATGTTAAGTGAATTTGGGTTAAATAGAAACAGAAGAACATTTTCCGAGTGTTTAAAAATGTTCTATATTAAGAGATGGAAAATGATCGAGCGGCAATGAATCGTACCTTGTTGACTGGAACTGGTGTCGAAGCTTCGCGGCGGAGTGGTGTTGGATGTTGAAGTGTGGGAAGCGGTTGTGGTGGTTTGGGATCCGCCGGCGCCGGCGATTCTAGGTTTTTTTGTACCTGAAGTGGACTGGGAAGACCCGGCCGTCGCCGCCATGAGCTGGCGCTCCCGCCGGCGTGCTGCAGGAACCCACGTGCTTTTCACGTGCGTCGCGCAGTCGTAGCCTCTACTTTTGCAGCAAGTTCGACATCGCCTGTGCGTACAGTCTTTCTTCGCTTGGTTACCGCAATCCTGACAGGTCGTTGCTCCGACGGAGGAAGAACCTCCGATTGCTCCGCTTCCCGATTGGAGGAGGCTCGTGTGCTCCAGAATCATCGATTTCCTCAGGTACGGCGACGAATTCTGACCTTGCTGCTGTTGCCACAGCTGCATCGCGCCGCCGCCGCCTCCTGCGGCGCGACCGCGTGCGCTGTTGAACAAATCGTCATCTGGTCCGCCGGAGATTCCCGGCTGCGCGAGGCATGGAGTCGCCGTGAGGAGAGGAATCACATTAACGCCGATCGCGTTGGAAGGATTGAGCGAATGAGGATCGAAGTTGATCGTAGTCGCCGCCGCGGCGGCGGAGGCCGACGACTCCTGATGGTGATGGTGCTGGAAGGAAGCCGCCGGCGCGACGAAGTAGAACTCCGGAGGGAGGCCGCAGGTCACGTGTCTGGCGGAGGCGGCGGAGGGCCACATTCCTCCAGCGGGTGCTCCGCTGTGGTTCCCGCCGGCGGTCCCGTCGGTGGGGCCCGCATTGAAGCCTAAGGAGAGGTCCCCCGCCGCGGCTGCCGACGAAGCCACCCAATCCGCGAACGCGCCGGAGTCGGAAGTAAGCCTCCGATTGTTAGCCACAACTGCAGATTAATAATACTAATCGATTCTTCTTCTTCGTCTTCTTCAAAAAAATCCTTCACAAAAACTATAAGATAAAAACACAGTGGTATCTCTCTCTCTCTATCTATGCATACAGATACATATAAAATCAAAATCCCCGAACGTCTCCATCACTGGCATTAGGGTTTGCAGTTCCCTCTCTTCTCTAAAACCCACGAAATATCTTAAAACAGATCGAACCCTCGAAATCAAACCATAGAAAACCACAACCGTGGGACTCTGAAATTCTCGAGGGAAGGGAGGGTAATATAACTTCGAACCAAAACCCCCCAAAACACAGCCAAAATTAAGATAATCAAACAATTGCTTAAATTACTGATGATGAGTTGATCGATCTCCTCCCCTTTCCTTGTTCTTCAATTCATTCGCCCCCACCACAGAATCTAATCAATCCAACCTCCCTGCAGCTGTCTGTCTGTCTGCTGCTGCGCTGCCTCCTCTTTGGATTATTTTCCGAAAAAGGGTGTTTCAAGCTGCAGTCGGGGGGTTCCCATGGCAGCAGAAAGCGAGTCGCGAGAAAAGGCCCAAAATGGCAGGAACAGTGGTTTGACAGAGGAGACCCCCACAGAGAGAGAGAGAGAGAGAGAGAGAGAGAGACTAGAAGAGGAGGAGCAGAAGCAGAAGAAGCAGTAGAGGGACAGTTTGTTGAGTGTTTTGTGGCGTTGGTGTTGTTGCTGCCGACCTTTCTCTCTCCATCATCAAAAATTCCTCAGAAAGTGAAAATTGTGAGGTGGGTTCCCCTCATCCTCAACCAGAGACCTCACCTCACCTCACCTCTCTCTACCCACCCACCCAACCAGACCAGACCCCTCTCTCTCTAGATTAGATTTGTATTTAGTAGTGATAATTGGAGAGAGAAAGCATAAAGGTGGGAAATGGGTGTTAATTGCGTGGGGCATTTGGGAAGCCCTAATTTTGCATGCTAAGCTAAGCTAAAGCTTTTTTATATTCCCCTCAAGCTTTCTTTAATTTATATACTTCTTTTTGTCCCCAAAAATTATAAGCATGTAATTTAATGAATATGGAGAATAAAAAAATAATAGTAGTATTTCAATATTAAATTGTGATTGATAAAAAGGATTGAGGGGATATTATGAAAAGTTTATTTAGAGTGTGATTTTTGGGGTTCGGAGATTTGAATAGTAAAAATTTTAAATTTAAATAGCTGTATAATGTGATATAAGTAGGTGTTGATGTGATATTTTGAATATAAAATTGATATTTTGTATAATATAAAAATAAAAAATAAATATTTAATTTAATGTTTTTAAAAAAATAAAATAAAATGAATAATAAATTTAAAATTCAATCCCACATACAAACACACTCTCATAAACTAGTAAAAAGATAACATGGTAAGTAGAATAAATATATATATATATTTATTTATTAAAATATACTTTCTCCGATCATAAGATAATTGATATTTTTATTAGTGATATTGTATTTAAGGAAATAATATTTAGTTAGATTATTTTTTTATAATTAATAATATTGTTAATTTTAAAATAAATTTAATACGTAGATTAAAAATTTTTAATATTTATTTAAAATATTTAAAATATGGATATTATTTTATAGAAAATAAAAATAATAATAATACAAGTAAATAAAAAAATATATTTATTCAAATATTTGATGAGAAAAAATAATGAATCTCTTTTATTTTTGTGTCATTATACTTAATAATAAATTTATTTTTTTTATACAAAGATCATTCTTTTAGTATTATAAGAATATTTTTGCAAATTTTTTTTTCATATTTTGATATAATAATTAATAGTATTAAAATATCAACATACAAAAAAAAATAAATGAAACCTTAGAGCCGAACGGAGACAATACTATCTTTGAGAGTATTTGTGTCCGACATATAAATTTTTAAAATAAATATTTTATTAAAAATGATTTTAAAAAAATGTTGGACCATTTTTAAAACTTAGTTATAATTTTCTTTAAAAAAATTGAAGATAAAATGAAATAAATGCAGTAACATTTGTCGAAGAAAATATTAATAATTAAATATTAATTTATTAATTTATAAAAATTAATAATACGATAAATTTAATAAACAACACTAAAAATAAAAATGAAAGTAAATTGAAGGACAACTTGAATATTTATTGAAAAAAGTGAGTAAAAAAAATATATTGAGAGATTTGTGGGGCAAGTAAATGAACAAATCAAGGGTGTGTTTGTAAGGACTACTGGATTTTGAGTTGGAATTTAAATACTAAAATTTTGAATTTGAATAATTGTATGATGTAATATAAATAGGTGTTGATGTGATGTTTTGAATATAAAATAAAATTTTAATATAATATAAAAAATAAAAAATAAGTGTTTAATTTGATATTTTTTAAGAGAAAAAATATGATAATAATAATTTAAAATCCAATCCCCAAACAAACACACCCCAAGAGATGTTGGATTTGTTCATTTTGCATTTTTTGATATATAAATATATATGGTTTTTTTTTTAACATTTTAAACTAAAATTAATATTCCGTTTTATATTTTTGTAAAGTTTATTAAAATTAAATATACTTAACAAATATAAATCAATTTCATTAACTCTATAGTATATTCCCTTCATCCCACTTAGGGTGTTTTGTTTGGAGGTTTAAATTTTAAATTGGAATTTAAATAGTAAAAATTTTGAATTGATATAGTTGTACGATGTTATATAAATAAATGTTGATATAATATTTTGAATATAAAATTAATTTTAAAATAAAATAGAAAATAAAATGAGTTATTATAAATGGGACATAAAGAAATACTATTGGCTTGACATAATTTTCAATAAAAATATATCATTTTATTTTTCAAAATATCATATCAAAATATTATATAAATAAAACTAAAATTAATATTCCCTTCGTCACAGAACTATAGTATTGGTTATGTTGGGCACGAAATTTAAGGAATATTGATATTATATTGACAGTGAGTAAAAGTATAGTTAAAAGATATTTTTGTTTTTGTGAGTGTATTAGTGTAAAAGATAGTGACAATTGTGTAATAATAATTAAAAAGTAAAGGTAGTTATATTGTGATATGATTATTTATGAAAATAAGACAATTGTTTCGAGACAGATAAAAAAAAGTAAACAAGACTATTGTAATGGCAAAAAATCACAACCATATAAACCCGTTATATATGAATGACAAAAAAATCTTTTGCCCGTACTTTTTATCCAGTACCAATATAATATCAATATTTTTTAAATTTCGTGCCAAACTCAACTCAAATTATAATTTTATGACGGATAAAGTATTAAATATTATTTATTTATTAGTAGATAAAGTATATATATTATACTATTATTTTAATAATATTTATGAGAAATTGTATTACCTAAAAAGAGTACATAAATAAATAAATTGTTACTTGTAATTTTATTTTTATTTTTATTTTTACTATGTAATTTAATGATTCAATTTTATATAAATATATTATTTATTTGACAAACAATTACATTTTAAGTAAAATCAAAATACTAAATAAGATATTAGTTTGTTTAAGTGTGATTTCAATTTTCAAAATCATATAATTATTATTTATTTGGCATGTCTTCCAAAAAAAAATATACATACTTTTTTTTTTATAAAATTATATACTAAAATATTATTGAAACAACAATTTATATAAATTAATTATTTCAAATTAATTTCATATTACAACCAAACAAATCTAGTAAACAAACCCAAAAAACACTACTATATATTTGTTTGGGAGTTTGAATTTTAGTTTGAGATTTACATAATAAAATTTTTGAATTGAAACGGTGATGTAAGGTGATATAAATATATTAACGTGATGTTTTGAATGTAAAATTAATTTTACGTATAATAGTATAAAAAATGAAAAATAAATATTTGTTTTTATATTTTTCGGAATTTTTTTGATAAATAGTATAAACTTTGTAAATCTTTATAAAAAAACACTGGTGTGTTTGTTTGGGGGATTTAATAAGATTTCTACTACTCATCCAATTTTTTCCCTCCAAAAACATCAAATCAAACACCTATTTTTCATTTTTTATATTATACTAAAAATCAATTTTACATTCAAAACATCACATCAACACCTATTTATATCACATCATACAACTATTCAAATTCAAAATTTTTACTATTTAAATCCCAACTCAAAATCCAAACCCCCAAACAGTGTGTTTGTTTGGGGGATTTGTTTGGATTTTTACTATTCATCCTATTTTTTTCCCCAAAAACATCAAATCAAACACCTATTTTTCATTTTTTATATTATACTAAAAATCAATTTTACATTCAAAACATCGTATCAACACCTATTTATATCACATCATATAACTATTCAAATTCAAAATTTTTACTATTCAAATCCCAACTGAAAATCTAAACCCTCAAACAAACACACCTTAAATACTCTCATTGTCCATTAACGAACTATCTATTTTTTTATTTTTTTTATTTTTATTCTGATCCCTCTCATACAAAACATCCATTTACTTTTTCACTTACTGTACTATTACTTAACATTTCAAATATCATTCTAATTTAAAATATATAATACAAATTTCATTACATTTATATCATACTATACTAATAAGGTTAATTTAGTTTTTTACCTATATTTATATTATATAATAATATGATACTAATATTTCTAAAATTAAGTGTAAAAAACAAGCAAATACATAAATATGAGACGAAAGAAATATTTCAATATAAAATATTTGTTTTTTACTCTCTTCGTCTACTTATAAAATATATATATTTTTACTTTTAATTGTCTAATTACAAATTAACTATTTCACAAATATCCAAATTTTTGGCACAAATATTTATATTTTACCTTTAAATTATTATTTTTATACTAAAAAGTAAAAATAATTTAAATTTTATAGTACATTAGAAAGACATGAGAAAGTATTTCTCCCCTCATCCTACATAATTTGCCTTTATTTTTTATTTTCGTTTGTTCCACATAATTTGTCATTTTTTTTAGAAATATAATTTTATATTTTAATTTTATTTAAAATGTTAAAATTTATAATTTTTTTTAATTTTAATTAAACTATTTAATTATTTTAATCTTAATTTATAATTATTTTATTAATTATATTTAATTAAATTCTCGTATATACTTTAATATGCTCATTGATTTAGGGAGTAATATTTAAAATAAGTTAAACTCCAAAAATCTGAAAGTGTAAATACAAGTGGACACGTCCATGAAAAATGATGTAAATTGAGTTCATTCTGCTTCAATCATCCCATACTTAACGTACCGTGTCAAATTTCCAATTACGATATAAAATTTTGATAATAATACAGTAATATATATACTCCTTCCATTCAATATCTATATATTCATTTGTTTTTTACACATAATTTTAGAAATATTAATATTATATTGAAATAAAGTGAAAATAAAGATAATTGTATGATATAAAAGTAATCACATTTAGTAATATATTGTAAATTGGAATAATATTTGTAATATTAAGTAAATAATACAATTATTAAAAAAAATAAATATTTTATTATGGAACGAATTAAAATAAAAAAAATAAATAAATTATTAAAAGACAAAGAAAATATTATATATATTTTAAATTTAATGCATGCAAGCAATCAAATTAAATTAATTTGGCAACAAAATGAGAATTGAAATGCCCCAATGCAACATGACGACACGTTTCCCCGTTTTCTTCCAATTAATTAATTATACAAATTTGAAAACCCTAAAAATTTCCGTACGGTGCAATGCATCTGATCAATTTCATATTAATTTTTTCCAATATCATTTAAAAATAAATATAAGGTGTGTTTTTTCTTACGAGTCTGGAAAAAATTTAGTTTGAATTTGATATAAAAATAATATTTAATGGGATGTTTTGTAAGATTAAAAAATATATATTTTTTCGAAAAACGTATAATTTAAATAGTAAAATTTGAAAAAATCATGTCAAATAAACATACACGTATGAAAAGTATAATCGTGTTTAGTAAGTAATAGCAACTTTAATATCGCGCTTTTAATTTGTTTGATGGATAAGTGAGTAAAAGTCGCTATCCCTCCCCTCCCATACTCTCTGCCAAGAGTTGACTATTGTACAGGACGACAACAGAATGGACTGACCTTCCAGTACCTCTAATATTTATTTAATCTTTTTCATTAAAATAATTTTAAATTCAAAATATTATATTACTCACTTTAGCCCGACTAAATTGTCATATATATATATATATATATTAGTGGATAATTAAAATAATATATTACTAAAATTAATTGTTATATAGTAAGAGTAATTGTAGATAAAAATTAAAATAATTAAATATTTTAATTAAAATTAATAAAATAAAAATCCACATTCGTATAATTTCTCTAAAGTATTGTTGAATTTTTTGTTTTTTTAAAAAAATACTCCTTCATGGAGTAAAATAATTTTTTTGATATATGTATATAAAAAAGAAAATATTTCATCTGTCCCATATAATTTGTTTATATTTTTTATTTTTGTTTGTCTAACATAATTTGTCTTTTTTTAAAAAAATATGATTATATACCTTAATCACATTTTAAATTTTAAATTTTATAATTTTAATTCAATTTTTTACTTATATTAATCTTAATTTATAATTATTTTTATTATATAATAATTATTTTTACTAATATATTTTTTAATTACTTACTAATTATATTTTACTTAAATTTTCGTATCTACAGTAATATACCCATATTTTCTGGGACAGAGAGTAAAAAAGTAGTGTAATATAGTACTCCTTCGTCCCAGACACCATGTAACATTTCATTTTTTGTTTTCTCAAACTCACTACAACAATTTCAAATTTAGAAATAATTAATACTCCCCCGTCCCAATACAATAGTCTTGTTTACCATTTTTGGTCGTCCCAAAATAATAGTCTCATTTCCATAAATAACCATATCACCATAAAACTATCATTACTTTTTCATTATTATTACACAATTGCCACTACTTTTATACTAATATACTCACAAGGACAAAAAAGTCATTTATCATTACTTTTTACCAACTATCCCTATAATATCAATATTCCTTAAATTCCGTGCCCAATCCAATAAGACTATACTTTTAAGACAGTGGGAGTAATATTTATATACATATATTAATATAAACTTCGCTTTATCTCGTAACATCACTCAAGTAAAAAATCAAATAATCATTTCTCTCTTGAATTACATTACTTAATATTAGTTTATCTCAAACTACCATATTTAATACTCTCCACTTAAATTTTTGTGTCAAAATACAAATATTGCACAATGTTTGAGACGGAGGGAGGAAGCTCTAAATAAATGTAGATATAAAAGTGGATCCCTATATGGATGATGCACCTTGAGAGAAGTGTTAATTGTCTGGTGTCAATCATGCTTCCATTATTATCGCTGCACCAATGAACAGCCCCCTTTTGTTACACCTTCCTAAATATGCATTTCGAGTAACATTTTCAATTTTATGTAGTATTTTATTTTCTACTTAAATTTGTATTTTTTTTTATCTATCTTTTAAAAATATTTTTACATTGTTAATAAAAATGTTATTTATCTATTTCTTTATAAGAAAAAAAATATATTTTTATATTGAAATTTATGTCTAATAGTTTGAACATATTTTTAAGTAACATATGAAGTATGTATAATTTATTTACTTTATTCCTATGTCGTTAAGTCATGTTTATTTTTGGTGTACGAGTGTAGTGAATATTGTACTATTTTAATTGTATTTGGTATGTAGCTTTTAATGTAATTTTTTTGGTAATAACGTTTAATTAATTTAATATTATAACATTATTCTAGACAAATATAAGTTTGATTGTTTGTTTTTATAATGTATTCACACTCATTTGAAGTAGATATATTGTATTTGAATATACAAAAAATGTATACTTTAATAGTGGTGAAGAAAATATATAATTTATTGTTTGTGAACTAATTTGGTTTGAATTTTTATTTTTAATAAATATTAAATGTGATATTATATATTGTGTTTGTGATATTTTTCATGTAATTGTGATTGCTTTCGAATGTGTAAAGGTTGAATAAACAATTATGAAAGAAGTCTAGCATTGGACTTAGAACTTACTATTCTTAGAAATATTGTTATTGCAAATCTTTGTAATTAATCGTACATTATTACATCTAGTGTCCAAAAACATCAATAAAATAAACAAAAATGAAAAGGGATTTAATTTTTAATTTTTAAATTTTAAATTTTAATTTTAATTTTTAAATAAAAGTGTGAAAGAAATGATGCATAAGTAGTACACTCATTGGCAATCATGCACTACAACTAAAACCCTAATAACCAAATAACATTATTACAGCTCTATTGGGAGACAACCTTAATTATAAATGGTACTATGCTACACCTATATATCTTTATTTTATTTTATTGCATATAATATACACATAATTAATTATTCATTAATATTTATTATTAATATTATAGGGCTACAACTTTTATATTCCTTGAGCACTGAATTGTTGGAGGACATTCCTTATTCCAATTATTTTTTTAATTTGGTTGTGACACCTAATCATTCATTGGGAAAAGGCTATTATGTAAAGTGATTAAGCATAATCACTCACTAATTATTAAATAATTAAGTGCTCCAACAAATTTAGTTATCATATAGTATCGATTTAAATGAATCTAAATGCTACTATATCATTTCCATGCATTATATGTAGGTAGGAAATAAAAAATTAATGAAGTCATGTGGAGAAATGATTATTATTATTATTATTTTTTTAATTGAAAAATAAATGGTACAAATAATACAAAAATAAAATGGAAAAAAGGTAGTAGTAGTAGTAAAGGAAGTGTGAGTGACAGATGGCGGGGCCGGGCAGGGGCGGGCAGCGTCAAGGGCAGGGGGCAGATCTAGTGCATGCATGATTCTGCACCTACAAAGTAGTAGTTTACGGCTATTGTCAGTCCCCACTGCTTTTCATTCTATCTACACTAAATACAAATATTTATATATATAAATATAATTATAGATACAAAAATTACAGTCTCGAGTTTCGAGGGGTTACCTCGAGCCCACCGCTGCTTGTCTCTGTCTCTCTCTAAATATATATATTTATTTTAATAATTTAATAATAATATTCTATCCGTTCATGAATTTATTATTGTAGACAAAAATATAATTAATAAATAATTTAAAAATATAATAAAAATAATTATAAATTAAAATTAAAATAAATAAATAATTTAATTAAAATTAAAAGAATTATAAAATTTAAAATTTAAAATATCATTAAAATATATAATTATATTTTTAAAAATAAAAATAATAAATTATATAAGACAAATAAAAATAGAAATTACGGACAAATTATATGAAAGGAATGAAGCATTATTTATATATAAAAAAATATAAAAGGCTAATTTTGTGATGTGTCGTGTTTGTGGCTGGGAATTGGGAATGGGGAAATGAGAAAGCGTGTCTTTGCATTCCACGATTTCCTGCTGCCGTACTTTTTGTCCCCTGATTTCTGTACCGCTGCTGGACCCACCTCCACACACGCGCTTCTTATAAAATCGTGTTTTTTAAATCTGCCCTTATAAATATCCCACATCGGAAACTGAGCCCTTCTAAGACCAGGTTATATATCATTTTTGGCAAATAGCATATCGCCGAGCCTTGTAACGGGGGCTTGTGACCCGAGTGGGGGCTATAGGATGTTGGGACGTTGGGCCGGTTTACTGGACCGGACTTGATTGGGCTTCTTCGGTCCGCCCGCTCCAAGCGAGGAGTTGGGCCTTGTGGGCCGGGCGAAGGCTCGGGCCACGTGGCCTTTAGAGAGGAGGGCACTGCGTCAGGCTGGTTTCACAGAGCAGCGAATACCTCCCACTCTTGGCAGTGGAAGGATAACGGGCTGTGCCCTTCATGCCCAATAAAATCTAGTGAGCCGGCCCAAATTTGACCAACATTTTTTTTTAAAAAATTATTTAATTTTTTGTTTCTCAGATATTTTTCCTGCAGTCTGACGTGGTGTGTTCTGATTGGGCCAGCGCTGCTCCGCGGACGTGGCCCGGCGTGGCACTGCATGAGGGAACCGGCGGTTTGTTTTTGAGTTGTACCTTCTACTGACGCGTGAAAAGTAGGGGTGATTTCGGGTCAAAGGTACAATACAGTGATGCATGCGGGCTTGGGATGTATATTTTTAATCGATAAAATTATAGATTTTCCAGCTTTCGTTTTCTCTGTGGAAAATCCAAAACCCCAATTTCCCAAGTGCGTGAAATTGCGCACTCTGAAGGAGCTCCAGATCGAAATTGTAGATTTGTGCGTTGCAGGAAAACCCAAGCCCAATCAGTTTCTTCTTGATTGAAGGTATTTCCCCGCAAATTCCGTTTGTTTTTGTGCGTATGTTGTCTCTGTATGTACACGTGTGTGTGTGTTTGTCGATGAATTTATGTGAGTGGAATGAAATTTTATGGAGGATTGAAGGATGTATTGTTTGTTGACTTCTAGATTTCTCTGGCTTAGCAAGAATAATAGTGAACTTGTTCATTTGAAATTCCAAACGATGTTTTCCCCATTTCTGGGACCTTAATTGCTGCGCCGAGGCCATTTTGCCGAAGCGAGTTGGGGGTGAAGTTAATACTTGATTGCTGTTTGACTTTTAGTGTGGGGACTCTTGGAAATGCCACTATTTGGTTGAGTCTGTCTTGATTGTTTCTTGGTGGGCGTGCAGATTTGGGTTGCTAATTTTGTAGTTTTTCTGGAGAAAAGTCAAGGATACATCACAAGTGAAGATTTAGAATGAAGAACAATGAGCGTCTCGCCAATTTGGCTTTGGCAGGTAAGACATGACGGAGTTCAATTGGATTTGAATAATGAAATGTTGTTGTCTATGTGTGTGTGTGTTTTGCGATCGTAAATTGAACATCTACAGTTACTTATGTTACTGGTTTTGCTGCCCAGTTCTCTCTGGTAGTGTAATTTACTGCTGGTGTGTAATGAACTCAAATAATGTATAACTAATTCTAATAAATTTCGACATCTCTTCTCATTATTATCATTATTTTTTTGAATTTGGGTATTTTCATTTATGCTAGGATCCGTAGGCAATACATTATGTATTGATATATAGTTATAGGTATATCTTAAGGTTTGATTAGCATTGAGCAATGTTTAAAAATCTGTATGTTTCTAATTGTGACTTATGGTTCCTTGGACTTGCATGATGACCATTATATTTCACTTGAATGCTCGTGTTTGTATGTCATACGATGGTTTATAATTAAAGAAAGTATGGTGGAATGCTTGTGTTTGTATGCCATTTGATGATTTATAATTAAAGATTTTTGGGAAGTGTGGTGGTAGGATAAAATCCATGTAGTTTTTTTTGCAGTATGTTATGTGTTGAAACAATTGTGACCAAGATTTCTATCACTGACTGCAGCTTTGACCCTAGCCCCACTTGTTGTGAAAGTAGACCCGAACTTAAATGTCATTTTGACAGCATGTCTAACCGTATATGTTGGTTGCTACCGCTCTGTCAAGCCAACTCCCCCATCTGTAAGTGAAACTTCTCAATGGTTGTAAATGGTTTAGTGCTGTGCTCTTTGGGCCTTTTTATTTATTTATATTTTTTTGGTGATGTGTTTGGCTTTTCTTGCTATGAAAATTTTCAGGAGTCTATGTCCAGAGAACATGCCATGCGCTTCCCGTTGGTTGGGAGTGCGATGTTGCTTTCACTGTTTTTGCTTTTCAAATTTCTGTCTAAAGACTTGGTCAACGCAGTCTTGACATGCTATTTCTTTGTGCTTGGGATCGCTGCTCTTTCGTATGTATTCCACACATGCTTTTCTGATAATATATTATGTAATTAATATGTTATGGTGTTTTTATCAAGATGCAGCTCTCTCTAATAAGCTTGTGTATTTGTTCTGAACTCTGCAGGGCAACATTACTTCCTGCAATTAAAAGGTTTCTGCCCACTGCATGGAATGAAAATCCCATTATCTGGCGTCTCCCATATTTCCGCTGTATGGTCCCACTAATAACTCTTAACTGCTATATCCTTGTTAATCCTCTATACTCTGATATCAAATGTTTCTTGCTGATGTATCCACTTGTGTGTGTCTTCGTCACTATTTTTCATCTGCCACTCGCAAATATCATTGAGGCATTTTATTTCCTCCCCTCTCTCTTGCCAGAGAATGGAACTGAATGTGCCTCGGCATCATCAAAATTAGATTAAATAGATAATTTTACGTGATCTTACTGTTCTAAAGTGAAGGACACTCTTTCATTGTATGATTGGGTTGCTTAGTGGGTTCACATGTGTTTGTTTTGTTTACTGTCATTTGGAGATGTCTATTGGATACGATAAGTAAGTGTATTTGAAGCCGAAAACAAGATGATTTCTTGGTCGAATTTCATGGATGTTAGGTTTTTACCTAAGGTGTTTATGGTTTTCTTAACTGATTGAACTGAAGCCAAAGATTTTTTCTTTTTGATTTTGGTTAGTCAAGCCGAATTTACAACCTGATATACTGATTTTATATTTAACAATATATTTTAATTATGTAACTAGAACATTCTGCAAAGTCTTTTTAATTTTTGTATCCTCCTATGTAGTCTCTCTCCAATAGTTTTGTTTGATGTTCTGTTTTTGAGCTGTTGAGATGCAGCAACTCTAAAATTGTCATTATTATTTTTATGATTGTAAAAGCGTGCTTGTGACGTGGCCTTTTTTGCAAGACTAGTGTCAGTGGATGGCATATGTTTTGAATCCTGGTTACTAAGAAGATTAACTAAAATAATTTCACTCAAATGAGTCTAAACCACACATATGTGCGCCTAATTTCTTAGAAATCTAGGCTCTCCTTCAAAGCTCTCTGTTTGATTTATTCTTGACAGTGTATTGCTCCTATCCTGCAGAATGAGATTTATCTTTACACATTTATTTCACAGCTGTAGAGGTTGAGTTCACTAAAGCACAAGTTGTTGCTGCTATTCCTGGAACCTTCTTTTGCGTGTGGTATGCTTCTAAGAAGCATTGGCTGGCCAACAATATATTGGGCCTTGCATTCTGCATTCAGGTTAGATGGCACTCACAAGTTTCTAGTGTATGTTTCATCTTTGTAGGACTTCAAATGTATGAAGTTGAAACTCTTGTTTCTGGAAAGCTAAGCTTTCTTACCATTGATTAGTGTTTGTCTTCATAATTTTCTAAATCTCAAAACAATTTCAGGGAATTGAAATGCTTTCACTGGGCTCATTTAAAACTGGTGCTATTCTCTTGGTAAGCCTTAAAAAAGTGAATTTATTTAATGATGGATGAAAATTTGCACAAATTCATGTGTTTCTTCTTTAGTCAATGACTGAAATTTGTAATGTTGCAGGCTGGGCTTTTTGTATATGACATATTCTGGGTCTTTTTTACCCCTGTCATGGTTAGTGTAGCTAAGTCTTTCGATGCCCCAATCAAGGTCAGTACTTTGAATCCATAGCATGTCTTCCTGGAATGCTGAAAAATGCTGTTCAGTGTCACTGAATTAGTTTAATATAGCCTGCTTCACTTTATGCAGCTTTTATTCCCAACCCGTGATGCTGCACGCCCGTTTTCAATGTTGGGGCTTGGTGATATAGTGATCCCTGGTACTGACAATGACTGTTGACTTCCGCTTCCAACTGTTGTTGCTGTTAATATTTTCTGTTATGCATTAATGTGAAAATACATGTCACAGGAATTTTTGTAGCGTTAGCACTAAGATTTGATGTGTCCAGAGGGAAAGAGAGCCAGTACTTTAAGAGCGCGTTTTTAGGATACACTGCAGGTTTGATCGCCACTATCATAGTAATGAACTGGTTCCAAGCAGCACAGGTGAGTGTATCTATGTTCTTCATCGATCACATATCATACGAATGATTTATTTTGTAATGCTGATGATCTCATGAATTATCACTCTCAATATATTCCAGCCTGCACTGTTGTATATTGTGCCTGGGGTTATCGGTTTTCTGGCAGCTCATTGCATATGGAATGGTGAAGTTAAACCTGTAAGTCATCTGCTATTCTTGTTTCTTTTTACCTTATTCTATACACTTAAAAACCATGTTTTGTTTAAAAGATATAATGTGTTATTTATTCGTGATAGAGCGGAAGTTTAGTATAATCTATGAAATTTCACCGACAGAATATCCTGCATTGAATTGAATTTACCATGTATCCTTTTAACCAAACATATCTTCACCACCACGATCCATTAAATTTGATAATGCACGGCTAGCTGTGCTTGCCGTGTCTTTAACCCGACTCTGTCTTTCCTGGCAGGTGTTAGCATTTGATGAGTCGAAAACAGCGACTAGTGCTGAAGAAACTGATGCGGATTCGAGCAAGAAAGAAGAATGATATTGATTGGTTGATTTTGTGTGAGTTTTAAAAATCCAGATTTACTTGAAAAAAAACATTGGAAGAGATTTGTGAACTTTTTGCTTTACTACAAGGAATTTTATGAAAGTAGAACTGACAGACAAACAGACTAACTTAAGTGAACACAGATTTTGATGATCAGCAAAACAACTTCTATCGAGTTTTACCGTTTGGGAAGTTTTTTCTGGCTAAATGTTGATAGCGCAAGTTTTCTTTGTTTACTAAAAGTTTAAATTTAGTTAGATGATTGATTTGATAATTTTCTTTTTTTTAAAAAATAAAATTATAAATAATGCAAAAATGCATCCTGCCAAAGCTAAACACCCTTTTTTTTTTCTCCCCATTGAAGACACTTTTTCTATTGGAAGTAACTTAAGGGGTGTTTATTTAGTGATATATATATATATATATATTTTTATAATAGTAGTTTGAAGAAAATGAAATGATTTAATGAAACAACCAAGAAGAATAAAAATGATAACAAAATTGTCCGCAAGGGATGTGGCCTGTCAAAAGAGTGAACTTGGACAACTTTTACAGTGAAAGGAGCCCACATTTATCTCGGGTTCCTATATTATACTACCTCCTCCTCACATTTTCCGTCTCTGAACATGGTACTTTACAAACTAGGTCCGATAAGACATGGCAGGTGACCTGTCATACGTCCAACCTACACACCACCAGGCCATTCTTATATATATATATATATATATATATATGCATTGTTCGTTGGTCTAATAATAGCCCAAGACAAGATCTTCACATACAATTACTTGTCTTTCAAGACAGGAAAATTAAATAAGAAGAGAATTGGTAAATTAATTACTAATTCATTTACAAGAGATTATACATATTATTTCCATGAGCATTAGCATTAGCATTAACAATACTAGGATGTATGTATGTATCTACCTGCTTGCTTGCTGCTTTAATCCACTGAACAACTTGTTTCTGCGCTTTCCTCATCGCTCGACTCCATTTTTGTTCCACACCTTTATTACAACAACATTTAACACCACACAATAATCACAGTCTATTTAGAAAACCCAAACCATAAAAGATAAAACAAAACAAACTCTTGTTAGTGGATCATGTTATCAAGGTGGTTTGAAAAATGGTTCCATTGAGAGGCATCGTAAATATGAATAGAAAAGATCATAATATAAAACATGTATTATAATATTATGTATGTATGGCGTACCGCACCTCATGATCTGGTCGCTCCATGCTAACTTATCCACCACTGATGATGATGATGCTTTAAGAACCTGCTGCTCTACTGGACTAAATTCTCCCCTCAATCTTTTTCTAGCCTACACATATGTATATATATAATTGTACTGGAATTCCACCAAAAAAGACAAATATCGATCGATGATAAGAGAGGCAACAAACTCACATTTAACTTCTTGTTACTTGGGATCTTGACTCGACTTTCATCAATTGCCCTCCTGTTGTCATTCTGCATATAATATCAGCGCCAATGTCAGACACAGCAAGATTTAATGATGAGGGGATGAATGAAAGTCAGTGCTTTCAACCTTCATAGGCTGTCCCGACAGTAAAGCATCCCTTGAATAGCGGTCGCATTCCTTTCTTTTCATGGTCGGATTGGAGTGATCAGTAAAGCCATTTTCTCTGTAGACATCACTATACTCACGAAATCGTTCCTCTCCCACTTTCCCTCCATAAGTTTGCAGATGTGGATCATTTGAGATTGAAGCAATTCTCAAGTTCTCAATATCTGGTCTGGGCTTTGTCTCATATTCATCTCGACTATGACCACCAGTTATATGCCTATCAGGAGTTCCAGGGAATTTAACGAAAGAATTGCTTCCGGGATAATAAGCAACACCATTGGACACAGAAGTCCAAAGTCCAGATTTTTTGTTGATGTAGCTGTCAGGAATATCACCACCACATCTCTTTTTATGACTTTTTCGATCGATGTAGGATGCAGGGCTGGAACTGTATTCATAGCTCTGTAAGGAATAACACTATATTAAAGATATTAAACTATACTGTAGATCATATAGTAAGAACTTCATCTTCATCGTTGCTGACTTTAGTGTGTGGCAAAGTGTAGAAGAAACTGCGCGCACCTCTTAAATATGTTGTTCAGTAACCCACAGGAAAATTAAACATGAAAGAAGTGAGATAGAAAACCACTCACCATTCCAAACTTGGGATCCTGGTGGCTTTTCATGGCGTCGGCTGAAGTAGGGATCACTACTTCTCCAGTATGGTAAGCCCCTGATCAGGAAATATACATGTATTAGGAATTGACATTATAAAACCCCCTAATGGTTGATTGAATTGAGAAAGTGTTAGGTGTGATAATGTCAATGAGATATTTGTCCAAATGAAGAACAAAGAATTTGCAAAATACACAAGGGGTTGAAATCCAATAACCAGAACACACACCTTGAACTGGTTCCTGCATTGCTGATTCAAATGCCTCTGGAGGAAGTGGATCAAAATCAACACCAAGTGGAGGTCCATCATCCCGGTAATGCTTTCCCAGCTGCCTCTTGACTGCTGTTACAGCAGCATTCTCAACTCGACCCTTCACTTTTAAATAGCCGGATGGGCCAGGCCTAGTTTTCAAACCCTTCACATCTGCTGGAAATTTTGGTGTCAGATGCCTTGCAGTTGCTGCATCGAAAGGTTCCACATTCTGATGGTTGGACATATTTCGTAATGAAGAACTGCTTCCTGAAGATGGATCATCCACAAGATTGTAGTTTTTGTTCGGTATGATAGGTGAAAGCCCTGGAGCTGAGAATTCTTTCGTAGTCAATCTTCCACTTTCGACTTCCCTGGTATCCAAATTCCTCTCATTTCCCTGTTTTGTGCTACCACAAGAATCCTGCCTGTGCCCACTGACTCGATCCTGTATGACCCCACTCAACCGATCTTGCCTTCCAGTGGTGTGATTTTCCCCATTCATTAACCTCTTGTCCTTCAACCTCCTGTGGCAAAACCACCCAGAAACTTGCTTCTCTGTTAATCCTATAGACTCAGCAAGTTGTTGTTTCATTTCTTCAGTAGGATACTTATGTTCTGAGAAAAGAAGCAATGAGTTCATCCGACAATTGCATGAAGAGAAGCCATCAATAGAAGGATACAACATAACAAGATGAGTAATCTACCTTCATAAAATTTCTCCAATGCTTGAACCTGAGCAGGTGTCTTCACAGTCCTTCTCCTGTTCTTATCCAGATTGGCTTTACCATCATCAGAAGGCATCTCGGACCCATCTAAATAACAAAGAGCAGAAAACATGACTGAGAGAAGCAGCTAAGGGGGCATAAACAATCAACTAACACTACATTCCCAATTCAATCAAAACTGAATTCTCAAAAACCAGTAAATTGTTCATGTGTAATTTTTAGGTTTGTGTCTGCATTACACTCTTGCAGTAGAAGTGTCAAATCGAACACTAATGAAAAGATTGCACAAACAAGCTGCAGGATCCTCTGCCCATGAATTTTCAAGCCTTGGAATCTTGAAAGAGCATTCTGGCTCTAATTTTCCAACTTATGATAACAACAACCAACATGATCAACAAAATCTTGCAAACTGGGGGAATGAGGTTGTAAAGCAAAGATCCATGAATATTCCTAGTCTAGTTTAATGAAATGCATATATTATCCTATGTTCACTTCGATTTGTTGTAATAACCAGTTTGTTCTTCGCACGACATCCAAATCAGAATCTGAATAATGTCAAACACGGCAACTTCAAGATGAGGCCCAATCTTATAGCCCCGAAGATTCAAACTCATCCATCTGTTTTCCAACACTATTTTCACAAACAAATTCAAGCAATACTTGCACAATTGCCCATTCTTCCAAAAGTAAATAAAAACGCATTAAAACAAAGCAGACAGTTCTGCAAAAACCCCACAAAAGTTGCAAGCAGAAATGTCGAAGAAGTTCACATCAGCCATACAAACCCTCATCTCCCAAAATCAAAAGTCTCGTAAATTCCAAGTAAAATCAAAGTAATCAGCACCGTATCACAAGTCAACTTCGATCTGCATCCCAAACAAAAAACTAACAAAATAAAAATAATTAAAAAAAAAAACCATACCTTTTTCCATGGCTCTTCTGTTTTGAGTTTCTGAATTGACTCCTGTTCAGCCCTTCTCCGTTTGCTTCAACTACTGGCCCATCAATACTTCGACTTGGCTGAGACTTGAAGGAATTCTAAGCAGAGAAAGGAAGGGAATCTTTTTGGGCTATATGAGAAAGAAAATTAATCTACATCTGAATTGGGTGTGGGGATGGAAAGAGAAAGAGAGAGAGGGAGTGAGAACTCTTTGCCCAAATGAGAATTGAGTTATCTTTTCTGCTGCTTCTGGCCTGGGCTAATAATTATTGCCCCCTCTTTCTTTCTGCTGTCAATTTCGCAATCTTTTTCAGCTTTGATTTGCAAAAACCTTCCCCTGTGTTAAGATTATTCCGTTTCTGATCTCTTCTCCTTCACTGTCACTTTGTGGGTTTTGCATTAACTCCCAAATCCATTACTTTCTGGCCTTTTAATACCATAATTAAATGCCAGTTCTTAAGTGCACCCAAATATGTAAATCACAGCACAGGACTTCAGGATTTTAGGGTTGTGGTTTTCTTGAATTTGACGTGATAATAATAATTCACCAAAAATTTCCTTATGCCATATCCACATGCTGTGAATCGTTTTTTGACCTACAGCTATGATTCCTTTCTTCAATCTTCTCATCATATATGGACAGAGATGATTGCATATGCATATATTTCTTGACGTTCTGGGTTTTTCTACTTTACTTTGTACGCATTTCATTGAATATTTTATGGGATATTCATCCCACTGGAACCCTCTAGGCCAAAATCTTTCTATCATGCTGACATCATCAGGCAACTATGCGTATTCTACATTTCTAGTTCTTTATAATTCTTCTATTTACTTAAATTAAACAACACTGATCAATAAAGTAACATATACTCATTCCTACATCTTCCACTATCATAACAAACCATATTTTGTAAGATAACACCAAAAATCATGCCAGAAAGAATAAGAGCCTGAGCAGGATGACAGAAGGGTACACTTTATATTAAGCAAACACTTAGGACCAAATACAAAGCCTGAGAACATGAGGTTTGTGCAAATTTTTACAGTATATAAACACAGAAGACAGGCAGAACAGTAGCTATTAGTACAATTCATCGTTAAATCCTGGAAGGAATCAAGGGAGTTGTGTTCTGTAAGTACGCACAAGCAGCCCCAACCCCACTGCCCAGCTTCACTGGATACCCCACATCCCTCAGGACCATCTCCACCCCAGCAAGACAACCCAGAAGTTGTAACTACACCAATTGCATAAATCTTATCACACACACAAATATCAGAAATTGGCACGAAAGAAATTGGCCACACACATGCACGTCTTGTGGACGGACTGTCACTTCTATATAATGTGTGGTTTTGTGCATCTTTGTGGCGAAAGTTTTGGATAAAAGTTGAATATTTCAAAAGCATATATAATGGGAGAAAGCATACCTCATTAAGGTGACCAAGATGCCCGATTCTGAAAACCTTCCCAGCAACCTTGTTGAGACCCAATCCTAAACTCAAGTTGTAGCGCTTCCATGCAGTTCTAACGATTTCTGCGCTGTCAATGTATGATGGGACGACCACAGCAGTGACTGTGTCGCTGACCCATTCTTCCTTCTGCGTGCAGTTCTTCAGCCCCCATGCCTCCACTGCAAGCCTGATATTTCAGCACAAATACAGTAAGATATACAAGTAAATTTACTACTACTAACGATGATGATATATATACTGTATAATGGCGTACCTTGTTGCTTTACCCAAGCGAGCGTGCCTGTTGATCACGTTTTCAAGTCCTTCCTCGAAAATGAGATCAAGGGCTGCTCTAAGGCCATATAGGAGATGAATGGAAGGTGTGTATGGCCAATATGTGCCCAGCTTGTAGAACTTCAAGTAGTCACTCCAATCAAAGAAGACACGGACTGATTTTGCGGTCTTGGAGGCTTCTAGAGCCCTAGGACTCGCACACACAATCCCCATTCCAGTGGGGAGAGAAAGAGCTTTCTGTGAACCAGTGAGAGCGACGTCTACTCCCCATTCATCCATCCGGAAATCTAGGGCACAGATGGAGGATACTCCATCAACCATCAACAGTGCTGGATGGTTGTAATGATCTGAAATCGTATACAAATTCACACATCATGCGCCATGGGATCTAGTGCACCCTAAAAATTCAGTTACTGAGGAGGAAGTTAAAAGGGATTGATGCTTACCGAGTAAGTTTCTTACAGTAACCAAGTTATTGGTGACCCCTGTTGCCGTCTCATTGTGCACAATACAAATGGCCTTAATGCTGTGTGCTCTGTCTTCTGCTAACTTGGAAGCCAAAACATCAAAATCAGCACCTCGACCCCATTCACTTTCAACAACATCAACGTTGAACTTCAGTCGTTGCTGCTGATCAATCCAGAGCAAACTGAACTGGCCGATAAGGAAAGAGACTATACGATCGCCAGGGGATAATGTGTTTGTCAATGCACTCTCCCACGCCCCAGTTCCTGTTCATGATAACAACCTCAATCACAAGGAATTACCAGACAAGGATATCCACAAGAAAGGACCACCACTCTCATCAGTGTGCATCCTATCAAAGAAAATTATATTGCCTAGACACAAAAGTAACCCATTTTTAGCTAGATGAATCAAAACATATGAAATACTAGAAAGTACCTGTGGTTGGAATGAGGAAAGGAGTTCCGGAAGTGGTCTTAAAGATCTTCTTGACATCCTCCAGAAGGGTTTTTGTAAGTGCAGGAATGGCTGGAGAGCGGTAATCCTCATTGTTCCTGTTCATAGCACGAATAATCTGGTCCGGGATGTTAACAGGTCCCGGAACAAAGAGGTGATTCCTCCCCGGTCCATTGAAGTAGTCCATCTTCCCTTGGCTGAAAATGAAAGCACAGAACACAAGCTCATATAAACACAAACTTCTTAGAGCACCTAACTTGAGAAGACAACACAAATATTGACAATAGATTATTGACCCACCCAGTCGCTGGACTAGACTAGGAAGTACTACAGTTAAGAATTCATTTCAAGCTCTTTTTATTCAGTTCTCTAGCATACCAAATCTGTTCATCTACGGATCTTTCTATTAGAGAGATTGCAGACAACAGATCCACCATAACGTCTAACAAATTTGAACACGAGAGCGATACAGGGGAAAACAGCATGCACAGTTGCACACGCTTTGATTCTTTACTATATTTCCTTATCTCCAACCCACCCACCCCCTCGCGAGAAATTTTTACCATGTTTGGTTACGATTTTTCACACCGTAAAAAATAACCGTCATCAAAACATATCAGATTCATATTTTTATTCTTATACCTGTTCATAGCTCAACTTCTGATAATACTCTCACTCACATACTCAGACTACAGATTATTTCCAATTGATTCAATACTACGACCAAAACATGCTTCCAACCATCTATCCATATATTCCTTTCTCTCTCTCTCGACATACCACATGCATGCCTAGAAACAACATACATCTAACGAATATATATATATATATATATATTGAAGTGTAGAAATTGGAGGTGAGATAGAGCATAAAAGGCGTGGGATACCTCGATCGGTGGAAGCAGGAGTTCGCCGGCGGCCTCTGCTTCGCCCCACGCAGTGGAAAGGAGTGAACGGATGAATATGGCGAAGGAAATCTGAGGAAAATTTTATAAGAGCGCGGGAGAAGCCAACCACGGCTCTTGCGTGGCCCCCACGCGCCCATCTAACGTGGCAGATAAGTGCTTGCAAAAGGCATGACGTCATTTTAAAATTAAAAATAATTATAAATTAAAATTATAACACGGCGTCATATACATAAAATTAGAAGAATTTCTATCCCATTTTACAGGAACTCTCCCTTAAATATATTTTAATATTTCTTTTTTAATATTTTAAGATTTTTTTACACAGATATTTTAAAATCTTAGCACTACTTTTTGTCAATAGTAAAAACTTTTCTTTTGATATTTATATTACATAAACTTTGAGTTATTAATTAAAATACTTATTTATTATATAAAAATTTACATTTAACAATGATGTTATTTAAAAATTAATATTCCCTCGTTTATAAAGAAAGTGACATAATAGTAAAATAATTTAGAATATTAGAATTTAAATGATTATAATAATAATAAAATTTTAAATGAAGCTTATAAACAAAAGAGACCAAATTGTGGAATCTATACATCTTTTATAAATTAAGGGTATGTTTCCTTCGGTTTGGTTTGCTATTTATAATATATAATTTTAATTATACTATTATTTAGCTATTTTAATTGTAATATATATTTATTTTTATTATAATTAGTATATATTTAAAAATATATTAATAAAAATAATTATAAATTAAAATTAAGATAACTAAATAGCTAATTAAAATTTAAAAAATTATAAATTATAATATTTAAAATATATAATAATATTTAAAAACAAATAAATTATGTAAAACAAAAAATAGACATTTTATATGCAATAGTGAAAGTAAAAAAAAATACTTTTTTACAAGACGACGTGATAGTATTTTAAATTTTAAATTATTAATGCATAATTTAGTGTAACATAATAAAATTGAAAATATTTTATATTAAGTTATTTAAGTGTTGAAAAATTATTATCATTATTATAGTCATTGTAATTAATAATTTAAACTTTATAAAATTTAAAGTATATAAAAAATAAGCCAATATTATTAATTCGGTCATTCAAAAAAACTTGTTAAATATAAAAGTAAAATAAAAATGTGTGGATTCCAGAAATAGCAACAACTTTGTAAAATACAATTGACTTTTGGTGTATGTCACGTCAAGTGTGCCAACACTACTTTAGATTGGTGTTTGAACATAAAAATATCAGAGCCAACTTTACCATATTAAACTAAATTGAGAAATTTAATATCAATAATAAAAATACAAACATAAATACAAACGGTCACCATATTTTATTTCAATAAAAAATTCATTATTAAACAATTCTTTTAATTTTATTTTTTCCCTTTCAACTTTTACACACCTAATCACATAAATAAAAACAAAAACCTACAAAGTACTTATTAACACTAATTAACAAAATGCATGAACATCAAAATACTAATTTTCAGTAAACTCAAGCCAATATTAATTTTTGTTCTTTTATAATTTTTAAATCAAATAGCATTATTTACCACACAATTTTAATAAAAATATATTTATTATTTCACAATATAACAAATTAAAATATTATTTAAAAAAAACTCAAATTAATATTTCATTTCAAATCAATTTCAAACTACAGTCAAATAAATAAAATAACAAAGCTATGCTCTTTTAAATAATAACCCTTTTTATGTTTTATTACTGTACAAATTATATTTAATTTTGATTTGAAATCAAAACCAATATTATTCAACTCAATGTCCAACAAAAAAAAATAAAAAAAATCATTTCTTAACAAAATTATAAAACAATCATTTAACTAAAATTCGAAACCAAACAAAGCAAACCCCTCATGCTCTCAAAAAAATAGTAACTTTTCTTACAAAACATGAGGTAAGATCATTGGACAAACCAAACACACCTTAATTGTAAGATTTTTTTCAAACATATGAAGTGAAATATTAGGTATGTGTTTGTTCGGGGGATTGAATTTTAAATACACTATTCACCCTATTTTTTCCCCCAAAAACATTAAATCAAACACCTATTTTTCATTTTTTATATTATACTAGAATCAATTTTACATTCAAAACATCACATGAACACCTATTTATATCACATCATATAACTATTCAAATTCAAAATTTTTAATATTCAAATCCCAACTCAAAATCCAAACCTCAAACAAACACACCCTAGATATACGATGAACAGAATACATAAAAAAAAAAAAAAAAAAAATCAACAAAAAATCCGAAATAGGAGAAAGCTAACAGGGGCCATAGAAAAGAGGTAGAAAGTGAGAGGTGGAGAAGAAGGGAAGAGGGATAATGTGATAAAGGGGGTTTCAACCACACCCATGGCTGGCTGATGGAAACACAAGCCACGCAACAAACTTATCATCTTGTCCCTACTCCTTTCTTTACTTTGTGAGGCCAAAACAGAACCTAAATTCTACCTATAATACATCCAAACAACCTTCAATGAGAGAGAGAGAACAGAGAGAAATCACAACCCAAGTTGATCACAGCTACAATGGAAGAAATTTACAAAACACAAACCTGACAGTGATTGCACAAGCAAACATCCATGGCAAAAACACATAAGGGGCACACCAAGATTCAGTGCATAAAAAAGAATATTCAAAAAGATAACATATCTCCTCTATTTATGTATGTATTTATTTATGTGCCGAGGAACTTACAGTGCAATTTAGTGAATTGGAGTGAAGAAATGATTCACCATCATCAGGGCTGGATATCGAACGATTTTGATACCTGCAATATCAAAATCTGCAACACAAACTATTAGTATTTCTTTACTAATGCAAATTTGAATGATCCATAGCAATGCAATAGTTGGGGGGAGGGAGAAAAGAAACAGAAGGGTAAATAAATGTAAATCTGGAATTGCCTTGGTAAGATTTCAGCAGTTCACTGGGCAAAATTGTGTCATTTACACTGTATAAAGCACCATTATACATACAAAAATGTCTGTGCGCGGTGGCGTCATCAGAAATGACCACAGCACCCTGTGGACTATCTGCTATATCCTTAAAAGAAAGTTGTTGTCACTAAATTAATGGGAAACTGAAGCAAAAAGAATTTGTCGAGGATTTCCATGTATGTTCTCTTCATTTCAGCCTACAAAGATCAGGGGGTAGTTTCTCCAGAATCTTCTTCATTCAAATGTTTCGAAAGTTGCAGTCTCAGTACTATAGGGCAGCTTCAGATAAGACTCTGAAAGGAAGGCATATAGCAAAATAGGTATTCTCATGGTCTAAAATCATGAGAACACAAATTGCTAGGGAGCAGTTATGGCCGATGAACTAGAACCTGTAGGCTTTGCACCACAGTCGCATAGTCCTTGGCCATTCATTGATGTATGGAAGAGCTACTTTATGCCGGATGAGAAACCCTGTCTAGGAGGAAAGCCAGGCTGTTGCATTCTGTAAGGCCTCCCGTTATTGTATTGTCTACCATCAGCAGACGGAGGTGGTCCAAGAATACCAGAGGCATTTGGGTCTGGTAGCCAGGTCCCATTACTCGGAGGAGGTGGTCTACGATGATAAGGATGCTGCTGCATATGAGAAGCATCAGCCTCAGCTCTTTTCCTACGTTTCCAAGCTTCAAATTTACCGATATCTAGATCCCTATGCATGAATGCTGCAGTTCCAGCAGCAGAACCGTTGAGGTGAGATGGTCCAACGCCGCCAACCTGTTGCTCCTGCTTAAGTTTCGTGTAAATTTGTTGAAGCCTCTCCCCTGACATATTTGAGAACGAGGATACATAGTTCCATAATCGTGTGGTCATCCCTGAAAACAAAATATTTACATTTGTAGCAGTCTCACATAATATTAAGATTTCTGAAACAAGTGTTCAAATGAAGACGTACTTTCTTGCCTATAGGACTCCTGATCATACTCTGAAACAACTTGGTCAATCCTTCGACCAATGAGCTGCAAGTAATTTCGAATCTTGGAGAGAACCTGGCATCATAGCTATTTAGAACCTATATTTCAAAAGCATTGATAAAACTAATTGGTTGTCCATATTGCAACCTACCTTTTCCTTGGGGAGATTCGCACTGGTAGACTGTAGTTTCTGAAGACGTTTCAGAGTCTTTAACTCATCTGTCATGACATCTTCACACCACTCCCTCCACTTCACTTCTTTGAACTGCTCATACACTTCATCATTATCAGACATTTCCCCTTCCTCTTTAACTAAAGGTTCACTTTTCTGGGATTTTGCAGCTCTTTTCCGTGTTGTTTGAAGACTAGGAGAAGCAGACTTCTCTTGCCTGCCTTTTCCGCGGGCAGCTACAATCATTTCTTTCTGTTTCTTTGTATTCTTTCGACCAGGTTTCCCATTTGTATTCTTCCCACCAACTGCTACAATCTCCTGAGAATATGAGGTAGGACGTGACATTTCAATCCACAATTTAAAACAACAATTATTCCACCAAACAAGTTGGACTAAATTTGCACTAAGGAGTGACTGCAAACAGGTCCAGTAATATTCAAGTGAACTTTGGGGACTTAGGCTACACAGAACTCCAGAAATCACACTAATTATCCCAAGATCGTAATGCCTAAGATGCAAAAGAAGCACACATAGATGCTGCTGCCTTTTTTAAAATGTCTGTCACCAAAGATTTGGTTCTGATGTAACCTTATCAGATCAATGAACAAGTAATGTTTTAAAACATAAAATTTAAGTTCTAACATCAAATTCATGGGATAAGATAGATTAAAATAAGATTATAATCAGTGTACCATTTCCAAAAGCTGTGATGCACGTTCTTTCAGTTGGGGTGCTCGAGGTAAGAAAGTTTCATGATGTTGAAGTTCTGCAGGTGCTACCTTCTTCGTAAGACCAAGCGTTTCATCCAACCTTATCTTTTCCCAATTGCCAAATCCATGATAATATATTCCAAGCAGCAGCCTTGCATCATCCTCTGATCGTACCAAGAGAAAATGTTATGTAACCAACCGTATTAATACAGCAAAGTTACATATATTCACCACAATGCAACTCAAGATACCACCACTCCCAAAGAGGAGGAAAATAAAAATATAAACAGCCAGTTATATGACAACATTGGGGAGGAAATAAAAGCAAACAAAGAAATTTTATTTCTTACTCTGGTTCCAGCCACAGCCTTTAGACCATGTAGATGGTTTGAGATAAGCAAGGGCTCTGAATTGAGAGACAGGATCTTCGTATCTGCTAATCCGCTTGGCAAGGAGCTGAAGTTCTTCTACTCGGCTTAACATTTCATCAGCCTTAACAGGTACACCAAAAAAATCCAAAAGCGGACCCTAAAAAATAATTAAACAGGTTTTAGGAAACATATGTGGAGATTTTTTTTCTTCTTTATCCAACTCTACATTACAAATAATATAAAAATTATGATGAACCTTTGCATCAAAGCTTTCTCCTTTAACTGCTTCTTTACAACCATCAAGTAAAGCATCATAAAGTTCAATTTGAGCATCAGTAGGCGCTGATTCCACTATTCCACCAACTTCAGAAGCTATCAAGCTGATTTGACTATCATTCCCAAACTTCTTAACCTGTGTACGTCCACAACAAGAAAGGAAACGTTAACAAGGAACAAATTTATGAGATGAAATTGAAGCATCGTAATGTTTCTATTCTGCTTCAAATTTCTCATATATACCTTTATAAATTTCATTTTACACCAGAACCAAATTTCTGAAGCTGAAGGGAGTGGTGCTAATTTATGTGTTGCATTGGTCTATTGTGTAAATATATGAGCCCAATAATTATTCAAATAGGCTAGCATCAACTTTTAGTAATCTCACCATATCAGAAGTTCTAACAGTCCTTTTAAAAAATGAGATAAATGTTTAAAAAAAAAGCATTACTCCTCCATTTAGATCTAATTATGTTATTCATATAGTCTAAGTTCAAATAGAACCTCATTCCTAGTAATTTGGTCATTGTCATAGAAGAGAGATGGAGCTTGCTAGATTCTTACTTTTCTCCCTTCCATACTCTCTAAATATAAGATATTTTTACCATAGCCACAGAACAGTAATTTTTCTTCCAAACAATAACAAGTACTTCAAATCAAAATCTTATAGTATCACATCCAAGATAGAAACTGCATCAGCATTAAGATGCACTTCACCTCATGGGAATGTGGGATGTCCAGAACCTTAGTTTCATCATTTTTATTTTCCACTATTCATTCAACACATAATCAGACAAATGAGAAACAGTGAAATCTTCTCAAAAAATATACTCAAATGAAATTCTATAGTATTGTTCAAGTTTCAAGAATATTAAATTCCACTAAAAGATATTAGCTACAGAAAAAATGTTTCTAATCATATTAGTAGAAATTATTTAGAGAACTTATTAATAAAATAACCTTACCGCACGAAAAAACCGAGTAGCATCTCTTTTCGGTAAGTTCCCATAAGACCAGTGTCTCACTTGTGCAGTAGCACCCTCAAGCACAGGGGTAGAGTAACTAGAATCTGCTCTCCGTCGTTTGGACAATCTGTCCTGAGATTCCACTCCCTTCTTTTTCCTTTTATTAGTCCTTTCAGTTGGATTAACCTCTGCATAACTTCGGATATTTCGTGCAGCTCGGGGAGCTAAAGCATCCTAAATGATATATAGGAAACCATAAAGAATTACTACTCCAAATGAGATTATTATAAACCACAGCAAGCATCTACAAAGTTAATTTGCCGACCTCAGCTTGTGAGACAGCTTCTGGCTTTATCATTCTACTCCAGAAAGATCCATCATCTTCAGCACTACAGAAATTGGCAACCTACATATGGTGCAACAATGAGCACAAAGAACCAAATCAATTAAAAATTTATTATGAAGACAGATAACAGTCTGCATTTATAAAATACCGAGACACCACTAACCCAAAATTCTACAACATAATAATTGGACAACTTAAAACTCCAAAAGAAAACATGGTACAAGTATTTGACGATACCGATGCAGTATGCTAACCTTAAAGGCACTCAATAATTCATGCCCTTCCTCTTCCGTTACTTTGTCTTCAACCTTCTCAGCCCTTTCAAGAATTTCATCAATATCCATGCTGAGAAGCCTTTTCTTGCTTTCCTCATCATTTTTATCCTCTTTAAAAAGCTCTTCTGCCCCAAACCGCAGAATTGCAGAAAGCTCATTCTATTCCAACAGAAAGTAAAAGATGAACTTAGCTGTAAGTCTAAGAAAAATATGGCACGGTTCATTAATAGAAGTAAAAATAGAGAAGGCACAAATATCATGAAAGCAGCCTAAGCTAACTTCAGTAACATACCTTATCAAAAGTGCTCCCTTTCTTTGCTTCCTTTTTCTCCAGTCTACCCTCAGCATTCAGCTTCTGAATAACTAAATGATCCAATACCTAAAATAAAAAAATATCATATGAGAGGGGTTATAACAAGAAACAGGCACCAACATCTAACAAAGACTACTTTGAAATATAAATGAGATGTGAAACAAGTGACCATTGTAAATGTTGCAATAGCACATCACAATCAACCAGCTTACATAATATATAAAAGTAAAATTATGTATGAAAATGAGTATCAGACTGCAAAGTGCTAGGCACTTAAATACTGCATACCATCTTCTTTTTAGCACGCTCCAAGATATCCTCCTCAACACTTTTACTGGTCACAAATCGGTAAATATTAACTACTTCTTGCTGTCCAATCCTATGAGCTCGGCTCATTGCCTAATTAACAAGATAATAATTGTTAAGAACAAGTGATGCGAGAAATTGGACTTCAATGAAACATGAGATGTGTGGAACCAGGATCATTTGCCACAAACCTGTAAGTCATTTTGAGGATTCCAATCTGAATCAAATATTATAACTGTATCTGCAGTTGCAAGATTGATACCCAAACCACCAGCACGAGTAGAGAGAAGAAAGCAGAAATCATCACTACCCGGAGCATTAAAATGATCCATAGCCTGCTGCCGTAATTCAGACTTGGTGCTACCATCAAGTCTTTGAAATTGGAATCCTTTTATCGATAGATAATCTGCCAATATATCCAACATCCTGACCATCTGCGGTCACACAATAGGATAATTTTTTTTATGTGTCCTATAATGGAAGGAAAATCAGGTAAGATTGAAAAGGTTAAAACTAGACTAGCAAGCCACTGTTATTGATCTACTTCAACCTAGCAGAGTAGTCCTCTTTCCACACTACTTTCTACAAGCTTCAATCCGTTCAACAGTAAGAAATAAAACCTATTGATAAGTACTAGTATGTTGATAACAAGGCTATGATGGACAGTGGAATATGAAAGCCAAAGGGAATGGAGGAAATCGCAGGCAAAACTTGATTTTATTCTCCTTCCCACCTTAAATTGATTGTCATACCATAACAAAAATAGATTAATATAAATTACCACATGAAATGTAAAAGAACTTACCAAGAGTTTGCTACAAAGTCAATGTTTCCATACATACATGAGAATTAGGCAAACTATGCAAAAAGAATTGAGGGTACAGAAGAAAAAAAACAAAAACATTATTATCACAAAGTGCGAAACAGTCAAAAACATTATTTTTCACAAGCTTATCCAGAAACCTTTTCACGGAGTCATCACAAGTCCTATTGGCAAAAAATAGAAGCTTCAAAACAGAAGATGCTCAGGTAGAAGATGCAATACAGTATTAATAGATTTGAAGTGTGCAAACCTGAGAAAATATCAAGACACGGTGATTTGTCTCATGCAATCTCGTGAGCAGCTTATCAAGTAAGACCAGCTTCCCACTGCTAAGTATAATTCTTTCAAGCTTACTGCTACCTAGAGAATTTGTGTCACCACCATAACCATGGTCTGCACTTTCAAACAGAAATGGATGATTGCAGCACTTCTTCAACTCCACAACAATATTCAGAAGTGAAACCTGCATAATTTAGCAGTGATAATTTAAAAGCAATACCTCTTTTTTCTTCATATCCAGTAAATACAAACTTATAAGCACATCATTCATGATCCATTTTGAGGTATGAATGCTCCATGTAATTACATAAAGATGGAAAAGTAATTTAGTTTGCCATTAAGACCATGGTGCAAGTAAAGTATGAAAAACCATGAAAACTCATGGGAGGTTGAGAATACCAAAAAAAAAAAAAACACTGAGGGATCACTTAAAACTCATATGTGAAGCTTAAGCATTGCAACGTGTTGAAGAACTCAAAGAAACAGAAGAGTAATAACCTGATTCCCACGGACACCTTTGTTCAAATCATGGAAGTTGCGTTCCAAAATCCACTTATAATACCTGTAAGTTCACGAATGTGGAATCAAACAAGTGCGTTTAATAACTCAAGACAACAATTTGTTTTAGTTCAAATCCACCCACTGTTTCTGAAGTGGTGACATCTCAACCCTCAGTATACGTTCAATCTTAGGAGGCAATGACTTCTCAACATCTTTAATAACTCTTCTAAGAATGTGAGGCCGCAATTCCATATGAAGATTAGCAAGCTACATCAAGGCAAAAAAAGGCTTAAATTTATCACTGAACTACAAAAGCTAGTCATTGCACAAAAATAAATCAATGTGGTAGAGCTTGACGATAAGATAAAATTAAGAGCGAAAGAAAGCATACCTCCAATTCATTGAACGAACTTAGATTCTTGTACCTCTGAACAAAGTCATCCCTGCTCCTAAACTTATCCGAATCAAGAAAGTGAAGCAAAGCCCTGCAATTTATATGGCAGATCAGTGCGCCTTCACAAATCAATGTCCCAAAAACCAAATTATAATCGTACCAAGAAGAACCAAGAGTAAGACTAAAAAGATAATCAGAACCAATCAACGGATAAACAATACAAATAATCGGATTTGTTGCAATGAATCAATCACAGTAATTCCCATTTGGAAAGAAACACTTACATGCACAATTTACTGTTTACAGAGAAAGATATTTGCCTAAATTATTTAATTGCATCCAAATCAAAATACCTTTTAGAACAGAAGACAGTCAAACCAAAAAAGAATTATGAGAGGATAAACATATTACCACAGCTCTTCAACACTGTTTTGCAGAGGAGTGCCAGTAATTAGCAATTTGTTCTTTGTGCTAAATTCCTGGTAAGGGAAAGTCATTTACTCAAAAGTCAAGAAACTCTAGAAGTACAGCCAAAAAAATCCGCAAACCAACTAAAGTGCCATACCGCTAATGTTGTGTACAATGATGCCTCACTGTTCTTCAACCTATGTGCCTCATCAACCATAAGATAGTTCCACTTGATTTTGGAGAGAACTGCCTTATCCTTCAGTAATACCTCATACGTGGTTAGAAGGCTATCAAACCTTATACTCCTGCCAGGTTTCTTATCACTGTAAAACTCATATTTCTGGCAGACCTGCAACCAGATACAGATAAGTATATTTGCAGAGATGGAATAAAGGGAGATAAGGTGTAGCTAAACTTCTAAAAAAAGATATCAAAACTAGTACATCTACAAATTCCTAAATAAATGATTTATATTTCAAATGCAAAACAACAAAAAGGGGAAAAACATATGAACCTACCTCCCGGCTAGCCCGTGTTCCAACATATACAATGACATTCATTTCAGGTAACCACTTTCTGAATTCCTTTGCCCAGTTTGACAAAGTTGATAAAGGAACAACAACAAGAAATGGTCCTTGAATCTGCTGAGTATTCTGTAGAGGAGCCTTTACATGAGAATCCACAAAAATTGGAAATAAAATAATAGGAAGATCAGCAGCATAAAGTACCTGCAAGAAACCAAGCATAGACACTGACTGAACAGTTTTACCAAGTCCCATTTCATCTGCCAAAATAACATTGGTATCATTTCTCCAGCTGCGCTGCAAAAGATTCATTGATCAGGCACTGCCATCGGTGTTGGAAGTGAGTAAATAAAATTTGGATGAAGCTTGTTTTATCAGAGGCAACAAAAACCAAGTCCCCACCTGTTAACTAAAAAGTTCAGACCTTCAAGCTGATAATCCCTAAGCTTGCCTCCTTTCAACCACTCGGGCTGCTCATCAAGCTTCCTGAGGCTTCCTGGGGAAAATAATCATATGATAATCACATTAGAAAAATGAGACACCTGTGAAGGAGAGTATAGCTAAAATTTAAAGGCCTTATGAAACTTCAACAAAATAAAAGAAACCAAGTGAACCAGTTGATCATGAATCATAGTTCATTCTGGGGATACAAACCTCTACTTTTCTTTCTTTGAATATCAACAGTCTTCCCTTGTACCATTATTGCAGCCTCTCGAGCCTGCATCCAACAACCATGATGATTAATCAAGCATGCTATAGCCGTAAGTAGATTCATAAATTCACAACACACAATAATACCTTGTACTCATCAATAGCATCTTGGGCGAATGCTATATCAGTGTCCTTCTCCCTACAAGATATATAAATTGGAAACATTTAATAATGATCATAATCTGAGATGCAGTCCCTAATTAGATTTCAATTCCATTATATGGAAAGGAAACATAGACAGAAATAACATCCATGCCAAAGATTCTGCAGTCTATCCAATTAAGCAATACTCTGCTGAAAGAAAGCATATCAAAGAAAAATAAAAATATTCTTCTATTACCATGTAGCTTCAGCATAGGACAATCCTTGCCACTTGACCAAATACTCTGGCACTACATTACCCGAACTATCTTTAATAATTCTGTCTGAAATCACTCGCTCCACCTGAGTACAAATAACGAAAATGCATCAACAACTAAAAACATCTATATAAACATAAAGACATGGATCCTGGGACATAAGAAACACACCTGGCTGTTTTGTTTAATGATATCCAGGTCCATTTCCTTGCTGACATCATTCACCTCAATCTAGCGCAGGTTATAGGAAGGAAAATTCAGAAAGACAGGATATTTATCACAGGAACGATTGAGAGGGAGATGAATCTCATGAATAGGAAATTTTTAGATCAAGAACACATCTCGCCATCAACATAGAATCAGAAGGCATAAATTTCAACAAAAGACACACGCGATGATGGATACAGATAAAAATCTAAGCCAGCAGCGAGTGTAGGTTATTTCCTTTGGTCCAAGAGAAAAGGTGATTATATAGGGCATCACATTCTATGTGCTGGAAATGATGCATACAGGACCATTTTTAGCATACACATGGGAAATTTTAAAAACATTTTCTGATTGAGACCCTTCACAATGCAATAAATTGGATGAATAGCTCAACAGGTATTACAAAAAAAAAAAATTATAATCACAATTTGTAAATAAATTAAATTTTAAAATTTGCAATAGCCCTACATATCTTTAAAACTAGCAGTAAAAAGCTACGTCTTGTTTGGTTAAGGCTATCAATCACAATAGGAATGCACATCCCTGGCATTAAGCATCTCAGATGCAGCACATTCTAAACACCATGTCACATTTAATAATCGCAACTCACCTATCATCAAGTGATTATCTTCTAATTGAATTAAAAAGGTCGTACTTAAGACAAATAAAAGATACAGCAAAAACTGTATATATTCAAGTAAACATAATATTAGTTTTTGTATATGGCCGCCATGAATCCAGCATATTACCTACACGCTCTCAAGGAAAACACATAGGCAGACGAAAGCAAATATTCAGGATATGACAATATTACAATCATTGTTACCTCTTCTCGAGAAACCATCCTCCGATACCTTATATCTTCCCCAACCTTTTTGGTATAATTTATAACCTTCTTAAAACCACTGAGCTGCAAATCACACAAAATATTAGGCCTCCTTTAAGGGTGAAAAAATAATGGTCTAAAGAATACTGTAAACATGATAATGATAAGCTACAAGATGAACAGCTCACATTCTGCAGTTCAGAAAATGACTTCCATCTGCAATGTAAATGTGACTGCCCTTTCCATTTAATTAAAAACTCCATCTCAGTCCAATCTGGCTCTGAGTCAAACAAATAGCTCAACAGCACAGGTTCCGCAGATTTATTATTCCTTAAAGCTTCATCAGCAGTGCCTTTGGGTTGATGCCACAATACCTTCTCTATGGTGTCACTGTCTTCTTCTTCTGTTTCTTCCTTCTTAACAATAGTATTAACAAACATCAAAACAGGGAGGAACTAGTTCATTGCAACAAAATAAATAATAACTCACGAAGGTTACAACATCAATTAATTAATGAATCTATATCACTAGAAAGGAAAGAAAAAACTATCACATTTATGCTCCTTGAGATAAATGAAAAACTAAAATTGTCAAAATCTTTAACACAAACTAAAATAAATTTATAATCCATTGGGAGAAAAATATAAACATTCATGACTGGCCAAAAATAAGTATACAATGATAAACCCAGCATTCCAGGCAATATTAATACAAGTATCCAATGGCAAGGACAAACCTTTTGGTTCCTTTTTTTGCCTTCATCCAGATCTTCACTTTCATCGCTCTCAACATAAGAAACTTTCCGCACAGAACGACCAGAAGTTCGCAGTTCATTGTTTCTAGAGGGAACTTTAACAGAAGTTGATCGACCACCAGTCTTCCGCTGAAATTGTGCTCCATTCTTTGGACGTCTGAAATCTTCATCACTTCCATTTTCCGAGTCTTCAGCTAGTGATGATTCTTCATAATCCTCAAAATAAGTTCTGGCTTTTCTTGGACGAGTGGATGATGCAACCGGTTTAAATTCCCTGCTAGACTTCAAATTTCGAGCATGCCTACCAGATTGTTTAGCCTTATTTTTTTTAAAGTAGAGATCGTCTTCATCCGAGATATCCAACTCATCATCAATATTATCCTCATCATCAGATTCTTCAGCATCCCAATCTTGGTATTTTTCCTGGCAATGGAAAAGGAATTTAACTTAGATCACATACAAAACAGTACACATAAAAATATATGTGCTCTTTACATCAATTCATTAAGCAGCACTAGCAGTGAGACAGAAATGGACCATATCATAGCAGTTGCAAAATATATAAGGAAGTTTAAGTCTTTCTTCCATCAAACAAACCATATCCAACTTTGAAACGAGCACCAGTTCATAGGAAGCAGAACAATTTCTCATTTCTCTAACACATGTAAATATAAATAAATAAAGGAAAAATCTAAACAGTGGCCTGCCAGCAAGTTGGTCTATCAAAGACAGTTTGCATGGAATATCCCAAACTATCACACAAAGCATACACAGTCATAGCACCTAGCAAAGAGATAACCAAGATGATGTCACTTGCCAAAATCCAAACACTAGTAACTAGTGTAAGCCACACATCAATTTAAATCTATCCCAACTATGCATTGGCCAAAGCATAAAATTATGAGAACCTTTGTTCCCCTGCGACCGCTTGTTGCCCCAAAGTCAGGATCAAAGTCAGCATCATCAGGGTCATCTTCTGCAGGTAAAAAAGACGGCATAACTTTGAAAATGAAAAAATTTGTCTACAGAAAGGTAGGCCATAAACAAAAAAATCCATAGATCAGACAAAATACAAATGATATATAGCAGCATTTACCATCTTCATCATCATCGGAGTCCTCATAGTCAACATCTTCATTATCATATTTTTTGCCTTTCAATGCCTTTGATTTCCTGGAGATATTTTTGGGAGCCGCAGCCTGCATTGGGGCCTTCAAGTTAAACCCACTGGAGTGATTCATTGCTCTATGGTGATTCAAAGACTCATTCTGATCATTCCCATCCTGCTCATAATACTCATCGGACAACATGTCATCCTCTGTAACGATCTGATGACCTTTTCTTGTCACTTCATTTTCAGATACCATCCTATCCTCTGCCCCATCAGACTCTTCTCCTTCAGACCCTTTATCTGTCCCACTCTTGGACTCCTCCCCTGATTCTGAGGCTCCAGTATGTCTAGCGGGATCACAATCCTTCCAAAATGTCGAACCCCACTTCCCTCCCACACCAATTCCTCTGGCAGGAGGCTGTACGTTTCCTAGCCTAATGTTACTGCTTGTATCTTCTCCCGTAATTTGACTGGCATTCTCAGTGATTTCCTTATTGTTGGTTGCTGCATTGTCATGAAAGTTACTGTTTCTCACGGATGGCGGATGCGGATGATTTCTCTCACTCATTTCAATTTGTTCCGCACCTCCATCTGTAAATTTTCTAAAGAAGGCCATGCTCAATTCTTCGCATGGAATTGATTGAAGAGAAAAACAACCAATTGATCTCCAGAAAGATATGTAGACTTATATATAATGGTCCCTCCAAGAAGCTCTGTTATAAAAACCAAACGAGACAGCATACGGTAAGTTGGGTAGCCAAGAAACAAGAAACAAATACAGCAATTCCGTAATCGATTAGGAAAGTGGTTAATCCGACAAAAAATTGATTAGCGTCAACAGTTGTACAAACTCCACATCAAAACATATGGATCGGCACCCCGGAACTCAAAATCCGAGAAGAAACCAAAAATTTCTCAAAAGCGCAATCAATTACCAAAAAAAAAAAAAAAACCCTAAATCGGCATTCGGGAAAACCCTAATCGGACTCGAGATTACACACGGAGACCTAACAGGCAAGCTGATTGCTCAATTTCCTTCCAGGAAACTAACCTCTACGCCCACAGAACAAGGAGCGACGCGAAGAAACACAATTCAATCAAGGGTATTTCCGTAAATCCAGTTGGGGCTCGTGGTTCGAACTCCCGGATCACCGGGGGACAGGCTGCTGTCGACCACTGTCGAGCCGGCGGCGGGAAAGATAGGTTTAAAAAACGATACCGTTTGACAGGTTTTTGTGTGAGAAACGAGATTTGGGTCGCGGGTTGGAAAGCGCTAATTCGCAATCTCCCCTCACACGCGCCGCGAATATCACAATCGACGAATTCGATTAGATTCGTCTGTTCCACCAGTGGTAGCCGATGATGCCCACAAACAGGAGAAAAACAATTTTGGGGGAGAGAGAGAGACAGAGAGAGAGAGAGGGAAATCTTGAGAGATGGTGGGCGTGTAAGCGTATAGCGTCTCGCGTTATTTCTAGAGAGAGAAAGGGATAATCAGAAAGAAAGAGGGCAATCTTAAGAGTTATATATATATAGACAGGCAGAAAATTAGGGGCTGCGTTTAAGAATGGGGGATTTCTTACTGCCAGGGTACCACCATCAAAGCGTCCGGTACCACTTCTATTAGCGGGTGGTGCATTGCGTCGATCCGAAAACGCGCTTTTTGGGAAAGTGAATAAGCGTGCGATGAAGGGGTCGGGCCAATCGCGATTTCGCATTTTGGAGAAACTTGTTTAGATTTTTGTTTTTATATAATATAAATTTTATAAAATGAATTGTGTGTTTTGATTTTGAAACTGTCAAAAAATGAATAGTAATATAAAATTATTTTTCAAAAAATATTCACAGCCTAAATTTACTTCTTAATGTAATAAGATTCGAGTGTGTAAGGTATTATAAATTTTTATGATATATATATATTTTTATTTTGTTCACTATAATTATATTACTATTTTTTTAATATTCTCTAAATTTATACATAATTTATTTGTAATAAATAATTTTATTATTATTATTTTAACAATAGTAGTAAATAATTCATTAATATTTCTTCTACTTATATCATCACATTATATCACAATAATTCACTTTAATTTTTAACTACCTTTATTTTAATTTTAAAAAATATTAGTATTATCTTTTAGTTTGTGTATTCAAGCAAACTTACATAAATTAATTATTAGGAAGGGAAGGAGTAATAGATTTGGGTACTAAGATGTATTTTGATATAGATAATAAATAACAACAAATGAAAATAGAATTATAAATAAGAATTAATTATTATATTTGATAAAATAAATTTGGGTTTGTTTGTCTAAATTATTTTTTATATAAAATTCTTAATATATATATTATCATTTCACAAAAATTAATATTTAAAAGAAAATATTATTTTTTATATTATCGACACAATTTTTTATACTTTACATTTAAAAAAAAAATGTCCAAATCAAAATACTAAACAACTAAATCCAAAATCAATTAAAATATATATATATATATAGATAGATGGATAGATATAACATAAAATTAATCTTCATTTATTCATGTGTGTATATATACAAAGACGAAAGAATATTTGATAGAAGAAATAATAAAAAATTTAATTTTAAATATTGAATGAAAATAATCTGAGACAATTTTTTTTTTCTTCATCAATTTCAATTCTTTATATTTATTCGTGTATGGAAAAAAAAAATTATGAGGAATAAATTATTTATCAAAATTTAATTTAAAATAACAAACAAATAAGGAAAATAAAATTGTTTCTATTAATCTATCACAATTTTCATATACCAAACTCCCCCTTAAATTAAGGGCCAAGTACTATACAATTTACAACTAATTATAGAGTATGCATTTGTTTGGTTGTTATTTTAAATTGATTTACAATAAAATATTAATTTGAATTTGTATTAAAATAGTATTTTATGATATTTTGTCAGAAAAATTAATATATTTTTATTAAAAGTTATACGGAATAAACAATATTGATTTCATGCTTCATATTTATAAAAATTTGATAATAATACAAATTAGTGATTTGATGTAACGGTTTTTCTAACGGTCATCTCATTGCCCCTCACTAATGGAATTTTAACACATGAATTTTCCAACTCTAATATTACGTTAGATGGTCTCAATTCTGATATCATATTAAATAATATTAAATGACCGTCTTATCGAAAAGTTTAAATTTATAAATACACATTATTTATTTATTTGTTTATATTTTTGTGATAAGTCAAACCACCACTTCTCCTATTTGATCTTTACACCAAATCTTGTTTATTTATATGAATACAATATTTTGGTTAGTATTATAACTTACACAATTCTCCTTAGGTTAAGCTACTTTTGTATTTGGCATAAAATTTACCCGCCAACTTTAGTGGAGTGTTAGAGTTTGTTTATTTTGTATTTTTTATGCATGTATTTTTTAAGTTAGATATGAAAAATTAGTTTAGTATATAAAAATATTGAATTATTAATTTGTTATTAAAAAAACTATATTATATTAATATAAATATAATATATTTTTTAATAATATTTATAAAAAAATCATTCAAAAGAAAAGCCCTTATAAACTAGGTCGACAAGGCATGACCTGACGTTCGGGTATGAATGATGCGCTCAAAGTTATAAATCTACTAACACCCTACTTGTTTTGCATGTTTACTAATTTAAAATTTATTTTTCATACAAGTCGGTTATTTTTTTGAAATTAAAAAATTTTAATTTATCAATAATTTATTATTACAAATACAAATACAAATTTAAATTTATTTTAAAAGATCATGAATCACCTACATATTTTTTAATATATATATATATTTTTTATATATCAAATTTCAACATTTAAAGTTTTTTAAATTTCATATTCAATATATTTTCAACCAACTCTTTAACAAAATTATTGAAAACAAAAATTTATTCTGACAATATATTAATCTAAATTTATTTTAATTATTCATGTTTTAAAATGCCACAAATTTACAAATTCAAATAATTTTAATATTTCATAATATAAAAAATGATATAATATTATTATAGTCTATATAAATTAATATTATCTATATATTATAAGATAGTTAAAATATATAAAAATCAATAATTATTATTAATCTTATAAAATTGTAAAGATAATAGATAAAAATGATGATGTTAAGGGATGTTAAAAGAAGTAATTTGAATATTGATGTAGATATGAGGTAAATGAAATAGATAAAAATGTTAATGCAGTAAAGACATGGACTGTAATAGATACTCTTATTAACTAATTAATTTTATAACGGAGGCTCTTATAACAATATTTATTCCCTCTATTAAAAAATACAATAACACATAATTATTACATTCGCAAAAGACTCATTACCTTTAAAAAAAAATAAAAAAGTATTATTTAATTAATCATTACCCAAATTTTAAATTTAAATTTTAAAATTTTTAATTATCAACAATTATTTATACAAATACAATTCAAATTTATTCTAAAATATCACATTCATCTATATATTTTTTAATTATATATATATATATTTTTTGTGTATATTCAACTTTGAACAATATATCAATCCAAGTTCATTTAAATCATTCAAGTTTTTAAATGTCATTAATTTCACGAATTCGAATAATTTTAGTATTTCAAAATAATATTAAAAATTATATAATATTATTACAATTTATATAGACTAATATTTTTAAATTAAAATACTATATCCGTTCCATAGTAAATACACCATTTATCTTTTGTCTCATTGTACTTAATATTAAAAATATCATTATATTTATATAATTAATTTCACAAATGTTGTTGTATTTGTATTACAAGAGACTAATAAAAATATTTTATTTCAATTTTTTTTATTTATACTACATATTAATATAATAATTAATATTTAAACATCAAGTTGCACAAAACTTATGGTACCATTCTCATTGGACAAAGGAAATATAATATTATATAATACACATTATTTATATATTATTAGACAATAAAAATATATAAAAATAAATAGTTATTATGAATTTATAAAATTATGAAAGTAATGAGCGGATATGAGTAAGGACAAATGAATATAAAAAATAATGGACAAATTAAGTCAGATGAATATAAATTTTCATTATCTATAAAATAATATATATATTATATATATTTTATTAAAATATAATGAGAGAAAAATTTTAAATATTAATAATACTATTTATTTAAAAAATAATAAAATAATACTCCACTTTTCCGTATATTATATTATATTTTTCATTATTATTTATCATACGTATTATGTTATTTTTATTTTTTAAAATTTTTATTTTTTTTAAAAAAGTTTATATATTTTAATTATATTTTAAATTTTTTAATTATATTAATATATTTTTAATTAACTGTGCCATAATATCTTAAACAAAAATATATAAAATATTATAATTTATTATTAATAATTTTTTAATTTATATGGTTTAAAATATAAATATATAAATATTATCTAAAATACAGATAAAGAGACCGTCATCTGACTGGACGGACGGAGTAGGAACTAGGAAGTACTTAGTACGAAGGCCAGATAATTTTCTTCTTTGGTGGTTTTTTCTTTTAACAGTTGAGTCGATTTTCTCAACCATTCTTCGACGAATCTCGATCCCGAGAAGGGAAGCAGAATCCCGCCGGAGACAACAACTCCAGACAGGAGGTGGAAGCGGAAGCGACTTCACCTTATTCCGATTTTGAAGCAGACGAGCCCTGAATTGTCAATCCCGCTTCAAGAGCCTTAGCGTCCAGTAGTAAAAACCCAAGATCGAGCCCTATAACTTCTGACTGATGCGGCAAGTGCTGCCTTGAGGTGAACAATTCAGTGAAGAAAGACAACAGCTAAGCCAACAGTGCGCTTTCCCGGAGGGACTTTGTTAATGGTGAATTACGTGTGGAACCAACCAGGAGTCTGTTGTAGCATATGATTGGAGGCTAAGAAAGGAAGTTTGAGACGACAAGAACAATGGAGGAAAGACAAGCCGATACAAAAATCAAGGGCTTTTTTAAGCACCACCGCTACTGCAAAAATAATGAACTTCCAAATGATTAATAAAGTGGGGAAAGTATGGTCCTGTGGGCGAAAAATGGCTCGGGAGCCGAAAAGGTAACGTGGAAAATCGAAAATGGTTATCAATGAGTCCGAGGATGTGGAACTGGCGAATGGCTGTATGGATAAGGCTATCATAGTTTCCCACGAATGTGGAGGAGATGGCGGTGAGGATTGGGACACAGTTGTTTGAAAGGGATTGACTGGTGGCGGGAGCTGAAATATCCAGGAAATGGACGTTACCGAAAGAAGCTCGAGCTGATTTATGCCGGGACAAAGCTGGTGGTGGGCGTCTGCAACTGCAAGTCATCGGATCTGTGAGTTCATGGACATGTCTGTTATTTTTGGGGTAGTTTGCTAAAGAGGATTAACACTCTTTTGTTTTGCCCAAGCAATGAATTAGGAGGATTACTTGTAAGCTGATTATGTAGGGTGGTTTAGGTTCTCAAATACGGATATATTGTGAATATGACCTCACAGCATGTTCCTTCTCTAAATATTGTCCCAGCAGTAAAGTAGAAACTTGGATGACTTGCAGGCTAATTATCTAGCGTGGTCTAGGTTTTTTCATGGTGGATAACTGGGTATCCCTGTGCAGCTTGTTCTTATTATATTTTGGTTGCTATCTGCTTTATTACAGCTAGTTCTGTGGAAATTTTGCTTTTTCTTTATCTTATATAATGTATGTGGTGCCAAATATATAATTTTTACAACTCTTCTTTTAGTTATTTGTTTGTACCTGTTATAGATTCAAGACCAAGGAAGCAGGAACAGCCATGGTTAAACATTCAATTGTAAAGATCAATTGTACAACTGATAGCAAATTAGCTAGATATTGACATGGCTAATAGGGAGTGTTAAATGTTAATAATTTCTTTTTTAAAAAAAATCAAATCGATGACTAATAAATGACACATTGTCTGATGTGTTATGGAATGATCAAAATGGGCTTTGGATCTTTTTAGAACTGCAAACAACTTTAGTGAGTTTAACTTGCATCTTCTGCTTCACCCTGCAGCTCCAAAATGCATATATCCAGGAAATCAAGCACATTGAAAGGTGGGAAATATGATGAAGGTGTTGAGTCTGTTGACCATGAGGAGTACGACTAAGATGAAGATTGTAGATGTGTTATTTCATTTGTATTTTGTGATCAGTGCAGTTTTTTTGGGTTGACCTACTTGTTTTTTGATATAAATATCATTCATTTTCAAAGTTATACACTTTTATTCACTGTGGAAGATGACCCTGATGATATTCTAGTCCTGATAATGGGGCAACAAGCAGGCACAGGTGAATGAAGCTTTTGTGAACATTCATTCTGTGGCCTATCACCAATGCGTAGTTGGCACAGTTATAAATTAATGCTTGCCTCCTTGTTTTACACTTGTTACCCTTATTTTGGTTTTGGCAAGTGGCACTATCTTGGTTGTTTTTTTTGCTAAGTGATGTAATGTTAGGTGCATTATAGCTCTTTTGTAGAAGATAATCCTGATGATGTTGGGTTGGATATCTCAGTTGAAGATGGATCTCTAAGAAAAATAAGCCTAAACAATCTGGTTGTAATATTAACCGGAACAGGGAACTCAAATCAATTGCATCAGCTACTTGTGAGAAGAAAACCATAACTTCTTTTGAGGATTAAGAAGAATCATCATTTCTGAAGATTTGGAAGATGTAAGATTTTAGAAGTACACAGAGTGAAGCACTAGTTCAAAGGAAGAATGGTGGTCAATCTGCTTCTGTTTATGCTTTCTGTAGGAAAAGGGAAATGCAAACCTCAGGTCATGTTGTGCATGACGTTACCTATGTTGAGAGTGATGGGAGAGAGTATCTCGATGAAGGCAAAATAGAAAGAACAAAAAGGTTTGCTCTTGCAATTAGATTCGAATATTAGTATTGCCTGGAATGCAGGGTTTTTGATGTTGCATTGCTTTGGGCCAGGCATGTAAATTTATTTATTTATTTATTTTTTCTTCTTCTAGTGGACTACAAATTATATCACCTTTGTGGTACATACTTTTGAGAATTTAGTTTAACCCTTTAACTAAAGGAGCACTACATGACTCATTTTTTTATAATAAACTATTTGGTTATCGATTTTTGTAAAATATATGCTTTAACTTGAAGTTAACGTGGGATAGGGGAAATAGCTCTATTCCTGAATTGTGAAAAATATGAAAGACTTTTATATAATTTATGGGGGTCGTTAATTAGGTTCTGTGAAAGAACACTAAAAGATAGTTCTAGACTAAACTACCCAGGTCTTTCCAATATAGTATTGCATGCATGAAAATCAACAAAGATTATCAAACTATGTAGGATTACAACTATCACAGTTAGCAAATGGTTGCTGTGGTGAACACTACTTGCAGTTCCTTCTTGGATAGATATTTCACCAATAAATGCAACTTTCAACTTGAAAGATTCACAATGATAATGGTACTTGAGATTTTTGCTGTAGCTCTGACTTGCTTTGCCCAAAAAAGTCCACAAGTTAGCTAAAACACAATTTAAAAATGTAACATGACCACCAAGTGTCGTCTTCACATCAAATATAGCTTGATTAAAAACAATAATGCATAGAAAGATAGATAGGCAATTTGATGCTATCAGTGATATAAGGGCCAATTGTAATAGAGATAAATCTCTAGAGCAAGGACATAAACAATTGGATTGAAGTGACTTTGGCTGCTTTTGTGATGCTGGCTCTGGCTTCACATCAATGTTGAACTAGAAAGCAATGTTCTCTGGAGTTTGAATTGAAGGGAATCCCAAACAAGTGAGTATTTTACATGTTTTTGTGTCATCTTCATTGAATAATTTATAATGTTATAGCTATATTACTTATTAAATCTTTCATGTTATTTTTTTTTTTTTTTTTTTTTTTTTTTTTTTTTTTTATGACGTGCGAAACTTTCATGTTATGGTTTTTTTTCTATGAAATGTTGTCATTGTAGAATGTGGACACGTGTGGATTGCATGCAGACTGTAAACTGTAGCAAGCTTTTCAAGCAAGAAATGTTCTTTCATATAGTGTTGCAAAATATGGGTAGCAGAATATGTCTGTTGCAGGATATTATGGATGAAACTTTGTATACTATGGTTTTGTTTCTATGAAATGTTCTTTGATGGGATATTTGGGCTGCCATTCTCTTTATGTGTAATTTGCTCTAATCGCTCCCTATTGGCTAATATGCTTGATCTTTCCTATTTTCTGCAGTATTATCTTTAAGAGTGGTGAGATTTGATAAAGTTTTATGTCCATCTCAAAATTATTTCTTCTGTTTCTGCTAAATGAATGACGCTGTAAATGCAAACAAATTCATGTAAGAGCGATGTCCTTTACTTTTGTTTCTTCCCGAGGGGTTCAAATTGTAGCATTTTGTTTGTTTGCTTTTAATTTCAGTATTATAATTATTTAGGTAAAAATAATGCTCCAGGCCTCTAAGGCAAACAGTAGCCATTTGAAGCTTGAGCTGCTCTTTTCTTTCCTCTTTTTTTTTTTTTTTTTCTTCGTTTTTTTGTTTTCAATTGTCTTTCATTATTCTTTGTTTCATTACACCATTCTTTCCATCTATTTGTATTCAGATCTTTTAGTGAAAAAAGGTTGCTATGCAGAAATTCTCAACCGAAGTTGTGAATGCAAACAAGCCTGTGAGTTGATCCTTTGCATTATTGCCAGGGCATTGCATTAAAATTCAGTACTGGTGTCTCCTCTGAAGGCTAGGCTCTTGTTATGGCTGTAGTTCTTAGTGAGAGTGTACGATCATGCGCAATCAAGAAAGTACCCTGATATACATGATTTGTCCACTTCTCTACTAATACATACACACATATATATATATATATTTATCTATTTATTGATGGTATGCATCCCTGTTTATGCTTATAATTCATCGATAAGATCTTGCCTTGTACATGAGTTAGGTTTCTCAATTCTATTTGTGTTGTTAGTTGTTTTCTTTTGTCTTAATTAAATTGTCTCAGTATGATGAATCTTTGCACCAACCTTTATCATTGGTATCAATATACATATATGCCCTCTGTAATAGGAGTGAACATTCTCTACTTTCAAATTCATAATTTGTTTAGCTTCATTGGTTCTAGGGAGGAATAATATTATACTTAGAAGTTCAGCTATTGTAATCTCAAACTTGATATTGATTGAAGAGGTTGTAGCTGAGCTCACAGTGGTTTTGCAAGATATGCTTACAATCTCGTACATTTCTCTTTTCTTACTTTCCTAAACAATTATCATGTTCAATTTCATACTCATAGTTTTATCATGTTCAATTTCAAGTTATTTTATAATGATTATTATATTGTCCTATATAATTAATGTTTATATGTTCAATTTTCATGCTAATATTGAAAGTTTTGTAACTTTTGTTTTTCAAGGCTGCGATTTGGTGGCTTTTCTGGCATTTGACAACTCACTGAATAACTAGAGATACACTTAGTTCAATGAGTTGCTTCGTATTTTCAAAATGGTAAAATAGGGGACATGAAAGTGAAACATTATAATGCGGCGCAGTTTACATCAAACAAACCAAAACCAATGATATCTCTCAAATTATTAGTTTCCATGAATTCTTGTTTATAGTGAGTTACGGTCTAATTAGTTGTTTATTCTGAACCGTGGAGTTTTTGGGCATACCTGTTGATTCCATATACTGGAGTTTGAAATCTTTGAATACAGTCTCATAATAAAGATTTGAAGATGAATTCAGGCGATGTTGAAAAAATAAGTATCAACACAACATTCAAATGAAAGTTCTATTATATGTAATTAATCTCAAATGCAGATTCAAATGTTATTGTAACATAATACAGTTTTTAAACTTATGTATGTAATCGGTCTTCTATTTTTTTTCTGCTTCAGTCTTCATCATCATTCATTACCTTTGCTGGTGTTGCATTTAAGATTTATAGTCGTTAATCCAATGCCAAAATTCTTGAAATAGTTTAAAGTTTATATTTTTCAGATATATTTCAACGACCACACATTCCAATTGTCAATTGTGGGTTCTCCTGAATATTTAGTATCAGGTTTTATTGGGATGAGTTGAAAAATGAAACGAGAGAGGATTTTAGTCATACAAATTCTAAGCAAATTCATCATGTTCTAAGTCTTGAATCCTTTTGTAGTGTTTTTTTTTTTTTTTTTTGAGGCCTCCTATTTCTGGAATTGCTAACTGTTCCCCTTCCTCCCTTATAAAACATGGTAACATAAATTGAAAGGAGCAATGTGAGATTACATTATAAAAATTTTGGAACAAAAGACCTAACAGAATTCAATCACAATCAGGCCTTCTCCTTCAAACTATTGAATTGTGTCATGACAAAAGTTTCTGAAATTGAAAAGAGCGAGACTAAAGAATATTAGAAAGTGGAAAAAGGGTTAGGGGGGCATATGTAGTGCTTTCTCCTATCTACCTGTAAAAGTACTGCTTATACGGGCAGTATCTAGTATCTACTAAACACTTTCAGTTTTGAGTTTCCTTTCTCACTTCATATTTGCTCTAATGTTGCATTCCTGATTGTGTTACTTGCGTGATTCTTATTTTTTTACTTGCGTTCTAAGGGAAAACATTGCTCAATGCAAGATTGGATTAGTTTCCTCACCTGTAAATTAGAGGGTCAAGCATTCACATATACATTTTGATGAAGATGTCAGCACCAACCTTCAGAAAACTGTGACCAGCCATCAAGAAATGTATCTAAGATACCATATTCGGGTAAAATAATGACTTTGGGCTGCAGTTGTTACTTTTTGATGGCTTTGATTCACAGATATTCCAACTAGAGGGAGAGGGACCACCTGCCATTGTCATTGAAAACATAGGATGAATTAGTTAGTACGCTTGGATCCAACTTGTGTTCGTTTAAGCTTAGGAGGATAAAGTTTGTGACATGACTGTTATGATCAAGATTTTAATGATTCAGTAGCAGAGCCTGGAAAAAATTGTGGTTGAATCTCACCAATCTGCTAAATCTGAGTTTTCTAGTTGTCTGAATCTCTTGTTTAAGTGATAATTTGATAGGATGAAATCAATTTTCTGCTCATTCTGTTTTTAGGAATACTTTTGTGAATTGAGTTTTGATGGGAATGTCATGACACGGGCACTGGCTGTTACTGCTATATTATTAGTAGGATTTATTCACCAGCAGAAAGCTTTGCTGTATGAAGATTGATAAACAGATCCAAGATCTAGCAAAGGAATGATAGTTGAGGTTGTGAAATTAATTTTCTTTACACTTGTAAGAAGAGTGGAAGAATGAATAGTTATGCGAAAAGTTTATACTATTAAAAGTGAAAATGAACCTATCAATTTGATAAATGAGAACTGGACCAAATATATATTTAAAGATGAAAGAAGATAATATAATTTGAAGATTATGCCTTGAAACCACATGTATTGGCCAATACATATTTCATATTTTAGGTGCTGGTAAACTACTTATATGTTAAATTGTTTATAATTTGATATATGTTTTACCTGTTTTAAAGGATACAAATAGGTTGGGTAAATTATTTGGATATTAATGATGTAAGTTAAATTTAGATCACTTTAAAATTAATTGTAGTAATTAAATAAAAAGTAAACTAAATAAAATAATAATAATAATAATAAAAAAAATAAAATTAAGGCTGTGGGGGGTAATAATCCCCAGCCCCCACCTCAATCAATTCTATCTTCAATAGCAGAAGTGAGGGAGAAGGCAGAGCTGAGGCAACAAGAAGAAAAAAAAAAAATATTTTTAGGCCGAATTCGTTAAAAGCCTAGTTTAGGTATTTCTTTGTGTTCACAAATTATTGCTATTTTACTAAGTAGAGGAATTTTTTAGTAGAAATAATTATTTAGTAAATTGGGGTAATATTTGTAATTAATTGTTGTTAGATACGATACTGGAATCGTGAAAATGACTGTAAGAGTTAGAGTTAAAGTTATTGACGTTTTTGGTGAATTTCAGGTAAGTAGAAATTTATTTGCAACTACAATGCATAAATATATTATTTTGTGAGTTATTTATGTTTGATTGATAATATGTGAATATCAGAAAACTGTAATATGTGATTATGTGGTTTGAGCCTGCGAGCTCCGTATATAAATTGGTTTAAGCCTGTGAACTTTGTATGTGATATGGTTGAGCCTGTGAACTTTGTATGTGATATGGTTGAGCCTGTGAACTCTATATTTGATGTTGAAAGAGTTTGTGAGCTCCAAAATTGATGTGGTTTGAACCAGTGAGTTCAATAATATCTGTATATTGTGAAATATGTTGCATCGCACTTTCATTAAGCATGCACATCATGCATTAAAGTGGAATAAGATTGTTTTACTATGTTAGACCGCGGATTATACACCGAGGGCGGGAGAGGCGACCTGGGGAAACCTGGTGTAGGCTACCTGGTGTAGGCCACCGTCTATTGTGACTTTACATACAATGCACAAACAATGCATTCGGAAGAGGCGACCTGGAAAGAAGCGACCCGGGGAAACCTTGCAAGGAAACCTAGTGTAGGCTACCTGGTGTAGGCCACCGTTTGATTTGAATACGTGGATATTGAGCTCTTTCCGGTGTATAACAGTGTGTCTAGGGGCCCTGGAGAGTATTTCATAAATAAATTGGTGATTTCAAACGAGAGCACATTCTGCATATTAAGAATTTTGAGATAAACTTCACATCATGCATAATTTCTACTTACGGAGATTTATAAATCTCACTCAGTTTATGCCTTGTAGGTAATCCTGATGATATATGACGTGATGGTCAGACTGGAGTAGTCATGGTGCTCTTACAGGCATTTTGAGTTACCGTGTACATAGATGACGACCTGTGGGCAGGACCGTGGCTTGTTTTGCTTCCGTTGTTCTATATTACGTCTGTTTTAGAAGTGGTATAGTGTTGTTATAAATAGTATGTCGATTGTGTAGTTTTTGATATGGTTTGAGATCCTTTTGGTGAATGTTAACACGTTACTGTTGAATTATGTTATGTTTTGGTGAGAAAAAAATTTATAGCAGGTTAACAGGTTTGTTATATATGTAAGTAATTAAGAGGGATTATAGCATGCTTATCGTTTACTTATATGTGAATTGGCGTTAGTAGTATAGTGTAAGTGGAGTCGTGTCACCACATGTGCAAGATGGAAGCGCCATATTGATTTTTCGTTGAAGGAGAGCCAAAATATGGGGAGACTTTTGAGATCACATGGAAAAAAAGGCAGAATACAAAGAAAGTTGGGAGAGAAGCAATAGTGAAGTTTATGTAGAATTTTATAAGGGGCAATTTGATAAAATTGGTTGTAAATTGGATAATCAAAACAAAATATTAGCTAGTTAAATAAGTCTTGTTTCTGAGTTTCTCCCTATTCAGTGTAGGAAGCCTGGTTTGCTCCACTTGTGCAAGTAGCATACTTTCTTTTAGGTCGACTTGAGTCATACATGGATGCCCGTCCAAGAATTCATCTCATGAAAGTTAATTTTGACACTAGACGCCATTAGTTCTAATCTCCTGCATGTTTTCTTTCCCTTGGAATAATGGTTTCAAGTGACAGAAAGTCGGCTCGAGTCCATCCAAGATATGGTGTTCAGGTACTAATTTATGTGTGTGTTTGTGTGTATCATTGTTACTGATGAGAAGGGACAAATAGTTTTATGACAGATGAAAAGCACTCCTAGAAAATACCTGTCTGTTGTTCACCAGAAAGCTTATCAACCTTTATTAATCTTCAGCTTCACACCACGTACTAGAAATCAAATGATGTCGGTAACAACATTCTAAACCCGTTACACAACTTGACTCACTCTTACCACGGAATTGACAGCATAACTTGGATCCTTGAACTTGCCCACAACACACTGTCCCCATCTCCCACCTGATACATACTCTCAACTGTGACCCTTATTCCATATTGCTAATCCGGCACTATCCAATTTGTTGGTGTGGGGCCCATTGATCTTGGTTTTCTCCTCCTTGTGCATGCACATGCTCCAAGGAAGAAGTCAAAAGAAAGTCAATGTGAGAGAATGAATTCAATGAGGCCCTAAAGGTTTGTAAGCTCTTATCAGTTTGAGAATTGGGAGATCCCACTTTGCTCATTCTCTTTAGGACAACCTAGGGCCCATTCTAGGCTGTCTTCTCTTGAGTGCATTGCATCTGCCTTGTATGGCACAGATAACAGATTTTCATTGTTTTTATTATTTGAGAAATACATTATAGACTCTTTTCAATCATTTCTATAATGAATTGGCTACATCCATGAGATTTAGTGTGTGCATTATTTTCTAGGCCCCAGCTGCTTGTTTGTTTGTTGGAAGGATGTGTTATTTCCTCCTATTCAATCCTTTTCCCAATCTTTTTCAGTTTAAGTGCTGTGAAGGGATAAGAGTAAATGTTTTGTCATTATGATTGAGTGCATAGATGCCACTGAATAATGACCTAACAGCTGGGGAGGATACATTGTTTGATGCATGTGTAAGGTAGAATTAATCAATCGAAATAAGATATCTGCACGAGGGAATGTCTCAGAAGTGAACTTACAGTTCCTAATATATCTGATTCATCACAGGGATTTTTACATCTGTCTTCCATATTCAAAATCTTGTTTACTTTTGAAAAAACAAATCTCTTTCTCTACTTATTACATTACTGATGCACTTAACCTTTGACACTATCTGTCTTCATTCCTAGAATTGATTATTAAGGAGATTCATTAGCCCTGCACTTGTGTCCACACCATAGGTATGTAAGATGCTTGTCAGCAATTTTCCCATGCTGAGGGAATTAAAAATAAGTTAACCATAAAATGACATGCCTAATTGACACCTAAGAACATTTAGGTGAGGTGGTTATCGAATAATTTTTGGCAAAAGTTGATATACTTTTCAAGGGGTCATCCACGCACAAAAACTTAGGGTGCATTTGGTTGTCTGGTCATTGTTTCATATTATAGCTTCAAGTTCGGTTTACTGTTTGGAATGAGATATTGTTTGGGTTATAAAGTAATATATATTCGATAAAATATAAATTTAAAATGTGTGTTGAAATATTTTAAAAACTTTTAATAAAATCAAATTCTATATAATACAAATAAATATATATATATATATATGTAATTAACATAAATCGATTTTTTAAACAGAATTTTAAATGTATATTAATATATTTGTTGGTGATGTGAGACTATAATCAGACTACACTTGTGCTTAGAGTGACTAAAACAAACTTGTTTTGTGTTTATGTTTGTGTTTTGTATTTGCATAGTGGTTTGACTTTATATTTTGTGAGAAATAATATATAAATATATTATTTTAAGCGCGAAGATTGCACATTAACAAAATATAAAAAAATTATTGCAAAAGAACATAGCCTATGTTTGCTAGCCAAGAAATTTAGTAAATTAAGCTCATTTTAGATACAAGTTTTTGGAGTTTTGAAGTTTTGAAAACTTTGCAAATAGTAAAAGATTTGGTATATGATGTGATATGTTTTGAAAAAATTACCATCCATGACAGTAACAAAACTTTCAAAAGTGTGTATGTAAATAGAGTCTTAATTTTTATGCCAAGAGTGACTGTTAATTAAACTATGTATTTTAATTCCATAGTTTTTATTATATGATTCCTTCCAAAGTGGTTGCTAATGGAATGGTTGTAGATGGCCCTACTTCTTTCAATATATTAATGGTATTGTCTCTTTGGTGATTGCTACTGAAGATAATGGCACAGGACAAACCAAAACAAGACAAGACAAGATATCCACTCAAGAAAAGACCCCCCAAAGAATTGAAATGAAATGAAAAATAGAAACAGGTTCTTCAAATAGCAACAGAAAGATGATGATGATAATAATTGAGGGCAGAATGCTAGGAAAATTCCAACCAGGCATCTGCTAATAATTGTGAGTGATGATGACGCAAGAAAAACTCATGATCTTGAGGCTATAGGACCAAAATGTATGTTAAGACTACACATTTGATTATACATTAATTAGTAACTGATTGCGATACTTGCACAGATACTATTACAATATTCGCAACTAACTCATGCATTTCATCAATAGATTATACACTTTGCTGTAAAGAATTGGTCGAGTTTCAAGCTTATGTGTTGAACTATGTATTTCTGTTTATATTTTTTAATCTGTAATTCTGTTCTTTTTTTTTTCTTTGGCATAGCAAGCCTTGAATGATGTAGTTTGGATTGAGACAAAAGGATTGAAACACTCGAATGAATCTTCATCTGTTGTGTGGTAGCTGAGGATAATAGCTAAGATTGGATTCTAAAGAGCCAAACACAACAGAGGGAATTCCGGGGCTTGCTCCACTCTGAAACTTTGATGCTTCGACTGCCTTGGCTCTCTGCAAAAAAATACATCAAATTCAAGAGAAAGATCAATAAACAGATGAAGCAGGTCTCTTATTTCTGCTCATTGATATGTTATGAGATTCACCTGTAGTGTCTCCAGGGCATCCGTTTCTGAGTTAAAGTCGTAAAAAGTGCTGGCTGCCGTGAGTTTCATGGACAGGAACTGAATTGGAAAACATATTTATGTCAGATTCCATGTGTTTCATATTATTGAATTCTGATTTTGCTGATCAATTTCCTACCTCTACTTGATTTTGCAGGGATTGCACGTAGTTGATGATTTCATCCAACATTACTGCCATTCCCATCGTCTGCCCATTTGAAGAAGGTATTCTGAACTAAATTATAATCTTTGAAGATCAAAGTTTGAAAGATTGATATCATAGTAGTTAGTACTCACCTTGTAGCATCCTGGAACAATGTCCTGCAAGCATCTTAACCGCTCATTGATTTTTTCTCGTCTGACCTGAGAATACAGCTAACAGTTTAATGATATGTTCATAATCGAATTCACTTGAAATGATGATGAGATTATGGGCTCACTCTTTCAGCTAAGCTGTGACTATCAGTGGCTTGACCTCTTTTCGCCCTTACATGAACCACTTCCCTTGGCTTCTCTTCATTCTCATCGCTTTTACCTCTCTTCCCTCTCCCTGAGCACTGTGATCCCATCCGAAAATGAATTCACTTCAAATAATTTACAGTGAATTGAAGAAAATGAGCTCAGCTCAACATTACCTTCTTATTCTTCTTCCTAATGCCATTGTCAGAGCCTTGAGGTGATGAGTTGGCTGGACTGGGGAATTCCATTGCTTTCCTCTTCCTGTCTGCATGCCCATCATCAGTGGAAGCAACGTGCTCGGAAGCAATAGGGACAGGGGAGGTGTTTTCATGGTTGAACAATCTTGGAAAGTGTCCTGAGTTTGCAGGGGATACTTGTAAATGAGGGAAAAGATTGTCGGGTGGGAAACCTGTCTGGCTATGGATGTTGGATGGATATGGATGCATCATCCCCGGAAAAGGGCTCGGGCTCAACTGAATGTCTGGTATGGAGAAAGAGTGCTTCAAGCTCTCCAGGCCCTGCAAGAAGTGATCAGCCATTCGGGGATTGGATTTCGGTGCTCTCAGGTAAGTAAATGCTGCCTGTGCTTATTAGTGTTTGTGTGTTTTTCTGTTGTGTGAGAAATAATGATGGCTTTATTACCCAAAACCTTTGTATATATATGTGAGTGTGTGTGTGTAAATGCAATGTATGTATCTATTCTATTGTGCGTAGGAAAAAAGACAGGATTACATGTACTGTTTGTTTGGGAACTGGTTTGGTTTGGCCTTTGCTTTTGCAGTTGTTGGCTGCTATTTGTTAAGTGTTGTAGATTAAAATATTGCGAAAATTATATAAATATATATATATATATGTGTGATGTATTATAGGGTGCCACGTGGCACTTGGCCATCTTATGGTTGTGTCTGCTGCTGGCCCCACACCAACCAATTGTATTGTATTTGTATAGCCAATTGCTTGCAATTTGCAAATTGTTTTTATCAGCTTCTGCTGCTGCATAGAGGAGTCTTGTTCTTGAATCTTGCTTTTCCTTTTTCTGTTAAACTTTGGATATGTTTAATTGGTATTTTATTTATTTATTTATTTTTATTTTGGTTTTGATTAGAAAGTAGTGGGCAAAGCCTTTTCTGTTGAGTCATTTTATTATTAGCCAGGTGAGTTGATCGATCTTAGGCATATACTTATGGTTTGTATTTATATTTTGTATCTAAATAGTAATTAAGCCTAATATCTATAAAACAAAATAAAATAAAATAAATAATAATAATAATAATGGAGCCTTGGTTATCTAATTTTCATCTGGGTATTGTCTACTTGATTTTGCAGGTTCTCTCTACAATAAATCCAAGACTCAAATTGAACTTGACTATATACAAATCTAACCCAATATATCAGAAAATTACCAAAAAAATTAATTATAAACAAACATCTACGCTCTTACCTAAAAAAAATCAGACAGTTTATATATCAATATTGATATATTCAAAAGAAAAAAAAAATGAAACGAGTTCTTTAAGTTACAATTTAATGACTAGAGATATAAATAGCACTACTCCTAGATAATAGATATAGTTCGAATTTTCAACATAAATTATATATAAAATTTATTTCTATTGAGCTTGGTCAGATATTAGACGCCCAAATTTCATTTAATATCCAATACAACCAAATGTATACCGTTTGGTACATCTCATATGTAATTTGGATTTGGATTTTGATTTTGATTTTGATTTCCATATGCAAATCGCAAAAATACCTTATATATATCATCCAACCACGGTGATCAATTACTAGAATCTCGCTTTACGGATTTCGATCTCCGGGAGGGAGGCATGTCCTGCAGGAACCTGCCACAGAAATGCAATTACTTAGAAAGTCGCGGGCCAAAAAAGATTTCTCAGAAGGTGAATAAAAAATGGAACTTTTTGATGTTATTCAATAAATATTTGTGATAATCAAAACAAAAAGGAAGGGTAAAAAAACACAGAAACAAAAAGAAAAGTTTTATCTAAGTATCTGAAATGATACTTCTCTTACTTCAACAGAAACAATTCCCCGGTGTCGCTGATGCGTAGGTATATTAAAGAATTAACTTACATGTCTGCTATTCTCTTCTTTTGGTCAGAATGGATGTATGGGTATAAATCCTCAACGGTCATGCTGCTGAAGCTATCAGATGGACTTTCCTTCAATAAGTTGCAGTGAAAGTCAGCAGCTGCCGGAACATCTTTCAGCAGCCCCTTTAAATGTTCCATGAAGATGAAACCTGTGAATACAAGGAACAATTCAAATATGATGTTGACGAAATTAACCAAGCACAATCTATCAGGGAAAACAGCAAACAAGTCATGAATGCCAACTGTCAACTAATCTGAATTTAACCTTCATCGTGGAATTTTCGTAAATGAATTTTCATCCACTTTCATTGCACACTTGCATTTAGCTCTATTTGGCTTTATATAAAAGATTTCTGTGGGCTAGTTTTGTGAAAGAGATAACTCTAGACCTCATGGTTTCGAGCTCCCCAATTCAACAGGAATAAAATGTTGAGAGTAGTTCCAGAAATGGAAGAATCTTGATAAGCTCTAGATGCAATGTTTCTCTCCACATTAGAACAAATGAGAAAGAGAAAACACAGAAGATAAGGCAGAACTCAGATTAATGTGTGAACTTGTCAATGTTTGTGGTCATGTATTTATCCATCCAGAAACCCCTAGAAGCTGCTAATTAATTGTCGAAGCAAATTTTCCATCCAACATTTGAGATAGAGACCAATATTCCTCCTTTCCTATGCTTCGAGCCTGTCAAATCTAACCAATGTCAATGGCACACCAAGAAACATGTACAGCTCTGAAGACCTCAATGCAGCACTCTCAACACTCCATTAGATATCTTCCTATTTTGACTTAAGTCCGCCTTGCATGTTCAAATTTTCAAAAAGGATTATTTCCCATCCAAGAATCTAAACTAGGCTTTAAGGTTGATGACCCCGCCACATATAAAAAATAAAGTTTCCTATTTTGCTAAGAAATACCAGTGTCACCTCAGGTGCTATTCCTGAAATTCGTGATGTTTTTTTTCTACTAAGTAACATTATGGCATATCCGGTGATCTGGGGTTAATTTTGATCGACTTCTTGATAAGAAGTTTTTCAGGTTCAGATTGCTAACCACTGCTTATTACTAAGAATATAAATAAACATTCATGGTAGACATAATAAAGCACTTTGTCCCAAAAAGCCATAAAACTTGATAAATGATGATATCATATTATAAAAACGAGTTTATCGAATTCGAACATCCATTGTAAGTAGACCAATTCCTGTCTATGTAGAAACAGATAATGGAAGAATTACTCATCCCTAGCCAATGCACCTAAAATCAAACTACATTATTCTCTTGCTCTTATGAAATAATCACATTCACTATGATAATTCACACCAAACAATAATAACGTTGAAAAACATAGTTGAAGTCTAGATCTCACCCATGGATGAAAAAAAAAAACATGTAAACTTAATTCCCAAGTTTTACCAACAAGAACATCGAACAAAGCAATAATAAAAACATACTTAGGGCTCGCAGCATTTTCAAGTCGAATTTCTTTGCCAAATATTCGTGACCGATCTGCTTGGCTCGCATGTTCATCATAGTTTTCAATCCCATCAGCAAATCCTAATGAACAAAAGAGATCAGCACTCACCAGGAACAAAATTCGTGACTTGGATTTCTCGATGAAACAATACATCAATGAGAATGAGAAGTTAATTCAATAAGATATCGCACAAGAATTTGTAACAAGAATATACTTTTCCGAAGGAGCGGACCACTCAAAAAATCTAAACTTACGAGTTCAGAATCAGTTAGCGAACAGAGCCACCGGACATCATCAATGTCGTTATTACCCAAAACATCCATTTCCGCTATCACTAAACTAACTCCTCCGCCGCTATTGTTTATCCCCAAATCAGCCGAAACGGCAAAAACCAATTGATTATCCGATCGCTACAAAGAGAAGATAGAGAATCCGACGCACGTGGAAAAGAAATCAATGAAGAGAACCACACAAAGCGCGCTGATAGCAGCAGCCGATTAACGCAGCTTCGCAAAAAACCCGCGGCGGCTGCGACGGCGGCGACTGGTCGGCCGGCACACGCTTGACATATCCATACACACGCATATATATTATATATGCGCTTTTAATTTGGCCCAACAAAGGCCCAATATTATAGGCCCAAATAAGCCAATCTCTTAATAAACCTCCCCGACGTGTCTCCGGTGCTCTTCTGTGCAGTTATTCAATGGCGCCTGAGAGCAAAGCCAACTCAAACAAGAGGAGAAGGCACTACCTTCCCCACAATGTAAGTATATTTATGTCTACGTCTTCTTATGTAGATACGTTTCTCTTTTGTCTGTTTATGGAAAGCTTCCAACTGATTTTGTGATTTTGTGCGTGTACTTTTGATTGGTTTTTCCAGAAGCCGGTGAGGAAGGGCGCTTATCCTTTGTGTCCAGGAGTTGAGGGTTTTTTCATAACGTGTGATGGTGGAAGGGAACGCCAAGCTTCTCATGAAGCTATCAATGTTATCGACTCTGTAAGTTCGTCAACAAAATACACTAATGAAGAAAGGGGAAAAAGCAATTACTTTTTGTAGTAAAGATTGTGCCTTTGGTTGAGTGATTGCTGATTATGTTTGTGAGCAATTTTTTGGGTGAATTTTACGGTGATCTACTTAACTGGTTTAACCATTGGAGTTTTTGGTTTGTATTGTGCCGTGATTCTGATCAGTTCCTAATTTTTGTAGGTTCTGGGGTTTAGGGCTCAGGGTTTAATTAGTGACTAATCTGCTGTTGATTTCTTCCTAGTTTGATGCTGAATTTTTTATTTGTTAATATTGTTTTCTGATTGATGAAACTGTATAACAGTTTTATGAAGAACTTGTGGATGGTGCAAATTCAAAATTGGTAGAGGCAGAAATACCTGTGAAGCCCTTGAACAAGATAACCAAATTCACCTACTCTGATTCTTCCAGTGATGATGATGAGGATGATGATGGTGAGGATGACGAAAATGGCAATGCTGATGGTAAGAAAGAAGAGGGCGACATTGGGAATGTTGATGTCTCCAATGATGGTGCAAAAACAAGTGATAAATCAGGGCTTGAAACTAAGGATGGTGAGCTTGATGAGAAGCAAGGTCAAGACAAAAAGGAGGAATCTGAGAATCAAGAAGCCGAAGCTGTAGAGCCACCACTTAAGAAACAATGCGTGGAAGAATCGCAATTGATTGATGGAAATGTGCCCAAGAAGGTGGAGAATAAATCTATTGATAAGCTAATTGAAGAGGAGCTTGCCGAATTGGGCGATAAGAGCAAGGTAAGTTAGACAATTAATCCTGAATTTGCCCCTTAAACAGAATTTTACTTCCATACCTAAATGTTCATCTAAAACTGCACATGTCTCTATGATTGATATCAAGATCTTGCATCTCTTACATTCATGGAGCATGTATAAAACTTTTGGAATTTGGACAAAGAAGTTGGTTAATATCATCGGATAATTTATCTTAAATTCATCTTGATTAACTGCATTAACATCTAGTGATTTTGAAACTTAAAGCATATATATTTTTTTTTGCTCTTCTTTTTGCTGTGTATATTAATGCTCTTATAGCTGTAATCATGCTTCTTCTTGGGCAGAGGCGTTTCAGTAAACTCGACTCAGGCTGCAATGGTGTCATATTTATTCAAATGAGGAGAAAAGCTGGAGATCCCGACCCAAAAGCTATCGTCCAACATATGATGACTTCTCTTGCTTCATCCAAGAAGCATTCATCAAGGTTTCCTATTATTACATAAAGATTGTGCTTGCAAATGAGTCCTGAATTTGGATTGACCTTAAAATATGATGTTATTCGCCAGATTTCTGTTGAGAGTGCTTCCAGTTGAGGTAACATGCTACACTTCAGATGATGAAATCAAACGAGCAATTAAACCTCTAATTGAGAAGTATTTCCCTGTTGAAACTCAGACGCCTCGCAAGGTAAGCACATTTCTTGTTCATGACATAATTTTTATCATTTGAGTAAGCATTCTTGGTCTGTTATTCAAATTCTATACGAAAATTTGTATGAATTTAAAAAATTCCGATGGCTAGTTCCATGAACGGGAAAGAGGAGAATAACATTTGAAGATGATCTGACGCTCAATATTGATCTTTAAAAGCAAATCACGTATGCAAACAAGGCTAACACAAACATTATATGTTATTCTAGTTTGCAGTTTTATACGATGCTCGTGCAAATACCGGCATTGATAGAATGAAAGTCATTGATGCAGTAGCCAAATCTGTTCCATCCATCCACAAAGTCGATCTGGCCAAGCCGGATTTAACTATAATGGTCCAAATTGTCAAGGTAAGAAATTTGGATTCCATGGAATCTGAACCTAACCTATAGATTCAATTTCTGGTCCAGTTTTACCATTTCATATGAGATTTTTAATTTTTAAAAGTCTATCTGCACTTGATTTACAGACCGTGTGCTTGATCGGTGTCGTGGAGAAGTACAAGGAATTGTCGAAATACAATTTGAGGCAGGTCACGGCATCCTCAGCTGCACCTAAATCTACACATCAAAGCAGTAACTGAGCTTCTTACAGGTAATTTTCTTTCCTGTTCAAAATGCATGATGGACCTCACATGGAAGCTTTTGTATTCTATAATTTAGTTTTGCACTTCAGCTGCCGTTAATTATCACTACTTGCTTAAACTTAATCATAGTTTTGATGTTTCTTTACGATCATCGAGCGAGCCATGAACAGTTTTGTGTTGAAACTTTTGTGATCTTGTAAACTTAGTCATAGTTTTGATGTTTCTATATGATCATCGAGTGAGTGATGAACAGTTTTGTGTTTTTGTGATCTTGCCTGCACCAAAACTTGTTCCTTTTTCTTTCCCTTCCCCTTTTTCTTGTAATTTAGGTTGTTCTTAGATGTATTTTGGAGGTGGGTTTTTAGAAGATTTTTCTTTTTCTTGTTCTTTTTCTTTTTTCATGAATAATGCGAAAAACAAGTAGAAACTTAAAGAAAACATATTGAGTCAGCAAAATATCCAAAATTCTGTCATTCAATCAAAATCAAATGGTTTGGTTTGGGTTTCTTATGATTAAATTTCTTATAAATTTAAGATTTTCAGATTGATTTGAATTTTAATATAATAGAAATTTGAACCCATTATTGAAATATAATACTCCTCTATCCGTTCTAAAATAAAATATTTTTAAAAAAATAATTGTACTGCTTTCTATAATATTATAAATATTTTTAGAATTTATAATGTATTATATAAATACTATTATATTTATATTACATTTATATATAAATGTAATACTAAATATTTAAAAATAAAAATAAACGGATATGTTATTATGGGTGTGAATATATTATGTCTATTTATTACTGATATTATAGTATGTATAGATGGATATATAGATAGGTATTGTGTGAAAGTAATTGAAAGACCAAAGTTGACCTAAGAGTCAATTGGATGTTCTATTATTATTATTATTATTATTATTATTAGATCACCATTCAAACCATTATCTTGATCACATCTTGTGATATGAACATTATCAACTAAAATTAAAAAATACAATCTACTATCAAAGATATTAGGGTTTGTTTGTTTTGGTTTTATAGTTGGTATAATTTTCTATTATAATATATTTTTTATAATATTAAAATATAATTTAAATTATAATTCAAACCAATGAATTAGATAAAATTCAACCTCTCGTAACTTTATTTGAATTATACTTTCAGATATCTCATAAATATATGTAAGTTGAGGTGATATTAAAAATATATATATATATATATTCGGATGTGTTTGTCTTGAGGATTTGTAAAGATTTTAATTATTCATTTAATTTTTTTTTTCCAAAAATATCAAATCAAACGTCTATTTTTCATCTTTTTATATTATTCTAAAAATTAATTTTATATTAAAAGTATTACATCAATACCAATTTATATAGCATTATACAACTATTTTAAATTTTTTATTATTCAAACTCCCAAACAAACACACCCATAATGAAATTAATTTTATATTAAAAATATTCTTATATTTATATAATTTTTTATAAAAATATCATTATAATAGTATTATAAGACACTGTTAAAAGTATTTTTTTTCATTTTTTCTTAATTTGTGTTACATTTTTATATAATAATTAATATTCAATTATCAACCACAAACGAAAGGTTGTACTTCTTTGGTCATTTGGAATGCATTATATGGTTTTTGGAACTATATGACTTCATGGTCACAAGTTGACCCTATACTAACCGATTATACTACATAATTAATTGTGTCTTACTCCTTCTCTCCCATATAATGTTTTTGTCCACATCATTTATCCTTTTATTCTTTTGGAAATATGATTATATATTTTTAAATTTTAATTTATAATTATTTTTATCTAATTATTATCATTTTCATTAATACATTTTTTAATTACTCCATAATTATAAATAAACAATAGGCTATACATATTACATGCCATCTCACTCCTATTAATCAGTTACTGACTGTAGAGGGCTGTGATTCCATCAATGTCGTCCTGCCCAATCCCCTTCCTCACTCCATCCGAAATGGTGGGATACATGATCGCATCCTCCTCTCTGCTGTGCCCTAACCCTAGAACATGCCCCAATTCGTGCATCCCTACCGTCTGCAAATCCATCTGTCCCTGCGCCACCCCGTCGATCCAATTCTCGTCGCCGTCCAGGTGGAGCACTCCCGACGTCGGAGGAAACGCGTGCGCCACTATCCCCATCGGACCGTCGAACGGCAGCCAGTCGCCATGATCGCCGACCTGGAAACTAATCTTGATGTCGGCGTTGTCGTAGTCCGACGTGTAGGCGAACGTGAATGGCGAGACCTTCGCCCATTCTCCCGTCGCCACTTGGATGGGCCCCGCCACGTCCTCCCGCGTCCCCGCCGGGAACGAGTACGTCAGCGCCGTCTTCGTCGCCGGCCACCGCGGAGCGTTCGGGAAGAATTGGAATTTCGAAACGCCCCGTGTTGGTGCTTGAGTTCGTGTCGTGGGTGAGGTCCGGCACGCTGCATCTCGGCTCCTTCAGCTTTCGCACCTATACTCAAATTTAAGTTTATAAGTTCGAATGTGGTATTAGTATTTTGTAATAAAGAAATAATATACCCTTCATTCCATTTCTGCATATGCAGTTTCTGTCTATCCACATTTCATTTTAAATATTTTAATTTAATTTTTTTTATTTTAATTAACCGAATTAGCTATCTTAATCTATAATAATTTATATTATAGATTAATTATTTTCACTATTACATTCATAATTATCTATAAATTATACTTATCATAAATTAATTTCCGCATCTACAATAACTAAGACATCTAATATAAAATAAAATGAGTAATATTATATAAATTTTTTATAATAATAATAATTATAATTCATTTATTGCACCAATGACTCGACTCAAAATATACAAATGAAAGTTACTAAATTCATTTATTATATTTGTAATTACAGTAGGAACCTATAGTTGAGTAGATATGTTTATTTTCTTACTATAAATGTGTCATATGATGGCCATAGGATACATATATGTATGTACCGTACCGTGTGGGGATCCAAGATTCCGGTGACGGGGAGACGGAAGAATGACTGATACGATTTGAGAGCCGACTCTAATTGGTCATCAAAGTGGTTGGTACCAGGATCATCGGCTATGTCAGTTTCGATTTCAGTTTTGACGGTTTTAGCATATCCGAGGTTGGAAAGGTAGTTCTTGAGGCGGCTAAGGCCGGGGACATGATCGCCTTTCTGGGCTCCAATCATACCATGAATGTTGTCTAAAGGAGCTGCTGCTGCTGTTGCTGATGATGACAAAATAAGAAGCCCCGAAAACAATAACAGCAGCAGCTTTGGTGCCATTTTCAGACACACAATAAATTTCATAAGATAAGAAAAGAAAAAGAGAGAAATTATTAAATAATTGGCTCACAAGATAAGTATATTTATACTAAAAATATTGTTTGATGTTTATTAATTTTGTTCCTTCAAATGACTGCACGACACCCTGCCCCTGCTGTAGACTGGGTCAGGTCAACGGTATTATTTTTAAAAATATATTTAATTTAAAAAGTTAGTTATATATATATATATATGGTTAGAGAGATTTTTTTATTACGTGTGTTTGTTCTGTGAGATTTTTGGTAAAAAAAAATATATATTATGTGAGGTATAAAAAATTGTGTATAAAATATAAAAATAATGAATGTATATAATGTATTAATTTTTTTAAAAAAATATGTTGAAAAGAACACTTTGAAAGAACAAAGCCATCTATCTGTGTCTTATACGAAAATATACTCAAAATTTTTTAACAAAAATATTAAGACTTATATTTTTATAAGAGTGGAATTTAAAATTTTTATAAAGTTAATAATGTAACTTTTTTATTAAAGTAAAATTGATATAAAAGAAAAATAAAAAATATTGATGAAAAAATTAATAGGTGAGGATTTATAAGACTGAAGTATTCATTTTATGACTTTATATAACTAATATAAAATTAATAAATATATGTAATATATTAATTTTTTTAATATATATATTTGTGAGGAATTGTAATTTTTACTAAAAAACACACCCTACATGTCTAGCCAAGTTTTAAATAATTAATTTACTTTTTTACTAAATATCTTCACCCAAGCCAAACTTTTGAATTACTATTCATAAAAAAATAAATAAATAAATAATCCAAAATACTTTTTACAAAAATCAAAAGGTAAAAAAAATTCAAATACTCATTACAAAAAATCAATGTATCTTGAAAATACTGAGTAAACAAAATTTCTAATCATAGACAATTGACTTTGTTTACGTATAAGATATAAGATATTTTTGCAAACTGTCATTATTCACCTTAATTTTTTGACAAAAAAAAAAATAAAAATTCTTACATCAAATAATCAAAAATTTGATTATCTAAACAGATATTTGATTTAGTATTTTGCAATTTAAACATTCTATTAAATAATTATTTAATTTGATATTATAATAAAACATGATATAATCCTATTAGAAACTTAAAATAAAACTATTTTTTTCAATTTAAATATTATAAATTATTAATTTGATATTATAAAAAACATGATATAATCTTATTAAAAATTTAAAATAAAACAAGCACACAGAGTGTGTTTGGTCATGGGATTTCTATTTTTTTTAAAAAAAATAAAAAAAATAAAAATTGAAAATATAAAATTAAATATTTATTTTTTATTTATTATACTATATTAAAATTTAATTTTATATTTAAAATATATATTTAAATTTTACTATTCAAAATTCAAACTCAAACTACAAAACAAACACACCGTATTGTTTTCATGATATTTTTTATGCCTTTCACACTTGGGCCTTTGTCTAAACACCTCTAAAGTATATGACAAATATAGTAGACCCATTATATATGATGACTGACTTGAGATTTTTTATGTTTTTCTTTTGTTTAGTTTTGATTTTAATCAAAATTTGTAACTATTTAATATGTATGATCATTTAATAAAAAAAATATATTTTTTATATATAAAATATTATATTTGTTAGTTGTGAAGTAACACTTTAGGATTTTTTATTTTTTACTTTAAATAATAATTGGATGTAGTAGTATTTTATTATATATATATATTGAAAACTAGTGTTTAAACCCGTGCTATGCACAATATTATTATAATTAAATTTAATTGTTATATTAAATTTATTTAATTTTATAAATATTTGAAAATTACAAAGTAAATAAATAAATAAAGTTCTGTCTAAATAATCTATGAATGGTTTTCCATCTTTACAGGGCAATGTAAGAATCAAGAAAATGAAAGGAAAATGACTTTGATTTTGATATACTTTTAAGAGCATAATATTTTTAATTTAAAATATATATTGAACAAAAAATAAATTAAAAAATGAACATACAACTAGCAACTTTTGCCAAGAAAAAAGAAAAAAAAAAAGAAAGAGTTTTGAAGAATTGGATGATCACTACATTAGATCTTAGAAGTTTTAAATCATGCCATTTAAAAAATAAAAAATATATATTTTATTTTATTTTTTAAGTAAAAAAATTTAAAATAAAAAACTCCCAGAGTCAAACATACCTGAAAAGTAGTTAGTTTATTAATTTGCCTGGTCATTTTTTTATAGATATCAATTTGCCTCTCCCCCTACTTTTGTATGAGTCCATAAAGAATAGTTTGATAAACTCGTGAATGTGAAATCTAAGAATACAAACTCTGCAGTTTACTGCTCTAAAGATCATTGAATTTTTAAGCCTTTAAAAATAATACAATTAATATTAATATAATATTTTGTAAAAATAAATAAATATATAATAGTACAATATTTTTATTTTATATTTTTTTTTTAAAAAAAAGCTAATGGTAACGGGACCAGTTGGGTGCCAGCCAAAAGTAGACGACTTGCAATTTTGTTAAGTCACTCGCAATGTTATGTGCCACACGACATTTCCTTTTGCCCTTCTATATGCTACCTATGTTCGACTTTAAGGTCCAATTTGGATTGATATTTGAATATTAATTATTATATTGAAACATAGTACATGAAATCTTATAATATTACAATAACATTATACAAAAAAAATATAAAAATATTTTTAATATGTCACAAAAATAAATGAAACCTTAGAGCTTGGCTGATAGGAAGTACTATTTACAAAATCTATATATATATATATATAATGCAAACCCCGCGGTGTTTTGCGCTAATAATAAAATATTATATGGATATGGATGGATGGACTCGGTCTATTTACACATGACTTAACTTGACTCTAATTATCAAAATAAGCTTTTTACATTACATGCAAAGCCAAATTTCATAAGAAAGGCAAACTCCAATACTCAGAAATTACAACTGCATTTAATAAATAAATGAATAGAATAAAATAGAAGCTGAATATTTCCAACCTACAGGGACCACTAAACATGATCATATCAAGACACACACACACACAGACAACAACAGACATCTTCACAATTTCCAGACATCTTAGATTTTTCTAAGATGGAATCAAGAAAATTGCACCTACGATGACCATATCAACAGACCCTTTCATTCAAGAAATCTTAAAAATTTCAGTAGACAAAACACACACACACACACACACACATATATATATACACACACACACATAATACATACATATATATGATGTATATGCAGTATTCGTGTAACCCGGCTGTAGTAGTAGTAGTAATAGTGTGTACCTTTTTTTTACACTGTTGAGGAAGACGACGATGTATGAGATGCTGCCACAAGAGCTGCCCCGATGCCAGGCCCATCTTCGGTTGCCTTAATTATGACATGCTGTGCAATGTCATCACCTAGTATTTCTTTTACAGCTTCGTTTAGGTATTCTCTGAACATTGCATAGTTTGTGTATAAACTCCCCTCAACAGCCACCACCGTTCGCCTCACCTTGTTGTGTCCTCCGCCTTTGGTTTTCCCACTAGCAATTCCACCACTACCGTCACGGCCCATTTTCTTTAGTATTCCTACAATCCCTGCAGCTGCTAACCGGGCAGCTCTTCGGGTTACGACATCACATATCTTGACAATGAGCTTCCTAGCATTGAGAGGGACATTGGGGATCTGAAGTACAAGAAAGTAATAAAAATGATTTGATTATTAGTGTAGGTGTAAATTACTACTCTACTATTTTCCGTATTTCAAGTGTAACAGTCAATATGGAATTTCGATGATGATTGACCTCAAGGATATCCTTTAATATTCGGGCAACCTCGCTTAAGTCTGGAGATTCATCCTCGTGCATGGAAGCTATCGAAGGAGTCCTGAAAATTCCATAACATAGCAAATGATATGCATATTCTATAGAAGCAAAGACAGCTGAAGAACTATGTTGTAACAGATATAGGAAATGGTTAACAACGCACCTCAAAATGAAGGGCACGTGTAATGCAGATGAAACGGGTCCAAAAACATCCGACTCCTGTAACATCTGAAGAATCACTCTTCGTACAATATCTCCCAAATACATTCCTGATATCATTTTCTCAAAACCCTGCAGTGAAGTTCTAACCCGTCAGTTCCCATGTAGCATGAAGAAATTTTGATCCGGAAATCAAGCTATATAGAACCCAATCTAACCTGATCATTTGGATTAGGACTCTCACTATCCAGGTCTATATCATATGATGTTCTTGGCAAATGAGATGACCAAAAATTACCCCACTCCATGTTGACTACCTAACAGCATTTTAAAATATCATGAATCTTGGAAATTATCAAGAAAACCTAAAAAAATCATAATCTTGTTAATGTTGGTGATCACCATAGAAATAATACCATTGCTCCTGAAGGTGTAACTAGACCTTGGCACTTAATGATTGCATCTGCACGCTCCAAATAACAGGCGTTTGTACCTGTGCCAAAAACTACAGCTGCAACTGTGTCTTCATCATGAAAATGACCGAGAGCCAAAGTCCCCACAGTATCATTTATCTGCTTAAAGTAAGTATCAGCTTAAGCATTAAAATAGTACACCAGAACTTACATTGTTAACACAAAATGCAAACAGAAATTCTATGTCTGCTTCTACTACTGTAAAAAAAACACATGACTCACAGCTACAATATTACTTACATAAGAGGACAAAACTTTCCAGCTGGAGCCAAGCAAGCAAATCTATAAAGCTACTGCCTACTGAACCTAAAAGTCAGGCATGCTCTCTCAGCTCTTCTACTGACAACATATAATGAACCTAAATCAGTAGTAGTGGTCAGATCAACTAGCCCACAACTAGACTAGAACGACGATTAAAAAAAAGAGTCAACAACATCTATCCACCATATACTAACACTTGGACATAGAAAAGAGTCAACAACATCTATCCACCATATACCATCACTTGGACATAGCCATCCACCTAAAGACAATGGTGAGTTAAAAAGAAGATCCCTGCTAAGGAATCACATAATAATATCACATAAATGCTCATCAATGTGAGAAAATAGAATAAAATACATGTCAAACTCAAATCGAAACAGAAAAAAATAACATGAGGAATTGGCAATTTTCAAATTATTGCAAGATCACTATTCTCTAGTAAAAGTGACATTGGCTGCATCTCCTTTACTGCAATACAGAACAAGTTATAAGAACAAAAACTGCTATTGGCTCCCTATTAAGAGCTATGACACAGTTGATACCTCCTAGCTAGCAATCTATCCTCTATGAAAGTGGCTTTGTTCCATTCTGTATAGCCATATATATATATATATATGAATAGGCATTTAAATATCAATATCTAAAAGTAAATTTAAGTACATACAAGAACAGCCACTCGCATATCCAGGCCTTTCCGATTTATTGCTTGCTGCAGAAACTCAGAAATATCTCTCCCAACCTGTCCAAATAGTAATGTTATACTTAGCTCAGCAACTTCACTCATCTTATTAGCTACACAAATTTAGTAAATCAATTTTAGTGTTTCATCAGCTAACTAACAGAATACATCACCATTCACACATGTAAGGCCTTTAAAACTAAACAGAATGCCACTAACCAAGTCTTCAACAGAAAATCCTTTCGTCCAGTTGATCAGATAACCTGAAACTGATGATGTTTGTTTCACGGGAAATGAGAAAGTGAAGCCAAGTTCCCTCCGTTCTTGTTGTGAAGTAGCAGAAATCTCATCTTCCCTTTCAATGAAGTCCTTTAAGGTGGTTGCGATAAAATCAAAAAGCTCCTGTATAGAGAGAACAAGAATGACATCAGTATTTTAAGTCTCCAAATCCAAATATTCCATTAATCCAAAAAAGTTCCCAGCCACCTCGCTTGTGCTGGTCATTAGATCTTGTGGAATGGGCTGGAGCTCAATATCATGTTTGATAATAGATCCGTCGCCTCCTAACTGAACCCGCAATACTCGAAAATTTGTTCCTCCAAGATCTAGAGCATAATAGGTTCCTTTTTCATTCCTAGAAATAAGTAGCAATTAGTTGCAGGAGGTGATGATGAAACATCAAAGTCAAGAAGTTCCCATCCAAGATTAAGTTACAACTTTAACCAAGCATGCCGAAATAACAATCATAAGCTAGTTTGCATCAATTTAAGAATAAGTAGCCAGCGTAATTTGTATGGAAGCAAATAAAAAGAAATAGAAAAATTGTTCAATAGAATGACAAAGTAATTTAGAAAAATCAAAGTGGTAAAAGGCACATTAACTAAGACAAGATAGCATAAGTTAATTTCAATCATCATATGAATGTCCACAGTACTTTGTAACTTGCAGATAAAGAATATGAAAATGGTTATTGTTCAACATAAAAATGAGGTAAGACTTGAATGAGTATATGAGAGGGGATTCATTATCTTCATTGTGAAACTCCAACAAAGGAATAGCGCAATAGGAAGGCTAATATACAAACAAAAACATAAACCAGTAAAAAATGCACATATGTTGTTGCATTGAAATCAGGTAAGTGGATGTTGTCAAATATCTGGGAACCAACTCATTAACTATGCTGCAAATGATATAAATTTAGCTAAACTCAATAAAACACAAATGAAGGAACCAGCTGGCAAACACTGAATCTGTTCCCGAATTGATGAGTGTTACAAAATAGCATACAAACGTAACAAACCTAGGGGCTGCTGACAAAATAAATACACAACATTTGAGATGTCAGAGAGATAATACAGATGAACAGTTTCATTAAGTATTGCTCATGCTGGATAAATAACATCTAAACAGTATAGAAAAAATGTAAGGACATAAATGAAGATAAAGCTTTTAACAAAACGTAAAATGCCGAGGAAAACAGCAATTTGAAAATGCTAACACCTGTATACAAATTAAGGAAAAAAAAAATATTTACTAGACACAACAGAGGAAGCAGCAGAACACGACAATAACCCTAATTTACAAAAGACTGAAACTTATACCCACCATTCACCATGTGGAATCGTTGCCACATAAAAAACCTCACTCACAATCATATAGCGGAAGGATCGAATTCGGAGTTCGACAAAATCAACAAGACGCCGACTACCAGACACATGCAACAGATGGCCACACATATGCATAAATAATACATAATAAAGAAACAAAACCGCAAGTATACAGTGAAGCATGTCAGCTGTACCCAGTGGGGAGGCTATGCACATATGTGAGAAGCATCTTAAGCTTCGACCCGCCCTCCGACGCGAGACCAGCGTGCATCTCAACCGCCATAGCATCGACGACCTGCCTCAGCCGCACGACGGAGGTAACGCAGTCTTCTTCAAGCTCCTCCACTACCCTCACCGCCCTAGTCCACGCCCTCCGCCGCCTCACACTCCTCCCGACCACAACTGCAGCCACAACGCATGCCGCAACCGCACACCCCGCCGCCAAAGCAGCCGCCAACTTCCCCATGCCTCCTCCGCCGCCGCACCACTCCCCTCCTAACTTCCCAAACTCAAAAAAACGAAATAAAATTCAATCAACCATACTCGCCACAAACCAGACCACAACATCTATCCAAAAACACGCCTCGACGATCGGATTCCCCGACGAGCTCCGCCGAACACAATACGACGGCGTATCACTTATCAGCATCCGAATCAAACGAACCTGAATCCAAGCCCTACAAAATCAGCCAGAGGATTCAAACAGCGTCTATCAGCTACTGATTTCTCCCCCTCCTTCGCCAGCGCAGAATCGAACCGCTGCCAAAAGCGAAATCTTTCCGATACGCAGAGATGGAAGGAGAGAGAGGAATTAATGGCGAAAGTTCATACGAAGAACTTGGAAAGCGAACCATTGGGTACTTATAAGGGATCCGAAATGACAGATTTACCCTCGAACAAAAATGAAATTCCTGATTTGTGGATACCGCTTTGACCGTCGAGCGTGGAAATTTGAAAAAAACTAGCTGCCACATAGGATCCCTCCCCTAGTAAAATGAAAAGACCTTCTTACCCCTGCCTTTTGGTGGTCAAATAGGGTTGTTATTATTTTTGATTTGCTTCTAGAAGTTTGAACCCTCCTCCATTACATTACATGGATTTTATTTGTACACCTTTCAAATTGAAATGATGTGACAAGATTGTCCGCGTGTTTATTCATATTACAAACATTATTATTCTATAACTATTTTTTTAATTCACTTTTCCCTAATATATATTTCATCGATCAATGTCTTCCCAAGATTTTTCTAATGTCAAATTAATTTCAAACTTCTTCCCAAAATGGACATATCAGCTGCGGTGCTCCATTAGTAGTCCCAGTCCAGAGTTATTGGCAGGCAGTCCAGGGAGTTGAAGTCCCGAGATAATCGAGGCCGTTGAGACAAAAAGTAAAGGGGGACAGGCACGAGAGGCAAAACGGCGACGTATTAGCTGCGTGCGTAATCCGGTGCAGCGCACCGTACGTGGCGCCAGCTGTGATCCGCTAACTCCCAGCTGTTAGATCAGAAAAAGGTATCTGCATCCAACCGTTGATTTCCTGGCGCCATAAATTTCCCTCTCACCCTGTCTCTCTGCACATAACAGAAATAAAAATAATAATAAAATATTAATATTTATTTATTTATATACTTTATTTCGAATTAGATTTGGGCTCTAAAAAAAGAGTGTGGCAAATGCATTCACACACACACACACACAATATTGAAATTGAATGCCCATATGCAAACATAAATATGAATATAAATATAAATATAATAGTAATAAATACATATATGCACACACAATTATTAATGGTATTATTAATATTATTGCAGCATTGATATTTTGATGCTACATTTGATTCTTGCCAACTCTATTTAAAGAAAGGTGATGGGAGTATTTAATATTAGCGCTCATTCTTCAATTCAATAATGTGCAAACTAAATTGGTTGAATTCCATAATAATAATAATAATAATAATAATAATAATAATATAATTTTTTTTTATTATTATTATATGTTTACAGGGTGTGGGTGATGATAAATATTGTGGTGTCATGAAAGCCATTAGATCATATTAGCACTTACATATATGTCTTAAGACTGTTTTGTAATTAAGAGAGTTTTTTTTTTTTTTTTTGTAATTTTGAGTTTTATTTAAAGAAATAGATATATAGTGTGATGTACTCCCTTCGTCCCATATATTTTGGACATATTACTGTAGATACGAGAGTTTATGTAAAATATAATTAGTAAGTAATTAATAAATATATTAGTAAAAATAATTATATATTAAAATTAAAATAAAGTAAATAGTTTAATTAAAGTGGATAATAATATTTTCAGAGAAAAGAAAATGACAAGTTATGTGAGACGAACGAAAATAGAAAATAAAGACAAATTATGTGGGACGAATAAAGTATATTGAAAAGATATTTAAAATTAAAATATATATTGTAAATTAAAATAAATATTAATATGTGGTATTTGAAATATACATACAGTATTCTGTTTGTGTGAGAATATGTTTCCAACTTAATTTTAACCCAATTTATGACAATTATATTTTTTCAAAAAAACAATATATATCATATTAAATATATTTTTTTAATAAAATAACACATAAAATATATCACACTACTTGCAAAATATTGAAACTTTCAAAAACTTATATATATTTAAACGAAGCCATGAGATAAAATTAAAGAAAGATAAAAATAGAGAAATACACATGCATAGAGTTGATGATTGGCTGTTGTTGATTTGCATTTGAGCTCTCTCTGTATGTGTGTTGTCTTCATGGTAATCATTGCTTTCTTCAAATTTCAAATCACAAACCTCCTTGGATATCTAGAATGTTCCTTTGTAAAACTATACTTCCGACCTCCCATAAATATAGTCTTAATTTGACTGAACACGAGATTTAAAAAATATTAATATTATATTAGTAGTAGTTAGTAAAAATATGGATAAAAAACTTTTTTGCTCTTGTGAGTGTTTTAGTGTAAAAAATAATGGCAATTGTGTAATAAAAATAAAAAAGTAAGGGTCATTTTACGGTGATATGGTTATTTATGGAAACAATACTATTGTTTTGGAATGAACAAAAATAATATATAAGACTATTGTATTGAAATGAAAGAAGTATATTTTTTGTTTTAATATTTTTATAAAAGAATGTGAAATTAAAATAATTAATACATACAGTATATTATACTCCATATCTCTCACATCTTGTATTCATATTGTTATTTGTCCTACATATCATATTTTACTATTATCTAAAAAAACAAAAACACAAATTAATTATAATTTTTTATTTTCTAATCTACAATTCTATTGACTTTAATTTAAACTAAATAGTTCCGTAATTTATAATTATTTATATTATATCATAATTATTTTTATTAATATGCTTCTTTTTTTTTATTATTTCTTAATTATACGAGTTTTATAATATCATATCTATAGTGTACACGAATACAACATAATTACGGTAATATAAAAATAAAAAATAATTGAACATAACAAATTATGAAAAATGCAAACTATAAACATTAAATAAATTAATATTCCCTTCGACGTAGTTATCAATGTATTAAATTTTGATCGGAGCAAAATTAATATAATAATTATATTCATGATTTCACGGTCACAAGTTCACTCCCATACCACAAGTCATTCCTTACGGAAAGATTTTGTATAAATATTGTAAAAATTATTTTAAAAAATTACTTGTAATATTGTATTTCTACACATTTTTTAAAAAATACATATTATATTTAAAAATTCCTTACATTTTTTAAATTTTATGTATGCTAATACTACATAGATATATTTATTTATTGATTGATATTATATATAGTTTTATTATCTATAAATATATTGATTATAATTGAATTATAAATTTTGAAATACCTAAACATTTCATCTATATATATATATAGAATCAATTTCTAAATATATATATATATTATTATTTCATGTAACTATGTAAGTAATTTGTTTTAAGCCATCCTCACAATGCTAAAAACAAAAATAAAAGGAAAATGAAACGTGACCAAACAGGAAATAAAAGACAGACAAAACTCTGCATTATTAAATAAAAAAGATTCTCAAAATTGTCAAAATTTGGCCTGAGAAAGTGTCGTTTTATTTATTCACTCACGAAAATTTATTCTACATTTTCAATACTACAATATTTTAATTAGATATTTTTTCCACTAAAAAAATATATGTATATATAATAGGTAAAAGTAAAATACGAAAAAAGCAAGGCGTGCACACATGTCGCATCATGATTGGTGAACAGAATTATATCGTTGGTCAAAAAGTCAAATTTACAATAATTCTTATCACATTGCCACATATGTATTTTGATTAAATTAATACTCCATCCGACTCACTTATCATGTTCATATTGTCATTTTTGTCCGTCTTATATTTCATTTTCACTTTTTTTTTTTTCAAAAAATAATTATTCATTTTAATCTTATTTTAAATTTTCTAATTTTTTTTTATTTTAATTAAAATAATTCGTTATCTTAATCTTAATCTATAATAATTTATATTATAAGTTAATTATTTTCAATAATGCATTCTTAATTATCTAGTAATTATATTTATCATAAATTATCGGTTTACAGTGACCACGACATCCAATGTGGGACGAAAGTAGTACTATTTTTTACTCTATCCGTCTCATTTAACATGTCCATGTTGCCATTTTTGTCTGTTCATATCACTTTCATTTTATAGAAAATGATCATTTTATATTTTCTAACCATAATTTTTTTAAATTTTAATTAAATAAATTAGTCATCTTAATTTTAATCTATAATAATTGATATTATAAGTTAATTATTTATAATAATATATTTTTAAGTATAAACTAATTATATTTATTATAAATTCCCGTCTTTATCGTAATTAGGACACCCAATGCGGAGAGAGTAAAATTTTTAAATGATGCAATAAGGCATGCAAGTGTAAGAAAAATAATATAATTAAAAAAAATAAAAGTAGGTTATTTTAGGTGTGGCATTACATTGGGCGTAGAGTCTGGTGTCGGCACGAGCCGTTGTGCAAAGCTCTCCATCAGTCGACACGTGTCCGGTTCCCCATTCGGACAGCTGTAATCATTTGTGTGCCGATTTTGCCCCTGCTCCGAGCCGCCGCGTAGCATTTCGTCCGTCACTCCTATCACGTGAGACTGGACACGTCATCTGCTGCATCACCTGACAGAGTGGGCCCCAATTTGAGTCACTCTGAACGGTCTTTGTTTATTTGGTTCCCACGGAAAGGCGCCGTTTGGTGAAAAAAACAAATTAATATGAAAATTTAGTGAAAATGATGTTTGAGCCTTTGTACTCGCTCAGCCAGTTAGAAAATATATATATTTTTATTTTGAAATATTCAATAACAAAGTAAATATTTTATTAAATATTTTAATTTTTTTTTCAAATATTTTTACGTTACATCGCATCATTATTTTTATATCAAAAACTAAAGACAAAAATATTATTACACTATTTTTAACTATCCACTGTAATTAAACAGGGAGAGTACAAGTTTTTTTGCTAATTTCATCTCACAGTATGCCTATGTCATTTTTTTAGTTCTACCGTTGCATATATATGTATGAAAATTTATAAATTAAATTGAAATTAGAACAATAATATCTTAGGATTTTTTTAGTATTTATTGTATGCTTTATATATTGAATTTTGATTTTGATTTTGATTTTTAAAAAACATATATTTATATAAAATTATAAAAATAAATTAAAAACCCAACACACCTTACCTCAAATTGATTGTACTAGACTAGATTATTAATATTATTACTCTCTTCTTCCCACATAATTTGTTTTTATTTTTTATTTTCGTTCGTTCTCACGTAATTTGTCATTTTTTTTTGGAAAAATAATTATACATTTTAATTTTTATATTTTTTTAAAAATTTTAATAAAATATTTAGTTATTTTAATTTTAATCTATAATTATTTTTATTTTATAATAATTATTTTTACTAATATAAATATTAATTAATCATTAATTATATTTTACATAAATTCTTGTATCTATAATAATAATAATAATAATAATAATAATACGCCAATATTTACAGTAAGTTACAGCAGTACTTCTATCTTGTCCATTCTGCATGCATATATTGTTAATTACGTGAAATTTTAATAGGATAATTTAAATCATTTTTATATATTTAGTTGAAATATTCTACAAATTAATAGAATTCACATAATGAAAAATATAAAAGATTAAAGTAATGTGTAAATGTGTGTTTCTTTGGATTTTAATTGAAAATACTTAGTTTGATTTTATCTAAATAATATTTAAAAATATGTATTTTTTTTAAATAAAAAAAATATACCATCCCCCAACAGTAAAATTTGAAAGATAAAATTCTTCGAAAACATATAAAGATAATATATATATATATATATATAGATAATATCATGTATGTTACATAGATAAATTAATTTGGGTGTGTTTGTTTGGAGGATTCTCAAAGATTTTCACTATTCATCAATTTTTTCTCTTCCAAAAATATCAAATCAAACACTTATTTTTTATTTGTTGTATTATACTAAAATCAATTTTACATTCAAAACATCACATCAACGTCTATTTATATCACATCATACAACTATTCTAATTCAAAATTTTTACTATTCAAATCTCAATCTCAAACAAACACACCCTAAGACTAGAGAAGTCAAAAAGGCTCATGTACTAAAAAAAACATGCATGAGAATACTTGTGTTTAACTCCCGGCTTTGGTTGATTTTGATGTTTAAACTGCTGCTTAGTGGTGGTCAATTTTTTGCATTAGCAATAAATAAATAAATATATATATATATAAAAGGTGGCCCCACAACATATTATACAACGTAACTAATTAAAAAAAAATTATAAGTCAAAAGGGCCATAAATCAAAGTACAAATTTTGCATTTTCGGTAGCGACTGCGGGTTTTCACGTCATTAAAAAAAAAAAAAAAAAAGTGCAAATTTTTTATCAATGACATGAGAAAGCTGGATTCTAATACTAGTATTTCCATAATCAAAGTACTAGACTTGTCTTCTTCATATGTATGCTAGTTTTTTGTATTATTTATTTATTTGTGATTATATTGATATATATATATATAGGAGTTGTGGAACTTACATTGATCCATGTGCCGCTCTGCTCTAGCTCCTTTACATTGTCATCCTCATTCCGTTGCAAAACATTTGAACCATATTCAAATATGGCCATGTCAAAAATCAATGAGTAACTCCTTACACAAAAGAAAATAAAATATGATTAAATATAAAATAACATGTAATTAATTTTCACTGTCACAAATATGATTATTATTACCTTAAACTATATTATCACAAGATTATTTTAGAGAAAATGAGAATTTAGGGTAGTCCCATAAATTTATCACAAAAGTAAATGAATAATAATAATAATAATAATGAATCTATATTTAACCATTACCTTCAATTTAATATTTTATATACAATCAATGTCACTATTTTTATTATTTTTATTTTTTAATTACTAATTAAAATTTCAAATATACTCTCCACTAATTTTCTTTTCTTATTTTTTAAAAAAAACATTTTTTTTTTAAAAAAAAATCGTTCCATTTTTACTGGACAAATGAAATATTGATTTATACATATAATAATTTTATACATAAAATCATAAAGCAAAAATATAAAAATTTTTACACATCTTTACTAACTAATAAAATTTCATTCTAACCTCTCATAAGGTATAGTTTTTAAACATATTTTCATTAAGAACAAATTTTTGTTGAAGAATCTCACATTACTAATGGTTGGAAGCTGCTCTTGCTTATAAGTTGTAAGTCTTTCACAACTTCATTTATTACTAATTGATTTTAAATAAAACTTGGAATCCATTCTTAATATAACAACAAAGTTATAGTTAGTCCTTTTAGATTATAAAATCGACAACTTTATTTATTGCTAATTGATTTTAAAATAAAACTTGGTATCCATTCTTAATAACAAAGCCATAGTTAGTCTTTCTAGATTATAAAATTGACAACTTCACTTATTACTAGTTGATTTTTTTAAGATAAAACTTGGTATCTATTCTTAAATAACAACAAAGCCAAAGTTAGACAGTCGAGATTATATATAGCATCTTGAACGGGAATGTTAAAGAATCCCTTTCAACCCTTAAGCATAAAGAAGCAAGAATTGGTTTAATATAAAATTTCAAGAATGGGAGGCATGCAATTATTGGAGTAATCATATTTAGCAACTAACCTTTATTTATGGATGATCATGATCGAATCTGTAAGGATTTCAATTGATTCATCATCCCCCGACGATCATCCCTGTCAAGTCTCTGCCTCTGGAGTTTTTTTCAACGTTGACAACCCAACCAGTAGGCTTAATGTCCTCGATCGGAATGCAGCGCCAATCCAAGAAAATTTCCTGTTTCGGATCCGCAATTTTGTCGAATTCCGTCAATTCATCCGCGTTCAAATCCGAATAATCTTCACCGTCGCCATTGTTATCCCAATTGATCTCATCGATGTACATATCAGGGCTGGGAATGAACCCTAATTGGGGAAAATCGACTGGCTGGCCGTGAATTCGCGCGAAGTACGCCGCCTTCGCGCGGCGGAACGCCTCCTCGGCGGCGGAGTCGTTCCAGTCGAAGATCTTCGGCGCGAGTTCGGTTTGCTTCTTCGCTTGCACAAAATTCGCCCAATTGAATCGCCCGATTTCGTAGCAGAATTCCTTCTCCCACGACGGAACCGCCGGCACCCAAATTGCTGCCAATGACGAAACCCTAATTATCAGAAATCGCCGAATTCATCCATCCCAAATTCATCAAATCATAATTCGAAAACACAATTAATCAACGAAGAAAGAAGCCAAATCGAATCGAATCGAATGGAGCGCGTACTTTTGTGCGATTTCTGGTGTTTTCTCGATCGGCGGTGCATGCATGGCGATGGCGATGGCGATGGCGTCCTGATCTTGCCGTCGCCGAATATCCTCATCTTCTTCCCCATAGCTTGATTGAAGAACAGGATCGTTTAATTGAGCGATAGAGATGAATCCAGTGGCTAGAGACGTTTCGAATTAGGAATCAGATATATATATATATACATACATACATACATGTGTTGATGATAGGTCGGTTTGATTGTACGTTAGCTCACATTTGAATGTTTCTTTTGCGGCTGATGAATCATTCTTCCAAAGCACGAGTTTATCTCTTTCCTTCCTTGCGTCTAATATTAATTTCCTAATTAAGTAAATACCAAAATCAAAATGATCATGGATGGTGAAATTAATTTTTGTCATTAATTGTGAAGATTAATTAGTTACTAGACTTTGACCTCATGCTCACAAATTCAACCATCACACCAACCGGTCATATCTTGTAGAGCTACATTTTTATTATCTTTTATCTTTATAAAAAATAGTGTATTTGTTTGTGGGGTTTTTATTTTGCTATTCTAAATAATTTTTTTCCCTCGAATCAAATTAAACATATATTATTTTTTATTTATTATATTATATTAAAATCAATTTTTTATATTCAAAATATTATATTAATACATATTTATATAAAATCAATTAATTATTTTAATTCAAAATTTTATTATTTAAAATTCAAATTTAAACTCAAACTCAAATATTTATTTATATCATATTAAATAGTATTATTTTAATTCAAAAAAATAAAAAGAAAGAAAGAAACACAGTCACCGCACTTTCAAATAGTGATTGCAAATTCTCGTATCATAGAAATAATAAAAATATAATAATAATAATAAACCGAATACATACATTAAAAATTTCCACTTTATTACTTAATAACTCACAGATACAAACATACAACATATATCAGTGTCGCTGTAACACTCACTCTGTTCCATAATACAAACACAAAAAATTTAGTTACAACTTATCATTATTATTAGCTACATCGAACACATCAAATGCCTCTTCTTCTTCTTCTTCTTCTTCTTCTCTCTCTCTCTATATATATATGTATATGCCAGACCTAATCCTTGTCTCTCCTCTACCTCCTTTGGGGTCAGTCTCCCACACTTTCACCTGTTCTTCGCATCAGAGGCTGCAAGCACGATGAACGGACGCCGAAGCCAGTTCCAGCCGGTTGAAAAGGCAACATGATATGCATGGCCTCGTCAAGATTCATCTGTAGCCGCGATGATTAAAAATGCCGTGCAAGAAATATGCACAAGTAGTTTTTACGAGTACCAATTGTAGTGGCTTCTTTCTGAGGAGTTTCCGAATGACCTCCAAGGGTCGTGCCAGTTTCGCCGGCTGCTGCTGCTGTAATGGATATCCGAATGGTGCTTCATCGGATTGTTTCCGTTGCCTCGGTTTGCCGCATTTCGTGTCTCTTCTTCCAAATCATACCTCGACCGCTGTTAAAAGAAACAAGGATTGTGTGCCATGCGAGGAATTGATGCGAATCGTGTATGTATTGTACGATTGTGATTACCTTTGCGCTGTCTGAAAGCACTGCGTAGGCTTCTCCGATCATTTTGAAGAGCCTGTCTGCGTCTTTATGTACCTCTTTGGCTATTTCCTTCCACATGACGTCGTCCGTGTTTTCATTTCTAATCAAGGATTGAACAGCCTACATCGATAAATGTCTCGTAAATAAAGAATTGATCAATGAAGCTATATGTATGTATATGCGTATATATTTCAAACCTTATCCGGATGATACTTTAACGCGGCTTTGCGATAAGCCTTCTTAATGTCGGATGCTGAAGCTGCCGGATCAACTCCCCTGTAACGACGCAGGAAGTTAAATACACTATTCTGACAATTCAACAATGTCGACGAACAAAATGTCTTAAAATGGCGGATGAGGATTAAAAAAGTACTTACAAAATGCGGTACATATTCAAGGGAATCTCGCTTCTAGATGCTTCTTCCATTTCCGAAAGTTTGAAACCAGCTTGTCTGAGCTCGTTGGCGCACTCCGTTTTGTTACCGGATTGATTTATTTTCTTATCTAGTTCATTGGTGAGGAGAGAAACAAGTTTTCGGAGATCTGCAACGGCCTGACTGTAATCTCTGATCATCTCATAAAGCGCGGCTCGTCTAGACAGGGCCTGCAACGGTACAAAGTCCCGTGAGAATGTTTTTCAAACAGGGTTATATAACGACCGGAGAACTTTTTGTAAACCTTGTAATAACTCCCATCGAGGGCGATTGCAATGCAGCAATCTGCAATGGCGTCGATGATCTGACCCAACGAGCGATTTGCAGCCGCACGGTTGCAGAAACATATTGCTGCAAAAGGACGTGACTCGACAGACTGTGATATTGCGGCAGTGTAATGTTCGATGGCTTCGGCATGCTTTCCTGATTTGTAGGCTTCGTTTCCTGCAGCCTAGAAAGCGAAGGTTTTTTCATCGTCAAAATATTCGGCATTCATCCGCCAAGATCAAATTTTTACAATCATCAAATTTTTACCTTAAGCTTTAATAACTTGTCTATGGTGCCAACCAAAGGAATCTCAGATTCAAGGGACCGGCTTTCTCCACTGAGGATTCAATAGAGATCAACAAAATTCGATGATAAGAAAAGTTAAAAGTGCTCTTAAAGACAAACCAAATGTCATCTCCACTGAGGATTCAATAGAGATCAACAAAATTCGATGAAAGAAAAGTTAAAAGTGCTCTTAAAGACAAACCATATTGACATTACCGTTGCACGAGTGATGCAGCAGATACCTCTTGCTTTTTCACGTAACTGTTTGCTTCCTCGAGTTTTCCCTGGTAGAAATAGGCCTTTACGATCAACGATACACACCAGATCCTGAATGAGGAAGGCCCCTTTACATCAGAACTTTTGACGCCGTCAACACCACACTGAAAATTTGAATCTGCCAAACCAAGAGTCTGCTGGCAGAATTGTATCAGCTCTTCGTATTTTTTCAGCTGTAATTTTATTAAGAGAGTGGAACAATGCCGCCTTTAAGACATACGTGTATTAACAACTTGAAAGAGGCCAGCAAGTAGGATGTTTTCTAGACATGAGTCCTTACCGAAAGAAGAGCATCGACTTTCATCTGAAACAATTTATACGAATAAGGGCTTATCCTCAATCCATCAGAAATGGCACTTACAGCACAATCTACATCACCAGATGATCTCCGTCCCAAAAGATCGGCAGCCTGTTTTATGCATTCTGCAACTTTCTGCAAGCCAGTTTAATGAAGAACAGAAAATAAGTGACTCGTACTTTTTGTTAGGGTGAAACCCAGATTTTGGACATGGAGATGACATTTACGGTATTGATGAGTTATGCATCGAAGAAACAGGCCACATGTAAAAACTAACTACAAACTCTTGTACTTAAATGATAGTATTTACGAGATATACTTGACCGCGCATGATCATAAAATACTCCTAATCTCATCGATATAAAGTTCATCCACCTTTGCATTCTCAAGTCCCTCCAAAGCTTCAATAAAAACTTTATTCTCCGCACGACCATCTTGCAAGCACTTGGTAAAATGCAGAGTTGCATTCTCAACTTCCCCTAGGGAAAGGTAACAGCTTCAAAATTGAAAAACAAGTCACGAAGGAATAGAAATAATTTTCTAACACAGCCGAAAGGTAAAAAGGAAAATGTCTTACTTGGCAGCTCGAACTTGCACCTTCAGGAAACTTGAGTCTAATTTAGAAGCTCTGATGCAGTCTTCTAATGCTTCTCTGATCCTTCCAAGCGATATGCGCGTCGCAGCACGATTACTGTAGCACAACATTAGAGCCTTAGATTCGTCGTTCGGAGACACACAGCGAATTCCTTGAGTGTAGCAATCTTCGGCTCTTAAGAAATCCCCCTTCGCATACGCTTGATTCCCCCTAACATGGAATGAACCGATGATTGATAAATACGACAAAGATTCATATCGGTAAACACAACTTGGATTTGTTTACACTAAGATTTTTGCAAGTGAAATGTTTTTCTCAATAGGGAAGGAATAGATTTGTCGCAAAGACTTCTTTAATGTCGAATGAGCTGATAGATATTTCATGAAATTGAAACACTATTATATTACCTATATTCGATTCCATAAATTAAAAGAACGAAATAATCGAGGCGTAAATGAATACACACCTCAACCGCCAAGTTTCGCAAGATTCCTGCCCTGCAATGCTGAATGCTGCATCAGAGCATTGCTTGGCAATCAATTCATTATGCTCTCGAGATGATGATGATGATCCCGAAACTTGAAACGACCGGAGCTGCAATAAAGCGTGCGGATCTTCATAACCTGCTACTGTAATAGATGAATCAGGACTAGTTTTTGCTTGATTTCTCTTCTTCATCAACACCGAACTATTCGCTAAAGAACAGGACGGAGCAGAAAAAGTGAAACAACTCTGCAGCGTCGCATCTTTCATCAATCCTGACTCACCATCACCGTTCTGTTCCTCGACTTTCAAGCTTCCCCCTGTCTCTGCTCCGAAAACAAACAAATCAGCCGTGCTGCAATCTAACTCATCGGCTGCAGACTTGAAGCTTTCACTCTCGGCCACGGAAACAGAGTCTTCCTCCGGACTATCGGGGTTAGCACCTCCATTGACAACACTTGAGGACTCCTCCGATCCCACCGAATTCTCCCTCGAAAAACTACCATTTCCCCACACCTCGTCGCGCGGCGAAAGCTCCATCGGCGTGAAGAATCCATACGATTCTGTGTGCGATTCCTGCAAAGTTTCCTGAAACACAAATCCTTGCTGGAAATTCATGGCAGTCTTCTTCTTCCCCTTCACCTTCCCCTTTCCTTTGTTTCTCCTTGATCCACTGTCCTTACTCGATTCCTTCTTCGCCTCGATTTTCATCAATGGACCGAACAATGGTCGTGTCTTCAAATCAGGCGTCTTGAATTCGATGCTTTGCGGCAATGTACCCCCTTCCAGCTTGGAACCGAAACTGAATTCGAATTTTCTGTCGTCTTTACCCTGCTCTTCTTCCATGTTCGAATTCTTCGTGTCGGTTGGGAGCTCATCCACATTACCACCATCGAATTGGACTGAATTAATTTCCAATTTCCCCATAGCATCGCTCGTCTTCTTCTCATCGTCAATGGCGTCGGTCTGATTGCTAGCTGAATCGCTCTTATCAGTCCGATTACCGTTGTTTGCACCAAACACAAATCCACAGCCTACATTCTGTTGATTCGATTCCAAATTAGGTCTAGAAGCATCGCCGCGGCCCGAATCGTTGAAACTCGACCCGATTACGGGCACCACGGACCTCAACAAATTGGGGCGGTGACCCGCCGAGGGTTTCCGAACCTTCGCGAACCGCGGCGGACGGGAAAGTCCGGCGGCGGCGGGGGGCTTTGGAGAGCCGCCCAATGACGGCGAGCTGAACCCGAAATTCGGATCCATTCGATCCGACGGCTCAAAACAATCGCCGTTCAACGAATAGAAATTCGAATTATAAACCTGACGGCTACGAGACGACGGCGACGGCGACGGCGACGGCGGTGGGTGGAAGTCAACGATGGCCGGCGACATAAGTCATCAACTCCGGCGCCGGATGGATCCCGATCCCGATCATCTATCTATCTCCGGAAGATCGGCAACAGCATCGGAGGTATTCCTGGATCATAATTTGTTCTTCGCAGAATCGAGAAGAGATAGATGCAGAAATGGGGGAAATTAATTTCGATTACTTCCGCGGGAAGGAAGATCTAAGATCAGATGAGTGGGAAATGGAAAAGCGTCCTTTCGCACGAATCACGACCGGCATATCCCTCTCGTTCTTGATTAGATTAATTATTGAATTTGAAGGGATCAACGGACACGTCAGACCAACACTCTGGATTTCGAACCAGCAGTAAAAATCAAACGAATGGTCAAACGAAAGAACAAAGTCGATTAATTAAGAATCGACGAAATTACTGAGAATGATTGAACATTTTGGACGACATTGGGGTGGGTTTAGGTGGATTGTTGGTTAGAAAAAGAGGAGTCTTGATTTGATCTTTTTTGGAAGAAGGGTGTTGTCCGTCAAATGTGATTTAAACCCTAAATTGAAAATTGGGGGAGAAAGAAACAAGTGGCAAATTAGTTCTCCTTGAATCAAGGAAGATGGAGGTGGGCTGTCTGTCTTGTCTTCCTCCACCTTCAATCTTTCTCTTCCCATCAAATAAGGTTGTCTCCAAATAAATGCAACTGATATATAACTGTGTTCAGTATGTGTCTTTTCTTTTTTCCTTTATTTTAAATAAAAAAATTATACGGAGTATTATAAAAAATAGTCTATACGCCCGAGTCTAAGAATATCCTTTATCTTTTGCGTTATTGTATATAACATTAAAAATATCTTTATATTTATATAAGTTTTTGCACAAATATCATTATAATAGTAGTATTATAAGATATAGTAGAAGTATTTTGTCATTTTATCTTAATTTGTAGTACGTTTTTATATAATAATTAATATTCAAATATCCAAAAAAGAAATAAGACCGTTCGAGTCGAATGGAAGTAATAATAAACAATACACCCTTTGTCTCAATTATAATGTCATATTTATTGTGGATACAAAAATTTAAAAATAGTATGATTAATAAATACTTAAAAATATACAATATAGTATAAATAATTATATATTAAGATAACTAATTAGTTTAATACAAAATTTGAAAAAATATACCCCTACACACTTTTAAGAAATAATAGTATTTTAATTATAGTGGGTAATTAAAAGTAGTAAAATGACATTTTTGCCCTTCTTTTTTGGTGTAAAAGTAAGGATGTGATGTAAAGTAAAAGTATTTGTGAAAAAAAAAGATATTTAATGAAATATTTAATTTGTAATTTGATGTCCCAAAATAGAAATATATATACTTTATATCTGGAGAGAAGGAGTATAAAATTTAAAATATAAATATAAATATTTTATCAGAATATAAAATGATATAATATGTGAGAGAACAAAAATGAAAATTTTGACATAATATATGCTACCAGAGAGTATTTCAAACAGGGCCAATTTAATTTTGGGCCTATATTTGAATATGTGCTGTGCGCAAGCCACTTCAATTTTGCTCAGGGGTGTGTTTGTTTTGGGGATTTGATTGGATTTATACTATTTATTCAATTTTTTTTTAAAAAAATATTAAATCAAACACCTATTTTTTATTTTTTATATTATACTAAAAATCAATTTTACATTCAAAATATCAAATCAACGCCTATTTATATCACATCATACAACTATTCAAATTCAAAATCTTTACTGTTCAAATCCCAACTCAAAATCCAAACCCCCGAACGAACACACCCTAATTCTACTCGTAAAATTGAAATTTTTGAAAACATAATAGAGTATATTGTTATTTAAATAGAATTTATTTAAAGATTATATAGTGAAATGGACCACACTATTTTTCAATTGATTTAAATAAAAAGTATAAAAATTCATTTAGCAGGCGGATTATTGTTCTACTGCTCTATACATTCTATTTGTCTGTAGGATTTGGTAGGAGTTTTACTATATTGGTATTTTCATATTTTTGGAAAATTATTTTTAGTGTGAATATATATTTTTTTGTGTTTTATAGTATAAAAATATCAAAAAATAATATTCCATATGTCATAAAAAATAAATTTGTTTAATTTTTTCAAGTAAAAAATCATAATACTACTATTTTTTATTATAAAATTAAAAAATATTATAATTTGTATTAAAAGTAAATAAGTTTATTTTTTTTATGATCGAAGGAATATATCTTTTTATTTAAAAAAAATAACATTATTTTATGACAATCTAAAAAAATATTGTAGTAAAAATAAAATTGAATGGCATAGAGAATACGGATTTGTTCGAGCTGTAATTTTATATGGATATAATTTTTAAGTTAGGTACCTGGAATTATATTAGTAATATAAAAAATAACTTTTTGTATTGAATAATTGATTTATTATGATTTATGAATGAATAAAAAATATATTCGCTCCGTTCTTTAACAATCTATCTATTTTTTTCATTTTAGTCCGTGTCATAACAAGATATTTATTTTCTTTTTAAGTAATTGTACTATCTACTAACATTACAAATACTCTTACAGTTTACAATATATTACATAAATGTCATTATTTTTATATCATACAGCAGTACTAATAAGGTTAGTTTAGTATTTTTTACTTTTATTTTTACTAAATCATAATATAATATTAATATTTTTAAAATTTTGTATAAAAAATAAATAGATAGATAAATATGAGACTGAAAGAATATATAGATTTGGTGAATTTGCTGAAAACTTTGTTGCCCGAAAATTTCATAAAACCTATTTGTGGTTTCTAAAATGTTGCACGTTCGTCCACTCCTTTTATACCCCTGTTTAAATTACATTCTTCTTCCTGGCCTGTTCGTCCCTGCGCCATCTTCTTCTTCTCCGTTCATTTTTTTTTTTTCTATCTTCCGTCTTTCCCTTATCTTCTTCTTCCCTCCTTATGCATCTTTTTCTTCTTTCTCTATTTACATAATTCTTCTTCTTCCTTTCCACCATCTCTCTCTATATATTTTTCTATCTTTGTGTATAAAATACATTTTGCAACAACACTCATTGTTCTAATTGCATTGTAACATCAAATTTGAGTGTAATCTAAATAAAAAAAACCATATCATAAATCTTCAATTCAAAACACACACAAAAATAGAATTTGGGAATGAAGAATCAGAAATGTGGATAAAATAAATAGAATTGAAACAATAAATTTTTAATATTAAATCAAATAAATTTCTTCAAAATAAAAGTAATGAAAATCACCCAAAAAATATCTCGTCTCATATTTCCAATTCTTTTTAGGCGCGATCTTACCAACCCAATTTCGAAAAAATCGTACTTGACCCGACCCGTAATTCGTCTAATAGCAACGCAGAACCAAATCTAGATGGGCAGCATGACAGGTTTGATTTTTGGGTCTGGGCGAAAAACAAGAATATGGTCGTAGCGGTCGGACTCGGCGCGGGCGGTGGAGAGAAGAGGCTGAGGCAGCGACTAGAATAGGGAAGAGTGAAGTCTGACTTATCATCGGAAGAGAAAATCCAATGAGACTGGAAATCCCCAAATTCAAGCACAGGATGAGAAGAAAAATAATTAAGTAAATTATTGGAGAAGGAAAAAGGTAATTTTGTAACTTTCAATAACACACGCAGTGATCGCGTGTACAATACAATCTCCTGTAAATATTAACGATGAGAGTATTTTTTGCAACATTTTAGAAATCACAAATAGATTTTATGGAATTTTCGAACCACGTAGAATTTATATGCTATTATCTATATATATATATATATATATATAGTTTAAACCTACACTTACTATTATAAAATCTATGAACTTATACCTACAAAACACAAATGCTTATCTTTGTATATTTCTATTTAATGTTAAATTTTTAATTCTTATTATTATTATTATTATTTTTTTTTTAACTTATACTTGATTTAAATTATATTATTATACAATACATCAATATTTTTTTTTTACAATTTATTTTAAATTTCACTACTAATTATTTACTACTAAATACTACAAAACAACGATTCTATTTAATCGTATCACACTCTTATCATTATTTACTACCAAATAATCCATACAAAACATAAATCCCAAAGACCAACACATTTTACAAAATTCAACCTTAACATTCAAACCCCACATACAAATTAATAGAGTCATAGATGTCCAAAGTTTTTTTCTTTTTTTTTTTCTAAATATTTTATATAAATTTCAATAAATAAATAAATAAATACTCCTTATATATAAAATATATCATTTTATTTAATAAAATATTTAAACATCAATAAAAGGGAAAGAAAAAAAAAATCTATTTCACTAAATACTTATATAAGTTTCAACAATTAATCATAAAATTCCACAAAATCTAAAAATACCAAAAGAACATGACCATAAATAGTAAAATACAGGACAGTTGGAAGTGCCATCAAAACCAATAATGCACGGTCAGACTCGGAATTGTTCGCGGTTTGAACTCATGAATTTACGGTCACGAATTCACCCCATATCATTAAGTTATTTATTTATTTATTATTATTATTATTATTATTATTATTATTATTATTATTTTATAATATGAAAATTCGCAAATGCTATTATTCGAGTGCGCTCTGGTTACCTTTTATTATTATTATCATTATCGGTTAGTTGATTGAGGTTATTTTTAAAATTATGTTTTGATATAAATTTTAAAATTTTGGAAAAGTTATTGAAATTTAAACATTTAATAGGTTATTTTTATATAGCATTGTAAATTGAAACTTAAATTTTCACCCAAGTTGAGCATATATATTAGTATATTAGTAGAAGAAGACATACTCCAATATACATATAATAAGTATTTCAATATGTACATTACCAATTTGCCATGAAGTGGTCAAGTCTTTGTCATTTTATCCCCTCTTGCCCCAAATGAAAATATAACTATGAAACTTTCAAAACAAGGGCTATATATGTTTTGAATTTTGTTTTACACTCCCTTTCCCAGATAATATGGACCTATTACTGTATATATCATAATTTAGGTAAAATATAATTAGTAAGTAATTAAGAATTATATTAGTAAAAATAATTATTATATATTAAAAATAATTATAGATTAAGATTAAGGTAACTAAATAGTTTAATTAAAGTTTAAAAAAAAAATTAAAATTTAAAATTTTAAGATACGATTAAAGTGTATAATCAATTTTTCAAAAAAGAAAAGGACAAATTACGTGGGACGGACGAAAATAAAAAATATGGACAAATTATGTGGGACGGAGGGAGTATTTATCATACAATCTTTACTTATTTTGTTTTGGTTATGATTTGAGTCTCCGGTTATTATTATTTGTTTGACATGATTTTCAATAAAAATATATTATTTTTTTAAATCAATACTTTTACTTTAATTAATTTCAAATTACCATACAAACTTTACATATTCTTATTAAAATGTATCATTTTTCTAGATAATATTGTATGCAACGATTATATATATTCCCTTCGTCTAGAGAAAATGCATATATTTCTATTTTGAATTGTCTATTTTATTAATTTTTTTTTAAAAAAATAATTCTATTTTACTATCATATTATTATTTTTACACTAAAAAAATAAAGACAATTTTTTTTAACATTATTTTAAAATTTTCACTATAATTAAAATACTATTATTTGTTAAACTAAAGTGCAAAAGTAGAGGGAATATTTAAAATACAAATACAAACCTGTAATAAAACCAATCCATAATTTGTTATTGTGCATGGATGATTTTTTTAAACTTATTTTAATTCTTTGTTTGGTTACAAAAAATATTATTCAGACATCAAATTCAACATTAATTTCATTTGAAAAGATTAATAAAACAAAAAATAAAATAAAATACAAATTATATGATAAAAAAAAAATTACATAGACAAATAAAGAAATATTGTATAATAGAAATAAATAAAAGGTATTAAAAAAAATCAGGAGTTTGTTCACTTTTATTTCGGGATGAATGTATTTTTCATGAAGGTGAATTGTGTTTCTAATATAATAAATAATATTTTTTTTATTAAATTGTTGATTTTTTATTGAGTAGATAAAAAAAAGATATAAAAAATACAAACTTTTAAAATTTCTACATAGCCATATATTTTGGGTTTTATTTATTTTTAATTGACATATTTGTTAAACATGATATTTTATTAAAAAAAATATATATTGTAATATGTTCAAAGAAAATTTGAAAATTTACATGATAAGAAATGAAAAAACTAAAAATAAAAATAAAATTTTAGTAATTATTTATATATATATATATAAAAAAAAACTTATTTTTTTCCCCATAAAACCTTATATTCAACTATTAGGTAACCGTCGCTCAATATTTTCGTTGTGTTTTGAAGCTTGTTTCCATAACATTAATTACATACATTGTTTTTTTCCAACCTCTATTAATATCGACTTGAATATATATTAAAAATATTATATTATTTATATATTTTTTTTATTAAAATAAGATTTATCTTTATTTAATTTGAAAGAATATATCAAATATATTTATTTATATACATATGTATGATATCATCTTCGTGGTTGACGCGGCAGATGGAATATGTAATGTTATGAATTCAATTGATTTAGTCAGCAAATGATACAGAAGAGAATATGTAGGAGGGCCAGCCTAGAATTGGCAAAAACTGACCCGACACGAAATAAATGGGTTTTGGTCAAAAATTTCAATCCGATTATGTATACGGATTGACAACACGATAGCAAACGGGTCGGATTAGGGTTGAGACTCTCAACTCGAACCCGACACGACAACCAGATTATAATATATTAATATTTATTAATATATTTATTTATATATATATGTAAAATAATCATAATTTAATAATTTTCTCATAAATTAATTTAAACTAAGTTTAATTTCAAAACCAATAAAAACTAACATAAAACGACAACATAATAAAAAATTATTTAATTTGAGTCAAAAAAATTCGACTTAATTATTTATACGGGTCAACACGAGTCAACCCGAACCCGATACAATAATAAACGGGTCGACACGATAATAAACGAATCGAATTAGGATCAAGTAATTTAACATGTTTAAAGTATTCAACCCGACACGAATCGACTCGTTGCCAGCTCTAGACCCGGCACACTCCATCCACCAATCCTCCCACTATATCTCAATTCATTAATTTAATTTAATTTGATTTGATTTCACTGCCTTACTTAATCAACTAATTAATTAATTTATTTTTCCATAAATAATTACATGCATACACTTTCTCATTTCCATCTCACCCTATATATATATATATATATTACTCGATTCACTTCCCACCTTCCTACAACCTTAATTATACGTTGTTGTCCTCTCTATCTCTCTGTCTCTATGGAGCCTTGCCGCCGTTGCCGCCGCCTCCTCCTCCACACTTTAATCCTTTTCTTCGCCGACGCCGCCATGTCTCAGCTGCCGCCGCCCAACCAAGGTCTCTCTCTCTAAATCTAGGGTTTAATTTTAAAATTATATGTGCGAGTATTGCTAAATCATCTAAATTAATTTCATTATTTATATAATTAGTATGTTCATTCGACGTTTTTAAAATAAATTAATTTTGTGTGTGTGGTACAGTGAATTGTGTTAGTAATATAAAAATTAATATTTTTTTCTTGAATATAATTTTATTTGGGTTGGACATTAAATTTAAAAAATATTGATATTATATGAATAATCGGTAAAAAAAATGAGTAAAGGTGTATTAGAGTAAAAAATAGTGGCATATATGTAATAATAATGAAAAAATATAGATAATTTTTTGATAACACTAGTATTTATGAAAATAAAATTATTGTTTTACGACGAACAAAAATGATAAGCAAAATTTGTTTTTATATGCATATTTTTTTAATAACATTTATAAAAAAATGGTTTAAATTGAGTGAACGGACTTATTATCAATTTATCAAATACTCAATTTTGTTATTATTATTATTTTTTTGTTTAGGATCTATTGGGGTATGCAACGGCCGCGTGGGGTCCAACCTCCCGGCGGAACAAGAGGTGGTGGAACTCTACAAAGCCCACCGGATTACCCGAATGCGCATCTACGACCCGAACCCGGCAACCCTCGCCGCCCTACGCGCCTCCAACATCCACGTCATCCTCGGCGTTCCCAACTCCGACCTCCAATCCCTCCAATCCGACCGCGGCGCCGCCCACTGGCTCCACACCCACCTCCTCCCCCACCACCCCGCCACCACCGTCAAATACATCGCCGTCGGCAACGAAATCGACCCCGACAGCCCCGACACCTCTCGCTACGCCCCCCTCCTCCTCCCCGCCATGCGCGCCCTCCACCGCCAGCTCACCCTCCTCAACCTCCACCGCCAAATCAAGGTCTCCACCGCCACCTTCTCCGCCTTGGTCCGGGACTCCTACCCGCCGTCCAACGCCACCTTCAAACACCCGGCTTTCATGCACCCGATCGCACAATTCCTCGCGGAGACGAACTCCCCCCTCCTCGCCAACATCTACCCTTACTTCGCCCACATCGGCGATCCCGTCAACGTGCCTCTGGCCTACGCGCTGTTCGCCGGAGGTCCCGGTTCCGTGGTCCGGGACGGCCCTCTGGTCTACCGCAACCTCTTCGACGCCATGGTGGACTCCATGTACTCGGCGACGGAGAAGGCCGGAGCTCCCGGAGTGGAGGTCGTGGTGTCGGAGAGCGGGTGGCCGTCGGCCGGCGGGCCGGCGGCGACGATGGAGAACGCCGACGCTTATTACAGGAATTTGATTGCACATGTGAGGAATGGGACGCCGAAGAGGCCAGGGAAGGCGATCGAGACGTACCTGTTCGCCATGTTTGATGAGAATCTGAAGCCCGGAGCCCTAACTGAGCAGCATTTCGGGCTCTTTTATCCATCCAAGCAGATCAAGTATCAAGTCTCCTTCTTCAATGTTTAGACTATATATATCTATGTATGTGTGTATGTATGTGTATGTATTGATTTGTGTTGAGGGAGAGAGATTGTTTGAATGGAGAGGATGGAGAAGATGAGAAATGGGCCGGGCCCAGATTTGTTTGGGCTTTCGGGCCTGTTATTTTGAATGGATGATCGTGGTGAGGTTTGGGTTTATATTAAACTTTTTTCTTTTTTACCGTATTATTATGTTGTTCATTAATTTATATTAGGTTACTATGTATACAATATAATTCCTCAAGTCTCATATCTATCTATTTATTTTTTATACGAAATTTATAAATATTAATATTATATTGACTAAACTAATTTTATTAGTATTATATGATATAAATTAAATAATATTTGTGTAATATATTATAAATTAAAAAAATATTTGTAATATTAGATAGTTGATATAGTTACTTAAAAAAATATATAGATACAAGACGAATCAAAATAAATTGTTAAGGAACGAAAGAATTATATATTTTTTTTAACAATATTTATAAAAAATCGTACTATAAAAAAATAGTGAATAAGCTCGTTGATTATTTTAGGGTGTGATTGTTTTAGGGTTTGAATTTTGAGTTGGGATTTGAATAGTAAAAATTTTGAATTTAAATAGTTGTATGATGTGATATAAATAGGTATTGATGTGATGTTTTCAATGTAAAATTGATTTTTAGTATAATATAGAAAATAAATAACAAGTGTTTGATTTGATATTTTTGAAGGAAAAAAATTGAATGAATATTAGAAATCTTTACAAATCCTTCAAACAAACACACCCTAAATGTTTTTATTTTATGGTATGTATATATCTCCTTATCCAAGCAAACTAATAAAAATATATATTCACTCTTAGATCAAACGAAAAAGAGTAATATTTATTGAAAATCAAGTTGTTAAATTTTATTGCGTAAACACTTGTTCACCCGACAAGTTATCATCTATATAATTTTCATTTAATATTAATAAAAAAAATAATATATATCCATATGATATAAATATATTTTTTATAGTCTGCATTTTCTTTTTAGTATATTCTTATAAGTAAATATATTTTATTTTTATTTTATTTTTCATCTTATTATATTATTTAAATAAATATATATTTTTTTCTTTTATAGAGTATTATTATTTAATTATCAAATTATTATATTTAGTGCTTGTTTGACAATTAGCTGATAGTTGTTAGCTGTTACCTGATTCAACTAGCTGATAGCTGTTAGCTGATTCAATTAGCTGGTTTGACTAGCTGATTCGATTAGCTGTTTGTATTAAAATGTTTGGTAAAACAACTGTTTGATATTAGCTGTTTATACGTAAAATGACAATTGAAGATATTTTTATTTTATTTTTATTTCTAATATATTCAATTACGTTCTTTTGAGTTTAGAATTGTCTAAAATTTTTTGTTATTAGTTATTGAAAATTGTAAAAATGTTATAAAAATATTTATTTTTATTATAGTTAAATTTTAAAAAATAATATATTTTATTAAAATATATAAATACTTTTTCTATTGAAAATGATGCAATAATATAAAATAATAAATTTTTCGTGTATATATTTATTATGTTAATTATCGATTTTTTCATTATATTTATAATTTTCAATAAATTTAATTTATTTAATTTATTTTTAGTATAAAATTTATATAATGTAATTTTAATATAAAAATAAATCATTAATATTTATATTTTCTATTTTATGTTGATTTTAATAAATTTATATATTTTACAATTAAAATAATTTTTATATAAAAATTTATTATTTTAAATTTATAAAAGTAAAACTATATTATAATAAAATATTCTAATATAATTAATAAATAATCAAAATATATTTATTTGTGTAAAATCCATAATAAATTTTTAACGGCATATAAGGAATAAAATTTTTTTACATATTTCAAAAAGTTGGGTAAGTTAGCTTTTCAAAAATTAGTTTTTTGGGTCCAAAAAACTATTCCAAAAAGCTAATTTACCAAACATCTAAATTAGCTTTTTGATTGGTCAAACGGCTAAAAACTATTCAATAAGCTAAAAGCTATTCAAAAAATTATTTGCAAACACCCACTTAATACCATTCACCTAAATTTATGCTGTGAAAATAAATATCGCAGACAAAGTGAGTATAATAAACTTTATTAAACTGTGCATATAAATAATTTTGTACTGGGCCTATGTTTAATTTTGGGCCCGTAACTTAAAATGGTCGTGACCCATAAATACGACCCGACCCAAAACGTGGAGAAAACTTCTACACAGAAAACCCTCGCACGTTCTTGTAAATCCCTAAATCGAGAAGAAATCGCAGGGATCCTTGACGATAAGCGTTAATGGCAAACGCGGATGCAGAGGCAGTTGATTTCGAGCCAGAGGAGGATGATCTCATGGACGAGGACGTCGGGGATGGCTCCCCCGGTCGAAGTGCCCCTCGGCTGAGGTCAGCCATCACTGGTGGTGGCTCGTCGACCGCTCCGAAGAAGACGAAGGGGCGAGGGTTCCGAGATGAGGCGGCTGCTGAAGACGACCGCAAGGCTCGCATGTCGGCCCGCTTCGATACTCTCGACTCAGAAGGAGGGGGCCCTGGTCCAGAAAGATGTCGGTTCCTAAACCCTAATTTAAGCCGTCGTTGTTTGTTTTCCCTTGTTTTCGTAATGTTATTATATATACATTTCTTGAGGGAGTACTGATTTACACAAATTTCTTGTGATATCATATATTTGCATCGTGCTTGTGTCCTTGGGTGGGTACATATTTTAGAGTTGTGACGCTGCTGTGCTGTGATGAGAAACCTAATGTAGTTGAGAATCTTGGATTTTAATTGGCCGTGATGGGGTGTGCGAAATTTGCAGTATTGTGTGTTTTTGGAAAGTTCGAGTGTTACAAGTAGTTAGCATAGAGAAAGTTGCAATCCTAAGCTTTATACAAATATAGAATGTTGGGAATTCATTGTAATGTTGCTTTCTTACTGCAATCTGGTAGTTTATTTACTTGAGAAGAACTTTGGACTTGATAGCATCATTTCTGGATGTAGATCAGTAGATGTGGCTTCTAATTATAATTGCACTCTTGTAGCTATTGAAGGATGGATTATTCTTGTCGCTGGAGTTCATGAAGAGGCCCAAGAGGAGGACCTGCTAAATGCATTTGGTGAATTTGGAGAAATGAAGAATTTACACCTGAATCTTGACCGTAGGACGGGCTATGTGAAGGTACTTTAGTTGTTTTTTTGTTTTTTTTTGTTTTTACGATGCTTCTGCTTCTGCTGTGAATATATCTTAATATTTTAGCCCTACATTTATATTTATGTTAATCTTCATCTTGGCAATTTCATTTAGCATTATAGTTTCCTTGAATCTTGCGATCTTTCAGATTTATTGAATGATTTAGAGTAGAGATTATTCTGAACCTACAGTCATTTTTCACGCATGGATTCTAATGCACTTTTCCCTATGACAAAGCAGCTGAAACTCCTTTCACTTCTTTAGGTGCAAGTGCAAAATGGCTTCATATAGGAATCATATAAGACTGATTTGAATATGTTATACTATGACTAGCCCAAATTTAACTGAACTTTCCTGAGCAGCTCCGTTGTTCGGTAGATTATGTCCTATATAGTTAATTAAAAGTATTGTTTCTGGAAGTGGAATAGCATAACATGCTACGGTGTAAGCTCTTCTTTTCATCTATGTTTGTTTCTCATACTTTTGGAAAAACTCGTATCTCTGTTCACAATTATCTATAGCTGGATCTTAATGTTTGATGTTTACCAGGGCTATGCACTAATTGAGTATGAGAAGTATGAAGAAGCACAGCGAGCTATAAGGGAGACAAATGGAACTGAACTGCTTACCCAGATCATAAATGTTGATTGGGCATTCAGCAAGGGTCCATTCAGAAGGAGGAACATGAGGAGAAGGTATTCTCTTTCGAAATTGCATGTTTAAAATTAGATTGTTTTCATTTCAGTTGTTCAAACAAAAAAAGCTAGAGATTTAAAATTCTGTAAATATAAGAGGAGTTGAATTTTCGTATAGACTCGTATACTCTAATGTGGGGGGGCATCTATCCTAATTCATTGTAGTTGGAGCGGAGCATTAGATATATGGTAAATGGTAAAAACTGAACATTGAAAGTCATTAACTCAAGGAATAGCAAGTGAACAAGTAATCTTGCTGAATATTTTACCAACAGATATCATATACTATTTACAATATTGCTGAAGTCATTGCATTTTGATGGTTATTTCTTATCTAAAAATGAAATGATAATGACCTGGTGGGATAGCACATCAGTGTGATTTTTAGGCTCCACTGAAGAATTTGCAGGGAAATCAAAGACCCAACATGAAATACCTGCATCATTCCGGTGCTTGATTTGTATTTCATGCTTTTTGCTTAATGTTTATGCAGATCGCCGCGCGGGCATCGTTCCAGGAGTCCGAGGAGGGGATTACGGGGGTAGCATGCCATGAGTTGGTGTGGATTTCGTATTTGGTTTTAGAGTGAAGACATGACTCTGCATCGATTTCGTATTATTGACATTTGTATGATTTTTGTTTTTTCTGGGAGTTTGTTGTGTGTTCTCATCCATAGATGTTTTCATCAAGTATTATTATTATATCACTTGGATGGTGTTTATTTGTAGTCTACAGTTTTAAGCTGAATACTCTGCAGACCTACCTTTTAATACTGTGTGTGACATATTTTGCAAAAAGTTGTGTTTATATAGGATTTTTGCAAGAGTTTTAGATAGTTTTGGTAATAGTAAAATATTAAGGAAAATGTATGTATGATGTGATAAAGATGTGTTAGATATACTCCTAAATTAGTCTGATATTTTATATATTTTGTGCTTTTTGGTGGCATGACTTGTATAAAAAAGCATAATATATTCATACTTAATATAATATTTTTTACGTATCCACATTTAACTTTTAAGTTCCGACGAAATGCAGTGCTCTATTCAATTGCTTGCGTGTGTAAAATTTACGTTAGGTGGCGTTTGTTTCTTTTAAGAACGTTTATTATTCATATATATATATTTTTTCTTTTAAAAATTTCAAAATAAATATTTTATTATTATTATTATATTATATTAAAAATTAATTTTATATTAATAGGTTTTTACTTCAATTACATAATTATTCATATTTACATTTTTTATTATTAAAAAACAAATTTAAAATTCAAATCCCAACACAATTAACAGTGGTAAATTTATTTATTATATATGAAAAAAGAGAGAGAGAGAGAGTTGCGCCTACGCGCCCCCAAATTTCCAATCAAAAACCCTAAATCAAGACGTCCGGATACACAGGATTTCTATCGAGGTACTCCGTCAGACTGTATACGGGATTTCACACACGCCGGGTAATCAATTTGCGTTTCTTTGCAATTGTTGGTTGGTCACTTCAAGGAAGCAATTGAATTGATTGTGCCTGGATAGCCATTTTGTTTGATTTTCTTTTAGTAATCATACGTTGGTCGCTGGAAATAGAGTGTTCTTTGCTCTGCAGAATTGAAGGGTATAGACATGGAGCAGCGATCGGCGAATACGTGGCGGATGACTGTGAATGAGAAGAAATTTATAGAGACGGCGCTGCTTTCGGACGTCAGAATCGATGGACGTGGACCTTTTGATTACAGAAACGTGACCATCCAGTTTGGTAGGTGAGCATTCCCGACGCACTGATTGTGCCACAGTTTTCCGAGCTTTATAGTAGTTCTGATTTGGTTACCCTAAGCTTCTTGTGGTAGTAATGTGTTGGAAAACTCGCACGAATGCCGCTTTTGTGATTCATGGTAGCATTTGGAATCCATGTTAGATGCGTGGTCTAGATTTTTCATGTGGAAAGCTATTACATTTGAATTTCTGATATCTGTTGGCATTTAAGCCCTGAACTTTGTAGAAGAGTAAGATTTAAGAAGAGGTGGTCATAGAATTTTATATTATCATTTTGTTTTCAATCTTTGTGTGCTCATATGGTATTGGAATGTCGGTGTATGTACAGCGAAGATGGCTCATCCGAGGTGCAGCTCGGTCAGACTCGTGTAATGGGGTTTGTAACTTCCCAATTGGTACAACCTTATCGGGATCGTCCCAATGAAGGGACTCTTGCAATTTTTACTGAGTTCTCTCCCATGGCTGATCCCTCATTCGAATCAGGTCGTCCTGGTGAACATGCTGTGGAGTTGGGACGAATAATTGATCGTGGATTGAGGTAATGCATGATATGATACTATCCTATTCTTGTTTTATAGCCTGATTGTTAAATTATTTGGAGGTTTTGTTCAGCCTCAAATTGGTAGTCTTTGCACTTTTACTACTATTTTGAAATATGGAAATATCTTGACTGCCTGATTTTGTTCAGGCCTTTTTTTAAGAACAACTATATTTCTTGTTGGAAAAGTAAATAGCTGAGAAGTTATGTTTTAACTTTTATTGAATCATGGGAAGTAATGGTGCAGGGAAAGCCAAGCTGTGGACATGGAATCTCTTTGTGTTTTTGCAGGAAAATGGGTGTGGTCTATTCGAATTGATCTCCACATCATAGACAATGGCGGGTTGGGATTCTCACTTATGCTGTTATGTTTTGCATAAAAATAGTAGACTTTCTACAAGCCGGCTTATTCATCCGTTTTGGCCTGATAGCAGAAATCTTGTTGATGCTGCCAATATTGCTGCTCTGGCTGCACTGTTAACATTCAGACGGCCCGAGTGCACCTTAGAAGGAGAAGATGGTCAAGAAGTTAAAATACTTCCCCCAGAGGTCAGTTCCCATGAGATGTCAATTTTGGTGCAATTGAAATTATTACTTATATTTATTTCGTAACCTGTCATGGTTCTTTATTTCTGGAATGGTAATAATTGTTTTTGTATGTACAATATGATATTCACCCTTTAATTATCGAAGACATAAGATTTTTCTTTTATAATTGACAGGTCTTAGTCATTTGCTTGCCATTTTAGTGGCTTTTGTGGTGTGGAATGCCTGTGAATTTGATTTCAGCTTCAAATACATTTTGTTTTCTGTCAGGAGAGAGAACCAGTTCCATTGATTTTGCACCACCTTCCTATAGCAGTAACCTTTGCATTTATTGGTAGCGAAATTAGATTGGTAAGTTAGCGCCTTTTGTGTACTTATCGACCTTAACTGGGATTTCTTCCCGGTTGCATCACATCTGTGTTTTGCATCAAACTAGGTTCTTGACCCTACGCACTTTGAAGAAGCTGTTATGGGTGGGAAACTGACTGCTACACTGAATGCAAATGGAGATGTGTGCGCTATCCAAAAAGCTGGAGGAGAAGGTGTCATACAGAGTGTTATCGTGCAATGCTTGCGGATTGCATCTGTTAAAGCTGCTGATATAACAGGCAAAATAAAGAACGCTGTCAGTACTTTGCAAGAATGTTTTGAGTAGCTATTTGAATTACTTGTTTCTCCAACCAATGACAATCCTTTCTTCTATTATTGAGACTTGGTGATTGTATAAATCTGTTATGAGAGTAAATCATGTGGTCGGGGGTGCACCAGATGTCATGTATGATGAGATTTCAAATGTTCGGGTACTTCTTGCTCTTGAAAGTTGTCCTTTTCCTCGTAGGTTGAGTTGTACAACACAGGAAGAGCTTTGAGAAAGATCGAACGGTACACTGATTCTGTTGATGTAAGCGCAGCTGTTTGGAAAGGAGATGAAAACATACAGAAGGAGATGGACAAACTTAGATTGGAAACAACCGATGGAATTATTAGTCAAAGTGATGGAAAGGACATTAAAATTCACTCATCAGAGAAAGATGCAACCAGTCTAGCTGATAAGAGACCGAGCTCTTCCATTATCGGCCCGTCTAGCTGGTATAGTGTTTTCTATCTTTTTATTATTTTCAGAACTTTTATTGGTTTACCAAGTGTTCCATAAGTTACTCGATATGAAAATATCCTCTGCAGGGATCCGTATTCTAGAGGTGTCAATGCTGAAGAATTGAAGGCGTCCCTGGCGTCACGAGGTATGTTGATGTTATTATCGTCATCCGTCATTGTCGTGCAGTCTCTATACCTATTACCTTATCATTTTAGTCGTCATAAGGAAAAATAAATTACCTCACATTCTGCAGTTTCTTCGACTCCCTATACAATGGATGTATCAGTATCTTCAACACCACCCATGAAGCCAAAAGACACAACCATGGATCGACCTATCAAAGATGCAGATACAATAACTTCATTACCGCAAGAGCCACCAGCTGCAGGTGATGTACAATCTATAACTTCATTACCGCAAGAGCCACCAGCTGCAGGTGATGTACAATCTAAGGCCAAAACATTGAAGGATGCCGTCAAGCCCAAATCTCTTAGGAAGAAGAAAACTTTTATCAAGTAGCATCATCCGTTTTTAAGGTACTTAAATACATATATGTATGTCAAGTACCTAATGGTAAAATGTTGCTTCCTACTAATCAAAGTTTGATTTTGATAATCTTTAATTCATTATATATCGATCATGAGAAGTTCCAACATAGTGTTCTCTCGAAGTCTCTGTCGTGTTACTTAAATTTCTTGCGGTGCAGGAACAGCGCATTTGCGAATTCTTGATTGTCCCAGTTTGAAATGTCTGTAACTGACTATAGTTGCAATAGCTCGGTAGAGGCCACGGGAATTGGATATTTTCATCGATCACGTTGCAATTCTTGCAGACAACTATGACGGAGATCAGGCATGTAGATCAAGGTTGAACCCGAATTTAAGGAGGTAAAAAGAGTTGCATGGAACAGTTTAGGATGATCGATTCGTGATGTAAAGAAGTGTTATGGGAATCTAAACGTTGTTTGTACTGAACTGTTACTTTGTGTAGATTGTTATAATCATTTTTGGTTAGTTTTGAATTTATTGTTTAAATTTATTTATAAAATTCGACGATCTCGACTTCTGATGTTAAGATACTCTAATGTTTGGATCGCCACTGACAGTTTTAATATTTCAATGCAATTAATGTACGATAATTTACATTACGAGCTAATACAAAGTGTTATCATTGAGTTTGAAAAGATCGAACATGCATGCATCACTGTAAACCTTTGACCCGAATCGCCCTACTTTCCACGCGTCAGATGAAGAAGGTACAAACTCAAAAGCAGCCTGCAAAAAAATTAATAAATTTTTAAAAAAGACGTTGGTCAGATTTGGGCCAGCCCAATGGATTCTGTTGGGCCTGATGGACACAACCCGTTATCCCTCCACTGCCAAGAGTGGGAGGTGATCGCTGCTCTGTGAAACCAGCCTGACGCGGTGCCCTCCACTCTAAAGGCAACGTGGCCCGAGCCTTCGCCCAATCCACAAAGCCCAACTCCTCGCTTGGAGCGGGCGGGCCGTTAAAGCCCAGTCAGACCCGATCCAGTAGGCAGGTCCAATGTCCCAACATCCTATAGCCCCCACTTGGGTTACAAGCCCCCGTTACAAAGCTCGGCGACATCTTTAGTTGCCAAAGTGATATATAATCATGTCTTAGAAAGACTCAGTTTCCGATGTGGGATATCTGTAAGGGCAGATTTTAAAATACGATTTTATAAGAAGCGTGCGTACATAGAACACGCTCTCTCATTTCATTTCCCAATTCCAAGCCACAAACACGACACATCACAAAACTAACCTTTTATAATTATTTATTAAATCATAATGAAAGCCAGCAAAACAGGCCCAAAGTTTCTTGGTCATTGTTATTTTTGTAGGTAAGAAATTATAACTAAATTCTCTCCTACAAGAAAAATTAATGATTTATCAAAAGTAGAAAACAGTAAAAATATTAACTCAAAGTGGCTTCATAGATGATAGGTATGGTTAGTTAGTTTGCACATACCCAATTGTAAAGTAAGTCTATATTTCTATAGATTAGTCGGCAAGAATATATATATATATATATTATGTATCCTAAGAGGTATCAATACATTCAACATGCCTTGTCCTAACTTCCCAACAATAATTATTTCACTCCCAACTAAGTTATATGGTTGGTACAATACCAAAAATCCTATACTCTATTCTATAGATTAGGCTCTGTGAATCATCATCATCATCGCCACTGCAAGTTTATGGGCACTCAATAAGATGATCAAGAAAAGTACTTGTACTGAAATAATGAACATACAACTTGCTGTCTCAATAAATGCCCTCAAGAACTGAACCAGTCTCTTCATTTTGCCACTTCCATAAAAAAGAAAGTACCCTTTACAGAGCTCTGAAATCTTAACTTCTTTGAAAGTAAGTTTGTTGTGTATTCATAAAGAGTAGCCATTAAAATACATATAGCTTCAATGATTCATGCATGTGGAACTTCCACATATTAACTTTACATTCATATGGTTTTGGGGCCAGTTGTCTTTAAATGCTTTAGCCCTATTTATGATTGATTTTTATTACACATGAAAGTAGCCATGCAGCCCCTATTACTCTCCTTAACAGTTGGAAGAATCCCTTTCTATAAATGCAATCCAAACAGAAAGAAATTTCTGGTTCAACTATCAGAATTAGTTAGATATTAAAGAGAAAGTGGCCCTAACTTAAAAACTTTTCTTCTCTAACTCATCTTCTTGATTGGATCCATTGGTTTGAGGTTTGTGTGTTCTTTAATGGCTCTGGAAATTGAGGTGGTGAAAAGTGGCGGTGCCGCCTGCACTACTAGTCGTTGTGAGTATGACGATGGTGGTGATGATGGCGACGATATTGAGACAGGAAATCAGTCTAACGGTGTTGTCGAAGCTTATTTAGTTTGGCAGAACTTGACAGTGGTGCTCCCGAATCTTAGGAAGGGATCTATGAAGAAGTTGCTTCATGGACTAAACGGCTTCGCCATGCCTGGCCGGATACTCGCCATCATGGGCCCTTCTGGTTCCGGAAAATCCACCCTTCTTGATTCATTAGCAGGTAGGTATATTGTATAGTATAAAGTATTCCTTCATAACTTGATTGCTACTTTGTAGTGTTTTACTTAGTCTTAAAACAGTTGCTGTTTTGTAATATGATTGGATTTACTCATTAGGTTGTGTTCTGATCAATTGTTTTGATGGTGAATTGTTTTACTTATTGTCTATTAGGGATGAAATATATATATATATATATATGTAAGTTTGATTTTGTTCTTCGTGAAATCAATGTGCCTTAATTTTAATCTTTAGCTGGGAGAAGTGGTTGAATAGGACAGCTGATCAATGAAGTCAAAATTTATTGCTGTTTAGTGTAGCCGGCGGTGCCTTATTCAATGCATTTTTTATTCTTTTTTTTTTTTTTTTTTTTAAATGACGTAGTAACCTGTATTTGCTGATGGTAAAAAAATTTCTCTAATGAGCTTACTCTTGGGAAGACAGGTCGATTGTCGAAAAACGTTGTAATGACAGGGAACATTCTCCTCAACGGGAAGAAGCAGAGGCTGGATTATGGCCGCGTTGTAAGTACAAAAAAATCGATATATGCTTTGATCCTTATAATCCTAACAAGATTGTAGCATGTCTGATCTTTACATCTTCTTATTGTCTGGACTGATTCAGGCTTATGTGACGCAAGAAGATGTCTTACTGGGAACTCTAACAGTTAAAGAAACTCTAACATACTCTGCTCATTTAAGGCTTCCATCGTGGATGTCCACACAAGAGATTAAAAGTATTATAGAGGACACTATGTCGGAAGTCGGGCTTCAAGAATGCGCAAACAGTCAGGTCGGAACATGGCAGTCGAGAGGGATAAGCGGCGGCGAGAAGAAACGATTAAGCATCGCTCTCGAAATACTCGTCCGCCCTCGCATGCTGTTTCTCGACGAGCCCACGACTGGCCTCGACAGCGCAGCCTCGTTCTTCGTCGTTCAAGCCATCAAGAATCTCGCCCGCGATGGAAGAACTGTGGTTTCATCCATTCATCAGCCTAGCAGCGAAGTTTTCGCGCTGTTTGATGACCTTTTCCTGCTGTCCGGAGGCGAGACAGTCTATTTTGGCGAAGCGAAAATGGCGGTAAAGGTGTGTTTGTTTTTAAGATTTAAATTTAGTATGTTTACATAGTTCTAAATCGGACATTGTAATTGCCGCCGTGATCAGTTCTTTGCCGAGGCCGGATTCCCTTGTCCGACGAAGCGAAATCCTTCGGATCATTTTCTGCGATGCATCAACGCCGACTTCGACCTTGTGACGGCGACGTTGAGAGGCTCGCAGAGACTCCATGTAAGAATCATGTCATCCAATGTGGATTGTCAAACTATTCATTTTTTTTCATTTTAGTTCGTCCTATAACAAAGTATTCATTTATTTTTTAGTAATTGTTCTGTTATCTATCTAATATTACAAATGCCCTTACAATTTACAATATATTACACAAATGTCGTTACTTTTATATCACAAGTATTTCTAAAACTACAACAAAAAAACAAACGGGTATATAGTTATAGGACGGAGGGAGTATATTTTTTCCTCTTACAAAACATCACATCATATAGTATTATTTTAATACCAAACCTAAACCGAAATTTTCCAAACTACATCAAAGGAAACACTGTATGTAATGATAGGAAACAGAGGAATCGTCGAAGCCGTTGGAGAATTTGGCGACGGCTGATATAAAAGCTCTTCTTGTCGAGAAATACAAGAATTCGGATTATGCGAAGAAGGCCGGGCTGCAGCTTCGAAAAATGTCTTCCATTGTAAGTTCTTCGACATTTTAGCTTCACCTGTAGAGTTCGATGTTGAGATATTTTAGCTACTCAAGTTTAGATTTAGATTTGGCCTTTGCATTATTTAGATTTGAGATGATAATCAAAATAGTGCAATTTTTAAATTTTCATAAAATATTTTCACATACGAGATTTGCTGAATTCTTGCAAATTGTATGTAGCAAGGGAAAGAGATTAAAGGTGTTAAAGGAAGCCAAGCAAAGTGGCTGTATCAGCTTTCGACGCTGACGAAAAGGTCGTTCAAGAACATGTATAGAGATGTCGGATACTACTGGTGCCGAATAGCCATCTACACTGTTCTGGCAATATGTGTGGGGACAATCTTCTACGATGTGGGCACGAGCTATACATCGATCTTTGCTAGGGGAGCTTGCGGCGGATTCATTACAGGGTTCATGACTTTCATGTCCATCGGCGGATTCCCATCTTTTGTCGAAGAAATGAAGGTATGCAAAAAGCTCCTACTAACAATTTAGCTCGACTCACTACAAAAAATAAAAAAAACATATTTGTAATAAAAATTAGAAACAGCTATTGTTAGCTATGTGAAAATATCATTAGAAACTAAAAAAGTGGATTTTAAGACAAAAAAAAATTCATTACAAAAATATTATTTTCTTGGAGTGACTTGACAATGTTTATAGCAAAATGTGTGTCGGCAAACAGGTGTTTTCGCGGGAAAGGTTGAATGGCTACTACGGCGTGGCGGTGTTCATACTGTCGAACTTCCTCGCATCCTTTCCGTTCCTCGTGGCAGTGTCGATGGCCACCGGGACGATCACTTATTTCATGGTGTACGATGCAGGGGTGTCTCGATATGTCTTCTTTTGTCTCAACATATTCGGATCCATCGCGATGGTCGAGAGCGTTATGATGATCGTTGCTGCCTTGGTTCCCAACTTCTTGATGGGGATCATGACCGGCGCAGGAGTTCTTGTAAAAAAAAATACCATCTTTTTGTTCTTTTACCATATTCGTTTTGCATTATTTGTTAAAGTCGAGGTAATCCTAATAGCTTCGAATATGGCAGGGGATCATGATGCTCACCGCCGGTTTCTTCCGACTCTTGCCGGACCTCCCGAAGCCGGTGTGGCGGTACCCGATTTCCTTCATCGGATACGGTGCTTGGGCATTGCAGGTACCCATTCATCGATCTGTTAGAACTTATCAAGAATTAAATTATAAATTGTATTGAAATAATTGAGATAATTCTATTTAGGTTGTCGGATTTAAATATACAAGTTAATGGATACTACATTAGACTTGGGACCATAATATATATTCCTTCCGTGTTTGACGCTCATAGTCTTATTTATGTTTTGCATTGTACTTAACCTTTGTATTTATAAAAGAAATTTGCACAAATATCGTTACAATATAAATATTTTTGTCATTTTTTTTAATTTATAATACATTTTCATATAATAATTAATGTTACAAGTAATAAGACTTAAGAGTCCGAGGGATGTAGTCTCTCTTTGTTATAATTGCTTCATCATCATCATCGGGATTAATAAGTTATTGAAATTTATGCATCTAAAAGTCCACATTTATTAAATATATTTAAGTGAAATAAATTAATAGATTATTTAATTTAAAGGAACTTTAACTGAGTATATAATAATTAATGATGTTTAGTATAATAAATGCTGTAATTGCAGGGAGGGTACAAGAACGACATGGTCGGAATGAGGTTCGGGCCGATGTTTCCCGGCGGGCAGAATGTGACAGGTGAACATGTGCTGGAAGAGATGCTGGGGATCTCATTGAATCATTCAAAGTGGTGGGATTTGGTGGCAATATATACTCTTGTTCTTATTTACAGAACCATCTTCTGCATCTTCCTCAAGCTCAGGGAAACCAGAGCCATGGTGCTCCTCCATTCGCTCTATCACACCACCACCTTGCGTCGGCTCAACAAACAAGAACAACCTTCCTTGAACAAGGACCACAATTTTCTTGCAAATAATATTAACAATGCTGCCTCCTCACCTTCTGCTCAAGCCCTCTTGCAACATAAATAGATCAAGAAACTGTAATGGATAATATACCCTGTTCTTTATATATGTATTTATACATGTTTCTGTTTTCTTTTTCTTTTTTTGGGGTGGGGTGGGGTGGAAGATCGGGATCTGGGGGGCCGGGGAGTTGACACGTCATCTTTTGGGATGCCACGTCACTAGGCGGGGGGCCTGGATTGGATTGTGTACGATGGACATTGAAAGACGACAGGTGAGAACAACGAACGCTGCGATCAGAAAGGGGAAGCGGTTCTTCGTTTGCGGACGGGATTTTGGCGATGCAGACTGTGTGTGTGACGGGAGCTTCGGGATACATTGCTTCCTGGATTGTCAAGTTCTTGCTGTTGCGTGGGTACAATGTGAAGGCATCGGTTCGCGATCTCAGTCAGTTCGACGACCGTTTGATTTAATTTCGAGTTGATTTTTGTCGATCCGATCCATCATCCTCTTGTTGTTCGTTTTTTTTTAGCGATGTGAGTTTGATTGATGCAATTCTGTTCTACAACACGAGATATTTTTTTTTGCTTTCGCGATCGTGCGCAGGAGTTTTGAATAATACGTCTACTTTTCACGTTTTTTCGGTTCTGTTTGGTGATTTTCCTGTACACGATCGCTGTTTTCGGTACTGTTGATGGATTTGAGGCGTTGAGAAGATGCACAAATTACTGCAAAATTTTCTGCAGAATTGATAACTTTGCTGCTCCTCTAGTGTCTATTTTTACGATGAATTGTAGGTATTGTTGTTCGCACGAGGAGTCCATCGAATGCTTCAGAAGCTAATAATTTTAGGTTTTGATTCAATGGTATCTGCAGATGATCCAAAGAAAACACAGCACTTACTTGAACTTGATGGAGCCAAGGAGAGGCTTCACTTGATCAAAGCAACTTTACTGGAAGAAGGCTCCTTCGACGCCCTGGTCGATGGTTGTGTCGGTGTTTTTCATACTGCTTCCCCTTTCTACAGTTCAGTCACAAATCCTCAGGTTGTTGCTGTCTCTCTTTCCATTGTTAAGGTGTTCCTTTACGAATCGTCTAAGAATTAGCGGCAGCAATGATACATGCACGCCATTGTTGAACTCATCAAACTGCTACTATTCAGTCTGTAATTTTTCTGAAGGATTTGATACGCATTCTTCTTTCTACAATGGCTTTACTGCAGTAGTTTCCCTGATGGTTCAAAAACTTGTTTCCTATTGTTAAACTCATCGAATGGCTACTACTTAGTCTGTATTTTTTCGGAAGGATTTGATATGCATCCTTCTTTCTACAATGGCTTTGCTGCAGTAGTTTCCCTGATAGTTTAACAACTTGTTTCCTATGTTCATTTGTTTTCGATAGGAAATGATTTTGTTTATATGTTGTGGGACAAATTCTTCTAACATTTGGCTGTCCACTTCACTCAGGGGGAATTGATTGATCCTGCCTTAAAGGGGACTCTCAATGTTCTTAGGTCGTGCGCGAAAACGCCCTCGGTTAAAAGGGTAGTGTTGACATCTTCCATGGCTGCAGTTTACTTCAATGGCAAACCTCGAACGCCGGATGTGGTAGTTGATGAGACTTGGTGGTCAGATCCCAACTACTGCAAACAGATGCAGGTCCATTTCAATTTCTACAATTAAAGGCTTTGTTGCAGATTGATCAATTATGCTGGATTAGATTGAATATTGTTGTTTGAAGCAGCTATGGTACATTCTTTCGAAGATGTTGGCAGAGGATGCAGCCTGGCAGTTTGTGAAAGAAAAGGGCATAGACATGATCAGCATCAACCCGGCAATGGTGATCGGACCATTACTGCAGCCAACTCTCAACACAAGTTCCGCAGCAATCTTGAGCTTGATAAACGGTGAACCAATGCTGCCACAAGCTCGGAAATCTTTCCACGATTCGTCTAAAATCTGATATACTTATATGCAGGTGCAGAGACGTACCCAAACACAATGGTAGGATGGATAAACGTAAAGGACGTGGCGAATGCACATATCCTAGCATTCGAAAATCCTTCGGCTAACGGGAGATATTGCTTGCTGGAGAGAGTGTCGCATTACTCGGAAGTGGTGAGCATATTGCGGGATCTCTACCCCACGCTTGAGCTCCCTTCCAGGTGAGTATCCAATTCTTCTTCAATTAATGATGAATCTTGATGATGATTTCTTGGGCCATGATGATCATCAGGTGTGCAAATGATGAGGCGTATGAGGCGAAATTCAAGGTGTCGAGAGAGAAGGCAGAGAGGTTGGGAGTTGAGTTCAGTCCTTTGGAAGAAGGTATCAGGGAGACTGTCGAGAGCCTTAAGGACAAGAAATTCTTCAAATCCACCAAGTAAGTCTGCTCTGCTGTTGTATAATGTCACCAATTTTCAATTATATATAACTTGAATTAGAATTAGGTGAATGAAATTAAATGAAATTAAGGGAAATTGTAGAAGGAAGAATTCGTCAAATTTGAGATCTTTTTTGAGTTCTTGTTTTGGGATTCTTTGTATTGTATTTTATTGTAGTATGTAATTTTAAAAATATTTTACTATTTGGATTCTATAATTTCAAAAAATATTTCATCATTCGTTATTTTATTTAAGGGTATGTAATTTGAAAGGTTTGCCGTCACTTTTTCTCCAAACAAAATATTACGTCGTATACTATTTTAATATTAAATTTAAACTAATTTTTTTCAAATCCATCATATTTTATTTTATTTTTTTAATTTGGGTCTTGATATTATTTTTTTATTTTTAATTTAAATAATACTCTATTTGTCTAAGATATATGTCTATTCTACCGTAGATACAAAAATTTATAAGAGTATAATTAATAAGTAAATAATTTTTTATTAGTTAAAATAATTATCATATAATAAAAATAATTATACGTTAAAATTAATATAACTAATTTTTTTAATTAAAATTAAAAAAATATAAATTAAAATTTTTAAAATAAGATTCAAGTAAATAAATTTTTTCAAAATGACAAAATAAGTAAGACTGACGAGAATGAAAAGATGGACATAGTAAGTGAGACAGACTAACTAAGTATTATAATTTTACGAGTAAATGGAGTGGAAAATAATATTTAATAATAGCGTGTTTTTATTTGAAATAGAAATTTAAAAACAGACACATGAATAATAAAGGTTTTAATTTTAAGTTTGAGTCTATCAAGAAAAAACTTGAATTGAAATTGAAGAAAGTGAAGATGAGGTAAATGATAGTCCACACTTTTCCAGGCTCATTGTTGTACTCGAGTATGGACTTATGCTGATTTTCTGAAGCAGCTCTGTGAATTGAAATTGAAGAAACATCACTTGTGCTGATGTTGCTGTTATAAAATGCATTGGAAAATTAACCATTTTATAGAACAATTAATTCGATTGACATCCATATCAAAATTCATCAAATCCTATCTAATATCACGTACTAAGAACATCAAAGCTACTAGTCTGCCCTAGCTTCTTCTCCGGCGACAGTGACGGCAATGGCGTTGCAGAGAGGGCAAGTGTTCTTCCGTTGCAGCCATTCCGCAATACAGCCAATGTGATACTCCGATCACAAATTATCTTGACATACTGCACACATATTCTCGCCGACCCCAGTTTCTACGTGATCCTCCCGAAAGGATTGCAGTTTCGTCCACCTGCTCAAATCTCGTCCGGCCTCTCGAAAAGTCTGCATGCCCATTCCAGACATCGTCAGCATCAAGGATCACAGTTTCATCTTCGACCCTGTTATAGAAGCCGGCGGCGGGACGTCGGGAGAAGTGATTCTGATGGGCGTAGTCAGAGCCATGGGCATGAGTAAGCTGTTGAAGAAAGAAGAAGTGGCTTTGCAGAGAAGTACGACGGTGGAACTGCGCCATGGAGATTTTGTCACAAGTTTATCTTAACCAAGTAAGAAGATAGATTAACGTTCACTATATATAGCCTGTAATGTTTCCTTATCTACACGGATGAAATATTTAAGAAAGTAACGTTCGAGTATATGTAGGCTGTAATCTTTCCTTATTTACATGCAAGAAAGATTTAAGAATTAAAAAACGTGCAATATTTTTATTATTATTTTTTTTAATCGATTATTTATTGAATGTAATATTTTTATAGAGCATTTCTTGTAGTCATCTTTTTTATTATTTTTATGATTGTCTTCTCAATTTTTACTATTAATAGCTAATTATAAGATATAGTTATTTAATATTTATTGTTTTTTCAAAAACTGATTACTTTAAAATAATAATAATAATAATAATAATAATTAAATATTATTAAAAACAATTGACTATAGTTATCAAATTGTTTGAAATAATAATAATAATAATAATATTAAGAAAGAAGAGGAAAAGTTCCCCACGCATCGGCCGGCGGCATCGAGAACATCTCTACTGCATAAATATTTAAATACTATGGATGTGTTTTTTTTTTTATTATTATTATTTTAAATGAAAAATATGATTTCTACATGATTTTTAATAAAAAGTGTATATTGTTTTTTATATAAAATATTATATTGAAATATTATTTAAATAAATTTTTAAATTAATATTTTTATTTTAAATTAATTTAAATTATAAAAGGACAAAGCCAAGTTCATAAATATTATTTTGTATTTAAATAATATTTAAAAATATATTTTCTTCATTTCAAAATAATTGAATTATTTTATTGATAAATAATATTTAATTAGTTAATAATACTAAATTATAATATTATTTTATTATTTTTTATATAATTAATAATATTAATCATTTTAAAATAAATTTTAATATATATAATTAAAAAAATTAAAATATGTATTTAAATATTTAATAAGTACATTTTTATAAATAAAAAATACTTTTATTTATTTATAGTTAGTATAAACTAATTTTATTTATGTAAAATTTTAAATATAGATTAAAATACTTACTTTTAAAGAGAGATAGAAATAAAGAGTTTTAAATTAGTATATTATTATGTAGTTAATTAAATTTATTTATATTTTTTAAGTATATTTTAATTTAATAAATTTTATTTAAAATAAAAGAATATCTATGATGATATAAAAATAAAGAAAGTTCATGTGTTATATATTTATTTAATTGAAATTTATTTTCTCATAATGTTACTATTAAGTAATTACTTGTAGTACTTATACTAATCTTAAGTTTTGAATTTAAATTTTTAAATAATTATTTAATATAATATAAATATATGGTAATATCATCTCCATCTTCATAAGAAAGTTTTTTTTTATTTATTTATATTATATGTTAATATAATAATTAATATTTAAATATTTATATACAAATTGACAGAATATAATTTTTTTAAATGTAATATAAAAATGAATAGTACTCCCTCTGTCCCATATCTATAGATACAGTAGTAAAAAGTAAAAAGATTAAACTACTCTTATTAAGTATTGTATTATATACAAATAATAATATTTGTTTAATATATTATAAATTAGAATATATATATATATATAATATAGTATTTTGTTATGGACGGAGAATATATTGTTTAGGGATGAGGAGAGTCTTATTTATTTAATTTAATACCATTCCTCGCGAAATAAAATATTCAAACTAAAACACTGCAAACACACAATCAAACAATCCTTTCCAATCACTCCAAATAGTGTAAGAAAAAACCAGCTCGGTGTGGCGTGATATTTTCTCCCCCGCTATAAATATCCGTCGGCCAGAAGAGCAGCGGCAGCAGCAGAACGAGCATGGCGACGAAGACCGTTTGTGTGACCGGCGCATCGGGCTACATAGCGTCCTGGATCGTCAAATTTTTGCTCCAGCGAGGCTACACCGTCAAAGCATCTGTTCGTGATCCCAGTCAGTAAACCCTTGCCAATCACTCCAATTTTGTTTTCTTACTTCTTTATGCTTTTTCTGCTGCTTCAATGAACCGCTATTTGCTACAGACATGGATATGGAAGATTGATTGTCTCGCTTCCCTTGTTCGATTCATTTAATTCATTGATTTTATTTTCCATAAGTAGATGTTCGAATACATCCTATAGAGAAACAGTCCTAGAAACTAGCTAGGTAGGTAGTTAGAGTTTATGTTGGTCCACATTTGGGTGTGATGAATTGTCAATTTCTAAACAAACGGATTATTATATGAATTTTTTTTCTTCCAGAATTGAAGATCATCTCTCGTTATCTTCTCTGGCATTCAATTTTGTGTTGCTTCTGGACAAGTACCATATATTGCAAATGATACTTGAATTACTGAAACACGGTGAAAAAATGTAGGAAACATAATATTCAGGTTACTTCTTGATCTACAGGAGAGTTTTTTTGGGGTGATAGTTGCCATAGTTTGTGTAGAAATTTCTCTAGGGGGCGGGAAATCAGTTTGTGCATTTTTCATCTGTTTGATATATTCTATGTTATCCTTCATGAGAAGAAATTGGATCTAACATGTTGATACATTTAACGGTGATGAAGACTTACTTCTCTTCCTGAATGTCCTGATATTAAAAATATCAAATAATGTGCAGACGATGCAAAGAAGACACAGCACCTGCTTGCACTTGATGGAGCCAAGGAAAGGCTTCACTTAATGAAAGCAAATCTGCTAGATGAAGGATCCTTCGATGCCTTGGTTGAGGGTTGTGAAGGTGTTTTTCATACTGCCTCTCCTTTTTATCATGCAGTCACTGATCCACAGGTTTCTGATCTTCACTCTCTCTCTCCCCCTCCCTCCCTAACATGTTTCCATTGTTATAGTCATCGAATCAATGCTTTTAGGGCTCTACAGAGAAACTGAGAATCTCTTACAAAAAGATCATGAAATAGGTTGCTGTTTGTAACAGCCACTAATTTGTTATTTACATGATTCACAAAGCCTGTCTCGGGTATTACTATTTGGACCGTTAGTGACAGATTTGAAAGAGAAATGGGAGTTAGAACTAAGTTTAATTATATGATTTTGTAATGCTGGCATGTGTAGTTTTCTTCTAATGATTTTGAAGTGGGGATTTAATCTTTCAACTTATTACGGTGTCATCAACATTTCTGGAATAGCTTGTTTCATCCTGTTAACGTAATCATTTGTCACTTATTTTTCACTTCTTTCAGGCAGAATTGATCGATCCTGCTCTAAAGGGGACGCTCAATGTTCTCGGCTCTTGTGCGAAAACACCATCCGTCAAAAGGATTGTATTGACATCTTCAGTAGCTGCAGTTGCATACAACGGTAAACCTCGAACACCTGAAGTGGTAGTCGATGAGACTTGGTGGTCCGTTCCAGAGGTTTGCAAGCAGATGCAGGTCCATGTTCTATTCCTATTCCTCTAAAATGTTAAAGAAAGTGTGACCACACACTCTATTATCAATACTTATTTGGATCATTTCCACTAAATGGACATCTTTTTATTGAAACAAATTGACGAGCAACAATCTTAACTCTGCCCTATCAATGATTTGTTATCAGTAATCACTGATTTGATTAGTAAACCCTTGACTGATTGCTTTACTAGATGGGTTTTTGTTCTTTTGCTTCTACCAGATGTGGTACGTACTGTCGAAGACCTTGGCCGAGGATGCCGCCTGGAAGTTTGTGAAAGAGAAGGGTATAGACATGGTTGCTATAAACCCGGCAATGGTGATTGGCCCTCTGTTGCAGCCAACACTTAACACAAGCGCAGCTACAATTTTGAACTTGATTAATGGTAATTACCTTGCATCAAGTTCTTATACTTAATCTAAACTTCGGAACATGCCTAACTACTGCTATCAATTCATTTTCTGATGTGTCCTCGCCATAGTTACTCTCTTTTGTTGGAACTGTATAGTAAATGAAATTACATAATCAGTTGATGAAACTAAAAACAAGATAGTCAAAATTTGCAGATCAATTGTGGAAGCCCTTCTTTATGCTTGTAACAAAAGTTTATATGCTAAAATGCCCAAAATATCTAGAATAGTTCTTGCTGAAAGCTCTTGTTCTGTTGGATTTTATTCTCTTAATTAATATTGGATTTCTGGATTGTGATATTAAAATCTTTAGCTTGATTATCTCCGCTGTCTCGGAAATTTTGCAGGCGCAGAAACTTTCCCAAACAACACCTTTGGGTGGGTGAATGTCAAGGATGTGGCGCAGGCACACATTCTAGCATATGAGAATCCCTCGGCCAATGGAAGATATTGCTTGGTGGAGAGCGTCGCACACTACTACGAAATTGTTAAAATATTGCGCGAACTTTATCCTAACTTTAAACTCCCGGAAAAGTAAGTCCTTACCTCAAATTCACATGTGAACCTATAGTAAATATTAATATAACTATTTACTCAAGCCACTATGTCGAATCTTTCAAGTTCCTTCATCATTTTTTACAAATCCACTCTATTTGCAGGTGTGCTGATGACAAGCCATTTGTGCCCACATACCAAGTCTCAAAGGAGAGGACTAAATCTCTAGGCGTCGAATACACCCCTCTTAAAGAAGGGATCAAGGAGACTGTCGAGAGCTTGATAGAGAAGAACTTCTTCGCCCCCACATTGACTGCTTGAATCCATTATTGCCAACCGTTGGAGCCATATTCGAGTAAGTTAATTAGCTCAATCTTTACAAACCTATATATAGCTCTCTTTAGAGCACATGAATAAGTAAGGCTTGGCCTCCCAGATCTTTGTAGTGCTGGTATTATCTATGATATTGGAATTTTGGCGTACCCGTTATGATTTCAAATGCTTGTGTGTGCAACTATGCATTTATGGTTTAATATTTGAAAATTTTCGAACTATAGAACAAGTTGCTGCACTTGCGCATGATGTTACAGTAAAAAGTTGTGTTTTATTGGTACTAACAAATTATAGGTTTAATTTATTTTTGGCTCTGCCCATTCCCAGGGACTACCATAGGTTTAACATTTGAAAAAGGGTGACTTATTAAAGTTTGTATTTCTAAAAGGCTATTTTATTGGTGAGAAAGCTTTAGTAGAAAAAGAATGGCAAATGAAAAGAAAGATTTGAGGCATGCTTTCAATTCTTCATTTTCTCTTGACCATTGTCTAAACTTTTATTTGGATAGTTTATTACTTACTGCTGAAATTACCTTAGGAGTGCTGCCGAGTTTCCGATATCCTGCAATGGTGCGCGTTGCAGGGTGGCTACTCCACTCCTGTTGGAGTATGCTTTTCTTCTTCTTCCATCGAACGAATGTTCTGTGTCTTTTTGGTCGTCTTTTAAGTGAAGAAGCACCATTTTCCTCTCATTTGCAATTTGTTTCCCTAAAGAAACTATTTGCATCTCTTTAATTTCTTCTTTGGCGTTGGTCGTGGGATGGTTTTCCTTCATCTTTGTGTTTGTCTTTGCCTCCTTGTTGCGCGTTGGTTTTCGTTCTGCTTTAGCCCTTCGAAGCTCCTCTTGAAGGAGGGATAGTTCTAGATGGAGTTCATTCGCTCTGATTTCATAACTAAGAGCTTTGCCTTTCCATTCTTCCACCTGCAGATCAAAAGAGGGATTTAAGACCATTTTCGAGTGCCATTTTATGTGTTTTGTAGGATGATTTGAAGGTTCCCTTACAGCTAGTTTAAGACACTGAATCTCTTGAGCTGAACCTTGTGCATGTTTTTCCCAAAAATCATGGGATTCCTGCAGCTCCTCCATTTCTCCACGCACACGCTCCAGCATTTCTTGCATTTGAGCCCACTGTTCTGTCTCGGCTCGAACTTGCTCAACAACCCGGTGAACAATCATCCTGCAGTGCCCGGAGCATCTTCCGTCATCGGGTATTGTCGATTCCTGCAAAGCCCAAGTATGGAATTCTTAGAAGATCTTGGAGTTATTAAAGAACTTAAAAACCTTAATCTCAACATAACACTAACGATGCTGAATGCTTGTTTTAATCTATACTATGTGTGCCTTGACACTTTCTTTGAAATGCATATTTTTTAAACATGTCAGGGCTGAGGAAAGGTACACATTCTGGAAGTGTAACATTAAGAATAGAAAAACACAAAGAGAACTGAAACCAAGATTAATACAATCAATATGAGTGGTCCAAACTCCAAACCTAAATTTCGGAGTATTAATATAATTAAAGAGAGTGGATTTTGGGCAGTGTGTGGCAACCAAACCAGACATACTTAGTACAATTATAATACTAGATTAGCCTCAAAGCTGTACAGTAATAATAGATACCACAAAGTTGTTTAATAATTCAAGAACTCATTTAATAGAAAAGCCATTTTAAAATAGGTAAGAGAAAGAAGAGACTGGAACTTTGCCTGTCTGGTTGAGAAATTGGACAAATTGGGACACACAACTCCCTCGGAATCAGAAACAGAGCTGTCAACAATGCCATTGGTTGCACTGTTAAGCATGGAACCATACTGTTCTTCTTCCAGTGCTCTCTCTAACATCATTCCCTTTGACAGTCCCTCCTCCATTTTCTTATTCAGCTCATCCACCTGCAAATTGTTCTTCTATTTAAAATCCTTTCATGCAATTATCCTACAATTAGGGAAGACTATCAAAACCCTAGCATGCATTCAACTGACCTAATCCTACAATAATTTTAATCTTTCCATCGGCGTAGTTATAATAGAGGAGAGAAGTGATTCTTACTTCTGTGCACTTTTGGCTAGTGGAAACAGTAACAGTGCTCTGTTTATCAGTTTCATGAGATGCATTCAAGGACGAGTTTGAGTCACTGAATCCTTGTAATTCATTCAGAGGAGTTTCGTCCGGTGATTGCCCGAGCTTTCCTATTTGGCGCTGCAGAAGGCAGGCTTTTCTGTCGAAATTGCTGCAGCTTCTAATTGCGTCGTCTCGTGCTCTTGAGCTCCTGTGCAGTTCCTTCAATTTCTCTGATAAATCCTCGATCTCCTTCTCCAAAACTGTACTCACATTCCTACCTTCGAAAATCTTCTTCCTCCCCTAAAAATCAAAAGTGAAATTGTAGCAAAGTGAAAAAAACTCGCAAATTGAAGAAAATGAAACGTAAAACGAATAACTAACTAACAGATATGAGTGTTTGGACGGCCGATCGAAGAGTCCTCTCCGTCTTAATCCTATTTCTCTCGAGCTTCTTCATTGCAAATTGCCTTTCCATTCGCAGGAAATTGCACTCCGCTCTGAGTATCTCCGCTTGAAACATCCATTTCTCCTCCTCGAGCCTACTATCAACTCCGCCATCTCCTCCTTCCTCCACTCCAGTCCTCCTCTCACTCCGATTCATAAAAACAACAGGAGACTGCAAATCACTCTCGTTTCCTTGAATGCATATATTTTTCACGTTTCCTCCTGAATCAAGGTGCCTCCGGTGTAAAACCATGAAAGGATTAATCCGGTGGCTCCGTGGTGCGCACGGCTGCTTGCGGCGGGTCCTCCGGATGCGGGGGAAGTGGAGAATCTTCGGACTGGGAGGCGGAGGCGGCGTTGGATGCCATTTGGCTCTTCTCGAGACAGTTGACATGGCTCTCTCTAGCTCTGGTTCTCCTCCTCCAGGCAATACTCTCTCTCTTTTTTTTTTTAACTGTGAGCTTTCCCTTTCGGAAAGAGGGTTGAGTATAACGGTTGACACAGACACTACTACACATATTACTGTCATATATATAATGCCGTAATTTGTGAAATGACTGAAATACCCTTCCGCACATTCTTCCAAATCAGCGACTCTACCATTACTCCCTCCTTGCCTTCTAAGCACGCTTTTGAGATAAATGAAATGTCTAAAATACCCTTTCTAAATTCAGAATAGCGACTTTAGTGGTAGCTTCTCTCTGTCTGTTTGTCTGACGTTTTTTAGTATTTAGGAAAACACGTTTTATGTCATACCTATAATTTTGAAATCTTATTCTACTTCTATTTTTAAATAAAAAAGAGAATTAATATATATATATGTGTGTGTGTCTTAGTCAATGCCCGAGAATCATTTTTTAATTATTTAACTTTTATATTATATATATTATTATTATCATATAGAATGAAGAAATCTCTGAATGTCACAACTGGTGCATGCTACAAGAAATTTAATGCTGAGCCATACAATGACTGTTCATGCCTCAGGTTCTGCATGTCCTGCTTTCCAACCCAGGCTATTTAATTTTTATTTACTCCCTGCTATCACACTATGCTTATATTTTAAAAATTAATAATTATTTTATTCTGCTCCATATCATGTTTCCAGGTGAAAACACAATTCACTTCACTCCAAAGGAAGTGATTTCAAGTGGGCCATACAAATCTTGAATATATATATATATATATATATTATATATATTTTTAAAAAAAAACCCTCCTTGATTTCTCAACTATTAATATCTTAATTGAGCCATTATGAAGAAATGACTGTAATTAATTATTCATAAAGGGATTTCTTTAATCCATATTATTCTGAAACTCCCAATTTTATTTTTATTTTTAATTCATTTAAGCTAAACAAGTTCCAATGCCACAAGAACATCACTGAGATTAATTTCGCAAAGTCATGTTGAGAAATTCAAATTTTAAAAAAAATGAGATTTGGGGACCAATAATTTGGATAGAATATATACATATATATATATATATAGTGTCAGATGATTTGATTTATTTTATTTGATTTTATTTTCGTCCAGTACTCAACTGGGCTACAAAAACATTGATTTGAAAGTGTAGGCAGTGGTGTATCTGTCTGATGCCAATTGAGGCAGGCAGAAGCATTTGTACCATCAAGATAAGCACAGAATAACGCCAATTCAATTCAATTCAATTCAATTCAATCAAATGGACATAATGGGGTTACTATAAATAAATGTTCTGATTTTTGTGTTGATTGTGTTCTTTTGTACCATGTTAACTGTTATTGTTGGATTTCTTCTTGTTATTATTACTATTTATTTATTTTGTATTTACTTCCCTGTCAGAATTTTCAAAGTCAATGAATAAATGTGATCTTTCAAAGGGCCCCTGGAATCTTTCTGTTTAGTATTTATAACGGCAAAGTCCAAGATTGCCAAATTTAATTTCTTCCCAATGAACGATAATATACTGTGTGTTGTGTTTATTTAGCTTGGCATGTCAAGGCCAGACTGTGTTGGGTTTTACTCATTTGGGCCTAAAGAGGTTAGCCCATATCACTAAAGCCTGGGCCCATATAGTTTCTTGAGAAGCCCATTAAGGGAAAAAAAAAAAGGTGTAGGTTGTAAGAGAGCCACCAATTTTGGGGGAGATAGAGGTCAACACATGGCAGCAAACAATTGGAAAAAGATCCAACTTTTGGGATAAGAAAATATATCAAAGATTTGTGCATCACTAATGAACTATTTCTGAACTGATCCAAAAAAGGCCCTTATTCAAAATTTTCATTGCTAAAAAAATCCTTACCAAACAAGAAGCTGTAACAATGGCTTCCATGACCATGCCTGGTTCATTCTTGAGTAGTACCAAGCAAATGCCCATCCCCATGCCCATTGCCACCACCTGCCGCGGAGCGGCGGCGGCGAGGGCAAAGAAGACGGCGGCGGAGGCTGAGGTGGAGAGAGAGCACAGCAGCAGCAGCAGCAACCGTAGGAGGGAGCTCATGCTGGCAGTGGCAATGGCAGCCGCTTGCTCGGTGGCTAAAGTTGCCATGGCGGATGATGAGCCAAAGCGCGGCAGTCTGGAGGCTCGGAAGAAGTACGCGCCAATCTGTGTCACAATGCCCACGGCTCGGATTTGTCACAACTGATCATCTTTGCACCTGTACTTTACTAGAGATGGTTTTTCATGTTATGTCAAATATGAACTGTGAAATGAGCAGTGTGTTCTTTCTCAATCTTTCCTTCTTCCATTGCAATGAAATAAGCAAATGTTTATTCGATACGGGCTTTAGGCAAAAAAAGGATACATGATTGAAACACGTGAAAGCTACTCACAAAATGGCGTGCAGCGCATTGCAGAATCTTCGGGCAAGAGCAGATGAATCTTTAGTAGTTTGTTCACTCAGAGTTGCCGGTTTGGTGGGATGCAACGTATTCTCGGATTATATCCATGGCCAACTGGTGCGCGCTCTTGTCTTGGACTCTTGCTATGGCCTCCATGGCTTCGAATGTTTCTTTGTCAGCAAAGAGCTTCAAATTGTACCTCGAAGCTCCCAATGGCTTCCCTTCCCATTTATCCACCAGTTCATGAAGCTTTTCATTGCCCTGGACGGAGATATCGATTCATTTTATATAATCATACTTGCAGAGAATCCTAAGAGATTATAGGCATATTTGCAAATAAGAGCACGCCATACCATACGGTTTGTGAAGTCGCCGAATGATTCTTTGGAAATTCGCTTGCGTTTCCAGTGATAAAACAGAGGTTCTAGAACTCTCTCAAGATCTTGTAGCTTAACCTTTTCCTTGAAGACTCTTGCCAATGCAGTTTGGTTGGGAACTCCACCGAGCCAAACCTGCAACGCAACATGAGAAGTTATTTCAGTTAAATTGTAGGTTCTCATTTCCTCTCCCGACTTTTTATATGATAAGACATTAGATGTAACTGCATGATTTAACCTGATAGCTATTTGGACCGTCACCAACGAGTCCAAGTTCAGCCATGTATGGTCTTGCGCAGCCATTAGGGCAACCAGTTATCCGAATAACAACGGATTCATTATACTTCAGACCGACCTAGAATAAGACGATAATATCTTCATATCAAAGCTCGTATCTGAAAATGCCACAATTCTTTGATTCATCTTGAGTCGAAGAATGTATTCTGAGAATGAGAGAAGTACCTTCTCGAATACAGCTCTAACTCTCTTGAGGATGTCGGGTATTCCACGCTCAGCTTCGGTGATTGCCAATGGGCAAAGTGGCATGGCCGGGCATGCCATTGCTGTCAAGTTGAGAGGATCAACAAGCCTAGGTTGCTGCGCAAACATGAGAATGGTTAGATAAATATCCATTTAACACCGGTGAACCTCAAACGAGCACGAATGTTTAAAAGGAATACAACATTTTAGCAAAAGATGGATGATTTTCATCATAGTTTGGGAGCTCACCAGCAGGCCACCCTGAGCAAGAGCAGTAGTGATGGGGCGCTTCCATGCTTGTCGAATATTGCACAAGATGATATTCTGGTTGGGCGTGATGCGGACATTCAGATTATACTTCTCGATTATTTGCCTCAGAGTCTCTTTCATTATCCCTTTGATCCTGCCATTATCAACATGAAGACCACAGAACAACCCACCGTCTCCCTACAAAAGCCATTAGCAAAGTCAACTAAAAAAGCCAGGAAAAACATTACAATGTTACAAAAGCAAACAATTTTCTGTAAAAAGTAAAGGTAAACATCGAGGGGACCTGCTCGTGCCATCCCAAGTAGCTTTTAAATTCCCACTGGGGTAATTCACGGCAAGGTTCAAACGTCTTTCCATAATACTGTTCAACAACATTCCTGAACTTCTCAATCCCCCATGAACTGATTAAATATTTCATTCTGCTATACTTGCGGTCATCTCTTCTCCCGTTTTCTCTTTGTGTAACAACAATAGCCTTCACTGCATAAAGAATGTCTTGTTTCGGCACATAACCCAGAGGTTCTGCTAGCCGAGCAAAGGTGCTCTCTAATCTGTGTGTTCTTCCCATTCCACCACCGACCTACACAGCACCATAACCAGTGTCAATTCACCGATCCTCAATGAAACACAAGAAATAAGTTCTTGTAGAAAGGTATAAATTTTACATATATGTTAAATCCCTGAGGCTCCCCATCAGCATCAGATACAACAACAACACCAATATCGTTCGTAAATATATCCACAGAGTTATCCGTTGGTACGGTAACAGCAATCTTGAACTTCCTTGGCAAGAACTGAGTTCCATAGATGGGCTCGGGTGAATCAGGGAAATTTGTACCATGGGAATTATCATTTCGGGCCTTCACTACTTCCAGAGGCTCTGAAGACATAATCTTTTCTCCATCCACCCACATATCATAGTAAAACCCCGATTGAGGAGTCAACAATGCAGCAATATTTTCTGCAGTTTCCTGTGCAAACAGATAATCCTTCCGATCAATTGGACATGCTGGAGCAAGAACATTCCTGTTCAGATCACCACATGCACCAAGTGTAGACCCCATATTTTCGATGATGGTACTCATCACCGTCTTCAGGTCTTTCTTCAAAACACCATGGAGTTGGAAGGTTTGCCTGGTAGTCAAACGAAGTGTTCCAATCCCAAACTGATCAGCAAGATCATCCATGACCAGATAGAGTTTGTTCGAAACCTTCCCGCAAGGGTTTTTAGTACGGAGCATGAATGAGTAACTCCTGGTGCCGCGCTCATCTCTATTATACTGCTGATAGCTGCCATGGAACTTGATCAATTGTGTTGCAGCCTCATTGATATTAGGAGCATCATTTAGTATCTCCTCATTGAGAGGATATCTTATGAAGTTACTCTGCTCCTTGAAGATTTCGACCTTGCTTCGCTTTTGGTCCGTTGATGTTTCTGGCTTCAGAGGCTGCAGAAAATGAAAGCAACAGAGAAAATGCAGATGAATGACAATTCCAGTAATGCTAATGACAACCAATTAGGACTTCATTTAAGAATGAAGAACATCTAAGAAAACCTAATTTCTACACATTAGTAACAGCATTAACGGAACAATACCAGTAATTCGAACGACAAACAATTAGGACTTCATTTAAGAATGACGAGCATCTCAGGAAACCTAATTTCTATACATTAATAACAGCATTAACTAACAATCTACCAAGGCCACACGAGGTTTCCTTCAATAACTGCCGTTTATTCAACAGGAAATTAATTATCCAACTTCCACACACCACAAGCAATAATCACAAAATCAGTGAAATGCAGAATTCAAATAGAAATGGATGATAAATTACGGAATCGAAAACAGGAGAATAAAATTGTCCATACCGTGGAGACCGCTCGGACAAGGAAGGTGGATCCCGCAGTAAAAGAATGGGAAACAAAGGGGCGATTAACAAGCAATAGAGAATTGGAAGCACTCCTCAGTTCACTGAAGCTTCCGAGATGCCGAACCTTCCGATCCCTGCCGATTGCGGCGGCGGTAGCAGTGGCGAACGACGTCGTCATGGAGCCGAATTCCTGGGTAAAGGGGAGCTCGCAGAAGATAATTTCGGGCGGAAGATTAGCAAAGGATCTTCTTCCAGGATTTGTGGGGCTGAGACTGAGAGAACTTTTTTGAGGTGGTGGCCGATGAACAATGCCAAAGGGCGACCATCAGTGCTTACAGTTACACTGCTTGCACAGTCACGTGTCTGGCACGAGATCTTATTTTTAATTAAGGTTTTAAATTGAAATTTTTGGAGTGTAGATTTTTTATTTTTAATTTTTTTAATTACAAGATAAACTTTTAATATTTTAAAATAATACAACCTAAATATTTTATTTTTAAATTCGGTAGCTCGTTGATCAATCTTTGCTTCATTGACGAACAAAGGTCAAACATAATTTTTATATTATTATTATTAAATATGAACACTATTAATTAATTATACTATATTTTGTTTCAAATTAATTTGTTGATATTACTTATAATGTAATACAAAAATAAAATAAAATAAAATGTTAATACGAACTAATTTAAATGAAGTATAGTGTAATTAATAAATATTTTGGCACAAAGAATTAATTTAATTGTGTTTTGTACAATTTTATGTAGATTAATTACTAATGATGCAATGGTCTTTCTCTCACTCTCCCTACATAGGCTTACAAAAGATCAAACTAAATAATTGAATAGAATCTATACAAGACATTTTTTTTTTTGAAAAAAAAAAGAAAATAACAATTGGTGTGTTTAAATAAAATAAAAAATATATATATTCATGACATAATTGTTTGTTTCTTTTAATTTTAAAATTTGTATTCATTAAATTGTTTTCTTGAAAACAATTAATAATATTTTTAAATTCAAAATATACTATCAAATATTAATTTATATGACATCAAATAATATAATTTTATTCAAATTTTTAATATTTCAACATTCAATTTCAAAGTCTAAAGAAATACATCAAAAAGTTATTTCTATCTTCTTTCTTTCAAATCAAACTTACAATGAAAATGTAATTTTATACCTTTATTACAAAAAGGATCTATAATATAGATTGTCATTATTTTTATTTTAAATTCATTATTTCATAACCATGATTATTAGGAGTTTAGGACACTTGAATTAATTAATCCTACAAAATAAATAAAACCGTAATTAAAATAGTATTAAATTATTTATGGTATATAATCTATGTATTAATTATGTGATGTGATAAAATAATCATCCAAAATTCTAAAAAAATATCTTATCAAATATTATATCAAAAAATATAATAAGCAATTTAAATCCAAATAAAACCAAACAAGCATATAGAATTTCATTGGTCAACGCAGCAAGGTTTAAATTGTAATTTGCAAAGCAGTATTAAATTAACTAAACTGATTTACATAAATATTATTACGTTGGGCCATAAATAAATTCCTAAGCCCAATAAAGGCCCAATTATTTCTCGTTGTCCCACACTGCTAAAACAGAAGTTATTCTGCTTCTTTATTAAATAGCTGTGGACATTACAGTTCGTCCCTTCGGGGACATCCGATAAAATTGGAACGATACAGAGAAGATTAGCATGGCCCCTGCGCAAGGATGACACGCATAAATCGAGAAATGGTCCAAATTTTTTTTTTCCCTTTTTTTTTTTCTTTTTTTTTTTTTTTTTTGTGTGTTCTTCCCCTTCCCCTTGTCGGTAAATGAGTTCTTCATTTTTAGGGTTTACGGCTCCATTGTTGGTCGACTGATTGTGATTTGCTGTTTCCTCCAATTAGTTCGATTTGATTCACTGTAGTATTAGGGTTCCCAAATTTCTTCGGATTTATATGATTCTGAGGTTGTTGGAGTAATATAATTTTGAATCTTCTATCCATTGCATTGCAAAGAAACGAAGAGTATGAACATATATTTACATAAATATAAATCTGTCATTTTGTTTTCCGATTCATACAGAATTAATTTTTGAGAAGACAATCATCAATCTCCTACAGATATCAAATGTTATGTATTTGCACATTAGCAGACTACATGTGAAAATTTAGCTATCTTCTTCTTCTTCTTCTTCTTCGATTTCAAATAGTTCTTCATTGAATGATCAGATTCTGTAATTAATCTACAAATGTGCTTGCTGTTCTTGATGCTGTTGCAATCTTCTTTGCTTGTAGATCATCAAGAGTTGCGCAAACAGGAGCTCGTTCCACGTATCGGGAACGCCCGGAAGACACCAATGGCTGCAATCTTGGTGCGTCGCAAAGTAGTTCTTCTCATCCTCCGTCATGTTTGGCTTCCGGAAAAGCGAAGGGTGCGCGTCCTTTCTGTAATTCGTCATCAGCGACACGTTTTGATAGTACACCGGGATTTTGAGTCCCTCCATTGCCCGATCCAGCATCAAAGGTATCGAAGGTTTCATTTCGTGCGCACTTAAAAGCTCTTTCTCGTCTTCTATTGGCTCTTTGTCGTCGCACCTTCCCCCGGTGTTCCATTCCCCTTTACTAAAAGACACAAGAAAAGCATAATCACGACGACATCAAGATATCAATCGAGGATAAAGAGATAATCGCGGTAATAAGATGACCTGAAATGTGGGAACGAATAGCCTCGAAAGAAGACGTGAGTTTTATTCAGGTCTACGTTGGCTTCGATCCATCTCGCCCACGTCGCCATTGCTTTTGCAAACGCTTCCTCGACTTCAAGCTTCTCATGGACATTGTCGCCTTCTTGATAGTATCCTTTTCTAGAAAGACATACACAGAATTCACAATGGGAAAATCCAATAGATAAATGGAGAAAACTGAAATGAATCGAATAAATACCCTTCCGATGTTTTCTCATGTGTCCACCAGTTTCCCGTGTTGAACACGAGCACGTCTGCATCTTTTATCGTATCGTAAGAGGACTCGGGCAGGTCGAGCCTTAGCGTCTCCTTCTTCGAACCATTGGCTAGCGTCGTTTCCCATTCTTGAACCAGAAAGGCAGACCTTATGTACTCTATCGAACAATTGTAATCCTAAATGCAATTGAACAAGAAGATCAATCCTAAATGCAGCCATGATCGATGATCAGCTCAATTCAAATAACAAATCTATGGAACAATTGTAATCCTAAATGCAACCAAACAAGAAGAAGATCAATCCTAAATGCAGCCGTGATCGATGATCATCTCAATTCAAACAACAAATCTATCGAACAATTGTAATACTAAATGCAATCAAACAAGAAGAAGATCAATACTAAATGCAGCCATGATCGATGATCATCATCTCAATTCAAACAAGAAATACATAGAGAATCTGCAGTGTACCAAGAACAGAAAAGAGTAAGCCCCTTCTTTCTTGAAGTCAGTCCTACCAGAAGCCTCGAACACTCTGCTCTTATCCTTGACGGAATTTCTAAGTAAACAAACCAATGATTCCCACATGTTCCTGTTCATCGAATCTCCCACATAAACCATTCTCTTCCCTCGCAGTAGTCTCAGCATTTTCCGCCCCTTCAATCTGCCCTATCGACCACAAAATCATTGAGAACAGATTTACAGATCCATCCATGGAAGTAAGTAATAATTAATTAAATTACCTTGGGGTGTTGCAATGGTGGGGCTGCCATCTGTACCTTTCGAAGGCGTATTCGGGACGTCCATTTCTGTGGCAATTGAAGGACTCGTCCATGAATGAACACGAACCTCTCTCGTACAATGGAGCCAGGTCATTCTTCACCCATTTCCCGTCGTATATGTCGCATCTGCTCATGATTTCCAGCCAGGCTTTGTCTTTCAATCTGCCTCTATCGTTTCCCCCAATTTTCCCCAATTCCGAACCCTTGCCATTCCGGTTCCCTTCCAATTCTGTCTCGTTGCTTTTCGCGGCGGAGATCTTGTATTTTCCTCCTCCTCCTCCTTCTCCGCCGCCGCCGGCGTCGTAGAAGATGAAATCGGGGAGATAGGCAGGTAATTGGGGGCGTCGAGCGAGCATGTTTTTGAACCACTGGGAAGAGGAATGGTGGAGGTGGGGATTTGCGAAGAGGAAGAGGACGGTGCAGAAGAGGAAAACGGTGGTGAATAGACAGGCGAAGTATAGAGATCGATAATTAGGTCGGAAGGTGGGGGTGCGTATTATGAGGGAAGTCGGCGAGAAGAGCGCCTTTTTGAGATCCGAAGCGACGCCATTGCTGGGGACCTTCAATGGTGGGAAAGGTCGCTTGGGGATGTATTTGCTTGTGGGTAATGTAGGTGAGGATGATGATGAAGAAGAAGAAGAAGTGCCGTCCTCCATTGGCGGCGTCTCTGAATTAAGCAATTGCAATTGCAGGAGGAATTGATGATCGATCATAGGTGGGGGAAGAAATGCAACAGCTTTTGTGAAGACATTGGAATGGAGGAGGAAGATGAATTTGTTGCAGATGTTAGAGTAGAGATAGAAATGAAATTACTACTACATTTTCGTAGGATTGATTAGTTAATGATATTCTCATAAATTAACGACATTAAATGGTTACAGTTATATATATATACGTAGACATTAATGGTGTTGTATATAAGGGTCTCTTTGAGTATCAAATAGTACTTGAGATTGTTGGTTGGTTGAAATTTAACATGTTATTTACATAATATATATATTTAACTAAAATAAATTTAAAATACATACTTAAACATTTTAAATACTACTACCTCCGACTATAGGATAAGTATAATTAATTGATAATTAAAAATATATTAATAAAAATAATTAAATTATAATATAAATTAAAATTGAAATAACTAATTAATTTAATTAAAATTAAAAAAATTTAAAAATTTAAAATAAAATTAAAGTATTTAATCATTTTCCAAAAAAGAGAAGAGGAAGTATTATAGTTTAATAGTACAAATTAATACAGAGATACAATAAATACCACTTTTATAAATATTGTTACAATTGTCCCTGATTCACAACAAAAAATAACTAAAACAGTAGGCATACAAACACAATCTTATTTTCAAAAAATTTGAACATAAACAAAAAGTTGAGAGGATAAACTACCAAATACACCATAAAATTATTTATTGATAACAAATCTCAACTTCAATCTAACTCACCCAAGAGTGAATTAAAATTCAATCAAATCTCAAAAAAATGATAACAATAAAAATGAAAATAATCAAAGATACTATATTTAAAAACATGAAAAGAAATAACATACGATCTACATATATAGTAGCAACGCCACAGAGAAACATATCACTCTTAGAAATGCGATTTTAAAAGCAACAAAATGCGACTTTAAGGAAACGAGTATGGCTACCAATGGCATATTATATATGAGCTTACCTCCTCCTCCTCCTCCTACTTGATGGATCCATCCCTCATTAGCTTCAAGCTAAGACTGTTGAATCTCTCGCGTGAGTACTGTCTCGAAGCCTTCCGCCAGTCGGTTCCGGCCTTCATCATCGCTGCAAATTCGTCGTAGCTTATTCGCCCATCCTGTAATTTCGCAAACCATTTGGGGGTCGAACGACAACTCATTTCGTGCAAGCATTTTAGTACTAAATGAAACAACGATTTATTGACTGACCTTATCTGTGTCGACATCGTGCATGATGGCAATGATGACTTCCTCGCTGTTCCCATCGTCTTCCTCGTCTCTCAATGCATCGCGAAGCTCGTCCATCTCTATGTATCCGCTCTGGTTTTGATCGAAGAAGGCGAATGCTTTGTGTAGGTGCTCGTCGTTGGCCATCTTTTTGAGGTGCACGGAAACAGCAACAAACTCGCCGTAGTTCAATGTCCCGTCTCCATCAACGTCAGCCTGGAAACAGGAAAGTAAAGATCGAGCAGGAATAGGCAGGTTGACATCGCAAGGAATAAAATGGAGATCGACAAAGCAAAATTTACGGCTTCCATGAGAATCTGAATGTCTGCTTCAGGTATTTGATGGCCGAGTTTGTGGAGACCGGTAGCGAATTCTTCGCGGTTGATTTTGCCCTTCTTTCCAGAGTCCATCATATCGAACGCTTCCTTGATTCCGGCGACTTCCTCCGTGGATAAATGCTCGGCCACAACCTACAAAATGTGAGCAGTTCTTTCATTCTTAGATCATTACATTTTGTTTCGATATATGAAAATGTGTGAAGAATCGTTCGCATACCCTTAGAGCCCTTTTCTTGAGCTTATTCATCACCGAGAATTGTTTGAGCCGAGCCTTCACTGTCTCGCCCAACGAGACATTGGGTGCCTTCTTTATATTTTGCAACCAAGGATGATCTGCAATGGTTGTACTATTAGTTTCCTCTGTGCAGTCAAAAACACGCGCAGACGAGTATGTTACAATGTAGGCCGGGCGAGCATTACCGAGAACTTGATGGGCTGTAAGACGCCGATTAGGATTAGGATGGAGCATTTTCTTCACAAGATCCTTTGCATTGTCAGAAACCTTTGGCCAAGGATCTCTCTTAAAATCAATAACAGATCGAATGATCGCTTGAGCGACTCCTTGCTCGGTTTCTGCACCATTACAGGAGCTTAAACGAACAAATGTAGAATGTACATCGCATTGCAGAACGATTTAAATGTGATTACACGCCAATAAAAAAAACAGTCGAACCAACCTGCCCAGAAAGGAGGAACCCCACAAAGTAGTATATAAAGAATGACTCCGGCGCTCCAAACATCAACCTCTGGACCATAGTTACGTTTTAGAACTTCCGGGGCCATATAGTACGGGCTGCCAACAATCTCATTGAACCGTTCGCCTAAAAGTCACAACAACAAATTAAACTAAAGATATGCAGTTTGTCCAAAACAAGCCTCAATGTTAAAAGAAATCAACACCAAGATCGATGATTCTTACCCGGTTTGAAAAATATCGATAGGCCAAAATCAATTGCTTTTAGTGGAGATGCCTCTTTCTTGTTTGCGAAAAGAAAGTTCTCCGGTTTGAGATCACGGTGCATCACTCCATTCTGATGGCACACCTGCAAAATATTTAACCAGTAATTAGAAAATTCTGACAGAATTGAACATTGTAATGTCGAAGGCAACAAATGAACATTGATCTTTGATCATTAACCTGAACCACTTCCATAACGGTCTTCAACACATATGCAGCTGCTCTCTCAGTGTAATGCCCCCTGGCCACGATCCGATCGAACAGTTCCCCGCCTTCACAGAGTTCCATTACTATATGCACTGCACTGTCGTCTTCATAAGTGTCCTTCAAGCTCACGATATTTGGGTGCTTAGGCATATGCTTCATGATCTCCACCTCCCTCCTGACATCCTCAATATCCACTGCAGTCCTCAGCTTCTTCTTAGATATTGACTTGCACGCAAACTTCTCCCCAGTCTCCACATCAGTGCACAAATAGGTAACTCCGAATTCGCCTCTCCCCAGCTCGTGCCCTAAATCATACCTCTCGTATATGCGGTGGCCATTTGGATCTTTCAACACAACTAGTTTGTTTTTGTCAACAGATCCATGATTTGCACCGTATTCTATTGAATGTGGATTTGGTTTTTTCTTCCTGTTCTTCTTGGGATCTGAAGAAGCAGCAGGTACCACACAGCAATTTCCCATGGCTCAGAAGAAGTGTTTTCCCTTCTTATAATTTATTCCTTTCCCTGAGATAATTTTTTTCATAGTACAGTCAAACACATCAGGGAAAATGCTACTTGAAATTTGAATCTAGCATCTAAATTTCACTGCACATTGTTATCAGATTCGAAGAAGAAAATGTAATCTCTGTTTTATTTTTTCCCACTCGAAAGCTACTATTCCTTAAATCTACGCAACAAAAATCTCGAAGATTTTTTAAATACTTCAATAATTTTCGCGATTGATTTTTTTTTTTTTCAAAAAAATAAAAAATAAACATAAACACACTGATCAATTAACTAACAAAAACTTCAAAACAACGAACATTCAAGCTATACGGAGAAACCAGCAAATCCATGGAGTTTATAACAAGAACAAAAACATTAAATATTAAATGAATCAGTCACCTTGAGCATACAGCAGTTCCTCAAAATTTCAGCATAAATACAGAATGGCGGTCAAAAGCAGCCGGTGCAATCATGAAAACAATAAATTAGAAGATGTGAAAATGAAGGACACATGAAGGCAGGCGTGAATCCGCCATGGGAAGAGAGAGAGACAGAGTGAAAAAGCTTCTTTACAGAGCCTTTTCCCATTCACTTCCTTCTCTTCTTCGTTTATATATTTCATTTACTTTTTGGAGCTATAGAAACCCCCAAAAGAAAATACTAATAACAAATTTTCGTTATTTATAGTTAACTGCTCTTTTATTAATTGAAAATAATTATTTAATATAGTATTTTATTTTTTAACAATGAATATTAAATTTAATAATTTAAATAAATATAGTAAATTATTTAGTAAAAACTAAAATTGAAAGAAAACTTTAAACAATGTTTCACTCAAATTTTATATATTATTAAAATAATAAAATTATATAGTATTCCTCCGTCCCATATACCATGTCTATATTGTCGTTTCTGTTCGTCCCGCGTATCATGTCACTTTTTTTTTAAATGATTACACACTTTAATCTTATTTTAAATTTTTTAATTTGTTTTTTTTTTTAATTTTAGTTAAACTAATTAGTTATCTTAATATTAATTTATAATTATTTATATTATTGAATAATTATTTTCACTAATACATTCTTAATTATCTACTAATTATACCCCTCTTAAAATACCGTATATACAGTGTAGCATGCTACATGGGACGGAAGTAGTATTAAGAATAGTGAATCATAAAAAAGAGATTAATGGTTTATAATGAAATTAGATAGTACTGTCCCATTTAATTTTTTCTTTATTTTCGTCCGTTTTATATAATTTATAATTTTTTAAAAAAATATTAAATATTTTAATCATATTTTAAAATTCATCATTTATATTTTTTATTTTAATTAAATTATTTAATCATTTTAATTTTAATTTTTATTAAATCATAATTATTTTCACTAATATATTTTTTAATTATTTATTAATTACACAATATTTAGAATTTCGTACCTAAGCTAAATATGACAATTTAGAGGAAATATTAAATTTCAGTTTTCGTTTTCTTTAATAATTATTTCGTTTCAATTCAAAATATTTTTTTTATTATTATTTACCATATCTATAATATTTTATGAGACAAAATAATTTGTTTGTATGTAAATTTTATATATTTTTATTAAAATTATATAGTTTTAAAATAGTAAATCATAAAAATGAAGTCCATGGTTTATGGTGAAATTATAGTACTCCATTCCTTTTATAACTACGTTTGTTTTCACAAAATGACACTTGTATAATATAATATATTGTGTCAGAGTATTTGTAACGTTAGATAGATATAAAAAAAAAAATTGAATATTTTGTTATGAGACAGACTAAAATAAAAAATTGATAGTTTGTTACGGGAGAGATGAGTATTAAATTTGGTTTTTAACTTTAATTTCAATATAATATTTTACCATACAAAATATTTTATTTTCTATTTTTTGTAAAATGTCACAAAAATTATATAGTTAAAGAAAAATTAAGAAATTTAAGACTCTATCCTTTTGAAATTTGGTTCTTTTTTTATTACTATTATTTCATATTTTTTAATAAAGATACATTATATATAAAGCATCATATATTTAAACATTCAAAATTAAATTTTCAAATCAAATAGTATATATATAAAAAAAAGAAAAAAAACATATAATTTTAATTTGGTGATATATTCCTGAATTTTTTAATATATATATATATATATACCAACACAATAAATAAAATATATATTATATTCACTAATAAAAAATATTCCATTTGTCCCACGTAATTTTTTCATATTTTCTATTTTTGTTCGTCCCACATAACTTGTTCTTTCTATTTTTTAAAATATAATTATGTACTTTAATCGCATTTTAAATTTTATAAATTTTTTTAATTTTAATTTATAATTATTTTTAATAATACACTTTTTAATTACTTACTAATTATATTTTACATAAATTCTCGTGTCTACGGTAATATATCCATATTACATGGGACGGAGAGAGTAATAATTAAATATAATATATTATTTTTTATATTTAGTATAAAAATACGAACACATTTGTAGTTTTTACGAATCAATGGATCGAATTATAGCTTAATAAGATTATATTTAACATTTATGTTTCATTGAAAATATTATATTCAACTATTAATAAATTTACCATAACAATTTTAGTAAATGCTACAGTGATACTATTATTATTATTATATTAATAAGCTGAGTTGTTCAAGCACTTGAATGAAGTCATGTTAGATATTGACATTTTTTTATTATTATTTTATTAGATAGTATATATATATATATATAATGTGGGTACATTTATACTTTATGTTATTGACAAATTCTCTGCATATTGACAATTTGCAACATCCTTCGTACAAAATTAATTAATACTACATACAATTTCCTCTTTTTTTTTTTTTTTTTTTTTGACGTGGAAACCCGGCGAGGCATGTGTGGCAGGTGACCTAAAGTATGGGGGATTTGAACCCATGACTTACAATTTCCTGTGTTTGTTTTTTTGGCAGTAGAGTTGGGTACGAAATTTTGAATAATAAAACTTTTAATTTAAAAAATTATTTAATGTAATATAAATAATTGTTCGTAAATTTGATTTAATTCTTTTTTAAATAATAAAAAAGAAATAATATTTGATAAAATATTGTGTAAAATAATAAAATAAATTTGATTCGATATTTTTTAAAAAATATTATTATTGATGAATATTTACAAATGTTTCAAAAGTGTTTAAAAAACACCTTATAATATTCTTTCACAACTACTGTGTTCATTTAGGTCATTTTTAGTGCGTGTTTTACATTTTTTTTTTTTTTTGGGTGTTTTGTTTGGGGATTAGATTAGATTTTCACAATTCATTCTATTTTTTTTTCAAAAACTATCAAATCAAACACCTATTTGTCATTTTTTATATTATACTATAAATCAATTTTACATTCAAAATATCACATCAACACCTATTTATATCATATCATACGACTGTTTAAATTCAAAAAATTTTACTATTCAAATCCTAACTAAAAATCCAATCCCCCAAACAAACACACCCATATTTTATGTTATACTAAAAAATATTTCAATATTCGAAACATTACATCAACATATATTTATATCACATCATACAATTATTACAATTCAAAATTTTTATTATTCAAATCTCAACTCAAAATTCAAACACACCCTTAGAATTTTTTATTGATTTATTTTTATTGTTGATTTGAAATTAAATATTAATTTATTTATTTTTTATTAAATTAAAATAATATTTTGACATTATTTTATTTTTTTACAGCATTAACTTATCTGCCCCTTGCGGAGGGAGGGGTAGGGGTGTATTGTATGTATTCCATCTTCATTTGATTGGGTTGAAATTTAATGAGTGAGTGAGTTGGCAATTTGTAGGACTCTTTCTACGTTTGGTATTCGTTGTCTCATAAAGAATTTCGTGTCCTAGAGTTTGAATGTTTGAACTTTGGAATGCATTGCCGCATTTAATAACGAATACAAAACCCCACCTTACTTCCATACAATTAATTCATAATTCATACCCAAATTGGAATTACTGCCGTAAAATAAATACTGCCAATTTTCTAAACAATATCAAGATACATACACATAAAAAGTTTTGGAAATAGTAAAATACTGAATGGAAGATACTATATATTTAACATGATATTAGGCATAATATTTTAAATAAAAATATATTAGCTCTTGGTTAAATGGGCCACATAATGGGCCCTAAAAGGCCCACAACTTTGTACTGAAATTCACAATATTAAATGATTAAAAAATAAATAATGGTCATGGCTCATCCAAGAAGCCCTCCTGCAATTGCTGAGGAGGAGGAGGAGGTCCATCTATGGATGGCTTTATAACAGTGAGAAACAGTATGTTGTAGAAGATGGTAAAAAGTATCAAACCTGTTGCTACAGACCACAACAAAGAATCCGGAATCTCTTCTATTACATTCACACCTTCTTCTTCACTCTCCCCTTTCACTTTATCTCCAATAATCTTCCCTTCTTCAATGTCCACAGCTGTCAAAACCAAAAGATCAAGATGAAGATGTTCATAGCTTCTCTTGGGAGGGATAATATCATAATATCCATTATCCATCCAAGAACCATCATCACTCACTCAAATTACAGACAATTACCCATCCCCTCATCACCAAAAAAGATAACCCATCAACCAACAACAACAATAATAATATAATAAATTAAAAAAAAAAAAACTAAGTTTAGTTACCTCTAATCTTTGGGGAAGAGATTTGTTTCTTGGACAGAGACTGGAGCTGCTCATCAAGCTGCCTCAAAGCTTCCCTGGCCTTTTCAGGGTCTACTTCATACTCCGAATCCTTCTCCACCCCACAATTCACTTCTCCTCTACCTCTTCTCTTCAATCCATTATTACTAATATTACTATCATTGTTTCTAATGGAAATGGGTGAACCAAAGGGAATAATGCCCTGAGGACAAGAACAATTCCAGCCAAGAGGATGAAGAATCATTTCCAATAAACAAATTAAAGATAAAAATCTGGAGAACACAAACAAATTATCTCAAGAGAAACAAAACTACACTTGTTGATTTTTCCTATGGGCTTGGCTTATTGTTTACTACAATGAGCCCAGCCCAGGGTACATAAGGCCCAGAAAAGTCACATGAAATTATTAATTATTATTATTGTAAAAAGGACTAACCAGCTGCTGTAGATACATTTTAGACATACAAGACAACAATCAAGCATGAAAATTTATACAGTAGACTATACTTGTGACTGGAAACATCATTATTAACTCACTAAAATCATAATAACTATACTAGTGCTGGCTGATTCTAATCCTAAATGGAAATATGTAACAAATATTTATAGAGAAAGTTCCCATCCCCCGGAGTGATTAAAAAACAGCCAAGAATGAGTTGCCGCGCTGGGATTTAAGCAAAGTAACCAGCAGTAATGACTTCCCTGTTCTTACCGGTGCCGATTTTATTGCATAGCGAGTGCATGGTTCGAAGAAATGTTACCCCACTGCTGTCCTGAAGCAAGGCTTTCCTGGTTGGTGCCTTGCCGGGAGTGATATACTGGCTCTTGATGGGGGTTTGGCTTTCTGTAGCTTCCAGGATCTGAACTGTATAAGTCTTGAGCTTCTGTTAATTCGACTCCCGAGAATGCTGGTTTGGAAGCTGATGAATTATTGGATTGTGGTGAAGCTACAGAGCTGGAGCCAGCTCCCTTGGAGGAAGCATCTGCATTGGACTTCTTTGCGAAACGTCCTCCAGAACCTCTTTCCCGTCTCATGGCATGTTGGTGTCGGGATTCATGGAGATAAGGCTGTAAGATGGGAAAATATGTTGAGTGCCCAAACTTGAGGAACCCTATAAGATGTCATAATATAGGTTGAGAAAGTAGGAAAGTCTAACCTTCCGTGATGTTGTTAACTTCTTTTCGAGTGTTGCTTTAGCACGCGACTGCCGTCTTCGTAGGATGCCATGGTATTGCTTCGCATTGACGTAAACCGGCTCCTGTGCCACCTCCAGGGGCAATGGCATCCTCACTTGATGAACATCATATACCTGAGGAACCTTGATTGAAGGAATAAATACATTAATTGAGGCTCTTGTAATAATGTCCATTGAACAGAGATCAGATAGGGTGTGCCCGAAAATGCAAACTCGTCGTAAATAGGGATGAGAGGTTCTGTAAGAAATATTGATCAGGTGAAATGATTTTCTCTCAATTACGTACCAAAGGTTGACCATAAGCTGCCATCATCCCACCATAATACGGATCATATGGATTAGATGCACAAGCCTGAAAATTTTTGCAAAGGCAAGATAATTATGGTGCCGTAATATGTCAAAATTTTCAAGACTGGTAGTCAACGAGTTTGGATATGTGACAACTTAATTGAGTGACTCACAAGATCAAGCTGCGCCGGCTGTGTAATATTCTCATCAGGCATAGGTTGTAAGGGATGTCCATCTTGCTGGAGATTTGTCACTTCCGGATGATAATTTCTATCAGATCCTGTCAAATAAATGAATCGGTATATATATGCGGTTAAAATAAGACAACAAAAATGCTCAATACCATCCTGCCATGACAAGCCAGTCCAAAGTGAAATTGTCTCCTTGAACTTCAAAAAATAAAAGGAGCAGAGTTTCATTCTAATGAGAAAACCACTAGTTTGTCACTAAGGGAGTTAACATCAGTTTATTGGACTCCCAATACACATAACCATTAGATCCGGTGAGGTGCAATAACAAGCATAATAACAAAAGAACTTAAATGTATCAGATCTGCTATGGAAAGTTGGAACATGGAAGGGTCGACCTATTATATCTAGAGTATAATCTGTTGTGCAAGAAGATACAATAAAGGGAGGGAGAATGGAACATTGACTGAAGATGAAATGTAGTGATTCCAGTGGATCCATACACATCTAATACCTGAAGTCTGAACCGAACCCAACTCACTCGGTTGTCAAATCTAATTATTCAAGTATCGAATTGGGTTCAAATTAGGTCCCAGGGTAGTGTCAAGTCCAACTTGAACTGAATTCATACATTAAAATCATGCATACATATACTTTAATATACATTTTAAATTGTAGAAAATAAAATTCCCAAGTAGTATCACAATCTAATTTATCTCGGTTTCGACAGCACATAACATGCTAATGTTTTTCATGTAAGGTGCAAGGTCAGAACTGAATCCAAATTCGTATCAGGTTTGGGTAGGATAGTATTATAAAATATCAGGTAAGGAGATTCAGTCCTACCTGCTAATTGCTAAATGCCATCCCAAATGAGACAGTACCTAGCTTGACAGGATTTAACTATAATCAAAAGCTCACTAAAAATCATTTAGTAGATTAGATATATTTCATGTATATAGTATTATAATTCTTGAGGTATGTAGTCTTCATAAAAAAAACATTATAAAATGAAGACAGTGAGGGATAATAAACAAGATCTTAGTAGATAAAGTCTTTTAAAGGAGGATTTTTTTCAGCTATAAAGCTGACATCCAAATAAAAAGTGTAGATAGAGTAGAAACCCCCGAAGTCTCATATTCTACTACGTCTACAGCAGTACGTGAGGAAGCCCTCGTACCCGCTAGTACTCGGGAATGAGGGCAGGCAACTGTAAGACTACTTGCTCTTTGTCCCAAACTCTGTAGACAATAAGTAGAACCAAACCCTAGCATTAAGGGCGTTACGATGATATACGAGCACCTGTCCAAGATGCAAGAAAGCCGAGACTACTATAATGCATGCTCTTAGGGATTGTGAGACCATTAAACCTATATGGCTGCGCACGACGAACAAACCCGCTTAACAGAGAAATTCAGGTAGTGCCAACATCTTTTGAGAAGAAAAGAACTTGTACATCCTTGACACATACAGGTTGTATGGAAATTCCATGTTTGTGATAGTTAACAACTGAATCTTGTTTATTTTATTAACCAGCTGTGCTTCTTTGTTTGTTTCCTTCAGGATCTATGAAGATAAGTGGTATCAAACAGTATGGACAGAGGATTCAGTCGAAAAGTTCCCAAGCGTACCTTGTTGGAGTGGTAAAGTTCTTGGAGATTGTTTGTTGCCATCATCCTTTGATTCTTTGACAATATATTCATCTTCTTCATATAATCCGCCTTCAGAGTGCGATTGACCATCAGCAGATTGCTCGAGTGATGATGACTCAGATGCATTTCTGCTCATCAATGCATGGGAAAGGGAATTATATCTATTACTCTTCCGCCAAGGCTCCGTGCATGCACTGAAATTTGTTATATTATAAGGGCTAGCTTCTCCTTGATTGGCACTGTTAGACTTGGATTGCATGCTCCCTTATTCTTCCAAAGAAATTAAAATCCTAGTTCATCATAGAATTCGCAAACCAGAAAACAAGCCTAGTCAGTAGAAATGGACTACAAGTAATGGAGCATCTCCATTTTGACCAAGTGAAACATAAAAAAGCTCCAGAAAGGGATGCAAAATTTAACTCTGAACTAAATAACTTATGAAGGAAATCACATCACAATCTCTCCTAGCAAGGCCATAACTTCACAAAACAACAAGATCCAACATCTTCAAGCATAAATGACATTGATTTAAACTTGTAAAGTATTTGAAAGTCCTCTTAAAATATATTAAAAGTACAAATGTCTACAATTTAAAATTTCCAAACACTGGCAATTATATGATTCAGAACACAATTATCTGATTCCAACTACTCAATTAGGTATGATGGCCTTTGTCGTCGGAAAGCTGTATTCATATGATAGAGGAATCACTTCAGTAAAATCTCAGTTTCATTTTAATGCCTAAATGGAAAAAGATGAACTAACTCTCCATTTGACATGCATTGAATCGGTTTCTCTCCCTTTCTCACACTTCGAGTAATCTTCATATCTTCCAAATTCAACTCTCCCCTTCAAACCTATCTACTAAAATAGTGAAATCCGCCTTCTCGTAAAATATTAAAATCAATAATTAAAAAATTCAATAATCATTAAATCGCTCACCAATTCATGGAAATACAAAAAAAATCAGAACTCTCCCTCACGCACCAAAACACCCGCCATGGACAAAATACAGAATGCGTATCACAAATCCGGAAGAACACTCCACTCACAAACCTAATTTCCTCTAAAACCAATCCCATACATACATCTACGTTAATACACAAAGAGAGGTCTCCACAATCACAATCAAACATTAACAGCGTAATCGACGGAAAGTGAAAATCAAAGTACAAAATTAAATACCAAATCAGACGACGACGAACAAACAACTACGATCAGCACAATATCCCGACAAAACTGCAGCCACCAGAACTTCTCCGAAAAGCCAGAATCCGACCCCTACGTTGACGCGGACGAAGATCGCAGAATCGGAAGGCGCAGAAACTGAAACTGCAGTAGTAGTAGGAAAGATTGGAGAGAAATAACAATAGCTGCGCGTCAACTCAACTGAGGGGCCGGAATGGGGATGGTGTTTCAGCTGAGGTCCATAACGTCACCCGTGGTGGCACGAATGCTGCGTCACCCGACCTTGCATGATGACGATGATTTCCTCTCTAGTCACCTGCGGGTTATAAAATATCTGTACCCTTGGAGGTGACTTTATCATTATTTCCCGGACTTTTGAGATATATGTGGACGCGTGTCTTCCGTGGTGGGCCCCACTCTGTGCCACGTTGCTCTCCCCAGTCCAATGTTGTCTCGCGATAATATTTTTTTATTATTGTTATTTATATTAAAATTTAGTGTTTATTAGTATTTTATTATTTTCAATTGTACTGGACTGGCTATAAGTTAAACTGAATAAACGAGCGGGCTTTGACAGGCCCGTTTAATTCGGGCCCATTAGTTTGAATAGTCATTGTGTTTGTATACATTTATTAATTTAAAATATTTATTAAAACATTTATATATATATATTAAATTTAAGAAAGAAAACATGCCATGTGTTAATGGCAAGTTTTGACTAATCCAAACTTCACTTGAATCTAATTAATTATTGTTGAAATTGATAATCGTTTCTTAGAATATAATTGAACAATTAACATAATATAATTATTCGAAGAATAGTACTGGTTCCGGCCGCCAAATTTATTTCAATTTTTTTTTAATCCGTCCACTAAATTTATCTCGTTACTAATTTTGACAAAATCAACAAATAACATTTAATTATTACTTTAGGTTGTGTTTGGTACAGAGAAATAAGGTCAGACAAATAAAAATGGTATCATTTCTCTTGTTTGTTTGAGTCAGAGAAATAAAATTTGAGAAATAAATCATTTCTATTTCTTTATTTTTATTTTTCTCCCACCATATGCAGAGAGAAATTGAGAGAAATGAGGTTCTAGTATATATATATTTTTTAATTTTTATAATTTTTTTTACTATTTAATTTTTGTATTTTTTTTTTTAAATTATATTATTCCTATTTTACAAAAAACAAATTTAATTTATTTTTAAAGTATTTAATTTTTACGATATTTTAAGAAATTGTACTAAAATATAATCTTAAAAAATATTGTATATAATTTATAAAATAAAAAAAAATTATCAAAAATATTTTTCATAAATTCTCATTCGTTAAAACTCTCTTTTTATCCGATTCATCGTTTATTCTTATTTAATCATTCATATATTTACATTTTTTTTTATATTTCTTAACTAAATTTTCTGTTTTATTAAACAACAAAATTAATTCTTATTCCCTGTTTAATTTCATTTCTCTTCAGTTTTATTTTCTACTCTCATTTCCAATTTTATTATCTGTACCAAACACGCCCTTAATTCAACACTTATTTACAGCAAATACCGTTCACTTTATTACAATTTCTTTTTCATTTACTTTATTTTTCAACGAAATTTTCAGAAATATTTTTAAATAAAAGATATTTTTTTAAAAATTCTCGTTGACTAATATTAATAGGAGGGAGTATTATTTATTAAACTCATATAATCAAATATATTTTTTTATTATTTATTGATGTATCAAGTTATTGTGAAACGAGTTGTCGGGATGTTCAACCTGTGTAAAAGGTGGACCTAAAGAAGAATACAACTTGTACGACAAGTTTGACTCAAACTAAATCCCTGTTCATTTAAACAAAAATACAATAAAATAATAATAAAAAAAATTAATAGAAATGCAAAATATACAAATAATGTGTTTGTTTGGGGGTTTGGATTTTGAGTCGGAATTTGAATAGTAAAAATTTTGAATTTAAATAGTTGTATGATGGGATATAAATAGGTGTTGATGTGATGTTTTGAATGTAAAATTGATTTTTAATATAATATAAAAACTAAAAAATAGGTGTTTGATTTGATATTTTTGGAGAAAAAAAATGGAATGAATAGTGTAAAATAAATTCAATCCCCCGAACAAACACAAAAGTATTTAATAATGCAAAAGATAAAATATGGCTAGTATTACATTCGACAAGTATTTAATTAAAAAATTAAAATATAAAACTCAAGCACAAAGCCAAAATAAATTGTCTACAATTCATTATAGGTAAATTGGGTGTATATATATAAATTTATGAATTTTTGTTAGTACTTCTTGTAAATTATGAAAATATTATTAAAATATTTATTTTTATTATTTTTAATAATTTAGTGATGTGATATTTGTTTTTCTATTTTACTATTTTAATTTTTTTTCCTAAAAAATATCAAATCAAACATCTATTTTTTATTTATTATATTACACTAAAATTAAATTTTACTTTTGAAACATCACATCAATATATATTTATACCACATCAAACAATTATTTCAATTCAAAATTTTACTATTCAAAACCAAAATCTCACAAGTAAACACATCCTATCCTACTCCCTCCGTTCACTTACAATGTTTACATTAACTTTTGGCACAGTGTTTAAAAAATAATAGTATTTTAATTATAGTAAGTAGTTAAAAGTAATGTAATGATATTTTTGTCCTTACTTTTTTGTGTAAAAGTAATAATGTGATGTAAAGTAAGGGTATTTGTAAAAAAAAAATAAGGTATTTAATGAAATGTTAACTTTGTAATTGGACGTCCCAAAATAAAAATATGTAAACATTGTAAGTGGACGGATAGAGTATTATATTTTTAATAAAACAAACAAACCTATGGATAAATGATTTATTTCAATAAAAATATATTTCCTCCCTCTCATATCTATCTATACATTTATTTTTTTACGAAGTTTTAGTAATATTAATATACTTGAATGATATTTTTGTAATATATTAGATACTGACCAAAATAAAAATAAAAATACTATTTAAATAAAATATTTATTTCAAATTAAATTCTGAACCACAATTAAAGCACTAAAATGTAAAATTGTTTAAATAGTTAAATAAATTAAAGAGGCAATTATAGAGACGGAAGTGGGGCATCAAGATTGAAAGGGTCAACAACATTATTAATTGTGTTCAGTCTGCCTAAATCATCCATCAACTTTACTCAATGCAACTTGCCTTTGCCTCTTTCTTTTATTCATCTCATCATTATGCACATGCTTTTATTTATTTATTTATTTATTTATTATATTTTTTTATTTAATATTTTTAATTATTCGTGCATGATTGAATATTCTTCAAATGATGAAAAACTCTTGTTATTGCTTTAATTATCAATTGGAAAATTTCTAAGCCTCATCCTATTTAGTCTATTTGGAATTGACAAGGGAATTACAAAAATATATATTTTATTATAAAAATATTAAAAAAATATAAATCAGTAAAAGATATTTTTAAAAACCAAACCTAATAATTAGTACGACGAATCACAGTAGGGGAACTATGTGTGTGATGAATGACTTGAAACATCAGGGATTTGAACCCATCATAAGTTCAACCCTGTACCACCAGGCCATCTATTACAGGACGATAATACAGTAAATATTAATATACAAATGATTTGTTCACTCTATATTTTTTCTTGCGCTACAATCCGTCAAAGATATCACACTTAATTTATATACTATTTCTATTTTTTATTTGTTCCCACATATTTGTCCTTTTTATTTGTTAAAATGTAGCTATACAATTTAATTATATTTAAAAATTAATAATTTATAATTTTTTATTTAAATTAAATTACTTGGTCATTTTAATCCTAATACATTTCTTAATTACTTATTATTAGTTACATAATACTTAGGTGTCAAAGGGACAAATTAGTGGGACAGAAAAAGTATACAACGTAATGTATATTTATATTTTATTACGCATCGAATTTGTATTGACCAGTATATATAATTATATCGAAATTATTGACCCAAATTAATTATCTCATGTCATATTCATATTGGGTTAATTTAAAAACAAAATAATAATAATAATAACAATGACAAATCAAAGAAGAGAGTGTGCGCATTCATGTTGTATTAACAAATGACATGTAATAAGATCAACCTTGGTCATGTTTGAAATCAATCATATCATGTGACGGTGTGTTTGTTCGTGGGCTTGAGTTTTTTTAGTTTGAATTTTTTAATATAAAAAAATTAAATTTAAATAATTGTTTAATCGTAATATAAATAAATATTAATATAAAATTTTAAATATAAAATAAATTTATATTATAATATAAAAAAATAATTAATTGATTTAATATATATATTTTTTAGAATAAAGAAAAATTAAATAGGAAATTTTTTTGCAAATACCGCAAAAAGAACACAAAGCTTAGTGTTAATATACTCCCATAGTACTCTAGTAATTTTGTAGTGTTAGATGATCTGGTGGCACGGGATTGAACTTGTGACCGTGAGATCATGTGAGATCATCTGTCACACATGGTTCGCCTAAATTTGTCTGTTCAGCCTAATTTGCAGGGTATTAGATTTGACTGAAGACAACGGATAGCGGCTGCGGGTTCCCACGTCATTAAAATAAAAAAAAATTAAAAAAAAAAATTGTGTAAAATGACACAAACCCATCATCCAGTCCCTGTCAGTAAGTCGGGTATAAATTAATACAATGCACCACATCACATGCATATCTCTAACCATATACATACGTACAACACATACATAAATAAATTATGATGACAATTTAACTTTGACAGAGGCTGGACCACCCCACCCCACCCCAACCCGCACGAGGTTTTGTACATTGGATTCCCTGCCCGACATGTAGACACCCACCCCACAACAAGAAAAGTAACAAACAACATCAATTCAATTCAAACAAATTATGTCCAAAAGAAAAAAAGAACCAAGTAAGGAACCCTGTCAGCAATTTCCCCAGAGCTTTTCTTCATCACCATTAAATCAAATCAATGTTTTGTATGTATTATTCCATGGAAGAATTACTTCAAATATCAGATTCTACCACATTATATGAATCCATAATGTCTTTCAAGCCCCTCCCTAGTTTACTTACCACAAACAACAGATCATTACAATTTAATTGCAACCAGGTCAAAATAGCAGATCCAAAGAAATTTATGCAAGAAAGGGTCTTCCATGGATGGACTAGTGTAGTCTATCATCCAAGAACTTCCTGCCAAGTTCAGCTCAGCTCATCTAGGGTTCTTATCAATGCAATCAATTTAACCCCAAATTTCCATATCTAATCTAAGCATAATCGAATAGCTTTCCAAAACTTGCAATAGATGGAAATAGATAAAAGTGCATTCATTTTCAAAAGTTTGAAATACACCAGGAAGACATTAAAACAGAAGGGGCGAGCTCTGTAAATCCTCTACAGAGCGAAAGCCGGCTCAGTCGCAGGGCTGAGAAAGGCCTAAAAGCTACAACAAAATTACGATCATCACTCTGGAAAAAAAGTTAGGCAGATCCTCACACTGATCTATATCTACACAAAAACAGGATAACTGCACAACTGATAAAACCAATCCAAAACAGATCACTACAATCTAGCTACCCTAACATATATATATATATATCGATTTTCATATATATAAATGGAAGCACGTTGCAAGTATGCTATCAAACAGGGATACCGAACAGAGCCAATTTGAAGAACAGGTCGATATCTGGTGGAGTGAAGAATGCAATCGAGGTCCTCCTCAAAGAACAGCTTGTCATCACTCGCCTCTTCTTAGGTGCTGGCGGACAAGTTTCGATCTCCGGTATTCTGAATCTTTCGGCCTTCGGAGTGGAGCATTCGCTCCTCGAACACAACTCTGCATCTTTCGGATCATTGGAGCAATCAATGGATGGCCTAACAGGGGATTTGGCTGGCGAAATTGAACTTTCCTGCTTGCTTGATTTTTTAAACTGGTTTCTGGAAAGTTTCTTCTTTCGCGACGATTTCCTCGTGGATTTTGCTCTTCTCTTACAATATGGACCCATCGTTTGGGGGAGAATTATGCCAAAGTGAGGTAGGGTTTATTCCTGCGGATAACTGGATTCTTTAAGCGAAATTTTGGATGGCTATGGAAAAGGGGGGAAACAGAATAGCCATTACTAGGATACTTGTGGTTATACTTTATCAAGCATCCTCCATTTTTGACTGAAGAAAATAAAGTAATGACAGTTGTTGACGGACAAAGATAACTGATGAAATGCCCCAAGGACAGATCCTCAGAGACGAATTCAGAAACCCTAATTTGGACGAACCAGAAACCCTAACTCACCAAAAAACAATGGATCGAAGCATATATGATCATTCGAACCAGTGAAAGCAAAATTGAACAAATAAAAACAAGAACGGAGATCAAACAAGTGGTGCGAACCTACAATTGATGAGAAATTGAAAGATTCAGCAGAACACGAATTAAACGGAAGGAACGATTTGAAGGCCTGAAATTTGGAGGTAAGCTTCGCGAGCTTAAAATGACTTATATGAAAAGGAAGTGCTCCGGGCAGCGGGCAGTCCCGGGCTGGCTGCCCGCTTCTGCACATAATGATTAGGGATCCTTAATTTAAGCAAAAGTTCGATCATGTCAAAAATAAATGTTACTTGCTGATTTAATAAATAAAATTAAGAATTCAAAATTAGTACTTTTTGTATGTACGAAATTAGTATTATCAAATTTTCATTTATTTAATTTGGGCAAAATTCAAAATATGGTCCAAGGGCTTTGGTGGAATTTTATTTATTTATTTATTTGTGCCACTTTGGAATTCAAATTTTAAAAGGGGCATTTCTTCATTTTGCCCTAAATTTGATGCAAAATCGGACAGGGCATTGGTTTTAACAAAGCCCTTTTTTACTCTTTGTTTGTTGTTATTCTTTTTAGGTTTTTTAGGACTTTTTTTTTTTTTTAATCAATCGCAAATGTGATTAGTTATTACCTATAATGTTTTTAAAGAAAAATAAAAAATAAAAATTGTACAACGACGAAAAATGTGGGCCGTCGGATTCTGATCGAGCGGTGGATACAAGTTTGGATTGAGAATGAAGGGGGATGGACTGGTGCTAAGTTACGCCGGCCACCCACAGCAATGTTCCACGTGAAGATTAGCTGATTAGGGCTGGCGGCGGCGGCGGCGGCATTTCAGTTCAAAAACTTGAGGGCGGTTGGCGGTTGCTAACATGAACCGAGTGCGTTGGGCTGCGGTTAATGGAAGAACACGTGGCATGGATTGATTGGATAAATGTGTGAAGGCATTTGCCATAGTCCATAATTTAGGCGGGCTTGCATTGCGAAGAGATTTATTTAAATAATTAAATTATATATTAATATTAAAATATTTTTTATTTTTTACATAAATTATAAATATTATTATATACTCCTCCCTCTATCCTACATAATTTGTCCTTTCATTTTTTAAAAATATAATTATATACATTAATCATATTTTAAATTTTAAATTTTTTAATTTTTTAATATTAATTAAACTATTTAAGTATTTTAATCTTAATTTATAATTATTTTTAATATACAATAATTATTTTTATTCTTGTGTTTACGGTAACACTGTCCATATTATATAGGACAGAGGGAGTATACAAAATTAATTTACCCTTTTGACAAATAAATAGTATTATTAATTTTCAATTTATTATGAATGAGAAGAGTATTTAACTTAGTGATATAATATGTATACTTAAATTTTAAAAATATATTTAAATATTTTAAATTTATAGATACTTTTTCCGTCACAGATTGGATGTCTGGGTCATTGTAGATACGGAAATCTAGGATAAATATAATTAGTAGATAATTAAGAATATATTAGTAAAAATAATTATCTTATAATATAAATAATTATAGATTAAGATTAAGATAACTAATTAGTTTAATTAAAAAAATAAATTTAAAAATTTAAAATGAGATTAAAGTGTATAATTATTTTTCAGAAAATAAAAGTGACATGGAATGTGAGACGGATATAAACAACAACGTGGACATGGTAGGCGCGGGAATGAGGGAGTATGTTTTATTGGAATATTTTTAACTTTAAATCTAAATAGTGATATGAAAATGTAGAAAAAATAATGTATGATATAAAAAATTATAAAAATTAAGGATACGTTTCTTTTGATGTAGTTTGAAAAATTTTGAATTTAGTTTGATATTAAAATAACTTGTGACAGAGATATTTTGTAAAAAAAAAAAAATTCAAAAAACGCATAATTCAAATAGTAAAAACTTTAAATTTAAAGTTAGAAAAAACAAATCCTTAATATAATAAATTTTCATATAATGGCCAAAATAACACACATATGTGATGTTTCTTTTTAAGGTGTGTTTGTTTGGGGATTTCCCCAAATATATTATTCATTTAATTTTTTTCCCTTAAAAATATTAAATCAAACACTTATTTTTTTTATTTTTTTATATTATATTAAAAATTAATTTTACATTAAAAAACATCAACACCTATTTATATCACATCATACAACTATTCAAATTCAAAATTTTTACCGTTGAAATCCTAACTTAAATCCAAACCCCTTTTACTGTTGAAATCCTAACTTAAATCCAAACCCCGACAAACACACCCTTAATGATTGATTTTGAAATTTCCAACATGTCAAAACATAAGTAGATAGAGTCTAAGGATTTGTTTGTTTTTTTATTTTAAATTAAATAATTTATATTTAATTCATACTATTTCAACTAGAAGTATACTACTTCCCTCCGTCCTAATACAATAGTCTTATTTATCATTTTTGTCCGTTTCAAAACAATAGTTTTGTTTTTATAAATAACCATATCACCGTAAAACTAGCAAAAAAAAAAGTCTTTTATCCATAAGTTATTACCAACGTGTCCAACCCAATTAAGACTATATTTATGGGACGGAGGAGTATTTTTTTTTTTTTTTATATATATAAAATATCAAATTAAAATATTATTTAAACTCAACCTTAATTAAAAATTAAAATCTAAATCATAACCAAACACAAACTAAATATTCAAAATAAATAAATAATCAAAATCAGCAGTCCATATTCTCAATTTTATTAAAGACCTTCTAAAACAAACACATTACTATTGGGCCATCATTTAGATATTAAATGGGCTTATCTATAACTGGGCCTGTCTCATTATATAGTTTCAAACAAAATCTTCAATTAAATGCTTAATTAAAATAGGGGTAGGCAAAAATTCGGCGACGGATAATGCCGTTAGTCCGTACGGCCATGGCGTCGCTGGCCTTCTACTTCCACCCGAAATCCCTTCTCCGCCGCAAGAACCCTTTTACCGCCACCGCCGGTATCGGACGCCGCCTTCCTCACTTTTCTTCTAAAATTCAGCTTCAATTCCGGATCTCGAGGCCTTTTTCATCTATCTCTTGTGCATCCGTGGAATTAGAATCCACCTCAGCTTCCTCCACCGCGGAGAACTGGAAAACTATTGACCCTGGGTACTTGTCGTGTTCCTTACCGGAAAAGAGGCCGCTCAAAGTGGCGGTTCTTGTCAGCGGCGGAGTGGACAGCAGCGTCGCCCTTCGCCTCCTCCACGCCGCCGGTCATTCTTGCACTGCTTTCTACCTCAAAATCTGGTTCCAAGTATGGCATTCCGCGTTCTTGTTTGAATAATAAAGTGATGCTTTCTGCTGAGTGCTGTTGTGTTATTCTTGCTTGTTGTACGAGTGTAGTGTGCTCCTATATCTACGAGATTCTTTATGTCGCAATGGCTACGAGTTCTGTGCGTGAAATTCTTGGTTAGCTTTTTTGTGTTTATTAAAAATTAATCCGAGAAAGGATAAAATACATAAGTTATGAAATTCGTGAATCGTGGTAGCAAGTCTTCTTGTAATACTATGTGAAACTGGAAACTCTACTTACTCTTGGACATTGGTGCTATTGTAGGAAGACTTTGAGAATTATTGGTCAGAATGCCCATGGGAAGAAGATTTGAGATACGCAAAATCTGTTTGTGATCAGGTATCCGATTGTTGATTCCTCATTTCTATAATATACATATGTGCTCGGTGGGTTTTGCGGAAATTCTGACTTCTTGTAAGTATATATACATATAGGTTGGAGTGAAATTCCTTATAATTATGAGTCACATTTCAATTTGTATTTCCTTTGTTTTCCAAAATTGAAGCAATCAAAATGCAGTAGCTATGCTTGTTGACAGGATGGAGTTATGTATCAAAATATAATAGCTGTCTAATAATATCAATATGAAAATTTTGGCGTTATGATGGCTGGACCTTGTTGTGGTGAAGATGCCATACCCTAGATATGTTCTAGATTAGTGGGCTGTTGTGATCCTTTAATAAGTGTGATGCATCTTCCCAAGCACTGGCTGTGGGAGTGGATGCTTTCCGGTTAAAACTTGCTAATTTTAATGATATCTTGCTTCAGGTTGATATACCCTTGGAAGTTGTCCATTTGACAGATGAATACTGGAATAATGTGGTGAGTGCCGATCCTTTTTTCTTCTGTTTTTAGTTTTCCTTATGTGTTTGTTCTCTCATTGTATACACATCCCTGGCATGAAATCCTCCATCCTTCAGAACATTTAGCGGTGCAAGATTTGGTTCAACGCCATTTTGGCTTGAAATTAGGCGTTGCTAACAAATCTCCCCTGCTGTTTTTGCGGTACTGGGTAGTTTTGTGGGGGGAAAATGAATGCTTCCTTGCTTCTGGTGTTTGTGTGTGTTTTAGTATCGCACTCGGCTGCTAATTTGATTGCTTGTAGATATAAATTTCTTTCTTTTTCAGAATAATGATTTCTTTTTTGTTTTTCAGGTATCGTATATCATTAATGAGTACCGATGTGGCCGAACTCCAAATCCAGATGTCCTTTGCAATACAAGAATAAAATTTGGTTTGGTTTATACTGTAGTCCTATTAGTTATACTTTCCTAACTTGCTGGCTTAACATCAATATATAAGGTGGTTGGCTTATTGTTACAGGTGCATTTGTTGATGCAATAAGTAGTATGAAATTTGATTTCATTGCATCTGGACACTATGCAAAGGTAGTTCACCCTGACAACAGCGAAAATGGGACTTCTACTTTGGAATTGTCAAAAGATCCTGTATGTGAGCTATAGAGCCTTTGGACACATCTTTGGTAGTTTGAATATGGTTCTCTTCAAATCAAGTGGGTAGATTGCAAATCGAAACCGCGAGGTGTTGCTAAATTTATTGGGATCCCCTTGGTAGACTAAAATTTTCTGGTAGACTCCCATGGTTGACTTACAATTACAATTGCTGGGGCTTTTAGTCGGAGTTTTACCCATTTTAATGAGTAAGAAGATTCTATTAACAGGAGTACTAGGATGTAGGGGAAGCTAAAAAATGGGGTGGGGACCTTGGTTGTAGCAGACATGGCGATGATTTGGGGGATAGCAACCCCACTGGAAGTATGTACTAAACCATACATACATATGTTGATTAGAACTTCTCAAATTGTAGCTGTATTATCACCATTGTTATATTCTAGGGGCCCGATAGGGATTTCGATCTAATAATGGGATAATAAAAATTTAGCAGAATCTTGGTGTGTCCAATTGCAATTTGTTCTAATAAAAATGGTGTTCTAGATGCCTTACTCCAGTATTGGCTAATGTTTCAGGTTAAGGATCAGACCTATTTTCTTTCTCATCTTTCACAGTCGCAGCTTAAAAGACTTATCTTCCCTCTTGGATGTCTCCGAAAGGTCAGGTGGGACTTTGTATTTCGGTATTTCCACACACATCATATTAACCTGTCTTCTTCCATTTTTTTTAATTCTCTGTTTGAACCTTTCCATAGTTCTTCTCCACTTCCATTGCCAAGTGTAATTTGGATTTCTTTGTTCGGCTGCTAACTTTCTGTTCTTTCATATCCCATATCTGTAGGATGAGGTTCGCAGACTTGCTAAAATATTTGAATTACCTAACCAAGATAGGAAGGATTCACAGGGAATATGCTTTCTTGGGAAGGTATTGTATAGTTGCCACGGCGATTACATTTCATTTAAGTCGAAACTGTTGCAATATGAGTTTGTCAGTTGAGTTCGATTATGGCTTCAGATCATGGACTGCTTTATTTAGCTGTCATAATCAAGGCTGGATCCTCCTTAATTCCAGGATTCCCCATCTTTTACCTATTGCATGTTTTGTATACAGATAAAGTTCAGTGAATTCATTGCTAGACACATTGGTGAGGAAGAAGGTGTGATATTAGAAGCTGAGACGGGCGATTTTCTTGGGAAACACAAAGGATTTTGGTTCTATACAATTGGCCAGCGTCAAGGTTTATGCCTTCCCGGTGGACCTTGGTACGACTTCTCCTCGAATCTTCCCATCTTGAACTTGATTTGTGCTAAATATAAATAGAAATGTTCGTATTTCACCCCAGTCACAGAGACTAGTCGGGGATTTTGATCTTATTGCTTGCTTATTACACAGGTATGTTGTCGAGAAAGATGTGGAACATAATGTTGTGTTTGTGTCAAGAAACTATTTTTCAGTAGACAAGAGACGACGTACATTTCGCGTTGGATCATTACGATGGTATAACGGTTCTGCTCCACAAGAAATAACAGATCTCCAATGCAAGGTACAATGCCCTGTCAATATCCGAACACGTAATAAGTTCAATATCATTGCTGACACATTTTGAGCTGCGATAATGAATCGAAATACTATAATGATCTGATCTAACAATGCATTTACGATTATGGAGGTAGGATCACGGCATCTAACCAGCAAATCTTATTCGATCTCAGGTGAGGCACAGCCCTGGTTTCTACACTTGTGACGTATCAATAGAAGTCGACAAAGATGGTGTCGAGACTGCAGTTGTCAAATTATCTGAAGACGATCAAGGTCTGGCTGCGGGTCAGTTTGCCGCCTTCTACCAGGGGTCGACCTGCATCGGATCTGGTGTGATCTTGGACTCAGATGGCTTTCCTGTTTGTGCCAAGGCACAAGAGATGGCGAGAATGGAAGACAAGTTGATGCTCGGGAAGCCGGTGAAGATTAAAGTGATGCTGGCGGAGAGTCGGGACAGAGGCAAGGCAAATTCAGGGCTTACTGTTGCTGCATCCACCTCGCATGAATCAATGGTGTCCGGTAAGGCCTATCCTCTAAAATGGATCCAACAGCTCCTGGATAAATTTACACAAATCTTCTAGCTTCTCTACATATTTTCAAATTATATATATATATATATATATATGAGAAATGAAGAAACAAAGGTTGAAATGTGATGTTTATCTTTTGTAATTTATTTTTGCGCTATACTTTTGTAAAGTATGATAATTTAAATAGCTTTTAAATTATTTCTCTTACATTTTTTTATTGTTTATATATAAAAATTATATTTCTTCTGTATTTGAAAATTTTGTACAAAATCTTCTAATAATTATATGAAACTATTATAAATATTTTTGTTATTTTAATATTACAATCTAACAAAAAAAATTAATTTTGAACGGTTCCATACCATTAGAATGCTAATTGAAAATTTATCATCACCTCATTGTTCCAATCAAGCACATAAAAATACTATAATAATAAATATAAAATTCCATCACTCATTCATTCACCTCCTACAAAACAACTGCAAAAATCTGCAGAAAAAACTACATATTATGTGCCCAATCAAATCATCCTCTTCAGTAGGCCTAATTGAAAGTGTATTAATAGTGAGTAGATATCTATCTATAATACCAAAATATCCATTCATATTCAGCCCCTAAATCCAAAGCTCCAAATATATCTTATCATATATATATATATGACTATGTCCCATTACCAGAACTTCAACCTAATACCAAGAAAACCAGCAAATCCTATACCAAAAATCAAAACAAACGCATATGCAAATAAAATAGCCAGTGCTGAAACCTCGGATACAGATAGCGTATCAACCGACAAGTTCACCAATCCGGTAAGTATGTTTGCCTGCAACAATTAAACACAAAATCACATCACTCTAATGGGGATGGGCAGAGAAGAACCAAAGCTGCAAATTGATCTCATAGGTACCACAAGAAATGATGCCAGCAGATTTCGGTTGAATGCCTCCTCTAGAACAGAGCTTTTACATCCAGATACATAGTCAGACATCATCATAATAGCTAATACCTGACAGATAAGGCAGCATATCTTGTATGAAAAAGTACGGTACAAGACTTTCTTTATTGTTAATTTCCTCCATGCAGTTGTCGTTATTATTGCGACACTACTACGGCTTAACACAGTAGTTGGATCATAAAGCAAAAATGAAACAATTACCTGAAGGGAAACAGCCAATGAGAAAGAAACGTAAGCCAAGTTGCACTGCACAGAAGTAAATTTTGTCATTTAGCGTCTAGTGCATGGGTTGGGGTGGGTGATGATGGGGATGGGGGGTTTAAATGATAATGCCTCAACAGAAGGTGTTCGTGTTTGCAGTGCAATAAGAAATGCATTTAGAGTGGCACAGCATGGTATTCACCATTCGGCGAGATGTTCTTTCGACAAACCAGTCAAGAAGTAAAGTGATTGACCTGTGAGAACACTAAGAAATTTAAATACTCATCCGGCATATGAATAAGAAAATTATAAGAGCAAAACCAGTTTCTCATACCAGAAAAAAAGGCTAAGCGCCCAGGCCCTAGTCCTCGTCCAATTCGTGGTTTTTAGCCTTGCATCAATGTTATCCTCGAAGAAAAGATATCTTCCTATTCTGACTCCAAGAAGATACATACCCCAATACCCTGAAGACAATGAAAAATAACAAATTATGAAACAAAAACTTATAAAATCAATATCTTAGGAAAACAATGTATGATTTAAATTTCACATACTTATCCTGAAATGTGGGGTTGAAAAAAACAACAGTTTCCATTAGTCTTTGAAAAAAAGAAGCTATAATTTACTTGAAAATGTTTACCAAATATGCTAAAAACTCCTTCCTTATTTTGGCTGATGATGTCATTACCCCTTTCCTCCGAGAGGAGGTATCTACTCAATCCAAACAGCAGTAGAGCTTGATACCCTAGTATAACACATGGTTCATCCCACGTTTAATTTTTAAAGCACAAATCACATTAATTATACAGTTTTCAAAGGGTTAATATAAGGAAAGAATGCAGCTTACCAATGAGGATTAATGAACCTAAAACACCGCAGTTACTTGGATGAACATTGATAATTGAAGTGAGAAGAGTCACAGCAGCTAGAGTAAAAAAGAAATTCCAATGGACTCCATATTCCCCAACATGAACCTGTATAGACAATCTACTTATTCTGCTACCGGAAAGTTTGTAAGGGTAGGATACAAACAATAAATGAGAAATATTCGAAATAAGAAAATACTACATGTGGATCGAACCTGATAATTTACACTTGTTGTTGAAATAAGTCGGGCAGTTCCTAAAATGATTAACGGAGCAGTTGAACTCAGAGCATTTCTTATTGACCTGTATAGACATGGACATACAACAAATTAATCAGACATGTAGAAAACACAAGGATAAAAATCATAATTTAGACAAAAATGTAGCAGAAAGTGGAAAATGATAGAAGTATCCATCACTCTTACTAGTGGTATTATTAAATAAGAAACCATATAAATAAAAAAAGACAGAGAAAATGACAAACAGTTACATGTTTGTGATGCCACGAGCCTGCCGTGAAACCAAGGAATTTGCAACTACAAATGACCCGACACCAAGATCCATCTGTCCAGGACAAAAATAAATAAATAAAATATATAAAAAATAGAAGAATAAGAAAGATTGGATCAAGAATTCAATTTAAAACCAAATCATTGCAACCTGGAATAAATATTTTTTATTCTATTGTCTGAGAAAAGATATCTAATGCGTGGTACATATTCAGTGTGTAGAGAGAGAGAATAAAACCAAAACATTTTAAGCAAATTACAGCAATTGTTCCAAATTTTTTGCCAAAATCTTACCTGGGGAAGTTACAACTTCAAAGTACAAAATAATTTGAAACAAACACCAATAACCAGTTTTTATTGGAATTATGAACATACAACATAAAGCTTTCAATTATTTAAATTTGAACTAAAACTGTGTTCACTCAAGTAAGGAGATTTGATTTTATGACAGAAGAAATGAAGTTTCATACGAGAACCTATAAGCGCAAGCGATTAATTAGATAAAGATGTCCAAAATTCAGTGCTCCAGTTCTCACCAAGCTAGTACCATAAGTCTCCGTTTTAGCATATTTTCGGGGAAATATCTTAAAATCAACAGCCAAAATAGAGAAGCACGTCACAAGCATCTGCAATAGATACCATCAACATCAAAGAGATCAACAAACACCAAAATCAAAGATGAAATTGCCGCAAATTGTCCATTTAATAACATACCACAGAAACCCTGTAAGATGAGATGTTTGCCCTAATGGAGTCCATACCACCTTCCTGCAATGAAAATTGGTTTCTGTTGCAGAAGATTAGATTACTTCCAGCTAAATGCCATCTAATAAATTTCCCATTATGCACAACTAGTAATGTCTAAAAACTCTGTCAGACTTCAAATTTCAGATAAATACATAAAGAGCTCACGAGTTTACCCATTAAATGTTTTCAGGAAAAGCAGCAGTAGAATTACTAAGATTGTGCTTCCATAAGTCCATTCTGCCATAACCTGTCATCAGATTAAATATCATCATATCCCAAAGTGTAGAGGATCGTTAAAAAAATTAAAAGCAAGTATAAATTACTTATGAAAAAGAAAGCTAAGATTCTTGTTTTGATATGCTGCTAATTGAAAGAGAAATGTCTCCACTGCTGATTAATGATATACTCGCCTACAGTGTGGACAAAATTAGAAGACTTATCTTGGTGTATATCCCAAACAATTTAAAATTTACTGATAACACATCTGAATTCCCTTGAGGGTTATTAAGTGCTAAAATCTCATACATGAAAACCATTAATATGCATAAACAGTTTATATCATTTCTTCAAATTTAATTAATATTTTAAAACACATACAGAGTCCTCTTGTTCCTCATACAGCAGCAACTTTGCCTATACTACTATTACTTATTTTGACCATCCAGAGTATTTGTTTTTGGAAACTTCAGAACATAACTCATAAGTTTCTCACATGGACTGTAACTCTTGGACAATATGTCAACTTTGGAGCCTTCTTCTGGACGAGGTTAAGTATATAAAATGTTATTTCTTAAGCTACAACCAAAAACTTTCCATCTGCAAGTGCTTGTAACTCAATCATCTGATAGAGATACAGAAGCTACTAAAACAAATTGAGTTGCCAGCAAGAGTGAAAGATTGCGTTTTTTTTTTTTAGGTAAGGAAAAACTTACAGTCATGAATAAAATATAAGGAATAGCAATGAAGAGAAAGTCAACAATCAAAGCCAAAACATAGGCTTGTAGATTCTTCCCAATGCCATTTGCATTGTCGTCCTTCTTTACAGAACCTAATGAAACAAAGAGGGTATAAACAAAACCAGATATTTTGGCATGCATAGGACTAACTTTAGTGTGGATTCTAAGATAGAAATTTTGATAGCGTTCATGGCGGCGTACATACCCGAATTGATTCCATTATTAAATCCGATGCAATGCCTTATAGGAATCAAAATCTGAAAGAGCAGAAGCAAAGTTACAAAAATAACAGGGTAACATAAACAAAACAAGTATATATATATATATGATAATCAATACTCACAGAAAGGTTTGTGATGAGAAAGATAATTTCGAGCTTGGATGAACCAGTTAAGTTGCTCACAAATCTGACACGAATTTTTGATCTCCAATGTGAGACAAAACAAAGAGAGGAAATATAAAATGCAGAAAATGAGGAGTAGAGTAGATATCATATGATGCTGTACTCACAGTTCTTTGAGATGTCTGTTGGGATTGAGGGAGTCCGTCATCTCCATGGGAATCGGAATTGGAATGGCCGAAGCAAGCAGAGCGGAGGGTAAAATAGACCTCGCGTGGGTGCTACGCGCGTATTCGAATTTGTATGAGGGTAAAATCGTAAATTCAAGTACACATCCGTACTGGAACGCAGAGAAGCTGTGGAGGGGAGGATAAACCGTAAACCTTGGGTGGTGGTCTCCTCCATTGATGGCTTCTGTGGATTGTTGGACGTTGGGGCTTTCCACCAACACTTGTTCTTTGCTCTCCCCTCTTCCTAAATCGTTGCCAACTTCAGTTGCCTTCTCACTCTCTTCTCGCTTCCGCCGCCAATTGAGCCTTCGGGGGCCATTTCTTGCTCCTTTGCGAGGGGGCTGTTGTTTCTTCTGCAGCTGCAGCAAAGCGGAAAACGAAGACTTGTTGTTAGCAAGGGAAGCTGGTGAAGAACTTGATGTGGAAGAAGACTGGTTGCCCGAGGACGAGGAGGAAGCGGAGAGTTTTGATGTTCAAGAGTTTGAGCGAGAGGCCAAACAAGCAGTCAAGGAGTTCTCTGATTCATTGTCTCGAGAATTGAGCATTGGTTGGTTTCTGTGTGTTCTTTTGCATTTTTTTTTTTTTTTCTTTAATGGAGAATGTGTTATATGTCATTTGTTTCGAATACGTGAAGTGAGCACACCCTTCGAAGGGGATTGCCATGGATAATTTGTGATTTCTTTCAAGATCTTATGGACTTTTCTGTTCATCACGTCTAAGTATAGTCATCCATATGTAATTAATTGATGGTTTCAGAAGATGAAATATCCAATCAAAGACGAACTCGGGGAAAGCAGAAGAGGCAGATGAGTACCACCAGCAATGTCAGTAAATTTGTTTTCTTTATATAACATTTTCTTCTATTTTAATGTTTTCTACATTTCTTCGGTAGGAGATTCAAAATACATTAAAACTCTTGCACGCCACTCATTGATCACCGATGCACATGCTTTGATTCGTTACTACCTCTATAGAATTAATGTGTTCAAATTCATGGCATTCCTAGGTCAGATAATGTATAAACTTTAAGGTTAAGTTTCTAGGAGCATAACCTCCTTTGCTTTCCACCTATTACTTGATTTACACACTGACATGGCTGATATATCACATTATTATCACTGCAAAAGTGGAAATTTCATGATCTTGACTTGTATCATAGTTTTAAAAAGAAAGTAGGAGATTTAGTTCAATGATATGGAACTAGTGATTGCAGGCATTTTGTATGACCATACATTTTAATAATGCATATAATAATCTTTCAAGTTGTATTCATTTTCATAATTTGTTGTATTTTGGTGTGTTGGTAATTTACTTGTCTATGTGCTTATTCATCCACAGATTCCTGATCATCTTCTTCCGAGGGTTGCTATAGTTGGGAGGCCAAATGTTGGTAAATCAGCACTTTTTAATCGTCTTGTTGGGGTATGCATCAGAGCCTCTGGTACAATTGTCTTTACTTACCTGAAACTTAAATATTCTCTTTCTGGTAAATTATTTCAGTGTTATTTATTATTTTTCTTTGAGAGTAGATATTCACTTAGTTGACTTGCCTATTTTCTAGGGAAACAAAGCCATTGTGGTTGATGAACCAGGTGTTACTAGGGATCGGCTATATGGTAGATCATATTGGGGAGATCATGAATTTATGATAATTGATACTGGGGGTGTACTCACAGTTTCAAAGTCCCAGGATGATGTTATGGAAGAACTAGCCATATCAACAACCATTGGCATGGAAGGGATTCCACTTGCTTCCAGGGAGGCTGCTGTTGCAAGAATGCCTTCCATGGTTGAGCGGCAAGCTATTGTTGCTGTGGAAGAGGCATCTGTCATCATTTTTCTTGTCGATGGTCAGGTATGATTTTTTATGGTGGTGATGTATTTATCTCATTTACATTTTTTCTGTCATATGTTAGTATACGGGTGGATCTTAAGGTACACACTTATCCTGAAATTTCTGTTGTGGTTATTGATTTCCGTGACATTTTTCATTGTTGGAATAGTGAAGTGAAAAACCTTCTCTAATTTTTTTTGTTTTTAAAAAAGAAAGAAGAAGAAGAGAGGGAGAGAATAAAATCTAATATCAGGATATCCTTTTGAAAGAGTTTCGAAACAAAAAGGACTTCACTTTTTATATTCTTACTATGTGTTATCCTTTTTATGATTTATTGGTTTGCTGGGGCATAAGTATTGTTCATTGGGGAAGAATCTATAACAAGGAGTTAACAGGCAGGTCTAATTGCGGCAGACATTGAAATAGGGGATTGGCTACGCAAGAACTATTCACACAAATGCATTATTCTTGCTGTCAACAAATGTGAATCACCTCGTAAAGGGATTATGCAAGCATCCGAATTCTGGGCTTTAGGGTGAGCAGTGACTAGTCAATTTTATGTGTGTGATCTTGATTATTTTTGTCATGCTTGGGTTTTTTAGTCATACAGATCTTTCAATTAAATTGGAGTCTTCCAAACAATATTTGAATAAACAAAGAAAAGGAAGGACCATGATGACATCAATGTCTAGGTTTTAACATTTGAAGTATAAAAATTCCAGTGATGTCAATGAATATATTTTGTTCACTCATTACATCTTTCACATGGTTCTCAACATCCCTGAAAGAAGAGACAGTAAACTAGGGTGGGATGACATCAACTTCTAGAATGCTTTATCAAAGGTCCATGATCTTGTTGAAGATATATATACATCTGTTATTGCTTCTTGTGTTACATTTGGTGTTATAGTATCTATAGAATTTAAGTTGGTTCAGCTTGACTATATACACATACTATTTTTTACTATTTTCATCGTAAGCGGAATTTAATATGTAATTTCTTGTGTGACCTATTAGGTTCACACCGCTCCCTATATCCGCTATATCTGGAAGTGGAACTGGGGAGCTTCTTAACTTGGTCTGCTCTCAATTGAAGAAAATCGAGGTGATTTTCTTTACATATTGAAAGTGATGCACGCCACTCTACTTTTTCTGAGTTTAGAAAATTTTGATCCAAATGATTTTCTATGTAAGCTAAGGTGTGCTCAACTCTGCCTGTTATGCAATGTCACTGTGCTTTCGAAAGTTTTTCTGATGTCTTTGTTTCTTGCCAATGATCTTAACCTAAAAATTGTTCTTAGTTTTCAGCTTTCATATGTGAAGTCTTGTTACTGAGTATCACGAAACATGATGTATGGTTCTTGCTCACATGTTCATTGTATTTAAATAAATGTCTAGAAAGCCAGCTCCTAATCCAATACTACCTGCTGTCTATGTCAGCTTGCATCTACTCTCCAATTATATGCTTAAATCATACTTTTTCCAAGATAAAAATTGTCTTATAGTATGACACATCGGTGCAGAAATACATTCTATTTTAAATGGGAATAAAATCTAGATACCTATTTTTAGATGCCAGGTTATAGAATCAACTTGAAATTTTTATTTTATTGATTACTCAGGAAACAGCAAATTTTGAAATTGAAGAATATGTTCCGACTCTGGCCATAGTAGGCCGACCAAATGTGGGCAAAAGCAGTATTTTGAATGCCCTGGTTGGGGAGGATAGGACAGTTGTCAGCCCAATCAGTGGAACCACTCGTGACGCCATTGATATGGAGTTCACAGGTTCGGATGGTCAGGTTAGTCCAATTCTTCAGTGAGGTCGTCTTCTTGCTACCTCTCAGTAAGTATGATATTTGTTATGCGTTTATTTTCAGTCTTGATTCAATTACCAAGAGAATTCCATTTATCCCTTTCTCATTCGACCTATGCCATCTTGTTTTCCCTTCATGCTATGGCAGAACTCTTGGAAATTGTCAGAATCGAAAATGTTTAATTCTCCCTTTAATAACTATGTAGTATTAAATTGTATGATTATCTTGTTTTGCAGAAATTCCGCCTCATAGATACAGCTGGTATCAGAAAAAAGGCTGCTATAGCTTCGTCAGGTAGCACCACAGAAGCTCTGTCTGTGAATCGAGCATTTCGTGCCATTCGCCGTTCTGATGTTGTTGCCCTTGTCATTGAAGCTCTGGCATGTATAACAGAGCAAGTACTGCCCACATTTTACCATTTCTTTTTCAGTTATCCGACATTTGGCTTGCTATTTGTTCGTATGTTTGGTATGTTTTAGCTTTTGGATTTTAAGTAGCTACGGGAGTAGAAAGGGGGTGGAGCGCCATATCACTCTACAAAATCAGTCTCCACATCTTCTGCTTTTTCAAGTATTGTTTGCGAAAATAGCTTTCAGATCTACTAGGCTTATCTGTCATCTCAAATTTTCACTCTTATTTTTGAACTTGTGTTCTTTGGAAGTTGTTAACTTTTCTTCTCCATCGTCTTCCTTACTTCCTAGGATTTCAAGATTGCTGAAAGAATAGAAAAGGAAGGCAAGGGGTGCCTAATTGTCGTCAACAAATGGGACACCATACCCAACAAGAATCAGCAAACAGCTACATACTACGAGGAAGATGTTCGAAACAAGCTCCGAATTCTTAACTGGGCACCCATTGTGTACTCAACTGCAATACAAGGGCAAAGCGTTGAAAAGTGAGTTTTTTCTTAACTGGTAGCCTGATCAAACTACAAGGTCTCTTACTAACTTTTGCAAGCTGTGTAGTTTATTCGTCGTCCTTGAATCCCAGCACAGTCAATCCTTAAAATTTACCAATTTTTACCTTTTCGCTCTTTAATACATAGGATTGTTGTGGCTGCGTCTATGGTTGCAAAGGAGCGATCTAGGAGGTTATCAACAGCGATATTGAATCAAGTGATACGAGAGGCTGTTGCATTCAAGTCACCTCCGCGGACTAGAGGCGGCAAAAGGGGCCGTGTTTACTACTGTACTCAGGTGCGTAAGCTAGGCGAGGATAATGTAAGCCATTAGTACCTCAAGGGACATTGATTTCTTCTAATACTCTTTGCAGGCAGCTATTAGGCCACCCACATTCGTCTTCTTTGTGAATGATTCAAAACTCTTCCCTGAAACATACCGGCGATACATGGAGAAGCAATTGAGAACAAATGCCGGCTTTGTTGGCACACCTATTCGACTTCTATGGCGCAGCAGAAGAAAATCTGAAAAAGATGATGGTAAGTTTAAAGGCATCATCGGTTGGTTATGTTTTTGCTGTAGCTGATTACAAATGCTGCCATGGATAGTAAAAGCCGATGCTTTATCATTTAATGTGCGCTGCTGTTTCGTTCTTTTCCAGGCAGGGATTCTTCCGCCAGGACATTAGTCGACCGGAAGTTGGCAGCAACAGCTTAAATGCACAAAACATAGAATCCATACAGAGGCGCAACTTCGTCAGGGATCGGCTTTGTTGTGTGGATTGTAATAAGGACCTATACAATATTTCGAAAACTTTGGCAACGTTAACCTCGTACGTACATAAAAGGATTGAATCACTCATCAACAAAGGTACCATGAGATGTTCCAGAAACTAAAGAAAATGTAAAAGAGTAGAGTTCTTGAGCAGGACAGAGAGGGATCTAAGCAGCATTTCCAGGGAACCAGGGCAGCCCTGATTGAGTGTGTTGTTTGGGATCCAGAACCGGCACAATCGGGCCAAGAAAGATGCGCCACAAGTCGAGTATGATGGTCACGAGCATTGCAGCACCTAAAGCATCAATCGCCACTCTCGGTAAGTCCCACTTGTCGTCTGCCTTCTCATCGATCCTGAGCCGCATAGCAAAACAAACAACTACCATCGGGATCTACCAGGTAATGTGTCTCTCTCTATATATATATGCATTCACATAAGAGACAGATGGTTACCTCAAGAACATCGGGAAGCTGACAAAGAAGTAGATCGCATAAAACAAGGAGCCAACTTTGTACATGGAATCCCGATCGACAAATGTGTAATAAGGAAACTGCACTCAAACAAAGCATACAACCGATTCCTTGTGGTGAGAACATCGAACAAACGCAATTCAATATTAAGTTTGCTTACATTAGAAATGGCTACGGTCTCCAAATATGCTACGAAATACGACAGAGCTAGAATCCAGGCGGCTTTGAAGAGCCACTGTGTCCTCTCCGGCAAGTGAGCGATGGAATGCTGGAGCCTACGGAGCGTCATATTTGACGAGACATGGTAGAACAAGAAGCATACATGGGTGAGAAGGAAAGTCGTGTGTGGTACCTACAAAAAGCCGTGTTACGGTTGTGAGAGGGAAAAAAAGTATTTGATACGACGGTAGTGTCAAAAGTTTCAAAAGTATCTGAACGGAGAAATCTTTAGCTTACATTATTCATCTTCCACGACGGGAATGTGTACGAAGCACCCAAAACTGTAAAGAAATAGTGAGTCCAAAAGTAGTTCCCGACGTAGCTGAAAAGTATGATCCACAGATTAGCCTGGCAGAGCAACAGTTTTCGAGTTACAGCAGGGTAGGCTATCAAAGATGCGCGATAATTATTGACAGACAATGACAAGAACGGCGAATACTGACTTTCACCCAATAACGATCCTTCCAATGTAATGTTCGATCTGCCTGAAAACAAGAGCACTGTTACACAAGTGTCTGACAATACAGAAATGATAATTGATCTTCAGCTTACCTCCCCGACCAGAATCATAGGAATAAGAAAAGCAGGAAGCGCCGATAGGAGTCCCAAGAATAGGTATTCCCACTCGGTGAATTTCTGACATGAGTCGACATACGTCAGTGCAGTTTTTCACCAAATGTTGCAATATCAGAACGACTAAAACACCGCGGAAATATACCAATCTTGAGACATAGTGTAGTACATTGCGCGCATAAAGTTCCCGAGTTTCATATCAACAAATCGAGACTGTATTACATAAATAGTGCTAGACTATTGTTCGATAAATCACTCGGACTAGCAAGTTCTTCGATGGCGCTAACAGATATGTGACAATGGTTTCTTTAGTTAAACAAATACATTGCACAACATATTATTATCAACATTGCATTGGCAATTAAACTAAGCTCAATTATGATGTATATTACCAAATGGTATAATCTCAACAGCCATCAAGTTCTGGAAACTTCCCAAGTCTGACAGACAACAAAAATTTTACCCAAAATTGCAGGATAACATGCTCAAATCCTTCTACGAAAAATTGGATCAGATCAGATAGAACATTTGCAGAATTGCAGTTCACCATCCACAGCAAATGAAGCAATGCTCGATACAACAGGTAATTATACAATTATCCTAATAATTCCCCCAAAAAATCAAAGTAAACTATACATATACATATACATATACATCATATATGTATGTATATATTTAGTTACCTCATAGAGTTTGTAGGGAACAACAATGCCAAGGCAAAGGGTGAGCCAAAATGGTGTATAGAGAAGAAAAAATATTTCGCCCCATCTTTTGCTAGGATTTTCGGCCAACCATCGATTTGAGGTTGAGCTATCTACAGTACCTGCAGATTGAATGAATCCACACAGCACTCGGATTAGAACAACAGAAACTATAAGTCTTAATAGACTCCGATTCGGAAATTACACAAAATCCTACCTCCCATAATTCTGCAATTCCGAGGGCGGGTATAATGAGATCTGTACTGCACTGATTTAAGTACCGAGATTCGATCTTGATAGTTTCAATTGGAAATTTTAAATGAAGAAACTGAGAGATGAGAATGCAAGAGGACTAAAAAATTACGAGATCAAGGGGAGAGTGAAGAGTGTGGACGTAATTAAGAGAGAGAAGGAGAAAGAGAGGAGATTATAGTATATTAGTTTAAATTAGATTAGAGTGAAATTATTAGGGTTTATAATTAATTAATTAATTAATAGATTATGCTCTACGAGGCACGCGCTGTTCCTGCGGACATTCTCACCTCCTCCAAATTTGCATAAAAATTAACAAAAAGAATAATAATAAAAGTAATATTTTTTTTAATGAAAAAATAATAATAAAAGGTACTTTTTTACTCTTATCAGTCAATTTTATTTTTGTTTTATTTTAATTATTGCTTATTAAATTTATTTTATTATTAATTTTGATAAATTAAAGATAAAAAATTAATATATAATTATTTTTACGGTTTCAATTATTACTTCTATTTTACTTACTGTAGAATATAATTACTAAATCATTAAATAATTATCGTATAATATAAATAATTATAAATTAAAATTAAGACAACTAATTAGTTTAATTAAAATTAAAAAAATATAAAATTAAAAAGTTTAAAATAAGATTAAAGTGTATAATCGTTTAAAAAAAAAGTGACGTGGTAGGTGAGACGGACAGAAACGACAACGGCAACTTAGACATGGTACGTAGGACGAAGGAGTATATAATAACAATAATCAATTAATTTAATTAAAATTAAAAAATAATAAAATAAATGTATAGGACAAAAATAGAAAAATACACACAAGTAAGACGAAAAGAGATTATTACCTTTTATTTAATATTCCATTTATAATTACTAAAAAAATCATAATAATAATTTGATGATCTAAAAATATATATTATTTTACAAATTTTTTTAAATTTTATTATTTAAACTATTTTGGGTTAGACAAAAAGTATATTTCTTTAATAAAATTTTCTCAAATTGGACTATGTATTTTTAAAAACAAAATTTTTCTTCTCTCTCGTAAAATATATTATAAAATACAGTACTAAAATACAAAATCTAAATCTTTCCAAACCAAACCCAAAGAGACAGAACCCATTTGTCCCGAAAGGCTAAGCAAACATTGGTAGATCTCCCGACGCCGCCGATGCGACTCATCCTTCACAACAAACTCGAACACTTTTCCGTCGACCTCGATCGCGCTACATCCAGGCGTTTTCTCGACCCCCCTCATCTTCATCGTCTTCCTCACCTCGTCTGCCTTCTCCCCCATATTCGCCTCCCGGTACATGCTCGCCAGCACTACGTATATCGCGCTATCCCCCGGATCGAGCTCCATAAGCTTTGCCGCCGCCGTCTCCCCGATCTCGATGTTTTTGTGCATCCGGCACGCGAAAAACATGGCCCCCCATATTACCGCGTCCGCCTCCATCGGCATGCTTTCGATCGTCGCCATCGCCTCCTTCAATAGCCCGGCCCGGCCCAGAAGGTCGACCATGCACGAATAGTGCTTCGCCTGCGGACGAATCCCGAACCCGGAGACCATTTCGGAGAATATCTCTTGCCCCCGCTCGACTAACCCTCCGTGGCAGCATGCCGAGAGTACTCCGAGAAACGTTATCGCGTCCGGGGCGAGGCCCGCGTCGATCATGTCGGAGAAGAGCGATAACGCGTCCTGCGCGACCCCGTGCAGCGCCAGCCCGCCGATTATCGCGGTGTACGCGTGCGTGTTCTTTCCCGGGATGTCGCGGAACACCTGTCGAATTAAACGATTTAGATGTACGGCTTTTCATGCTCGATCGATCGATCATCTAACAATCAGAGCTGTTAAACGAACTGAGCCGTTCGTGAACTTGGCTTGGTTCAGTTCGGTTAAAGCTCGTTTGTGAACGTTAACGAGCCAAGCCGAACAACATAAACAGACTCGTTTGATTAACAAACTAGCAGTTCGTCAAAATAATATATTTATTATAAATATTATATATATAATTATAATTTATAAATACATAAAATATCAATTTAAAATAATTAAATTCAAATTTCCTTTTTAATTTATATATAAATTTTAAAAAGTGAGATAAATAAGCTCGAACGAACTTAATCGAACATAATCGAATCGAATAGGAACTCGGACTCCAACAATAAATATTCTTAACGAGTCGAGCTCGAAAGCTTAACGAACGAACATGAGCTTTGTTCATGAACGTTAACAAACAAACGAACACGAGCCTTGTTCGCGAACGTTAACGAACAAATATGAACACTTAAAATTTTGTTCGATTCGGCTCGTTAACAGCTCTACGGTAACAATACCTGCAATGCTTTCTTTATGTTCCCGCATTTCGCGTACATATCGACTAGCGCCGTTCCGAGAACAACGTTCAACGAGAGTGCGTGCTTTTCGATATAGCCGTGAATCCAAACTCCAGCATCGAGTGCGCCCAGCTGCGCGCATGCAGATAAGCAGCAAACCATTGTCACCTCGTCCGGCTCGACTCCCGTTGCCTGCATTTCATGGAACAATCGCAACGCTTGTTTCCCACGCTGCGCTTTAATGTAACCGCTCAACAACGCGTTCCAAGGAACAATGTCCTTCTCCGGCATCGCATCGAATACCTTCCTAGCGAAATCCAAATACCCGAATTTCGCATACCCGACGACCATCGTCGTCCAGCTCACCACCGTCTTCTCTTCCATCCCGTCAAACAATGCCCTCGCCGAATCAAGATCGCCGCATTTGGCATACATGTCAACAAGAGCATTACCTAATCGAACAGTTATGTTCATCCCTTTAGCTCCGGCGAACTGGTGGAGTTCGCGGCCGAGCTCCAAATTTTCCAGCTGCGCACAAGCTGCGACTGCAGCGATCATCGTAACCTCGTCGGGATCGAGCTCCATTCGCCTGTATATTCTCAGAGCTTCCTCCCCTCTCCCACTCCTAACGTAGCCATTGATCAAAGAATTCCAAGAAACTAAGTCTCTCACAGGACTTTCGTCGAACACCTTATGCGCAGCCTCGAGCTCTCCACAGCAAACCAGGAAATGAATCAAAGCATTCCTCACGAACACATCACTATCGTAGCACATTTTCAATACATTCCCCAGAATCGCAAACCCTAAATCAAAGACCTCCAAATTCGCGCAGGCTTTGAACAGCAACGGATAAGTATAACGATCAGGCCTCAGACCAAAACCACCGCCGGCGCCGGCGCCGGCAGCCAACATTTGTTTGTACATAACAAACACATGCGATGGAGCGGGGCTATCAGCGACGGCTCTAATCACTACATTCCACGAAAACGCATTCGGATTCTCCATCGCGAACAACAATCTCTTCGCGTAATTAAGATCCGCCGCCGGAGAGAGCGCACAGAAGGCTACCAATCTGCTGTAGGCCAGCCCGTCGGAAGCCAGTCCGGTGACCGTCATTTGCGACTGGATTTGCTTGAGATGGAAGAGGGATTTGCATTTGGTCTCCAGAATTGAGAGCGTGGGATTCGAAGTCACAAATATATGCGTAGTATTCCATTCCGTTGCTGCGCCGTCGCAAATTCTCTTCGGCCGTTTTCTCCTTTGTGGCAACGCAGAGAGAGTGTGGCGCGATCGGAAAGGATTTGAAAATGGCTTGCGAATACGACGTCGTTGCGACAAGAGAGACAGCATCAGACCAGCAGCAATCAGAAAAAAGGCTAAATTTGAAGTCTTGGAAACTAAATAGAAAGAATTGAAGAAAACTATGATCAATGGATAATGGCTACGTCAAGAACTTCCATTTGAGTCATCACAGGAACATATCACAGGATCAAATGGTAAGAATTTGATCACAAGAAGTGCCACTGTTTGTTAATCTAAGCTAAGCTAAGCTAATTCTTGATTACATCTTTGAATGTTCATCAGGCCTTTTGTCAGCCAGATTGCAGTTTCTCTAGAAGAGACAGATTCATCTCCGAATGGCTTCAGCACGCCCTCGAGTTCCTCGAGCCTCTCGTGCTTGAGAAGCTGCGCGCAGAGCTCGAGCAACGACTCCATCGCCTGCGCCTTTTCTTCGACTACATGTTCGCTTTTGATGAGATCATTCGGCAGGAAAGGGGTCGGCATTCTTGCCAGGTTCAGTTTGGGAGAATTTTCGTCGCCATTACATGCTGCCGCGTTAAGGTTCTGGTTTTCGTCCCTGGATTGCATTTCTTGTTCCGACAATGATCCAAGGCTTACGTTACTCTTGCTTTCATCCGGCGAAAGGGAATCTGTTCCTGAATCCATAGGCAGATGTTTTTTTGATGGAATCTTGTCCTCTTTCGTGGCGTCGTCTGATTTCTTGATCATCTGCATTTTCTTGTTCAGCTTGCTGTCCCTGTTCGACGGCCTGGACTTTGACTCGGCTTCAGACTTCACTGGGAGGAAGACCGGCGACAAATTGCTGTACCGAGCGAGATATGGCTGCAAATGTGGATGCCTCAAGAGCTCTGCAGCCTAAACAAGTTTTAAGACATCATCAGATGAGTTTGGTTCTTCATTTTTGGCATTCAGTTTAACTCACCGTCGGGCGATGCTCCGGGCTTTTCCTAAGCATGCTTTTGATGAGTCTCTTCCTACAACATCGAAGATCTCGCTTACTTCTTGCAATTACGAAGATAGACAAAATGCGTAAGGAGAAGGGCCGCGACTCACAGGGACGAAGAATACAATGTTGGAAGAGGCGAAATGGTTGATCGATTTATTTTGCTGACGAGGCCATCGATGTCCTGTTTGATCGAAATTCTTACAGCTCTCGATAACTATGTTAACTTGTGACAAGCATCGTCTAGACTAGAGCTTACCGATGCCCGAAAAGGAGGTAAATGAGCGGCAATTTCGAACATACAGCAGCCTAAAGACCAAATGTCCGATTTGTATCCATATGGGATGTCTGCTAAGATCTCCGGACACATGTAGTTTGGTGTTCCCACGAGCTAAAAACGAAAACTTTGTCAGAATATCATCAGTCGTCGCATTGAAGCAGAAACAAACGAACAATAGTACCGATGAAGCAAGGTCGCCTTTGTCGAGCAGCTTCGCTAGCCCAAAATCTCCTACAAGTTTTTATCGTGTAAGAAAGACCGCATAAGCACATCATAGTAGGCGAGGCTTTCGAGTTTCTTACCGAGCCTGATGTCGTTGTCTCTTGTAAGGAAAATGTTTGAGCACTGAAGCCAAATCGGTTAAGACAACATATGTATAAAAACACGGCTGCCATGCCCGAGGATTAAGATCGAATTGGTTACGAAAAGAAACACAAAAAAACACACCTTGAGGTCGCGGTGAAGGACACGATTCGAGTGCAGGTAATCCAAAGCCAAAAGCAACTGAGTCAGCCATCTGCAGATCGTCTATAAACAGAACAAAACCATGTCCGGAAATATCAGTCATGTCTCGAGCTTCAGAAATGCTTTGTTTCGTGGTTCTTACCTCTTCGGAGAAATGCACTCCTCGAGCCTTTCTGATCAGCTCCGCCCTTAGGAAACAGTCGACAATTTCATCAAGCGTGAATTCAGATAGGTTTAAAAAAAGGTGTAATCAATCAAAACAAGCTTGCTGCCTGCCGGAAACTTACATGTCTCCGCCTTTGCAGTAGCTCGTAACGATGCAGACAAAGGAGTCCTAATTCACAATCCCAATCAGGCAGGGATCATCATCATACATAAGAGGTAGCAATAATCGAAGATTCTCAGACAATGTCATCTGTTTTCGAAACTTAGTATATAATATAATATACCTTTTCGACCCAGGCATCCTTGTACCGAATGATGTAAGGATTGCTAAGCTTTGCCATGAGTAGCATCTGAGAGAATTGGTAAAAAGATTAGGTGGTTCTTCCTTAATCATCAAATTGAAAAAGAGAGATGGTGACGACCTCTTGATGTGCAGTTTGCTTGAATTTTTCAGTTTGCTTCGCCAGAGGAATCTTCTTCAGCACATACCTATGAACAAAAAACATTCTTACAGTATCAGAATCACAATCAACACTACAAATATAAATATATACATATATATATATATGAAGATATACATATATATGACCTCTTGTTCTCAGTCTTGTGAAGAACAAGAAAAGTGGCTCCAAAAGCTCCTCTTCCAATCTGCTCCACCACTTGGTACTCTTCCATGGTTGATTTTCTTTTGCTGTTTTCCGTCTCCATATAGCTTAAACATATATAAATAGATACATGTATGTATTTATGTGTATATATATGTATAGGTTTTCTGTTATCTTCTCAGCTTTATCTTCCTTGGTGTCTGTAACTCACTGCAGATTGCAATGGCAGTAGCAGCAACCATAAAAGCTGAATTTATATGCAGTCTGAATCAGACAATTTGGCATTATGAGATCACAGAGAAAGTCAAGAATTGGCCATTTAATTCAAGAATCATGAAACGGCCATGACAGGAGCTGAGCATTCAATGCAGAAGAAGAAAACTAAACCTAAAAATTAAAATAAACAAATCCAAATATTCCCCTGGCAAATAGTGGACATACCAGCGAAGAAGAACCAAGAAAAATTTGTACTGTGAGGATTTTTAATTGAATTAAAAGGGAGGGAAGATTTGATGGAAAAGTAAAGTACTAAACAAGGGAAACCTAATTTGAATGAAAAGGCAAAGGTTTGCTTGTCTCTACAGATACATATACATATACATATACACATCACAAATACGTGTAATTATGCTCCCACTCTGTGGTTGGTGTGTGTCATTTTCATCTTCAATACTGAAACCAACCTGTACTCTTTTTTTATTTCGAATTTCTTTCTTTGTCAAGATCATGTTTTATTGGAGCATTCCAGTGCCATTCCTGCAATATCTTGAAATTAAAAGAGCCAAACCAAATCTTGGAGTAATTAATTCTGATCTGAACACTGTTATTAGTCTAATTTTGGTGGGTTCGTAATCATAGCTGTACGTGGAAAAGATTGATGGCGGCATTTGGCTGGACCAGGGTTTTGGATTCTTACGTTTTTCCTACATTCAAATTTTTTTTGTGTGGGAAAGGAACAGTGAAGATGACGAATCAGAGAATTGTCCGAATTGCCATTGCTGATCCCGGGCGGAAGTAGAACGAAGGCGAAGGGTAAAATCGGTAAAGTAGAAATAGTAGTGACTAGGTGAGTTTATGAAAGGAGTTTTGTTACAGAAGAGAACAGTGATTATCGTTATCAATCAAAGAAACGATTCTGGTCTCGTGGATTCAACGCCAGTGGAAATCATTTGCTTTGCAGAGTGCATCGTTCGATTCCAGCATTGTCGATAAACTCGGCAGTTTTTGGTGGGAAAACGTGTGAATTCCATGGTAAGTTTCTTCGGTTTGTTTATTGTTGTAGGGGTGAATTTGGGGTGTTGATTACTGGATGCATGCGTGTGTGTACTTTTGGTTCCTATTGTATGTTTATGCGTGTTTAATATTTCAGTTGTTGATTTAGGGTTTTAATTTTCGTTCGACTGTTGCGCATTATTTTTATTTCGATTTTGGATCTTGATCTTCCCCTTTTTCCATATGCGGTTTCGTTTTGCAGGTTAAATTATTTGGACTGAAATCCATTTGTTTACCATTGTAGCAGAGCATTTGGATTCTGAATGGCGGTTAAGGTTTTTTAATGTCTGAATTCATTGTTGGCCATCTGCTGGTTTTAGATTTTTTGTAAGTCATTAATGCTTTAATGCTTCTTAATCTCATGAACTGTGGAATTGCTATCTCATAAATGTTGGATCTATGTAGTGATTTAGTGTGTTTTGAATTATTTCGAATTGTAATAAATAAATTTCGATTCTACATTCATTGGAGGATTGAATTCAGTTGAAGTATGGCATCGAAGCAAATGGAACTGGTTCAGAAAAAAAATGCCCCGCCGGCATGGAACGCCATGCCCTTCTTGAATGGCTCTTCTTCAAGTTCGGGGCATTGCTCTCTGGAATTTATGTTGTGCTGCAATTTTATAGAGAGTTTTTGTTTATGGCTTATTGTTGTCTGGTTATGCAGATTATTGGGTGATAAGTCTCCATTCTCGGAGCAGAATCTTCAAGGGGATACTGTGGATCGAGATGAAGAAACCTCAAGGATACAATGTAGGATCCGAACATGTGCCCCTTATTAAAGTACGCGTGATTTAGATCAGAATAAAACGGGTATTCTGGGGTTTTAACCATATATGTTGAAAATCAGCTTATTTGATACTAGTTCAAAACTGTTATTGAAATCCTTCAGTTCACCGTGTGCTGTTGTTCTTATTGAAAAAAAAAAATGTCTGAATTCTGTGTAATTGGCCTTACTTTGATACTGTATAACTTTGTAGATTTGGCAGAGATTGCAAAGTTTTTGGGTATTGCAACTACTATTGATACCGAAGCCATCCAAGTGAGTTCGTGTTACGTGAATTATGTAAATGCATACACATATAACACTGATTTGTTTTGTTTGATATCTAGGCTTTCTTAGGTGGTCAGTATCTTGCATTTGAGCATGAATAGGAAAAATCCAATTAGAAACCATATTCTACGACAAAAAACTCCTTTATTCTAGTGACAAAAAAATCCGTAATAGCTTGGTAGGACTGTGATGGTAATAAATATTAACTTTACCATTTTTCCCAACCCAGGCAATAAGTCATTGTTTCTTTTATTGTAGGGTCAAGGGAGTTATGAAGATCGTACTGAAATGCTCTGTCTAATTGTAGATCTTGTGGAGGCAAGCATTTATGCTGATAATCCTCAGTGGAGGTGTATATGTATTTCAATTATGTTGATATAGGGTATATTTCAATTATGTTGATATAGGGTATCTTCAATTTCTTTATTGTGTCCTTGTGATTAACTATGTGACTAATATTACTCAATTTTACCTTTTCTAGTGTTGATGAACAGGTGGCAAAAGACATATAGTTTAATTGATGCCATTGCTGAAAAACAAGCTCAAATTTTTTCTGAAGAATGCAAATTGTTTCCTGCTGATGTGCAGATCCATTTGATATATCCGTTGTAAGATATAATTCTTGTTTAGATTCTTTTCTTGATTCATAAGAAATAGTACTAGTTTGAGATTTGTTTTTAAAAGAATATTCAACTCATTCCCGAAGAATGATGCTGCATGAATACTTTTTAAAAATCTTTACAACTAAGTTTGCTCTAATTGTCTTGCAAGAATGAGTTCATTGCTTGCTGCCTCTGTCCTTTTCTGTTCTTTAGCAGCACTGATTTCAACTATTTAACTTTTATGTTCCACAATGCTTGCAAAATTGGATCGTTAAGAATTCTCTCACGAACCTATACTAAAATAGAGGAGAATGTTTTTGATCTTCAAAAGTCGCAGATGTGAAAGACACTAGTATAAATTCAGGCTTTATAGACGGTTTTCCGCTAGTGAAGTCATTTCTCATTTGGTTTTTTGTGTAATAAGATTTTGCACTACGAAGTATGATTCTGGACATGGTGATAAGTTTGTTATTCAACAAGTTATATGCTATGGTTCTTTTTTTCCGTATGAAACTTATGTGTGCACAGACAGTACGTGGGTAGAAGATATTTATGACTGATAAAATGCAAGAGAAATCCCATTACCTTTGATGCTGGCTATGATATACAACTATGACATTTCAGTTAAATTATTTGAATTTGTTGTTGTTTCTGGGACTGTTTGATTTGCATATTGCCGCAGGTTTTCCCTTTAGCAATTCAAACAAGTTAAAATGCTTTTTATATTTATCATTGTTCTCAAGGGCTTTGATTCATATTCCTATGATTGCTCCTTGGACAAAATGGCCTGAGTTGCCAGCTATATGCAATAATTGTAATGCTTTGTGATGTGCTTTATGTATGTGTTTCGAGGATAAACTTCAAGAAGAAGGTTTTGTGCTTGGCTGATTTAATGATTTTTTTTCTTTTATCAATTGAATTTCATTTGTAGGCCAGATATATCTGATTTGAAGAAACAACTTTCAGATTAATCAAACAGACTTTTGAACCTTCAAGGGATGGTTGAATGTTGATGATCTAGCATTGAAGGTTCTTGTCAAGCTTACATTTGTGGCCCTATTTGTCTAGCATAAAATTGATTAATTATTCTTAGAGATGCTGATGTCATAAACTGCATTTGATTGTTATTATGATTGATTTTTGTAGCACCCTTATAACCCTGACGAAGATTATGTCGAGGTTGAAGCAAAATTACGTGCACATCTGGAATCTTTTCTCGAAACTGCAAAATCTTTTAATACAATATATACCATGGTTTGTTTTCATTTAATTTTCCCCATATTGCATTGTGTGGTTCTGCTGATTGCCTAAGTCCTGATTTCAAGACAGATTACTATTATTGACCTTAGCTCTTGTGCCTATTACTCACATGGCTTCTATGATGTTTTTATCCATTTTTTTGTTAAGGGTTTGTCTCAAACGATCAAATCATAATATTGCAAGATCCACACGGGTAACTTTATTTTTGTAGTATGTAAGTGTCGCTTCTTAATATTAAGATATGCCCTACGCCCGTGGACACACATGATGGAGGTTCCTCAACTCCATGGATTTGGACCAGCTGCAAAACGATTATTGGTGGCACATAAGATGCTTTTGAAGGTACTTCAGTATTTGTTTTTTAATGTTGTCTAAATAAGTAGGCTATTCGGTGTAGAGAATGTAGTTTTGCTCAAAATGAAGATTTACGAATTTTGGTACCCACTGTTTATGTATTCTCTTGTGAGGTAGGACTCAACTTGCTGGAGCTATTGTCTTACCTTAAACTTAAATTTTCTTTTCTTGTATTTGTAAATTTCCTTTTCGATGTTGGCCATTTGTTCATTTTACCATCTCCGACTTGGAAAAACTCTTAATAGTTTTTTTATATATACGCTCGCCTTTTCTTTAATTTTTCATTTCATTTGTGTCTTGAATGTTCAAAGTTGTCATATTGTGGCTACGATGTATTTGAAGAAGAATGAAACTTTTTGCACTTACTCATTTTTTTTGTAAGTGTCGATTTGGTTGAATACTCGGACAAGAGTCCATGATGAGTGCACAAATCCATCCATCCATCACGATGAAACATATAACGATGCCTTTTTGCAGAAGGATGGTAAACTATTTATTTGTCTATAATCTCTTGCGACAGTTTCTAGGAAATTTGAAGAATCTTCGGGATTCCCATGCCAGCAGTAGCAGTGGGGTCTTCTGAAGCAGTCGGAGGCGAGCCTTCTTCAGTGATGAGAATAATTTCAATGTGTGAGAATGCAGTGACATTCTTGAATCGGGATCTTGGAATTCTTTCTGCATCTATTGCTCGGGAGCAGGGAGCAGGGACAGGGACAGTGGGGGAGATATATCCATGTGTGGCTCAATGCTGAAGGTAAGTTCAAGTTACCATTACCACTACACTATCAGTCTTGTCGAAATTTTTAATAAGTTTGGAAAAAAGTTTGGTTTGAATTTAATATTAAAATAATGTTTAGATGGAATATTACGTGAACACAGAGATCAAATAGTAAAAAATTGGAGTTTTGGGGCTAAAGAAACACACCCGTATTGACTCTTTGTTGTAGTTGTAACTTGTAATGGATGGCAAGTGATAAAATAGTCTACCTTTGCGCACACGCTTTTGGAACTTTTGTCATTATTCATCGATAACAACTTTTTCGACAACATATATCAAATACTTGTTCTCTTTTATGAAATATCTGATCTTTTTACTACTATTATAAATTTATTTCAAACCTACATTAGGGTGTGTTTGTTTGGGGGTTTGGATTTTGGATTGGGATTTGAATAGTAAAAATTTTGAATTTGAATAGTTATATGATGTGATATAAATAGGGTTTGATGTGATGTTTTGAATGTAAAATTGATTTTTAGTATAATATAAAAAATGAAAAATAGGTATTTGATTTGATGTTTTTGGGGGGAAAAAATTGGATGAATAGTGGAAATCCTCCAAAATCCTTCAAACAAACACACCCTTAAGTCTATGTCTAAACTTATATTTCAATTGTTGCTTGGATTAGTTGTATTATATCGTAGCTGTGGATTAGTGTACTGGCAGGCAGTAATATTGTTAGTAATATCATCCTATTAATTGTTTAGCTGTGATTGTTATTTTTCGAGTGCACTATAACGGTGGGTTTGTTTGGAGGATTTTCTCCGAAATTTATTATTCATTAAATTTTTTCACCCAAAAATCTTTAAATCAAATATTTATTTTTATTTATTATATTATACTAAAAATCAATTTTACATTTAAAATATCACATCTAATATCTATTATATCACATAAATATACAACTATTCCAATTTAAATTTTTTACAATTTAAATTTCAACTCAAAATTCAAATTTCCAAACAAACACAGCTATGTAACCTTTCAGCAGACAGAGAATGATCTAACAGGTTTGGTGAGCAGAGCGCTGGGCTTGTGAACTTTGCTCTCTATCTTCTTGTCTTGTGTTGTAGAAATTGGCAGAGAAAATATATTCTGTTTTCACATTGTAGTATGCAATTTATATAAGACTTCTTCCTAACTCGAAGACAAACTATTAACTATTAGTAGTTGAAGAGTACAACAATTCAATTTATAGTAATATATTATATTTAATACTAGTATTTTTTTCGCTTAAAAAAAAACAAATAACACGCAAAATGCTTTGTCTAAAGATTTTCCAAATATATGTATATATTTTTTTAAGAAAAAAATGTTGATCTAGTGAGTCAGTAAAAGACAAAAGCAACCTCACCTTTATCTCTGCCCATGCGAAACCACGTCGGTCAGGGCGGCTGATATCCAAAGCCGCATTTAAATAAAGGTAGCCCCGGGACCGGAGTCCAGATAAATCTACGCCGTTGATCATGATCCCAAAGATGAGAGGCGCAGATCTGTCCAGGATCATAATAGAGTGAATAGAGCTCTAGCTAGCTGTATGCAATTTGCAATGTACGTAGTCAGAGGGGCATTTCGGTCATTACACGAACCAGCAACTCCTGGTGCCCATACCCCCCTCGTCACACACACACACACACACACTATTCATTTCATTCTCCCCCACCCCAACCCACCCCACGCTTTGAAAAATCCATCCACCAATCCATTTATAATATTATTATACAAACAACAAAATCAATCCCTCGGATTCCTTTTTTCCTCAGATTTCTCAATTCTCCCATCCCTCAAACCAAATCTAAACTATTGCATATGGCGCAGAAGCGAGAGATCGAAGAAACCGAACTCAAGTTTCCAGACAACATACCGGTCTGCGCACCGATTCCGGCCTCCAGGTCGCCGGACATCTCAGATCGAGGCGCGTGCGACCGCAGGAATTGCTCCTCCGCCGCTTCTCCTACAAAAAGCGATCCTGCGCCGCCTGGGGGAGGCGAAGGTCTGAGGAAGCGACCGCGAGAGGCGACGCGGTGCTCCGGCTCCGGCTGCAGGAAGCGGATCGGCTTGATCGGTTTCCGGTGCAGATGCGGAGACGTTTTCTGCTCCGAGCACAGATACTCGGATCGCCACGACTGTAGCTTCGATTACAAGGCGGCCGGTCGGGAGGCGATCGCCAGAGAGAATCCGGTGGTTAGGGCGGCGAAACTCCTAAAAGTATGAAGGAAGGAAGGAAGGAAGACGACGCCATTTGGGGGCGAGACTTATCTTCGCTGTGTAAATCAGATTGAAGCATAGGGCTATTACTGTCATTTCACGCTGTAACAATAACATATGATATGAGTGCAATTTTTTCACAGTTCTACAACAATACTTCCAATAATCACAAAATAAGAAATTAAATTCACCACTTCAGTATATATGAATTGCAATTATATATATTAGACAAAACAAAAAGGCACAAAATTTGGGTAATAAATCAAAAAGTAAAGCAACAAGAAACAACACCTGCATAAGAACTTAGAACAAAGCCTTAAGTGCATTTGATAAGGAAATTTAAGCATATAAAGAAATACATTGCACTATAATCACAAGATTGAATGCAAAGCTGTGGATACAAATGTTGCTGCCCATCCTCAATTTTGTCGCCTCTTTTTCTTCTTCCTCCTCTTGTCATCCTCGCTGTCGCTCGAGCTCGATGATTCAGATTCTGATTCCGATCCAGATCCATCGGAATCTGAACCGGAACTGTCTGAATCAGACTCGGGGACAGCCTTCTGCTGCTGCATTATCAATCTCGGCATGTTCTTGAGATACTCCCGGAGGTTTTCCGTGATCCCACCGAGCCCGATTGAAGTGAAGAAGTTAATAGCAAACCTTGTGTTCTTCGGGTTGTCCTTGGGGAAAATAGAATCAAAAGAATCTTGCATCGTAGGATCGCTGAGACGTTCATTGAGCAAGCGAATTCCCAGGTGCTCGGACAGTTCCTGCAATTAAAATCACATGAATTCGGATTCGATGATCTTTAGGAAAGGATTCATTTAAACAAATACATAATAGTAGTACATAAGCAAAAAAACATAGTGTGCACCATAGTAACAAGGTAAGAGTTTTTTAAGATTCGCAAGATTAAAAAGTGATGAATTTTACCTGAAAGAGGATCTTAATGAAAATACGGGAAGAAGACGTTGTGTCCTCTTCGGTCAATCGTATGTAAGCCAAAACATGCCAAGGCAATGCATCCGTGCCAAGTAAGTGAGCAAAGAACTTGGCCACATTCCGCAGTTTATTGGTCTCGAGTCGGTGGATCATGGAATATTGTTGGACAAAACATTTCTCAAAGTTCTCCTGATGAACTTTGTTTATCATACAAAACCGCTGCCCAAGCAGCCCATAATAGCGAAGGTAAGTTCTCTCCTGAGAGCAACACTCCAACAACATGATGCAGAGCTCCATCTGCATCGATCACCAAAACAATATCACACAGCTATATATTATATACATGGAATAGCTAGAAAATGAAAAACATAAAAGCTGTAACATATTGACTAACAAAATACTAGCCAACTTATCACCAGAAAAGTGTTTATGTGCACGGAAGTTACCCTAATAAAAGGCAGCATCACTTTCCAGGAATTTATAATCCGCATAAAACATATTGCTGGGGAAGAGAAAGGTACACTCAAAATTGACATGAAATAAGCGATTAAGAGGCGGCAATTTTCAGGTTAGAAATGCAATTTTTTTCTGTAGGACGGTAGAATTGACACCATATTTTCCCAATTTTCTTTTGGTTTATTTCACCAATAGATAAAAGATACTCAAATAAAAACTTCGCAGTCCATTCAACCAATAATCTATGGAAATTTATTTCACAGAGCGAAAGTATACGAACCTCCTGGCCTGGCTCCAGTTTGATCTTCAAGAGTTTATGACCAGCTTCTTCAAAGTCAACACTTGACATGATTGTCAAATAGATGGTTCTTCGAAGATTGACTAAATTTGTCTCTGTTTCATCCTTTATTTTCATCTGTTCTTCATCCTCTTCATCGGATTCTTCATCATCCTCATCCTCGTCCTCCTGATCCTCATCTGACCCTGAATCTGCCTCATCATCAGATTCTTCACCCAATATTTGCTTCTTCAATTCTTCATACCGCTTCTCATTCTCTAGGTATTGGGGATCTGCCTTAAAGATATCTGCAGAGCAGTAAAAAGAAAACCAGTTATTACCGTACTGTGAAAAAAGATGAAAGCAAAAATAAGAAGAGTGGGTAATTGCCAAGATATACCTAACGTGATCTCAGGATCTATCTCATCAAGAAGAGAGACTTCATGGGTTAATTGGTCCTCTGGTTCCACTAGATCCAACTCAGGTCGAACAGCACCACGCCCCTTCATAAATCGCATCCACAGAGAGATTGAAAGTTAACACATGTTCCAAATCAGTGCAAACAAGATGCATTTCAGATATTATATATTATGTTTCCAATGGTATCATTCTGTTTGAAACTCACCTGAAATTTTGCTTTCCGCAATGCAAAGAGGCCTTCAATTAAGAACTGAACACGCTTATCAATTTCTCCTTCATGAAGAATTCCACGAAATCTTTCGAATATACCTGTAGGGTCCCCCAAAAGAAAAGGAAAAAGAAGTGATTATTCAATATAAAGTATGAACTAACACTATGAGTACGGTAAGGGATTAATTACATAGGCATGTTACTTTGGTAAATCTTTATCATGCAAGCAGCCATTACAAAGGTGGTAACAAGGACATTTGGTGAGAGGTGCAACTCATATGAAATCAATGTTGAAATGGCAAATCATTCGGATAAGTATCCACTCATATATACATTCATTGACGAGCTAGCATTAAACAAAGCAGCAAAAACATTATTGGGGACAATACAGCAATTCATTGGCATCGATCATTAAGCCATCCAACAGTAAAATCACATACAATTCTGAAATCGGTAGCTGATTAAAAGGCATGGAAACAAGAACAGCATGAGTGGACAAAGGATAAAACAGTTTCTTTGCGTCATTTGAAACATAACATAGACATTACCCCATATATGGATTCTTGGTGTAGCTTCAAATAAAATAAAATGAAACAGCAGAAGTCATACATTTACTCAAACAAAGAAAAACTAAATACCAAAATTGCAGAGAGAACTGATTCGTTGTGGCATACATAACTCAAAAAGTTATCCACCCATAGCTGTAAATGTCACTTTAATATATATAATATAATACACACACATACATTTGCATGAAAGAATAACAACTTATAAAACTCTATCGTACCAACATCATAAGGAGAAATAACAAATAACGAAAACTGGTATGAATTCGGACTCACCATGCAATCCTCGAGGAGAAAGATCCTGGAGAATGGATCCACATTCTGTAACAAACTCAACAGCCACTTCAACACTATCATCAGTCGGTTTCTCTAAAAGCAATGTCAAAAGCTCAAGAGCAATCAGCTCATGAACTACTTGTTGGTTCACCAAGTGAGCAATAAATTTGACTGCAGCAATTAGTTGATGCTGCAAAATATTAAAATGGGACCATTAAGCTAAATGACAAGACTAATATGCATTACTATCACAAAGAAAAATTCACCAACAATAAACCTTATCATTGCGCTTGTATGCCCTCTGAAGCTGCAATATTATTCTCCGCAACAGAAGATCGCCAATCTCCGGGAATTTAGTGTTCACCACAGAAACCAATGCAGCAAACACATCTGTAAAAGCAGGAGAAGCCATTTGAGACTTCATACATGATCTGCAGAACAAACCCCTTCCTCGAATCAGATTCTCCGCAAACAGCTCCGGAATTATATTCTTGATATTGTTAGCATTCACTTTGTTCACCAGCCCGTTGATACTCTTCCTCAGAGCATCCCAAGTCATTCTTTGATATTCAACACTACTTTTGTCCTGGATATCTTTCATCATTCTCGCCAACTTAAATGGCGGAATATACACCCCGCCGCTCCTCCCCTTGTTAGCAATTGGATCCACTGGCACATCCCCGCCGGCGTTCCGTACTGCAGGAGCACCATTTTCTTCCTTCCCATTTCCTTTCATATCACTCTCATTCTTTTCTGTATCTCTTCTCCTCTTTTCTTTATCCCCACCATCCTTGTCCCGTCTTCTGTCTCGTTCTCGTTCTCTATCTCTATCCCTCCGCTGCTGCTCGTTTCTACGATGATCCCTATTGCTTCTGTACTCCCCTTCCTCCTCCTCTTCTTCATCATCGTCCTTATGCTTCCCTTCATTTCTCCGGCTTCTTTCCCACCTATCAGTCCTGGAATCCCTATCCCTATATCTGTCTCTCTCATTATCCCTCTTCTCCCTGTCTCTCTCCCTCTCCCTCTCCCTATCCCTACTTCTCTCCCCCTTCCCATCTTTGATGCCAATTCTATCATCCTCATCGCTGTCACTGTAATCTCTCCGCCTCCTTCGCTCAACGTGTCTGTAGTCGCCATTGTCATCCTCGCCATCCCTCAATTTCCTCTCGTTTTTCCTGCTCTCCCGACCCCGTTGATTATCATCATCTCGCCGCCCCCTACCATCTCCATCAGAATCCCTATCACGATCCAAATCCCTACTTCCGTTGCCCCCATTTTCGCCCCTTCTTCTCTCCGCCTTCTCTCGCCTCTCGTCATCATTCCTATCTCTCCTCCTCTCCCTATCGTCGCGCCTGATTTCTCTTTGCTCCGATGCTTCGCTCTCTGAATCACTATCCGTACCCCTCCTCTTTCTCTTGTCCTCGTCCAAACTCTCGCTACGTCTACGCCTACTCACGCGCCTCTCATCCTCTCCGCTACTGGAATCAGTGTGATGCCTACGAGCCATTATCGATATGTAATCGAAAGATTACAGAAAACCCTAAGATCACACCTCACCTAACCTCCCCCGCCCGACCTAGAAAACGAGACACTGCTGAAATTAATCAGGACATACGCCGGAGCCGGAAGACGTCGGATTGGGGACGGAAGAACGCAGAGGTGGGCGGGGGCAGCTTCCGATCGACGTCGACGGCGTAATCCAGTTTCGAAAAGGGCTGAGATTTAGGGCAGGGATCAATTTGAAATTGCTTAACGTGACATGCCCCTTCTGCAATTTATTATCTATTCAGTATTCATTATTTCATTTGATGAAGTGTATAATATTTAAAAATAAAATTCCTGAGGTTAGGCCATCTAAATGGGCCACATACTTTTGGGCCCACGTTGGCTTTTATTAAACAAATTAAAAACTTGGTCCATTTATCAAAGCTCGAAATCACAAATTGGGCCTCAATAAGCCCAAATTAGAAATTAAGGCAGATAAAGACCCACTCGAAAATTGTTTGACACCTAAATTAAAACTGTTTCACGTCACAACAATAATGCCGTTGTACTGAAAACAATGATGGTATATACTACGTATCATGTATTATACCTATATTATATATAGTTGGAATTAACGAAATAATATTATTTTTCTTCTGAAATTAGGGTTACATCGTCGTATATATACATATTGATATATTATTATAAATATAGATATATATTGCAATATATATCAACACCGTAAATATAGATATATATATATATTACAATGTATATCAATATCCCCACAAACTCAAAGTGGGAGTGTGGAAACCAGCTTGAGTTTGCTTAAGAACGATTGAAAGCGGCTGGGTAAATGAGGCTTGGTAAATTCATCAGCAATCTGATCAGTAGAAGAGGTGGAGAACAAGGAGACGTTGCCGTTAGCAAAGTAATGACGGACAAGGTGACAATCGATCTCAATGTGTTTCGTACGCTCATGAAAAACATCATTCATCGAAATCTTCATGGCACTCTGACTGTCACAATGAATAGTGGTAGCAGAGGCCTGAGACACACCGAGATCAGCCAATAGCCATCGAAGCCATAGAAGCTCGGCAGTAGTATCGGCAAGAGCTCGATACTCAGACTCCACACTGGACCGGGAGACGAATGTCTGTTTCTTGCTGCGCCAAGAAATAAACAAATCACCGAGATAGAAACAAAAGCCAGAAGGCGATAATCGGTGGGATCTCCCGCCCAATCAACATCAGAGTACCCAGTTAAAACCAAGGACGAGCGAGCTGAATAATGGATACCATAGAGAATAGTGCCTTTGACATACCAAAGAATCCGCAGAATAGCAGAGTAATGAATCGTCCGAGGAGCGGACATGAACTGACTGACAATATGAACAACATAGGCAATGTTAGGTCAAGTAACAGTTAGATATATCAAGCTTCACACCAGCTGGCGATATAAGGTAGGATCGTGGAGAGGGGCACCATCCATCGGAGTAAGGCGACATTCAGACTCAAGAGGCGTAGGCGCGATCTTAGAGTCAGTGAGACTTGCTCTAGACAGAAAGTCGGAGGCATACTTAGCTTGAGAAAGATAGTACCCGTTGGAGGTGTCGGAGATCTCAAGACCGAGAAAGTACCGAAGAGGCCACAAGCTCTTTATTTCAAAGTGGTTGTGGAGATGATCATGTAGTTCAGAGATCGCTAACTGATCATCTCATGTGATGATCATGTCATCAACATAAAGTAATAGAATAGTAACACCAGCGGACCCGCGTCGAGTGAATAGAACAATCATGATAACTGGAAGTAAATCCAAGCTGGAGCAGAGCAGAGCTAAATTTTGAAAACCAAGCTCAAAGTGCCTGTTTCAAACCGTATAGAGCATGACGAAGTTTACATACCTTGAAGGACGTGGGAAAATAGGAGGATGAGACATGTAGATGTCCTCGGATAGATCACCATGTAGGAATGCATTCTTGACATCGAGCTGATGTAGGGGCCACTGACGAGCGGCAGCGATAGCTATAAGACAACGGACGGAGGTGAGACGAGCAACGGGGCCAAAGGTCTCCTTATATTCGATACCGTACTCCTGAGTGTAGCCTTTAGCTACAAAAGGAGCCTTGCAGCGCTCTATGGATCCATCATAGTATGCTTTTATCCGGAATACCCACTTACAACCGATAGATTTCTTGCCTCGAGGAAGATCAACCATATCCCACGTGTGAGTTTTCTCCAAAGCCTATAACTTCTCAAACATAGCATGCCGCCACAACGGATCCGCATACGCCTCACGAAAGGACCTGGGCTCATGGTGGGAAGAGGTGGCAAAGAATCAGTGATAATCGAGTAAGTGAGTAGGGAGATGACTAACCCGAGTGGAACGGCGAGGGCCAGGATCAGGGTCCGAAGTCGAAGTAGTGTCAGGATCTAGTGGTGGTGACGGATCAGAGTCGGGAGTAGTAATGGGCTCAGGGATCAGCGTCGGCTCAGGAGGCGCAACCGGGACAGCGTTAGGAGCAGAAGATGGAGCCACGTCGTCTGAAGGAAATAGAGGTAGATTGGACAAGGTAAAGAACGGAGAAGAACGATCAAAGGAACTCGAAAGTGGGACAAGGTAGAAAACATGGTATTCTCCCAAAATGTGACATGACGAGAAATACGTAACCTATTGGAAATAGGATCCCAACAACGATAACCCTTATGCTCTACCCCGTATCCCATGAAGGAACACAGACGCGCGCGAGGTTCTAACTTGGTGCGCTCATGAGGAGGGAGGAGGACGAAGCTGACACAACCAAAGGGGCGGAGAAGACTTTAATCAGGGGCTCGATTAAATAGTCTTTCAAATGGACTAACATTATCCATGATAGAAGAAGGGAGACGATTTATATTTCAGACACCAGTAAGTGCGGCTTCCCCCCAAAAATAATCCGGACAAGAGGCAGATAAGAGAATGGTGCGGACTGTATCGAAGATATAGCGGTGTTTACATTCGCCGCGACCATTTTTTGGAGAGGTGTACGAGCAAGAGCCCTCTACACCAGTACCCTGATCATATAGGAAACGAAGGAATGTAGAATCTGTATACTCAAGAGCATTATCTCTGTGGAGAGTTTTTATAGTGGAGGAAAATTGGGTATGTATCATTTTAGCAAAGTCCATATAAATAGAGGAGAGTTCAGAACGGTGTCGCATGAAGTAAATCCACGTAAAGCGAGAGTAGTGATCGATAAAAAAACACGAAATAACGTGAACCATTCATAGAGACAGCGGGGGAAGGTCCTCAAATATCAGAGTGAACTAATGAAAACGGAGTATCCACAACAGAAGTACTATGAGGGAATGATAAAAATAGGTTGTTTCCCCAATGAACAATCCACATAATTAAAAGACTAAAAACCGACATAACCCAAAAGACCCTGACTATCAAAGACCTGAGTTTATTTGAGGACGCATGACTGAAACGATGGTGCCACTAAAGGCATGATGGTGTTGAGGTGGTGGCAGCAGAAACAGAGGGACGAGGGAGCTGAAGTGACTCAAGCTCAAATAAGCGGCCCGTCTTCTGGCCATTCCGAGCGTCCTCCCGGTTTGCGCATCATGAACCTGCACACCAGAAGAAGAGAAAATCACTGTGAGACCTTGATCAACTAATTGACCAACTGAGATCAAATTTAATGTTAATTGGGGAATACAATAGGTGTCAGGGAGAAATGAAGATGAGGTGGATGTGTGTCTAGTATGGGTTTTGCACATTTGAGTACCATTTGCGGTAAGGATAGGTGGAAGAGATGGTGCGGTGGATGTAGAGGTCATAAGACATATATCAGAGGTCATATGATTACTACAAGAATAATCAAAATACCAAAGAGAGGTACCTGATGTGGTAGACATGACAGTATTGAAAGACAGAACCTGTTTAAGGAGAGCCTCAAAGTCCTGAATCGTAGGAGGCGCAAACGCAGACGTGGCAGAGGTTGTGACAAATGAGGTACTAGAATGAGGAGGTCCACGAACATGCCGAGCCTTGAAGTTACTACTGCCAGAGCGATACGGCCTAGTTGGGCAATACTGTATAGTATGACCTAAAACGTGACAGTAGTGGCACTCCACTTTGGGGCAGTGACCGAAGTTGTGATGAGAAGACTGACATCTTTTACAAAACGGAGTTGACGACTCTGAGTAGGTGGTCGGGCGGTGACCGCAAGAGCAGAATCAAGCGGAGGAGCCTTGGCGACATGAATACGTGTTTCCTAAAAAAAAAAATCTCCAAAATAGCTGCATCCAATGTAGGAAGTGGGTGCCGATGTAACAAGGAGGCACAAACTGCCTCATACTTTGGACGCAAAGCCACCAAGACCTGAATGAGGCGAAGATGATTCGGACTGATCTCAGCTTGATCCAACCGAAGCCAATGAGGTTGCACTTGCGCAAGAAAGTCGTTGATAGATTGTCCAAGTTCCTGTTTCAGATTATGAAGTGTACTCCATAGTTGATAATAGTGCGCCAAACCAATAGCACAGAAGCGGACTGCCAAGAAATCCCACGTTGCCTTAGCAGTTTTAAATTGGGCAAGTTGCACATGTATCGTCGGAGTGAAAGTGTTGCGCAACCAGGTAAGAATTTAATGGTTCTTACTGTCCCAATCCTCCAATCTTTCAATATATGATTCAATAGCTTTAGCCGTAGGCGCAACTTCTCCTATAGTGACCGCACGCGCTGTCACGCGCCGCCTAAGCATCCGACGGCGAAACTTCATCACGCGCGTGAGATCGCCACACGCCGCCGTTCGCCATGAAATTTCGGGTGCCGGCCATTCTCGCGATGGCGCATCTGATGGTGGGATGGTGGGGGCGGTGTAGATCGAGGATCGCCGGAAAGATAGGTAACAGAACGGGCAGTGTGATTTAATTATACGGGGAAAAATCAGTGCTCTAATATTATGTTAGAATTAACGGAATAATATCATTTCTCTCTTAAAATTAGAGTTACATCGTCGTATATATACATATTGATATATTACCATAAATATAGATATATATAGAGATATATATATACTACAATATATATCAACATATATTATTAATATAAATAGTATATATTTTTAATTATATCATATTATATCTATTTATATACAATGTGGCATCAACAAAATTCAATTTAATAACAACCATCCACAATGAATTAAGTATTTAGAGTTGACTTAAATAAAAGTTTCGAAAGTTTTTGGCTTTTGAAATAAAAAATTAAGTATCTATGTAATATATTCTGAAAACAAAAAAAATATATATTTAATAAAGTATTATATTATTTTTGAAATATTAAAAAAATTATTAAACAGAATCTTGGATAATGTTTTTTTAACTATTTTTTAAAAATTTTATCATTTAGACACAAAAAAAAATACATTTTTATCTCTCACAACATATCACACCAAATATTATTGTAATATCAAATTCAAACTAATTTTTCCCAAACTCAACCATAAGAGATCATTTAAGACAAATTTTGTAGAACTTATAACTTAAATTTGGATAAGATGTTAGAATTTTCAATTTCAGCACCCAATCCTTAAGTTTAAATAATATTGAATTATATTATTTAAAATAATTAAGTTTTAAGCTATTCAACATATGTGCTAAAATAATAACTTGCCCTATTTTAAATTAGTTGGGTTTGGTTTTATTTTTTATAAAATATTTGTATATATAGATATTTGTGTACATGTATTTTTTTTTATAGGTTATATATTATAATATAATGATAAATTTTAAATATTACAAATCAAATATATAAAATTTAAAAAACAAAAAATAATTGGAAAAATTAATAGAACACAGTAGACTCGGAAGCATTGTTAAAGTAACACAAAACCTCAAAGAATCTCACATGGGCTGGACACCACCGACTAATACTTTGGGAACGAAAAAAAAAAAAAAAAACAATCCGGAGAAACACAAGGGTGTGTTTGTTTGGGTGTTTGGATTTTAAGTTGAGATTTGAATAATAAAAATTTTAAATTTGAATAGTTGTATCACGTGATATAAATAGGTGTTGATGCGATGTTTTGAATGTAAAATTGATTTTTAGTATAATATAAGAAATGAAAAATAGGTGTTTGATTTGATGTTTTTTGAGAAAAAAAAAATGAGCCAAACAAACACAATAAATTCGATGAAAGAACAAACCCAATACTTTTTTTTTTTAGTAAAAAAAATAACATTAGGCAGTAAGTTCAAATCGAAACCAAACTTTTTAAGTCACATTTTTCGATTTGTATTCGCAGGTTTCAGTTTCGTTTTTTTGGGTCGCGTTTAGAAACTTTCGATTTAAATTTTTTTTTATTTTTTTTCTATTTTTTGTTTTTCAAATAATCGTAAATTTATTTTTAAAAAAATGAGTATTATTAATACTAAGTAAAAAGTCAATATATAACATTATGAAAATGGAGATGATGACAATGAAAATAATAATAAGAAAAAGAAGAAGAAGATACAAAATTGCTTAATATGACTTAATGAAAATCATATAAATCAATAAAATAAATTACTACACAATCTTATCAATTTTGTGAAATCTATAAGAATAAATAGATAGTCCACTCAAATTTATGAATGATATCATCTAAAGTAATCACAAAGTTTAATAAAATTTTTAAATTCACATCAATTTATAAACTTATTAAAATTCAATAAAATCTTAATTGTATACACCATACTTAATTAAAAAAATGCTTAGACGCGGTTATGGCTTACACAAGCTCTTCGAAATATCTCTTAATCGGACTTATTATTATTATTATTATTATTATTTAAAGTGCTATAAATTGTGTGCCAACCACCTCAACATTTGAACAACTACCCTCTCCTCACAGATAAATAAATAAATATTGTATTTTCAGTTCGTTCATCTAATTTTTGTTGATATTTTTTAATTAATATTATGAAAATATATAAAATAAATAATATATACTTTATTTGTCACTTATATTTATATAATATATTTTCTTTTATTACTTCCTCCGTCCAATTTTTATTGTCTTAAGTATATTTGCACGATTTTTTTAGATGATTATCTTTTGTTATGAATTGACAAATTTGTCCTTAATTGTATGGTAGAGATCAAAAGTAATAAATGAATGAAGGGTAATGTAAAATTTGTGTTTAACAAAAATAAATAAATAAGATAACAGTTGTTAGACGTAAAGTAGGACATTAGTTTGTGAACGAAGAGAGTATTATAGTTGAATTGTGATTTAAAATAAATTTAAAGGCGAGTATGATGGAAACTGTTGATAAGGAAAGATGGACAACATTAACATATGATACATAAAAAAAATTAATAATAATAAATATATATATATATAATGTAAAATAATGTTTACGTCACATCTTATCGCTTCCTATAATATAATGTGAATACATAGAGTGGGTGGGTTCATTTGTGTTTTTAGGTAATATATATTTATTTATTTATGTGAGATGCTAAAATCGTATTAATATTATAAAATGTACAAAATACTTTTGTATAATATGTTTTAAAATTATACCAAATAAAAAATTATTGAATAAATAAATTTAATACTCGCTGAATTATACCAATGAAAAATTATTGAATAAACAAATTCAATACTCTATATCTAGTAACCATTGACATTTTTTTTTATTTTTTTCTATTTTATAATAATTGATATATTTTTATTTAAAAAAAAATTGTTAAATTAATATATATTTAATAAATATAAATTAATTTAATTAACTATATAAATAAATATACTCCCTCCGTTCCCCGCTGTAAGGTTACCATTGATTCTTTGCATGTTGATATTTGAATATTAATTATCATATGTAGTACAAATCAACAAAAAAAAAGAATATATTTATTAGTCTATTATAATGACAATATAATGATATTTTAAAAGTAAATCATTCAAATATAAAGATATTTTTAATATTAAGTACAATGACGCAAAAATCAAATAACGGAGTGAATATAAATGTAGATACCATTCAAAATCTCTTTCTTTATATATCTTTTCATACAAATAATTTTTTTATTTATTTATATTTAAAACTCTATATTTTTACATAATTAATTTACGATTAATTATAATTAAATAAATAAATTTTTATTTACTTTATCTTATAAAAAATTTTATTCTCTATAAAGTAATATTTATATTGCATATTTTATATATATATAAATTTTAAAATATTTAGATACATATTCTATTTTTTTAATTATATATATTAAATTTTATTTTAAAATTATTAATATTATATATTATATAAAAATAATAAAATAATAGTTTTATAATTTACTGTTATTAATTAATTTAATATCATTATTTCTAATGAAAAAAAAAAAAAAAAGTTGGCAAGGAAGGAGTATTTTTATTTAGAAAACAATCATCCTGAAGATCACCATATCTACACTTGAACATTTGACTTCAGTTAATTTATTATAGCGTACCTACAATAATTCTAGAATAATTACGATGTGGGCCCCGTCCTAACACTACACGTACACCTGTTCTATTGGATTTGATTGATCATCACACCATCATCAATATCTTATTCTAATTTTACATCTCCTTCTCGAAAATTATTTAATCATAATATTTATTTCAGATATGTTTTCGTTTCTTTTTTAGTAGCAAAATATTATATTTTTTACTAAAATTTTTTATTTTTATCTATTTTTTTTTAAATTCGTGTCTGATCGAATAAACATACTTAAAAAGACTGATAAAGTAATTTTTTATTTTATCTATTTAATATATTTTAAATTAAAATTTTTTACTTTTTAATAATTATTTTTTAACTAATAACAAAATATACTTATTTTTATATTTTTTAATATTTTTACTTTAAAATATATATTACATTATTTTATTAATTATTACATTATATATCTATAAAATACTTACTTTACTTTAATAAGAAAGCAAAATATATATATATATGTATATAATTATTTTAATTTAAAATTGTTGGGATATGAATTTTCTAGTAACAAAATTTCTTAACAAAATTCAAACTCATGCAAACACACCCTTAATTTCTCTATAAAAGGAAAAGGCATACCTGTCCAGAAGCAGGTTATTTGTGGAAACTCCTGGGACCCGAACTCCTGGGCGAACAATCCAGAGACCGGTCTCCTTTCCATCATTGATGGAGCTGTGGGTCCTACAGAAAAGTCAACAAGAAAGTCCCGGTAGCTTTCCTAACCCTCTCCACATCTCCCAGAAGTTGGATTGATTCACAGTGAAGTGTCATCAACGGCCGACGCCACCGCCATCTCCACCACGGCGCCGCCACCTGTCCTTTTCCATTTTACTACTTTCACCTCTCCTTGGAAACCTTCTTTTTCTGGACTCTGCTTTTTTCATGGCGAAAAGCTGATGTTCAATCTGGCCTCTGCTTTTTTCCAGTTTACTCCGCTCTGGTTTGCTTCGATGTTTCCATTTTCCGTTTCAATCCAAAAAGCTTGATCGGAATCACAGATCGGAACACCTCACTGATTTGCTGAAGCTTTCGGTTCTGTAAGTCGTCTGGTTTGAATTTCTGAACATTTTTCCATGGATTTCTACCAGCAACAGCACCAACAAATTCCGCCGATGGCGTCCGGCTTGACGCGATTCCGATCCGCGCCGAGCTCTTACTTCGCAAGTATTCTTAACACCGCCGATACTCTCGGCGGCGGCGGATTTGGCGCCGACGATTTCGCGACGGTTTTTAACCCTAGGGCGTCGAGTCCTGAGGCGCACCGAATCTTCGCTAGGTTTATGAACAGCACCGTCTCGATCGAGGAAACCTCCTCGCAGCTGAATCCGTCGTCATCGCCGCCGCGGAAGAAACAGGCTTCCGCCGAGAAACCGCCGCGTCGGCCACAGAACATCGATTATTCCTCCCCTGCAATTCATCAGCCTCTCACCTCCGCCGCGGAAAGTTCCTACAATAGATTACCAGTCTCAATCAAATCGGAAAGCGTCGCCGCCAGCAGCGGAGGAAACCATGGCCTCGTCCGCCATAGCAGCTTACCTGCAGGACTCTTCGACACCATCAACATCGAAATCAGTAAGACCTTCTTCTTCCTCATGTTCCTTCAATTTATAGTACTTCATTTTGCCCTTCTCTGTTATCTCTTAATACATATTTGCAATTAAAGTAGCTAAGAACATCATCTTAATCACACCAAAAATGGCTCAAATCATAGAACTCTTGTGATCAAATTCAAATTCCATATATACACACAACATTGGCAATTATGATGTTCATTAAATCCAATCTTTACATTGAATGCACACTTTATGTTCCTGACCTACAATTCCACAGGCACAGGACATCCCGGCGAAGATCGCACCGATAGCAATTACATCCCCGATTTTCCAATGAGTCCATGGGACGAATCGACTATCCTGTCCGACGACTTCATCAAAGGGCTAACCGAGGGCGATGCAGAAACCTCTGTGATATCTTCGGAAGATCAGGTTTCGTATTCTGTATATTCCTATCGGTTGCTTCATTCGATCTTTATATGATAAACTTGATATGAATGATGAAACCTCAGCTGTAATGAGCAGAAAACCGAATTCGGAAAACCACCTCCAATTCCATTGTCTCATCACTTGAGTTTACCTAAATCTGCTTTGGAAAAATTGGTGCAAGATTCGGTGCCCTGTAAACTTCGGGCCAAGAGGGGTTGCGCGACTCACCCTCGTAGCATTGCTGAAAGGGTTTGTACAATCGAATGAATGATTGATTCTTTCATTGTTCTTGCATTAGTAGTATTGCTCGAGCTTTGGATGTAATAAGATCTTCTCCTTTAGGTAAGAAGAAACAAGATCAGCGATCGCACGAGGAAGCTGCAAGAACTTGTGCCGAATATGGACAGGGTGAGGTCATTTTTCTTTAGCACATTTTGCATTACTATGGATTTTGCGACGCTAGATTGCTGATACTTTTGCGATTTTCAGCAAACAAGCACGGCGGATATGTTGGATTTGGCTGTGGATTACATTAAGGATCTTCAGAAACAAGTGCAGGTGCATTTTCTAAGTCTAGATTCGTCGTTGTTAATTTTTCATTTGCGGCGCTTACTATAAAATACGCGGTTTTGCTCTTGTTATAGACGTTGTCTGATAACCGCGCCAAGTGCATTTGCCCGGTGGCGAGAATGAAACCGTAGAGATCTTAATGATTAAGGTAAGAATGTATGGAGGGAGTGTTGTGTCTCCGAGCTCGGTTCGGTTCGGTTCGATTCGTTTCGATTCGATTATATTTGTGTTTTCCATTAAAGAAGATGTTCTTAGCTGCTGAACTAACTCTTACCTATGTATATATGTATGTATGTATTTATGCATGTAAGTGAGTTAATGTTTGTGGTTGTGCGGGTGTAATGTTTCATCAAATAAAATATTTTAATATTATTTAATTTATTACATAAAACTATGTATATTTTTATTTAAAACCTTCCTGCTTCTCTTCAAAATTCATTCGTCAGACTAAGGGCTCCACTCCACAAATATTTTCAAAACTCTCTAACATGACCTCCTACATATGTGATTTATCTTATTAGCCTTATTTATGTATGGTCTAGAGTTTATCCAATATATACTTTGCATCGAATTTTAAAAGTGTAAATAGTCTAATTTCATTTTACTATTTATTTATTCCTTTGTTTATCATATTTTTTTATTTTTCCTTATTTTTTCATTGTTATTATATAAAATATAACTATTTTTTAAGCTAATACACTTATGATATCGAAATCTATATCAATATTTGATTCAAAAAATTAACACCAATATTATTATACTTAATAAATATTCTCTCCGCCCTTATCAAATAATATACCTTAATAAAAAGTATCAAGTTGAATAATATAATTTGTATTGATCTTTCATTTTTATCTAAATAATAACTTAAATATAATACTTTGTAAGCGAAAATTGAGTTGCATAGTTAAAAAAAACACAATGTATAATTTATGTTTGAATGCATAGACAAAAAAATTATTTATATATATATATATACAAAGTAAATATTTTTATTTTAAATATGTATATGAAATTGAAATCAGATCCCCCAACAAACTTCAATTAAATTTTGGCAGGCGGGGTTGTTTGAAACTCCCCACCTATATTTCAGTAATTTCACACATGCTTTCTGTCTTTTCTTGTCAATCCCACCCAACACCAACGACTATATTTATTATGGTATTAGTTTCAATATAATTTAAATTTAAATTCATTAATATTAGTCGAAATATAAAATATACATCCATTTTAATTTTATTATAAATAGTTATAATTAATATTAGGTCTATCGTTGAAAAATTAATAAAATCACTATCGTTAAAGTAACAGGATCGATATAACTGTTAACCTGGATACAACCAGGCCGAATCACATAACACAACCGTATTAATTGTACACGGCCGTCATATACCTGAATTATTCGGTGTGACGGATTGTTAGTTTCTTTAATGTAACACACTTAAACCGATTTTCATAATATTATGGCTTTTTTCATTAAATATGATATGTTATTAGTTTAATATTATATTTAATGTGTTTAAGTAACTATAATTATATTATGATCAGATAATTCGAATGTAACAATAATTCATATTTATTGGAATTGTTTTAATTGAAACACATATGCATATTATATAAACCGGCCGTGGGCCGTGTTTTAGAATTAAATCTAAAATGAGCTAATTATCAAACACGGGCGTGTTATAAATGAAACACAGTCATTTTTCGACACATTCATTGATATAGGAGTATTGTCTCTACATACAAACACGGGCTTGTTCACTGGAGACCAGTGGCGGAGCCAAAGTTATTATACCGAAAGGCTGAAAGTTTTGTTGAGGTAAAAAAATCAGACATATTTATTATTTTAAGAGAAATTGATGATAAATATATGTTGTATTTTAACGTATTCAAACAATATAAAAATGTTAACTTGATAAAAAAATTTACGAATTTAAACGAATAAATATCTATATAGTCAACAATATAATTGACGTAGTAACGAAAATAATGGCTCGGCCGGGGGGCTCAGGACTCCCGAATCCCTATGTGGCTCCGCCACTGTTGAAAACATGGTCGTGTTGTGACACGTCCATTGATACATGGGGTGTTGTATATTCAAATATGGGTATGTTCGTAATGAATATAGTTGTATTTGAACACTAATATAAACAAGACTTGATGACTATATAAACATGTCTGTTGCGGTCACATAAGCATATTTCATTGAAAATTTTGCAATTTGCATAAAAAATACTTCCTCCGTCCAATTTCTATTGTCCTAAAGTATATTTGTACGATTTTTTAAGTGATTGTTTTTTGTTATGAATGGACAAATTTGTCGATATTAAAAGTAATAAATGAATTAAGGGTAAAAATGTAAAATTTGTGTTTAAAAAAAAAGAAATAGGACAATAGTTATTGGAAATCCCAAATAGGAAAGTAGGACATTAGTTCGTGGACGAATGAAGTAATTATTATTATTTTTCTATATAAAACAAATTATTTTTTTAATGAGACTGAAAAAATAGAATTTGGTTGGGATCAATTTTAATTTTTGCTCATAATAATAATAATAATAATAATAGCAGACACGGGAAAATAATGTAACGAAGTTGACATAGAGAGAGAGAGAGACATGTTTGTCAAATATTGGAAATATTTTCAAATGCATGCCAAACTAAATTCAACATATTATTCCCTCTGCTAGACCTGTCATTATATTCTCTATAATACAATTCAGTCAATTTATACATATATATATATATATTTTAAATATAAATAAATGATGAATTAGACATTCAAAATCAAATGCATCAATCTTATATGGTTTTACTTATACTGCGGAGTCAATACGTTAGTATGCTTAAATACGATAGGACTTAACCAAGATATTTAAAGTTTTTGATATTTGAATCAAAGATTTTGGATTTAAATACATCAGTTCAATTAAATTTGAATTTTTATTATTATATAATGATTTTTTTATTGATGAAGTATTTAAATACATTGGGAATATATATATATATATATATTTAGATTTAGTACAAATCTATGATAAAAGAAATAATTATTGTCTATATATTGAATACAATAAAAAAAGAGTAATGGGCTGAACTTCAATCCTTTTCTTCTTCTTACTGTAATCATATGTTTTTATTTGCTTAACTTTTATTTTTATTTTTATTTTGCGCTATCACATTAATTTTGTGTGCATATTTATGTGTCAATTTTGGTGAAAGAGAGTTCTAGAAAAATAAAATAAAATAATAATAATAATAATATTCATTGATTAAATTAATATTATCCAAAAATTGACTTTTATTTCATTCCAGAACTGGGACATGGTTATCACAAGTGCTCAAATTCTTATGACTTTAGTGCGTCTATGTGTATATACACACACACACATTATCCCAAGAAAATAAAAGATTTCATTTATTTGGCTATTATAATATTATAATATTTGGCTGTCTCTTTTTTATTTTTTTTTTTTAAATTCTAATATATCCTTAAAAAAAAAAAAAAAAAATCTTATTGGGAGTGGGTAAAAAGTGAGTATAAAATAAAGGTAAAAGATTAAAATATTTTTACATTTTGAATGATTTTAAAAGAATATTAGAGTAATAATTAGAGGTAGTTTGGAAAAGTAAAAAATAATTTTGTTATAAAGTGGAAATAACAATTACTAGATAAGGAAACAAGACAACTCTATTGGGACGGAGGGAGTATCTTAGAAAGTATTATATTTGTATTTATTTTTTACTTCACACGTCCTATATAATTTGTTTCTATTTTTTATTTTTTTCGTCTCATATAATTTATTATTTTTTTTAAAAAAATATATAATTATACCGTTTAATTTCATTTAAATTTTAAAATTTACAATTTTGTAATTGTAATTAAATTATTTAGTTATTTTAATATATTATTATTTTTACTATATAATAATTATTTTTATTAACACCCATATTACACGGGACGGAGTAAGTAATATTTTTTTATTCAATTTATAACTATATCAAAATATTATTTCTACCATATATATTTCTAATTTTGATTTAAATAAAAGCTTGAGGTGCTGTTTTATAAGTATTACTATTAAAATTTATAATAATTATATTAAAAAATTTAAAAGAATGCAAAATAAATGAAGCATTTATTATTATAAGTTATAGTACTATATAAATATATAAAAAAATATAAAATATTATTATATTGCTGATAATAAAATAATAATAAAAGAATTCGATTTAAGAAGAGGTCATATAAAAAAAATATTAATTTGATAGATAATAATATTTTTGAATTGACTAGAAAAATATATAGTCGTAAAGTCAACCCTCGTGTTTAATATAATAAAAATCTTCTTAGTTAAATCAAATTGGTACTATTTAATTTGAAATTTTTAAATATTAGCAAATTTAAAATAGCAATAAAATAAAGCTTAAACAAAGGAAAATTTTGTGGACACATACTATATACTAAGGATACTTTGGCTTTGTTTGTTTTGTAAAATAATTTGAAAATATATTTTTTATATATAATATATAAATTTATGTAAATAATATAATAATAATTAGTGTATGTAATAAATTATTCTCTCCGTCCCAAATATTATGTTCATGTTGCCGTTTTTGTCCATTCCACACATCATGTTATTTTTTTTTTTGAAAATGATTACACACTTTAATCTCATTTTAAATTTTTTATTTTTATTTTTTATTTTAATTAAACTAATTAGTTACCTTAATCTTAATTTATAATTATTTATATTACAGAATAATTATTTTCACTGATACATTCTTAATTATCTACTAATTACACTCCTCGTAAAATACAGTGTCTACAATGTAGCAGACACGGTATTTGAAACAGATGGAGTACTACAATAGAAATATAAATAAATATTATTTTTATTCTCTCGTTCGCTATTTATTTTATATATAATTTTTAAACAAACAAACTCCTAAGCATCCAATAATTAATATTTTTATAAATTTAATTCGTTAAAATATGGTGTGTTTGTTTGGGGGTTTGGATTTTGAGTGAATTAGTAAAAGTTTTAAATTTGAATAGTTGTATTATGTGATATAAATAGGTACTGATTTGATGTTTTGAATGTAAAATTGATTTTTAGTATAATATAAAAAATAAAAAATAGGTGTTTAATTTGATATTTTTTTAGGAAAAAAAATTGGATGAATAATGTAAATCCAAGAAACAAACACACCTCATGCACTAATATTTCGAGCAATTTTATGAAACTATTGAGCAACTTCTCATTTGTGCAGACTTTTCCAGTCATCAATTTATATAAAAATTGCCAACATTATATCCCTTTCGTTTGTCAAACCTTTCTTTTTTTTATCTTTTAAAATCTATTTGTTAAATTTATCTTATTCTTAATTTTAAAAAATAATAATAGATAAATATTTAAATATGATTTTTCATTCCATTACCGAATGAAAAGAGTATAAATTTACAACATTTTTATCACCATATTTGTGTATTGCCATGGTCAATGTTTTCTTTATACTCCTCATACTTTTGACTGTTATGAAAACCAGCCCATCTGTATTTAAATATGGAAATTAATTGTCAAGTTGACATTTTAATTAAGGCTGTGGTTTCTTGATATGTTTTTATTTTTTATTTTTTATTATATATATTTAAATATTATTTAGAGATGATATTTTATGAAAAAAAAAAACATATATTTTTACCGAAAAATCATGAAAACAACACGTGATAATAATAATAATAATAATAATAATAATAAATTATTTATTATAATAATATATAACTTTTAAAGAATACAATAATATTTTTACTCAATAAATACTTTTACTTAAAATATCGCATTGAGGAACTAGTTTTCACGCCAAAATATTAAAACAAAACCATAAATGAACAAAATATAATACATTTATCTAGGAAGAAAAATATTTTACATGAAATATATATATAATTTTTTTTTTTAAAAAAAAAAGGCATAACAACACACTTAACAAAAATGCGTGCATTTACTTGACAATTTTTTAAAAAAAATTATTTTGTACTATTTTAATTAAATATATTATTTTATTTTATAAATTATTATTATTAGCATTATTATTATTATTATACCTTGAATGAGGTATGTCTGAATAACCCTAAAAATATTATTTTATTTATATTTATTATTATAGTATTACAATAATTTGTGGAATTTCGTAGTCAGTTGTTGGATAAATATTGTTAAGTTGTGAATGAAGTCATTGTTAGGGACTTCATATATTTTTTAAGTACCAAACATAAATATATATTACTATTATTGTTTATCTTTTCGTTGTTTAATTCAAATCTATATTACATATTAGTATTACTTTTTTGTCGCATTAAATATTTTTGTATAATTACAATATATATTAAAAATAGTAACAAAAAGAAATTGAAAAAATAAAATTATAAATGTCCAATGTAGAAGTAGAGCGGGTTTGTTTAATTACAAGTCCTTTTTTTTCATGTTTTTTAAAATTTGGAAATTTGAAAAAAAATAAAAATTAATATTTGATTTGATATTTTTGAAAAATTCAATAGTATCAAAATGAATGAAAATGTATAGCGGTTATTTTTTGGTTAAATATTTCGAAAATAATTTTACAATTCTAATTATGATTATTTATAAAAAGAAAAAAAAGAAAAAGACTATAGGTGTGCTGTGCTATACAGCGAGTCCAAATGTCAATCATTTCATATCTCCTCCATTTTTGACTAACTTCAGCTCCTTCTTCTCCAATCACTCCTTTCATTCTCTCTGCCTATTTACATACATACATACGTACAGCTTTACGTAATCCTTCTCAACACAAGGTCTCCTCCTCCGGTGCTCAAACTTCACACCAATCGTCGCGAAAGAAGGCGGAAATTTCTGATGACCTGAAAAATTGATTGGTTCGCGTACAAATTACTGTCTCATTGGAAACATTCCTGCAAAAAATGACCATGGATGGATCGGTGTACTCATCGTCTTCATCTGACAGCTCTCAATTTTCCTCATCCAGTTCGTCGCCGGCGAAGGGCTCATCCACCGTCGTTTTGTCGATTGAGTGCTTAAAAGGAAGTTCCAAGGCGGAGGAGTGGACAGGCGACATGCTCCAGACCGGCGACATAGTGGAGGAGATCAAAATCGGGAACCTAACAATACGATCTCCTTTCAGGAACGGTAAATCCGGCGTCCAGAAGATTCTCCACACTTCCTTCAAAAACAAGGAGACTTCGATTCAGGTTAGGGTCAGGCGCGGCTCCGACGACTACGCCGAGCTTCAGGCGTGTATTGTCCCCGGCGGCGAGCAGTTTTTGGGGAGGAGACTGTACGTTTTGCGAGCCATCGACGATCCGAATTACGCCGTCGGATTCATTGATCGGACGGAGAGCGAGTGCTTGAATTTGCAAGGTATCTAGAAGACGGTATTAGCTGTTGACTTTTCCCTTTCCTTCTTCGAATTGCTACCACGCTTTTTGTGATTGTAAAACGCGACTTTACAGTCCACGCCGCTTTGCATAAAAACACGTGTGTTTGTTGGAACTTTTTCTGTTAGGTAGTCGTCAATTATCTGTGCTTGTGAACGCCATGACGAAATTTCCCTAGAAATTGAATGCAATTAGGTTGGAGTTTACACGTCTTTCCTGCTTCATAAATTCAGTAAACATCATGATTCTGCCTGAACGTTAATACTGCAGAATTCAATCATATACCTCAAATTCACGTGCAGTTTTAAGCAAAACTTTATTTGGATCGCTCAGTACTTTTAGTTTAGCTGTTCATATAGAATTTTAGTGAGTTTCTAAACTACAGTATGATGTTTTTGAGTATATATATATGCATGTTCTTATTGACTTATACTTTTCAAGCTTGATTATTGAGTTTGAAAAGATTGTCCGAATTTGAATTCAAGTATAATGCATTAGGTTTACCAACCATTTCATGTATGTAATCTGATTCAAAAGCTATTTGTGAGAGGTACAGAGATAACATAGCATATTCTGATCTAGTTTACAAGTGCATTAGGATCAAAATAAAGTTGTCCTCTGTTTGTCTGAACCAGGGTCATATATCTATCTTGTTTCCAAAAATTATTCTCCACAGTACCTAGGAATAATATCTCTCCACTTTTTAACTGGGAAAAAAGGTTGGATATGAAAGGAGTATGAGAAAGGGCACTATCTTTGAATAGTCTGTTTTGTTGTGCTTCCTATGGAAAATGTCCAAAAAGCATGTTCTAATCAATCCATCATTGCTAGATTATAAATTGAATGCTATCTGTTCTATGCATATACATATGTATGTACACACTGAATTGAAAGCTAGTCTTGTTTATATGCAATAAACTTATCGATTACCTGCTCCAGTCTGCTGCTGTTATGGTTTGGTCTACGTTTCTTTTCTATGGTGGATGTCATTTTCAGCTTTGATATTTCTCCATTTTGATGGTAATCATAACTCCCTTGCCTATTTCAACATGATCTTATCTCTATTATCACAAGTACTTTGGCACTTTTGGATATCTGTCTTGACCTCTCCTCTCTGTAACATGGAATTTAACTGTATGTATGACTTGAACTTGATGGGAACTGATCAGGCATTGATGATTCAATTTCTTGTTTCCTCTAGCTTCAAGAACCGTAAGAATGGTCAGCGCCCTCGAAAGGACTCCATTGCAGGACGGATACGTTTCGTATCCATGGGAAAGAAAAATGCATGAGATGCTGTCCATTCCCAACTCAAGCAGCTTTTACTCCATTCTCTTCTTGCCCAAGGCTTCCGACAAAGTTGCTTCCCGGTACAACGATCTAGAAGACACTCTTGCCCGAGCCCACTCGTGGATCAATGCTTCTCAGGAGTCCGGAGTTCCCGTTGTCTTTATGAACATTCAGACCGAATCCCTTCTCACCAAGGTGCAAGGAACTCTAGTTTGCTACACATAAACTCACTGCCCAAACAATTTTCTTTTTTAAATTATCGAGTGTTTGGTTTTGGTTTCAGATATCCGGCGACACTGCCTCCTCCACGGTGAATGCTGGTTCACTCTCCGACTTATCGAATCTCGCAAACACAAGCCTGTACGGCTTCGAGGACTACCATGGCGTTGACATCGGCGTCGTGAGAGCTGTTCGAATGTGGTTCTCCCCTCTCGCAGGGGAGATTCCTATCGAGATCAGGATCAAAGACACCGACACAAAGCTCGGCTTCGCCATCAGCCGCACCGAAGAGGTAATTAACAACTCCCATACATCCATCCACACACACACACATATATATATATATATATATGATATCCTGAATTAATCGTGTCGCGTTTCAACGAACAGGGATTCATATACATATCATCTGTCATCCAGGGAAAGGACGACGTGCCGTCCACCCGATCGGGGCTGAGCAGCCTCCACGAACAGGCATCCCGAACCTCCAGGCTGCTGGTGGTATCGCGCATATCGACCCAAAAGGTGCTGCCGTGGATGGTCTCTACAACGGGCGCGATCCGGTGCTTCGACACAGTTTCTCTGAGCCAGAAGCTGTCCCTGCACCGGCACACGCGCGTCCCGATCATCATGCACGTGTTCCTGTGGGACCGGAACGCGAATTTGGCGAACGTAGGGAGCATCAGGGCTCGGGCGATGTCGACTCGGCCGCCACATTTGAACAAGGAGATGGATTCAGTGGAGTTGGATAGAGATAGACATGGGGATGGAGATGGAGATGGTGATGGAGATTCTTCTTCAGGTATGAACATGTCGAGAGATACTGCGGGGGAGACTTCTTTCCGTTTCCATGACTTTGAGCTTAAGAACAATTGGGTCTGACTGACAGACAGAGACAGGGACAGGTACACACACGAATTCAGTATTTACTTATGTTTTTATTTATAATTAGGGAATCAGAATCAAAATTTGAATATAGTTATAGAGAATTGTTAGGGATTATTAGGGAATGTGTGTGTGTGTGTGTGTGTTTAATTTTATGTGTTGTGTGTATGCTGCTCTGCTGGTGCTCTTTCTTGTTATTATCTGATTTTGTTTACTTCATTTTTGTTGTAAATATAGAACAACACTGGAGCTGTTGTATGTAATGTCCAAAAGTTGTACTATTGGGTTATCGAGTCATCTATATTTATGATTGTGGGAACTTACATGGATAAAAGATGTGTTGGACAACTCCTGCGGGCTAAATCAAAAGGATATTGATGAAGTTTAAACTCAAGTTCAATTCCTGAAAAAGGGAAATCATTTGGTACAAGTACTTCTTTCAAACTTGATTTATCCTCAATAGATTTGGAGATTGATTGATGCTTGTAGATGTGAACTTGGATAACGACAATATTATGTGCATTACAATTTACAGACATGTCTTATGACTATAACTAATAAATTTTGTTTATATAATAACATGCAAGTTTAATTCGACTTTTAAAAACTTCACATAGACTTGAAAGGGGCTGGCTATCCATAAATCTTGATGCTTTTGGTTCACAAGTTTGTGTCAATCTCAATTCTCAATGCATGTATGTGTTATGATTGAACATAATTTGCAATAATAAGGCACCAAAATTTCAGGAAAACAAAGGAAGTCACACCAAACCTCTTGTTTACAATAAATCAAAGCCATATTCATATTCATATTAATCATTAATTCATTCAGCACCAAATGCACTAACTAAAAACTACTCATATAGCTATACAACAGCAATGGTGATCAGGTGGTTATAAGACGCCCTCGTTAACACAAAACAAAAAGCGGCAAAAAGCGCTAAAAAAAGAAGAATATATATATAAGAAAAAGACCCGGCGACAAATGGTGGAAAAACAATCCAGATGTCATTTTTTATAGCAATAGTAGTCGTAGCAGTAGTAATAGTCGTAGCCGGAGTTTCAATGATGCCAAATGGCGTGACGATCTTCGTCCATGTCCATATCCATGTCCATGTCGATGGTAAAAAGGGACTTGGGCTGATGATGAGACAGGGAGGAAGGAGAGGCATCCTTGTCAGAGGATGAATAGTTATTGTTAGTATTTGAGAATGAGAATTGGCGCACGCGGACGTGCATGCGCACAACTTCAGCCTGCGCAAGGGCGAGCTGCGCCTGCAGCATGTCGATCTGCTGCTGTAAAGATGAGATGGCTCCCACACAACCGTAGACTGGATCCCTCACCCTCGCATTCGCCTCATACACCATGGAGCTCACCGCGTCACCTCTTTGATGCTCGGGCAGTTCCTGCCGCAGAAATAATAGTGTTACTTAATGTCAGCCTGGAAATGTGAGGTATGATGATGATGATGATGATGATTAGGCCTTACTTGAGCATATATATATATATATATGTGTGTGTATGTGTGTAAATGGTCCTTATGGTTTGGTGATGTTATAATGGAAGGAGGGAGAAATATCACAATCGTTTAAATTAATGAATGAATGAATGGTCCATAGGAAGCAAGCTAAGGAACTCTTCTTTTAATGAAGCATAAGCATTAATAAGGATGTGTATATAATCACTTCACTTCAATTCAATTCAACTCATAAATGGTCCATAAGATAGGGTAGGATAGTAACGGAACGGAACCAACACTCACTCTTTTATTATTATTATTATTATTATTATTATTATTTCTCAATGTCCATAATTAACTAAAGCGTTTGCTTTCAATGGATTGATATTTCTCCTCACAACGCAACACAACCAATACTAATACTTTAATAGTAGTTATAAGCTTTGGGGTTTTTCATTTTTCTTTCAAATCATATTATTTTTACTACTTTAAAAACACCAAATCACACTAAAATTATCATTAATTAAGAAAATGTATTTGTTTTAATCAACATTCTAATTGTGATTGTATAGAATAGTGTTGATTTTAAAATAATATTAAAAATAATATTTGAACATTAAATATTTTAAAAGGAACAAAAATAGAGGTGAAAAGACCCAAAGTCTTGGGATGGGACATGATCACACCCCATCCCATCCCAGCAATTATATTTATGAATTTTGAAAAGTGACATAATGAGGTGACATTGTTAATTCTTTTTTGACGTTCATCTACATATTTTAGTGCTGCCTAAAGCAATTAACTAATTAATTAATTAATCAATCAAATACTACACTACTATAGAGCAAACAAGATTATATGTGGATTGAGTCCTTTGTGTCTGTCTGTCTGTCTCTCCAAAAAGATAAAAGGGAAAACATGCTTTAGTAGTAACAACCACCAGACTTAGACTCCAGACGACTAAAAAACAACTCAAAGATTGTCAGAATCCCCAACAAATATTTATGCTACAACCATAATTATTAAGATCATGCATTTAATATTTTATATTATATATGTGTGTGTGTGTTTAAGTCCTCAATTTTGAGCAGTGACTCTAAATGAACTGAACTGAGTTCAGTTTAATTTAGTTTATCAGACCAGCTAGTTCTCGCACAGTCGAATATGAAAATGGCTCTGAAACTTGCTTAATTTTGAATATATATATATATATATATAGATACATATTGGTTGAATTAGAACTTAATTAAAGAGCAGTAACACATAAGATAAGACTCTAATCTGGGCGTTTTAAGTGAGACAAATTTAGCTGGCTGCTCATTTAGTATTATTATTATTATCATACCAAATTGATCATAAACAAATAGAGAGGGAGAGAGAGTGACCTGGAGCATCTTGTTGACATTGCTAGCACCGAAGACCTTGTGGACGCTGGCGAACTTATGGGGTTGATCTGCAGGGAAGTAAGGTGCAAACACACAGTCATGTGCACACCTTCGCCGGAGGAGCTTGCAGGCCGCGCAGGGGGACGAACCCCCTCCACCTCCACCACCTGCTTCTCTACTTCTGCCGCCTGCATCTGACCTCATTCCAACCAATCAATATATATATATATATATATATATGAAGATTGAATGTATATGATCAAATATTTCTTCCTATAGATATGTAGTACTACAAACACACACAAGTGTATTTTCTCAATCTGGGGATGCCACTCATCAGTGTCTATATATATATGTATATACATATGCTACATGTGTGTTTGTGTGAAGTAGCGAGAATGGTTTAGTGACGGTGACTCCTGCTGCTGCTCTAAAATAATCACATTAGGAGAGGAGAGCTATAATAATGATGTCTTAACAGAAACTTGCAATTAATTAAAGCGGTCATCGTCCAATGTGCTGTGCCTGTGGGGGTTCCTTCTTTACACAATTAACTAATCTTTCTAATCAATCTATTCTTTATTTACTTTCTCATGTCTCCCAACTAACCATATATATAATCAAATCCAAAACCTGGGAATTCATTGCACACTCTACAAACAATTATCAACATCTAATTAATTTCTTTTCTTGACCATTATATTTTTTATACAGTAATTTCAAAAATGAGAAAAAATAAATAAAAACAGTTGACGAATAGGCAGGCAGGCAGCACTTTATGGGATTCCTATGGTAGTTGCAGCAGTTAGGGTTTATATATTCATCACTTTTGACTTTTGACCAATTTTGCAAACAGATAGCAACCATTCTATCCATATAATGCTACCCCTTTTTTCCTAAAGTTAAAATGGCATGTTTTTGTTAGTTACATTCAAATCAATTAAAATGGTCAGCCCAAACAAACCGAGATCTTCTACTTCCTCTTTTCATTCCAAAGCCATATCCAAAACAATGAAAAGAAATTGCAACTTGCAAGCACTCCCAGGGACTTGTTTCTATAACACGAACCCTTGTTTCTATACAATATTGTCCATTCTTAAAGCCCCACTAAATGCAATGACATAATCAAAACCCCACATAGAATATTTAAACAAAGTAATAAAAAGCAAAAATATTTACAGGGACCATTTGGTAAGACAGGAAATGACTACTCCATTTACAAAAGAAAAAACTGAAATTTCTAGTGCACTTTTGATTTCACTATCTTTTCTTAAAGTTAAATAATTAGTGCAGCAATGGGCCATGGTCTAAGTTCATGTAGAGATTGCATGTTCCATTTGTTTAGGATCCTTAGTATTATTACCTGCATGCCTCCTCCACTAAGCATGTTGCTTTTGATTGTATTCTCCATGATCTCAAAAATAAAATATTGTGTGTAATTGATAAAAAGTGTCCTAACTCCTAACGTAAGTATTGAATATGGTGAAGGGCTTCATTGTTCTATCCTGCCATGCATATTTTTTAGTCATTTTGTATGCAAGAGGTGGGAAACATGCGACCAACACAAGAATCCCATTTTGTCCCCATTGGCATGCCAAGATTTGTTCATTGTTCCTTTACATGAAAGAAACCAAAAATTGGCAAATGGGGTCATTGGTTCTTATGATCTACACACGCACACAAGCGTGTACTAGGTAAATAGATTATAGAGCAACTACTTCTAAAATCTTCAAATACAAAAAGAATTAAAGTCATATATATATATATATATTATAGACAGAAGATAATTTGAGGTCAAGTACCTAAACTGTACCTGTCAGAGTAGCAAGTCCATGAGAAATAAATATCTGCCTAATCCTACTGAAGTGACGCGCAACTCCCTGAGATAATAACAATTAATAATATTTATGGGGCGGTTGGATCACTAACATTTAATTATTAATAAGCATTTGTTTTCTTGCATTATTTAAAGAATATTAAATATATTATGTACTGACATCACAAAGATCAGGATAAGATTTTGCTTTAAAGTAAAATGAGAAATGAAAAGAAAACAAAATTACATAGTATCATGTATTCTAAGAAAATGAAAAGTTAAATTTGGTGCAACATGATTATGTCACTGCAGATTTATGAAACTTATACAAGCAGAAAAGATCACATACACGAGGGAGATGCTTCTTTCAACTAAAATCAAATATTGTTACTTTTATGATTCTGAGTAAAAGATCAACAAATTACTATATGCACCTGCCTCTAAATGTATATGATATTTCAAAATTTACAAAATTCACATCTAACACTGTTGTCAATTGTTATCAAGATCTGAGCAAACTGATGCAACTCAAAGTGGAAGATGGGTGGTGGGGTGGCAGGAGGGTACTTATAATATATCAAAATACAGTATTGCTTAGAATATAAAATGAAGAAAATAGATAATATGAGCAAAAACTAGAATAGTGTTTAATCAGAAGCTCTCATACGAAGCCAATGTCACAAAACACCTGTACTTTGTTTAGAATTTAAATACATAAAAAGATGAGAAAGCATACCTTATAATGGAGCCCAGAGCAAAAACATGTGTATTCACTACTCAGAATCATTTCACGAATCCTGTTTACTTCTTGTCTACGCAAAGATTAATAAACAATAACAGATGCAAGAATACAAAATAATATAAGCAAAAACAAATCTACAACAGTTTTGCTATAGCTGGAATATTTCAGCGCACTAAAGGTGTTTTCAGGTGGTTAATAAAGATGGTTTTTTTAAATGTATTTAGTACAGACCAAGCCAACTTGTTCATAAAGGTGTTTTAACTAGCGCCAATACTGTTGTTGTCGATACAACAAACCTTCCACTTCCATTGTGTTCCATTGAACACATTCTCCCATAAATTTATACACTATATATATATATATATATCAGGAGTTGACATCTAGACAGTTCGTGCAGAGGTAAATGAATTGGTAAAAAGGCACTTATTGACATGATGTAGTGTGTCTATACTCTATCATTGATGCAGGTTACTGACCTCTACCACACAGACAAAACATTGCCAAATAGAGTACAATGAATATGTTGTACATATATAGACTCATCCCATTATTTACAATTGATATCCATTCAACGTCTTTACTGGCTTATATTTGGAAGGGCTCCATGAAATTAGCCCTACATTGACGCACATTATCTGCTTCATGATCAAGCAAAACACTGGAATAGAGAAATATGACGAATAAGTACGATACAGAATCAGCAAAAATATGTCCAAAGGTACAAGTATAATACAAGACTACTTGCAAATTGGATTATTTATATTCAATTGAGAAAAAGTGGGGTATTGAGAGAAAAGTTGCATATAATGTTGTTTGGTGTGTTCAAAGTAACTGTTGAACAAGGTAGACTTCTTCCCATGACTTGCAAATTTACCTTATGACTCTGGCATGCCAACTTAGACTCCTCGGTTTGTAGTTGCCCTACATACTATGCAGCTTAGCATGACACTTTTGATTGAGAAATCACGATCAGTGAGGATGCCTGAAGGAAAAGAATTGCCTGGGTAATATAAAATGCCATTTTGCAGAAAACTCATTTGCATTTGGTTGGGAAGTTTCTTATTTACTTTAGCCAAGTTGTTACTAATTTTCAACATGTCTCCAACAAACAATCAACTATATTATCAAAAGAGGGACAGTAAATTAATAAGATGCATAAATTTTAAAACTAAATCACAACATTTGAATATCAGACACAAAGTCAGTAACATGCATGAAAATTAACCAGGTGTACCTTGGTTGCAGCTAAAATTGTGTTGTTCAGGGGATGAGCTACACATGCAGTAACACTTTCGGATAATGGCAAAAATCTGTTTTGCTTATGCTGTTTAGTTGCTTGGTTGGCGCTCTCTTCACTACTAGCACCAAATTCAAAATAGCAACAGCCTCAAGATATGCAGCAAACTATATATCTCACTTTGCAAACCCAAAGGGCTACAAAGATTCTGAGTAAGAATGAGTTCACAGATAAACTAAACACAAAGGATGAAGCTACCCTAAAAACAGCCTAAAGCTTTTAGGGGGTTCTTACTTGTAATCCACATGACAGGGGGAAGTGCTGTCTGGATAGAAATCCAAAAGATAAATTCCATTACTGGATGATGAACCAACAACATAAACCTGCCCAAAAACTCCAACATAAACACCGGCAAAGCAAAATCCAGAGCTAAAATGAAAAACAAAAAATCTTCAAGTCCAAATCTTTCTAATCCAACTGAATGCTTGCTTAAGATTTTCATAACTAAATATTCCGATTGGTTGATTACATGTTTCCTTTTTCCTAAGAATCAGTAGAATGAATAGTCTGATAGCAATAGGAAATAGTATATAATTCTTTGTACAGTCAAGTACACAATTTAAGAGCCAACTTGGCTATAGCCAAGTGGTTGCATCCTCCCTTAAGGGGGCTTGAGACCCGGGGTACGAATCTGGACAGTCCCGTGTGTGTGTGTTAAAAAAAAAAAAAAAAGTGCACATAATTTATAGGACTTACTGAGTTCGTATGAAGCCAACATGGCCTTCTCAAGTGAGTGAGATTGGTGAAACCATTGGACTCATCCCTTGTTGTTCAAAAAAACATGGATGGTGAGTTGAAACCAACAATATGTTGATAATTATTTTTTGAACCATTTTCGAGTTCAAAGACATTGAGTATACTTACAACCATGCAGGTGGAGGGCAATGAATGTGTGTAACTTGTAACTTGTTGATGTCCAGGACACCTGACCTGGAAACATGGAGCATCATATTGAAGATTCTACAGTTCTAAAATTAAAAATAAATAGATAAAGGTGCATTTAAAATATTTACAATGAAATTTTGAAATAATCAAGGTACCAACTCTATCTTGACAAAAATTAAAAGAATAGAACATGCACTCATATCCAACATACCACCCATCATCGAGATGAAAAGCCAATTGGTAAGGGCAGGATGGATCAAAATCAATAGAGTGTATTTCCTTTGGAACAATATTTGACTGAGCCTGGGAACAAAAATGAGAGCACAAGAAATGGCTTACAACAAGTACCAGCATACAAAGATAAATTAAATATTTTGAAACCAATATTATGTTGAAACATGATATACTATCTCAAGGCAGACTTGAAAAATAGAAAAGTAAACATAACAAAAGACTTTTTCCCCTCTGGGAAAATTGAGCTTTTGGACATCCATCACTTCCAAAAAATAATATGAAACAGTGTGATAAAACTGCTATAAACACTAAAAATACATTGAAATTAAGATGAAACAAAAAATTCTAATAGACTTTGTATAAATAGTAATTTCACACATACAAGCTTTCATACCTTCAAATGAGATATTTTCTCCAGCTCATGTGCCAACTTAACTGTTATCAAAGGAAACAAATATTCCTGGATTCACAACAAACAAGTCATAGTTTAATCAAAATAAATTTTGAAAAGCTTGATAAGTAATTTTGGTTGTAAACCATCCGCTTGTTAAAGGACTCAATTAATAAAATTTGACATGGTATAAAACTATGTACTATGCTAAAAGCATCATGCATTGCAATTTAATCCAATCCAACTGTCATAGAAATATTATTGGAACATTTTGAACCTTAAATAGTTCATATTTCATGTTTTTTTAAGAACATATTTACATAATAGTGACATGGGTAGAGAGCAAATGTGTTGGTTTATCTAGTTAGATATTCTTTGCACAATGGAAGGTTAGTCTGCAAATTTATGGAGCAAAAATATAGAACTATTAACCAATACCTCCTTATGGTTTGTAAATGTGGTATGTGATCTTCCTCCACGTAAATCCCACATATATATAGTCCCCTGCTTGTTAGCTCCATAAATTATCTGATACAAAGAAGCCCATTACATCAGATGGTAAACATGAAGACTGGTTGTTATTTTGGTCTCACCGACATTGCTTTGTCAAAAAAACCTCACTTCATTATCTGCAGTTAATCTGATGCTATTAAGTGAGCCAGAAGAATTCGTCTTGAGTTGCAAACATGGAAGATCACTCAGTCTTCTATCCCAAATATTGATTGTACCACTACTATCAGAGGCGAACAATCTGTTAAGATTTACATTATATTTAGCTTCATCCACATGAAAGCTTATTTAAAAAATAAAAATAAGTACAATAAGAAAAGTCAATTGATCTTTAAGCCAATATATGAATAATGGCCAAGAGACCTATACACCCCGCACTAGCCTAGCTGGGTGTTGAATTGAGAAGATATCGATCATCATATCTCTTTACTGGATTAGGACACTAGAAAATTTGTTATTGCCTACTCTGACAGTTGGGAGTAGAGCGAAGGTGAGTGAATAACCTAATATAGTGCAGTTGCTCCAAAACGAGTACAGAGAGATCCTTTGTAGAGTTTGTTCATTGGAAGTGATATTTGGTTTTGTAAGAGAACTGTATTAGGCTTAAATGAAATGGAACGATCAATATCCTCATTTAGTCAAATAGCAGACTGAGTAATATCCTTGTGTGCCTTGACTTGATGTACCCCAATAAAAATTACAATTTTTTTCAAATACAAAACATCACAAGCCATTAGTTAAACCAAAACTCAAACCCATAAACCCAAAAGGAACAAACAATCCTCTAACTATATATCCTGACACACCTCGAGCTATCCAACCCCTTACCACTTGCATGTGTAAAATGCCATAAAGTCCAAAGGATTTATTAATTCAAGATTTTCTCTCGTTGATACTTCAAAAGCTATAACATTCATAGTTATAATACTGAACGCTCTACCTAGCTTACAGATTGTGCTAAATTTGAGAAATAGAACTTATAATTAAGATTGAGACGTGCAATGGACCTGGAATTGTTCTCAGATGAAAAAGCAATGTCGGAGAAGCCTTTCTGAACATTGAAACCATGAACAGTAATGCTAGGTCTTTTTCTCAAGATCTGCACAAAGAAATCAAAGGAGAATGTAGTTGTTATACTTAGTGGTCAATCCTGATTTCCATTTAGGGGTTAATGGTAAGTCCTGCACAATTTTATACAAGACATTAGCTTCTTCATTTTCGATGATCTGCATAACTTATACATCTTGTTCATCGAAATAAATCAGACCACGGTTCTCAAATACATACACATGTTCACATATGTGCTGTGCGTTTATCCTTAATAGTACATCAAAAAACGATTTTTGTCCTTTTCTTTCTTTTCTTTTCTTTCTTTTTATTTTCTTTTCTTATTTTTATTTCTTTATTATTTCGATTTTATATTCCCACAATTAAGGATCAAAATGAAATGAATTATTACAGTACTACATAAAAAACAATATCCGGATTTTCACTGACATAAGAAATATTTACTCACTTCAATCGGTTCGTGTGAGATATACCCAATGTCAAAAATATGGACTTCGCTGCTCTTCATTGAAGTACACGCAATCTGCAATGACAAATTTAAATACAAGACATCACGGGGGTTAAAGGGTTGTTTCTGGATATAACAAACTGAAATTTTGCACCAGCCTCTCTCTCTCTCTCTCTCTCCCCCTCCTCCTCTTCAAGTAGTAATATATTAAAAACGATTTCTGATTTTGCATGCCCGGGAAAAAAGTAGATCAACCCTAAAAACTAAAAGAAATAATCGGAACGTAAGACAAAGGTACTCATGGATACACGTGTTTCACAAACCACATCCATACATGATACAAAATCTTCAAGTAAATAGATAAGTAAAAGGCTTCTAGAGAAACAACACCAAAACAGGCAATAAGCTAACTGAATTTTTTTGGAGAGAGATACAAAAATCAATTTGAAGGATATAACAATCAAACAGGGCATATTAAATGCTTTGTCCATAAGAAATGACATGAAAGAAACTTCTGAAACATACAGAGAATCATCTAAACAGCGCACTTCTCTGCATGTATAAAGAATTCCAACTCTCAAAGAGAGAAGCCTCCGTTTATACTCAAACTGCATGGCTGTGTAATTATCGTGATTCAACATATGCTTAAGAAATTAGGCATCCTAGATTCAGATTATGACCAAAGCTTTCTGAACATTACACGCAGTTCAATGATTCCAAACTAAGTTTTACTTGGACTAAGTTGCAAAAGTATTGATGTATGATAAAATTACATTACTAACTATGATACAGGAGTCAAATGCAATTGATTGAAAATGACAAAAAATCACATAAGCACTTTTGTGCATCATACAAACAATCAAGAAAAAATCAGACCTCATCTTGGTTTGCAAGGTTCCACCGGACAACATCAAGTTGTTGATGAGTAGCTAAGTGCATCACCTGCTTTGTTTCATCTTCTACCAACCCTAAATGATAAATAAGCAATAAAACATTTAGTTTATGAAGGATTCCGTAGTTCTCTTGGTGCCATAGGTAAAAAAATTAAAAAGCAAAAAACTGAAACTGCAAATATATATATATATATATATCCAATATATTCTACCAAAGTGTATTAAAACTATATATTCCGATACAAAAAGTTCCATTAGTGTGTGTTGGTTAGAACAAATACAGCATAGTGGTGCTATGACTTTGTTAGATGGTTAGCTTCAGAGTAAAAGCCATTGAATTTGAATATAACAATATCATCACATGCCATTTAAATTATTGCGCATCAACTTATATATTCGGGGCAAAGTAATAACTTACTTGAGGCTTGAATGTTATCAAAGTCATGCACAGTTAAGCAACCTGATTTTGTTACAGATGCCAAGTACACACCCTATCAAAACAACGCAATAATTTGTGAGCAATTTGCTTGGTAGCAATGAATTTTTTTAACATGGGGAGTGGATACAACTCCGCCATTATAGACATTCCTTGTAACACATACCAGTTCTTGACATCAAACTCAAGAGCGTCAGCTATCTAATCAAGTGATAGTAGCAATATTTTTATGTATAAAGCTACTGGGAAAAAAATAGAGTGATATGGCTAGCTAAAATAATATTATGTGAATTCGTATTTCAATTATCAAATATTCAAGAAATAAACATCCATTTGTCACCTTGGAATCAAATTCAAGAGATGAGACACCTTGCCTGAAAAAACCAAACACTTGATTAGCGCAAGACACAAACAGTTTGACACTAACACACAGAGATTCAGACACAGAAGAACACTCGAATATACATATATATATATTTGTTGAATGTGAATGTGGATGTGGATGTGGATGTGATTGCTCTCAACAGTGCATAAAAGCCAATAAGAAATAAAGATGAACACAACCTATTAACTGCACTTGAATTATCATTCCTTCCAGAATTCATAAACCATTCTGCCTGTTTGAACCAAAAATCACAAGTCTTAAGATATTCCCCAGAAATATAAATCAATAACATATATATAAACAAAAATTTAATAAGAAATACAAGCAGATTAGTCGACAGAAGATCATACGTGCGTCGGGCACGGCTCTCCATTGACATGATATCTATGAGGGAACAGTCCAATCTACAAGTAGTTACCACCAAATGTTTAACAAACATCAGTGAATACTATACCGCAAAATATTAACGACTTCACAGAACTAACTTCCAAAATTATAACCGAACAACACCGACCTCGGAATACGATTGAATTATAAGGGTAGACAGCTGATGTCTATAGCTCGGATCAAATCTTCCATTCAATTCCACAAGGCTTCGCTTCCATCGAGGCCTAAAATTACATCGACCCGTTCAAAAAAATAAATAAATAAAATCACTACAATACAATACAAGTAAAGCCAAACCATCTCTCCAATTCCTGAACATTACCTTCTAACATACTTCGGTTTCTCCGTCGATTCACTCGCAGGAACCAAATACTTCTCCATGAATTCGATCACAGAGCTTTGCTTCCAGCCTCCTCTCCTCTCCTCTCCCGAACCAGCGACGAATTCGATAGGCTCCAAAATGGCCTTTTATCAACTTCCCGCCAAAATTATAGTTCGAGACGGGAGTCCATCCTTGATGGGCCTATTATATTGTTCATTTTTGGACTTCAAACTAAAATCGTGTTTTGTTGAAACTTAACAAAATAAAGTCGCTGAGAAATTGAGGAAAGTCGTGTTTGGCATTGTGATTCTTCCACTGGGCTTTCCGAGGCTTCCAGAATGTAGTGATAACAGAAAAAAAAGGGCGGCAGAGAATGGGGCACGGTCTCCGATGTACAAAATGGGAAGCGTGGCGTACAGTGGGTTATTGCATACGCAGATAAAGTAGACCTGCAACGGGCAGTGCTCTCTCAACTGAAGATGAAAAGCACACACAGACACGTGCGTATGTGTGTGTGAAGAATCTTGTTTCTGACAGAAGAAACAACGGAAAGGGACAAAACGAGGGAGTGCAGTAGTTTTCCTTTTGGAAGAATCTTCTAATAATCCGTAGTGCTGATTAAGCTAATTAAAAATACGGATACGATCCATACCAAAAAATAATAATAATAATTACTTAAAAAATTATGTAAGGGTGTGTTTCGGGGATTTAAATTTTGAATTGAAATTTAAACAGTACGATGTGAGATAAATGGATTTGTGTGATATTTTGAATATAATATAAAAGAATAAAAATATGTGTTTGATTTGATATTTTATGACAAACACAGTAGAAATATACACCAATCCTTCAAACAAACATACCCTATATACTTTAGAATAATAAAAAATTTAACAAAATGACTAAGATATATATATATATATATATGTAAATTACTAATGTGTTTTAAATTCATATACGATTCTATTTGTATTGTTTAAAGTATATATATATATATATGTGCATGTTTTAAATTACTACACATTGTTTTAAATTAGGATTTTACTCTACTACACTAATAGTAAGAAAAAACCTTAAAATATGTTTCCTTTTCAATTTTTTTTTTTTGAATTATACGATTATTTGAAAATACTATATTTTTCTCAAATAATACACTATTTTAAATCACATTTTCAAACTTCCCATTTCAATTCAAAGAAACCACCTTGTTTGGCCTATTCATATTAAAATTTTATATAGTGAATTTTAATCAATGATTAAATGGTCCATATTAAACTGGAATAGAGGCTACTTAAATAAAAGGGAGTGCATGCTGATTATTAGCAGTAATAATTTGTAGTATAATTCAATGCCTCTTTCATCCGCCTAATAATTAAAATATACTACTACTAAAATTGTCCTATTATGACATAAACTCTACTCCTTTATGCACATTGGCTCCGTTTTGTTTTGAGATGGGTTGATTTTTTATTTTTTTTTTGTATGATATGATAAATTATGTGAAAAATATAAAATATAATTATTGTAAATTAAATATTTAATTAATAGGCATTTTTTTTTTTTTTTACTTCTTGAATTTTTAAAAAACATTTGTATTATTTATTATTATTTTTTAAATATCGGGAAAAGTAATATGGGAGAACAGAGCTATTGCTTGTTGATTCAAATTTAATCAATTGTCAATTTTTGTGATTTTCCAAAAGAGGCCTAAATTGAAGTTTATTTTTCATTTAGTTTCAAATGTTTATTATTTAAAATTTTGTTTTCTTAAATATCATATTATATATTCTTTATTTATTTTTATTTAGTTACACCTAGTTAGTATTATAGTATTTCAACAAAAAAATATTAAATAAATAAATAACACTAAAATAAAACAAAATATTGTGCTTGATTTTTGTCTAATTTGAATTTTTTTTTTTTCGCTTTTGAACTATATAACTTTACGGTATTTATAAAATATTATATTCAATAATTATTTAAAATTGAATACAAATACAAATATATTTTTATCTTTTCAATAAAATAATAGTAGAATTTTAATATTCTTTTATAATAAGATTTAATATATATTTAAAAATATGATATATATATATATATACATATATAAATACACATAATCAATATAATTATTCATGTTTAGATTATGTTATAGTTATGGGGTCAGTTAAAAAGCCTGAAAATATGGATGAAGTAAAGTCAATGATCTCCGAAAATTACCAAAAAGTTGCCATTATTATTATTATTATTATTATTATTATTACAACATAATATCTCAAATAATATATTATACATAGCAACAAAATAATGGATGATCGTGGCAAGTCACAGGATATTGTAGTGGTTGATGGTGACCAAAATTAGTTTAATTAATTAATTGATTAATTAATTATGAAATTAATAAATATCATAGGGACACAACTCTTTACCAAACCACACTCGATAGCACATTAAACAAATTATTATATCAAAGCAGTCGGTATTTTGGTGCTATAAAAAAGATAAGCAATACAAAAACTACACAAAAAAAATAATAATAAAAAATTATTCTATTATTTAAACTTTGCATTTATTAGTATTATTATCTTTTTCTCACAAAACATCAATCATTTATTATTTTAATATCAAACTGAACCATTTTCAAACTCCACAAAAATAATCACAACTTTTTCATTCATTTCCTCAAACATACCAAACATACAAGAAGAAGAAATTGAACACATTATTATTATTATTATTATTAATTTAGCATGGGCCCACAGAATGCAACGAGGGCATCACAAGAAAATGAAAGTACACTAGGAATTGGGCTTGTCTTGTCCCCCACTCTTTAAACTGACCAAAATACCCTCAATGTTTTTACATTATAAATTACTACTAAAAATAATCAAAAATTGTAATTACACCCAAATTGGGGGATCATCAATGATAACTGTAACAAATTTTAAATTAAAATTTATGGCACCAACACCTATTTTTTCTTAAAAATACTTTAGATTCAAAACAAAAATTCACCACAACTAATAACAACAATACCATATATATATACACATGTATTTTTATATTGAGTTGGTTATTGTACAATAACAATTGCCATTGTCACTTTGCAAATGGAAATACTTGTTAGAATTGGTGCAGACAAAACCTCTCAAAAAGATAGTTTAAATATATATATATATATATAATTCAAATATTCTCCAAATGTCCCATTTGAAATATAGACAAAAAAAATTAAGGTACAACACCTAATTGGGCAACACTAAAAAATAAACAATAAAAAGGCAAGAATTTGAAAATTAAATTAAACACAGAACGTACAAACCATCATTATTCTATAAACAAACAAACAAACACAATGATTGCAATAGCACAATAATGAATAATAGCACCAAGTAAAAAAAAAAAAAACACATTCACAAAACTTCAATCAAAACTTATCCATGATCTAATGACACGTGAGGGTTAATTAGGTAATTCCACTAAGGCATCAAGCTCCCAAAGCCAGAGGACTCCCGGGAGCTCGAAGACCCGATATCTGCACAGCACACCCACCCTCAACGCAAGCGGACGTCGTCGAGGTCCCGGGAGCGGGCAAGAAAATCTCAAAAAAGTAGCACCCTCACCCACTCCACTCCCACCATTTCACATGCACACATTCCATTCCATTCGAAGACAAAAAAAACCTTACTTCATTCCGTCCATGGAGATAACCAAACCAAACCCATCATTCCCTCCCCTACCCCTAACCAAAATTCTCCCAAAATCCTAACCAGGATATATATATCTACAACTACATCATCCAATTCATTTTCCAGCCGTTGGATCTTGGAAGGAATGGATGATGCCTGGATCCATATCCCTTTTTTAAGTTCTTACCAGAAACCACATTCATAGAAAGAACTCTGCCATTTTTCATCATATTTTCACTCACTACTTTTTTTTCTTCTACCAAATACAAATTCATGGGTGATGTGTATCAAGAAAGCAGTGGCATTGGGAATAATAGTGTAAGGAATGGGAGTGAGATTACCAGGCAGGATATTCAGGCAGCCATTGCCAAGGCTGTGGAGCTCAGAGCACTTCATGCTGCTCTAATGCAGCAGGGGAATAGCCCTGCTAAACTCAGGTTCCCATCTGCTTCCCCTGTTTCCAGGCACACCCACCATCTATCTGCTCAGGACTACCCTGTTTTCACACCTGTAAGAATTTCCAATTCTTCTTCTTCATTTCAATCATATGTAAGAACTTTCAGCATTAGGGTTTTTGGGAGTTCAGGTTTGTCACTTTACATTAAATGGCTGGCTTTTAGATCTACAGGAATAAGGATTTTGACTCTTTCTTTACTTTACATTTTTTAAAGAGAGAGAGAGAAAAAAAATGAGGGGATTGGAAGGGTACATATATTGTTATCTCCTATGATTATGAACACATATTGCCAAGAAAATGTAGAAAAAATAAAGGGTAAAAATAAAAGATATGCGGATAACTTCCTAGTATTTTTCCTACTTTAGTAAAATAAGCAAATTATATTGCACTGTTAATATGTTATTTGAATAGATAAGCTAACTGATATAGGAAGAGTATGTAATACATATATATATATATATATATGCAATTTAAATAGAGATTTTCATCAAGAAAAGAATAACTCCTTGCTCATCGATAATATGGGGTGTGGAAACAGACATATGATGATGAACCACTACCAGGGTACCAGCAAATGCTCCTAGAGAATCGAAGCTATGCCGAGAGTTGGGGGGAGCATACCTTGGATGGAGGGCATATTGACGAGGCCTTGATGGATTACAGACCCATGAATGTTTCTTCGAGGAAAGGGCCGCCATCGGAGCTGACAAACTTCGAGGGGCACGTGTGCCCTGCAGATGATCAGTATTCATTTTCAGGTTCCTGCAGCAACAACATCCATGGACTTAGAGCATCACCAGGGCCAGATCGCTCGAGAAACAGCATGGGAGATGTTAAATCCATTTCGTCGTGCAACAAATGCAAGCCTGCAGTGATAAGCAGCGAATCAGACAGCACGAACAAAAGAAAGTCTAACATAATAGTCCCGTTGACAGATTCACATTCATCGGTCCGCCCACAGCCAAGAAACAGAGGGCTTGGCTTATTGCGGCTGTTCCCGAGACTGAAGAAGAAGACCAAGAATGAGAACTCACCAGCCCACCACCAGCATGTGGATGAAGTGTCCCAAATGCTAAAGGATTTAGGGATGACATCCGTCGACACACTGAGGAAAGAGCTAACAGAAGCAAATGAGAGCAGAGATGCAGCATTGGCTGAGGTGGCAGAAACAAAGTCATTGATGGGGGAGCTCGGGCAGAAACTCGAGTATTTGGAGATGTACTGTGAGGAGCTGAAGAAGGCCCTGAAACAAGCAGTGCAATTGAAGATCACACAGCCGGCAGAAAGGCTTACAACTCTCACCAGAAAAGGGAAACCGGTGGATGGGGCTGCAGGGAATTCGATGCCAGTGAGTGAGGAAGTAATGGTGGAAGGCTTCCTGCAAGTTGTATCAGAAGCAAGATTATCAGTTAAGCAATTCTGCAAGACACTAATAGGGCAAATAGAAGAAACTGATCGTCCCTTAATGGATAATCTGAATTCACTGCTTCAACCTTACAAGCTCTCTCTAAACTCCAAATACTCCAAAGCAGTCCTGTACCATTTAGAAGCTGTAATAAACCAATCGCTCTACCAGGATTTCGAGAATTCTGTCTTCCAACGAAATGGTGCCCCAAAGTTCTTGGACCCTCAACAAGATCGCCAAGCTAGATTCCAATCTTTCGTTGCTCTGCGAAACCTGAGTTGGAATGAAGTATTGAGGAAAGGAACTAAGTACTACAGTGACGAATTTAGCAAGTTCTGCGATCAGAAGATGAGTGGGATTATCTCGACTCTGGGGTGGACTAGATCATGGCCCGAGCAGCTCCTACAGGCATTTTTTGTGGCTGCAAAATGCATCTGGTTGCTACATCTGCTAGCCTTCTCATTTCCTCAGCCTTTGGGTGTTCTAAGGGTAGACGAAAACATGGCTTTTGACCCTCACTACATGGATGATATCTTTGCAGACAGGCAAAGGTCACTGGGAGGTCCTAGTCGGGTCAAGATCATGGTAATGCCCGGCTTCTACGTGGTTGATAGAGTACTTAGGTGTAAGGTTCTCTGCAGATGTAAACCAGCATCCTAGTTAGAAGTAGTTTTGGTTACTTTCTTTCCTTCTATTTAATTTACCCAGACACTCCATGAATCACAATCCTACTTGTAATTTCTAGTATTAAACTTGTTCATTTGTTGTGCTCCTAATCAATCCAGAATGAATTCAAATAAAGTTTAGCTTACCAGCAAGAAGTAGACTATCCAAATCACCAATATCCTAAACCAATGTGAAAATGATCTATTATCAATCAAAATAATCCATTCATACCTTTGATGAACCATGCTGATTTGAAGTTATCTGGAAAACACATGCTCTTGTCATTTTCTCCAAATAGCACCATTTCAACAGCAACAGCTGACAATTGACAAGTATCTACTATTTCCTTTACAACTGGAGCAGCCTTTACTTTAATCCCAGCTTCAATTTCCTTGCACCTTTCCAAATAGTCAAAAAAGACATGTAAAAAGGAAGACATGGGTATATAATATTAGCAAAAAACTCATGGTTTAGGGACTTAAAGAGTTACTTATAGTCCCTCTAACAGCACAATGGTCATTCTGTTCCTGGAGATAGCCCACACACTCCAAGCCAAAAAGGGGAACAACATCTTCCTCATCAGCTAAGCCCTCTCTTGATCAGGAACTCACAATTGCATTTAGTAGAATTTCGGATGACTGTTACAATGGCATTTAGCTGGATGTACCAACGGTGATAGGCAGTCACAGGGACGATCTTCTGCTGCCTGAATTTCTTGCAGATGGAAAATTTCATGTAATATATTTACCCCTGCTGTCATATAAACTTCCAACAGAAAATTTCAAGCTGTCATAAGGGAGCATGATTCTTCTATAAACTTCCAGCTGAAATTTTCAAACATTGTATCTTCAGCATAAACTTGGAGCCCAATTTAGCAGCTAATCAGACAGCCTCCCATCCAACAAAAAAACTTAATAAATTAACCAGTATATCAACTCAAAATCGCAGACCAGTTACCTCTAACCAGCAACAAAATCCACAGAATAATTGACACCTATGTAATAGAATATTATCAGAAAATGAGGAGCTAATAAGAGGATATATGCCATACGCTATATACACATTTTAACAAGCAATGTAGGCAGAGCTGAGAAAATGCAATGGCAAACAAACTTTTTTGTTTCTCAAAGAGAAAATGTACACTGTAAAGCATAAATGCATGCGTACATTAACTGAAGGGTTGTGCTGACCCTAAAGCAAACCATAATTACAATAAAGGACCTTTGTGGCTCACAAAGCGGAGGTGATAACAGCTTATGAGGCAAAGTACTTCATCAGTTCGGCAAAGTTATTGTCATCAACTGCATTATCATCAATTATGAAGTCAAAATCACCAGTATCTAAGGAACTTGTGCCGTCGAATTGAAGACTAAATGGACTTAGTCCTGGTAACTCAGGTGACAAACTACTGAGAGGGGATGGAAACTGAGTGTCAACAGCCCTCTCCGGATCTGGAGGAAATGTATCTTTCACGAATTGCAAGACACCTCCATCAGTAATACCATTCTCATTATTAGGTGGCAATGGTACATCAATCCCTGTAACATTTGGTCTGTTAGGTATCTCACCGAACACTGGTACAGACTGCTGTCCTGGATGACCAGGATCAATGGCAGGTATTGGATTTTCACAGTGATATGCTGATCTTTGATATATTGTGGGATTTTGAGAACCATGAGGCCGAGGTTGAGGCAGAGATGGATCTTGATGTCCTGGGTGCCACGCACTAATTTTGGGTTCATGAGGGACGTCAGGGTTTTGTAATCTGTGGATTGAAGCAGAATCTCCAGCTCCTGGAAGCACCCGATGCAAGTGGCCACCTCGAGGAACATGTATAATATTAGAACCACGGCCAGTAACTATATCAGTGCTTCTAGACACTGTATAAGGTAAACACTGATCATCCACGGGCACACTCCTAATGGGAGCTTCATCTGATGGAACTGAGGATAAAAGGTTAGCACCAGGTTCTACCAAGCAGGGTAGAGCATTGTCAAGATGCATCATGGATACCTTATCCATTCCTGCCTGGCTCTCATTCATTTCAAATTCAGTAATTTGTGCATTTTCACGATTTACTTCCACTAGGAAATCTCCAGGGTCCTCACGAGGATGTTCATTGACAGTAACAACAGCTGGTTGATTCGTAGCAGCAGTTGAGTTTGGGTACCTTCTCTTCCTTACACGCCCACTTTCATTCTTTTTGTTCCTAGCTCGCTTTGATCCAATTGGAGCTGAAGGTTGAGGCACTGGCACATCTACTGTTTGTTTTGTCCTATCCTCATTAGATGAAACAGAGCCCAAGCAATTGTCCAAGCCATCGACATCATAATCACTGTCACTTTCAACAGAAGTCCTCACAGTACTTCCATGGGCTTTCGATGGTGTCTCACTAATCCCAGAAGATCCATTGTCGCTGCTTGGTTGCCGAACCAAAGCTTCCTCCCTGCTCAGGACACCTAACCAAATCAAGCTTTCCTTAGCAGTCATTTTATCTTGCAAGCATTTCGACTGCCTTATGAGTTTCCTAATCTTCTCAATATCTGGTGACATATGTTTGATGACCGCAGTCAGCACTCCAACTTTCCACATCTTCTTCAGATCATGAGGCTTCCTGTAAGGCAGAGCCTGACCCTTGGGTAAACCCAACCTCGCCCACCATTCCTCATTCCCTGTTGGCCACCATGGTGGAGGAACCCCCTTTTCAAGAGGATACTTACGCTGGGGCGGATCACAGTGTTGCATCAATGAGGACAAAAGTGATCCCAATGTAGCATCTTGCAAGTCTTGAAGGACACCCTGTGAATTTCCATTGTGATTTCTACCACTGTCTCCTCTGGCAAGGCACTCAGCCTCATACTTGGTAATAGCTGCTGGGCCATTTTTGTCAAACTTCACCTTTTCTTTCCACCAGGCCCTCATATTATCCGATGCCCCACTAACTGGTTTACCCTTCTCAGGGATGATGCCATAAATAAATCCACGAGCCTTGCAGACATCCATGAGCTTCAACATGTATTTCAATATGCCATCCTGTGCACGTGCCATCTTCTTCCTACGGGCGTGATCTGAGGCAGGCTTTGCTTTTTGCTTCTCTGCAGCTTCTTGCTCCATGGTAAGTTTCTGCCTCTCCTTGATCCTCTTTAGCTTAACACGGTCCCTCCACATTCTCTTCTCCAATTCTTCTGCTTCAATCTCTTCATCACTGACATCTTTCTCCTCTATGTTATCATGGCCTCTTATCTCATCAACATCAATGTCCGAACTGCACCATAATGCATTACCAATGATAAAGTGAAGCATTTGCAACAGTTGCACATATTTGATCATGATTAAGTATAAACAGTTACAGACAGAATTAAACATGGATGATTTTTCACACCATAAATCAGTTTAATCAAATGCAAGACCATCTTCAGCAACTTAAAACCCACTTCTGTAGTGAGCATGTGCCGTTCACTATGCTATTTCTTAATACTCCACTAAAAGAAAATGTCAGTTTCATCTAACAGGCGCTGCCATGGCAGAAACAATTTGATCTAATAAAACACACTTAAACACTTGGGATAAAAGTTAGTAATGAAGTTTGTTTGTTTGTTTATTTTTCCACTCTATGTTTTTCCAAACAGCCACAATCAACCTTTCCCAAAACTTAATTTGCAAACTCCACTAACTCCAATTTTACTTCAAACTTCAAGGTGAAAATTTATAAGTTGTTTGCAAACACTGACTCAATGTATTGGTAAGCATTTTTTAGAACCAATCATCATACTTTCCCATTAAACAGCAATCAAATTTTACAATTATATAACAGAGGCAATCAAACTCATCATCATCCTTTCTCCAAATACGCGAAAGAAAACAAACTCGTTCAAATTCCACTTCCCAAAATGATCAAAAAAATTTCCTCAAGCACTCAAATATAATCTGAACACTCAAAATTCAAAACCGCAAATCTAACACAACAGGAATGACAATTCAATAAACAGGAATAAGTATATATAAAACAAAAAACACCGATATTCCTCATAATCGGCACGATCACGGAAGCAAAACGAACCTGATATCAACTCCCATATCTTCCAGCTCAGCCATATCGGAATGCTTCAGAAACCCTCTCGATTGCAATAGAATGAAAGCAAAAACATCAGAAATGGATAGACTATGCAGCTGTGGCGATGGAATCGATCGAATCAGGGGATATCAATCCGCGTCCTTCGAGGTGTCGACACCTGCGATCTGTATGACTGTACGGCCAACAGAGTCCGCGTGTTTCTGTGCCATGGCAGAATTGTTCCCTTCGGACATCTCCCACATAAATCGAGCATGAACAAGCAAAGTCGTGTTTTACATTTCCGAATTTATCCATTTAGCTGTGACAACTTTAGTTCGCAAAAGCGAGAACTGCAGGAGAGTCAAACGAGGTTCCGCTCAAAGTCGCAATTAGATTTACACTTTGCAAGAGTTACAGGCACATGAGCGGCGCGTGATCGATATTTAGGAGCTCCGGGATCTCAAATCCCAGATGAATCCAGACCATTTAATAAGGATGGCAGAGCAGAAATGGGAGGACCTCCTATTCCGGAGTTGAACACCATGGAGCGGTTAAGGAACTCCGAAATTTTTTAATATATTCGACATTCAGAATATTTTATAAAAAAATACTCGTTCAAATCTATTCTCACTTTTTTTTTATAGTCATTGAAAAATATTCTCGTTTCTTTTTTAAATAATTAATTATTATATTTTTATATTTTTTTTATTATAAAAAAAAAAGTAACAATTATTACCCGGAGGGAGTAGTTTTTTTTAAATTCAATATGTCATTTTAGAATTATAACTAAATTATGTCTCCCTCCATTCCATTCCAACCTTTGGAATTTTATACTCCCTCCATCCCATGTAATATGGGTGTATTACTGTTGACACGGAAATTTAAGTAAAGTATAATTAGTAAATAATTATGAAATGTATTAGTAAAAATAATTATAGATTAAGATTAAGATAAGTAAAATTTTAATTAAAATTAAAAAAATTATAAAATTTAAAATACGATTAAAGTGCATAATTATATTTTAAATAATAGAAATGACAAATTATGTGGGACGGAGGAAGTAGTAATTAGTAAAACTCATAAATTGAAAGTAAATAACAAAAATATAAAATAAAATTTTGTATTGTTTAAAAAAGAAAAAAAAAACTATTATTCATAAGCTCCCTCAACCCCTCGTTACTGTGTATCAAGACAAATGAACCGTGGGAAAGATGCTAGAATGTCAGCACAAGAACACACAATCCTCACAAATATACCATAAAACACGTTACAAATCCCTCTACAAACACAAAATAGAAAAAACTCGCTACAAATTAATTCTGTGGCCAAACCTCATCGGAAACTTCAATCCAACACACAAAAATATCAAAAGAGAAGATGAGCTAGAAAGAGAAACAATAGGGTGTGTTTCTTTTTGATTAAATTTGAAATTTTTTTATTTAAATTTAATATTAAAATAATATATAATAAAAAAAATTAAAAAAAAAACTATATATATATATATATTTTTTTAAATAGTAAAAAGTTGAAGTTTAAACATGACATAAATGGTTTGGATTGAAGATCTAGATTGATCTGAGGGCTTCTGGATTTAATAGGCTGGACTGACATTTCGGTCAAGAAATGTTAAAGTGGGCTTAACAATATTGTAGAGTCCCTTTACAAATCATAGGACAACCCAAATAGAGAAACTATAAATATAATCAAATTTTATGATTATTTATTTTTAAAAAACTTACTATACATCAAACCATCGTTCAAATAGAATGCTATGCCTCTATTTTTGTTCACTCCATTCTACTTATTATTATTTTTTTTTTTTATTTTATGACGAGGGAAATAAGCTATCCGAAAATACGCATCGGGTAAAATCTCAGTCAAACTTAATACCATACAGACTAGGTCATTTTACTTATTATTATTATTGGGTGTGTTTTGTTTGGAGTTTGGATTTTGAAGTGAAATTTGAATATAAATAATTATAAGATGATATATAAATATACGCGTGATGTTTTAAATATAAAATTAAATTTTTGATTAAAATATATATATATATATATTTGATTTGATATTTTTTAGAATTTTTATTATTATTATTATTATTATTTTTTATGAATAAAAAAATTCTTGGAAGTTTACCAAAAGAACACACCTATAATTAATTTTATCTCTATTCTTTTGGCACTACCTCTATCCGACTCTAAGGGTTTCATTTATTTTATACTTGTTCATATTTGGATATTAATTATTATATAAAAATACAGCACAAATTAAGGAAAAATGACAAAAATATCTCTATTAGTGTCTTATAATATTATTATAATGACATTTGTGCAAAAAATTATACAAATATAAAGCTATTTTTAATGTTGTATAATAATGCAAAAGGTAAATGGAATCATTATGGCCGAACTAAGGAAGTATGAATTATTTTTAGATTGTGTTTAAAACTCTTAAAACATGCTAAACTACCAAATAAAGGATGAAAAAAAAAAAAAAAAAAAAAAATTCAAAAAAATTATTTTGTTTAATTGAAATTCTCCAAAATACAAAAATCATTTAAGTGCGCTGTAAAGTGAACTTATACCCGTGAAATGACACCTTAAAATTTTGTCTTCTATTAGATTCAATGAGGGTAATATCTATAACCAACTCTTAAGAGATTATTTCACAATATAAAGTGAACAGTGTTGTAATTTATTCTAAATTAAAAATGTGTCATATGTGATTGGTAATAAGACTTGACTCATAATAACTAATATAATAATAATTATTATTATTTTCTAAGTAAATAATTAGGTTAGATTTATAAAAAGAAGTCAAGTTGAAGACATTTTAAATTGTTTGAATTGACTTTATTTTTTATTTTTATTTTTATTTAAAAAAAAAAAAGAAAGAAGCAAAAAGAAGAAACATAAGATGTAATAATAATAATACTAATAAGGTGTAACCATCTTTGGAGATCAGACATGTTTTAAAACTAATGCAAGAAATGTAACGTAATTCGAATTATAATCTTCTATGAAATTATACGATTAATTAAATTTAATGTACTTTGAAATTATATTTGTCTTTTTATGTTGACTCCGAAACTGATATTCAGTCAACTCATTTAAAAAATATATTTAAAATATTATCACAGAAAACCGTGCTGAATTGCTGTTTATAAAATATTGAAATGAATAATAATAATAATAATAATAATAATAATAATAAACAACGGTGTTGCAATATATTCTAAGGGTTTGTTTGTTTGAAGGATTTTGGAGGATTTCCACTATTCATCCAATTTTTTCCCCCCAAAAACATCAAATCAAATACTTATTTTTCATTTTTTATATTATACTAAAAATCAATTTTACATTCAAAACATCACATCAAACTCTATTTATATCACATCATACAACTATTCAAATTCAAAATTTTTACTATTCAGATCCCAATCCAAAATCCAAACCCCCAAACAAACACACCCTAAATTAAAAGCGTGTTATATGACATTGGTAATAAATCTTGACCCGTAAATTATCAAATAATAATGTTCATTTCGATTACTATGTAACTATCAGATTGTCCACTTACTTTTTATGCATAAATTTTCAAATATTAATATTGTATATTAAATACTATTTTCGTCCCACATTGGGTGTCTTTGTCACTGTAGACACGAGAATTTAGGATAAATATAATTAGTAGATAATTAAGAATGTATTAGTGAAAATAATAAATCTATAATATAAATCATTATAGATTAAGATTAAGATTAAGATTAAGATAACTAATTAGTTTAATTAAATTTTTTTAAAAAAAATAGAAAAATTAAAATAAAATTAAGATGGGTAATCGTTTTCCAAAAAAAAAAATGACATGAGATGTGAGAACAGAAACGACAACATGGACATGGTAAGTGGGACGGAGGAAGTATTAAATACTTCCACCGTCCCGCGAGTGATGAACCTTTTTAGTAGGGACATGGTTTTTTAGGTAGCGTAAATTAGTAAGTTATTAATAATAAATTATAATATTAGTTTATTATTTTTTATATGAATAAAATTATTGGTATTTTAAAAATTTTTAAGATTATATCTAGAAAAAATATATGTAATATAAATATCATTTTATAAATAATAAGATTTTATATAATACAAATAAATAAAAAATATTTTTATTTATATATCATTACCATAAATTAGTTTTATGAAAAATGAGAAATTTTAAATATAGATAAAAAAAAATTATGTTAACTGATGAGAGAAATAGAAATAAAGTGATTTTGAGTGGATCCTACGTGTAAGATATTAGAAATTTAATTAAATTGATTTATATTTATTAAGTATATTTAAGATTGATAAAGTTACAAAAATGAAAATAGATAATCTTTTGTGGGACTTAAAAAAAAAAAATAGGCCACATGTAGAGATATGTGAATGGACAACTGTACCATTGAAATTTTGATAATACTTTATATTTAAATCAATAGTAGCGTTGCCGTAATACATAAAAGAATTCGTTTATTTATTTTTTTGGAAGAAAATATATTTAATAATAGACAACATATTATATAATTTCATTAGCACAATATTTTATAATTTTACATAATAAATATATAATACAGTCCAATATAATATATATAAGTCACACAACACCTATTAATATAATGTATAATATATTATATAATTTTATATAATAAATACAATAATTTCAGTGTGATAAGCTGATTATACAATATAGCAGAATACATAAAATAATATTTATTTTTATATAATATATAACATATATTATTTATTAAATAAAATATTAATTGTTTCAAGTCAGCACATCAGATGCATTATAATCGCAACATTTCATGAATTATATTGATACTGATAAATATATATATATATATATAATATTTAAAAAAACGTGTTTTAGGATATTTAGAAAAAAGAAAAAAAAAAAAAAAAGAAAAAGAGTGAGTACTTTCTAACTTCTAAGTAAATGATTAGGTAAGGTTTATAAGAAAAGTCAAATGGACACAATTAGGATTGACTGCGTCGGTTAAGTCAATAGGCTATTTTGATTTCTAGGATGGCACCATACAAAACGTATTTATTACTCCATCCGTTCCAATATAATATTATTATTTATCATTTTTGTCCGTTTCAAAACAATAGTCTTATTTTCATAAATAATTATATCACTATAAAGCTATCCTTATTTTTTTCATTTTTATTATACAAATTACCAATACTCTAAGCTAATACATTCACGAGAACAAAAAAATCTTT